AGTTGCTTTTCTCCTTAGTTCCCTCTAGTTTTACCAACTGGGTTCGCTGGTTTGTTTGTTTGTTTCTTTGGTTAATTCTTTTATTTTATTTCAGAGGTTGAGCCCACTAGTTTGGGAGGCTAGGCACCCCGGGTGAGGGCCCTCCACCTTTGCATGAGTTTGACACCGGGTCACAAGACTACACCGATTTTGTTTCTTTTGTTGAAGGTTTGCAGTGTGTGTGCTGTGCTTCACTTGGTGAGTATAAGGGAGCACCCCCCTGCACTTTCCCTCTGTAGTCTGCCTCCCTTCTGGTGGCCTCAGCTTATCTTAAGTTAACTTAGTTTGGGTTTCTTTGATTTAGTTTAAGTTGGGGTTATTGTACTTTTTAACTTTTGTAGAAGGCCTTGTTTTAAATTTTATTATAGAAATAAAATTAACTTTCTTGCCCCTTATCTGTGTTTTGTTATGTTGTTTTAACTTTATCCCTTTCTTTCCCTCCTAGGTTAAAATTCTCAGTTATATTTACGTTTAACTTCATTTTTTTTGATCTAATAAACATTTTGAAATATTTTGAACTCTGTCTCTGCCTCTTCAGAACTTACCTGTGTTGCCTTTATTCTTATTTTAGCTTCCTGTTTTAGTTTGAAAGTTCAGTTTCCTGGGGTGCAAGTCCCCAGGTGGGGTTGCTGGTTGGAGACAATATTCTCTATTTTTGAATAAAATAGCACCCCCTTGCCACATTCTGGCGTTGCCGGCAGGATTCCGTTAAAGGCAGAGACGTGTGTATTTTTCCTTCTTTTGCAACCCAGTTGGTGTAGATTTTTTTTTTTCCTTTTCTATTGGTATTTTTGTGTTTGTGGGGCAAAACAGCAGCAGGTCCGGAGGGATCCCTGTGCTGCACCCCTGGTACTCTGCTAATCTCCTCTGCTCTGCTTCCCCATGGAGGAGGAAATCGCTCAACTGAAGGAGCTGGTCGCCCAGCTGCAGGCGGAGAATCAACGCATGCGTCAAGAGTGGCAGTCCAGTCTTCCCGGGCCCAGCACCTCAAGCTCAACTTCATCTGGCCCCCCCTACAGTTAACAATATGGTAACTGAAAGACTGGTTTACCTTCCTCGGGAGAGAAAATGTCCCATGTTTAGGGGCAGGACTGGAATTAGCATTGTTGAGTGGGTGGAAGAAGTCCATGCTTGCACCCGTGCTAGAAATATGTCCACAGTTGAGCAAGCACTTTTCCTTTTTGACCATTTAGAGGGGGAAGCCAGAGAAGAGATTAAGTACAGACCTCAGCAGGAACGGGAAGATCCAAACAAGGTTTTGGCTATATTACAGGAACTGTATGGGTGTTCAAGGTCTTATGTGTCTTTGAGAGAGGAGTTTTTCTCTAGAAAACAACAAGATGGGGAAACATTGCAAGAATTTTCACATGCTTTATTGTGTCTAATGGACAAGGTTGATAAAAAGACACCAAATGTTCTTCCTAACAAAGATGTGTTACTGAGAGACCAATTTGTTGAACATGTTGTTGATTGCTCCCTTCGCAGAGAACTGAAGCAATATGTCAGAAGCCACCCTACAGCCAGCCTGATAGATGTCCGCAGTGAGGCCATTAGGTGGGAGCAGGAGGGATTGTCCACCAGTGGGAGGGGTAGAAGCCACTCTGTGCCTAATGTCTTTGGTTTTCAACAAACTGTTCAGCAAGGGTACCCCAATCATAGCCAGGCAGGTAGCTCCTTCAATTCTGAGTTAGGTGAGCTGAAAGAAATCCTTAAAAACCAGCAAGAGCAACTGAATAAGCTAACTCAAAGTTTAGCCACCTTAAACGATGTTCAAAACACCCAACCAAATGGCCGCAGGAAAAATGTCATTTGTAGGAGGTGTCATAAGCCTGGCCACTTTGCTAGGGAGTGTGAGGAAGAGTTCCCAGCCCCACAGCCTCCTGTTCATTCAATGCAGTTTCGCTCTAATGGTAGACAGCCCTCTCAGAACCAGGGAAACTTTCGCCCCCTGAACCTTTGAGCCAAAGTTCAGGTGGGGGCCCCTTAGGCTCGGACTCTGCTGCTAATAATCTTGATAACTTGGTGTCAGTCTGCCCAAACTTAGCTGTACTTATGGGGGGAGTTTCAGTTCCATGCCTGGTTGATACAGGTTCAATGGTGTCGACTATAACTGAAAGTTTCTTTGCTCAACATTTTGAACCATGGGGTCCAGACAAACTCCAGTGTTGTAATTGGTTGAGATTGAGTGCAGCTAATGGCTTGGCCATACCGTACATTGGATACCTGGAGTTAGATGTTCAGCTTTGCGGCAGAGTCATAGCAAAGCGAGGTGTTTTGGTGGTCAGGGATCCCCCACACAGTGAACATTCAGTTCCAGGTGTCCTTGGTATGAACATCATAAAGGAATGTTACCAGGAGTTGTTTGTACTTCATGGCCCTGCTCTGTTTAACTTACCTTCTGTGTTGCAGGCCCCTATCCAAGTTCAGCAGGTCTTTCAAAAGTGCCACCAGGCCCAAGCAGTTGCCCCTTCTGGTCATTCCAGTCGGGTCAAGGTGAAAGGTGGGAGGGTTTGTAGAGTTCCTGGGGGTTCTCTAAAAATTGTGGCAGCCACCTGCTCTCAGCATCACCTTGGGGAAGTTTTGTTTGAGCCCCTTAGCACAGGTTTGCCTGCAGGTCTGCTAGCATCCCCAGCACTTGTTCAGGTGAGTAGAGGCACAGCTTACATCCATGTTGTAAATGTTGGAAGCCACGACGTTGTACTGTACCCGAGAACCGTTCTTGGCACCTTGAGTAATGTTCACCTTGTAAGCTCGCCCACAGGTCTGGTAGAGGGGGAAGTAGCAGCCACAGTTTCCTCTCAGTCAGCGACCAGTTCAGTGCAGGATAAGGTTGATGCACTTGATTTAACGGCCCTTACAGAACAAGAACAAATACAAGTCAGGTCCTTGTTGCACAAGTACAGTGGTGTCTTTTCCTCACATGAAAGTGACATAGGATGCACAAACCTCATTTCTCATGACATACCTTTAGTGGATGAGGTCCCAGTACGTCAGAGATACAGACGCATCCCCCCTTCAGAGTATGAGGCAGCAAAGGCTCACATTCACCAGCTTTTAGAGGCCCAGGTTATTAGAGAAAGTAGTAGCCCCTTTGCCTCTCCTATTGTGTTGGTGAAAAAGAAAGATGGTAGCCTCCGGTTGTGTGTGGACTACAGGCTCCTCAACAGCAAGACCCGAAAGGATGCATTTCCGCTGCCCCGCATAGAGGAATCCCTCGACGCTCTCTCAGGCGCCCAATGGTTTTCAACCTTGGATCTAGCTGCTGGATATAATCAGGTACCAGTGACTGAGAAGGACAAAATGAAGACTGCATTTTGCACCCCATTTGGGTTGTTTGAGTGGAACCGCATGCCATTTGGATTGTGCAATGCACCAAGTACCTTTCAGAGATTAATGGAGAGAATCTTTGGAGATCAGCATTGTCAATCATTGTTACTGTACCTGGATGATGTGGTTGTGTTCTCTTCCTCTGTAGAGGAGCATGTGAAACGCTTGGATGTTGTGCTGGGTCGCCTACAAAAGGAGAATCTCAGAGCCAAGCTGGAGAAGTGCACATTCTTCAAACCAGAGGTGAGCTACCTTGGCCATGTAATATCCAGGCATGGTGTATCTACAGACCCTAACAAGATAGAAGTGGTGTCAAAGTGGCAGCGCCCTGACCAAGTCTCGGAGCTGCGGTCTTTCTTGGGATTTGCCAGCTACTACCGACGCTTTATTGAAGGTTTTGCTAAGCTGGCTGCCCCCTTGCATCACCTAGTGGCTGAGTTGACAGGAACAAAATCTAAAAGACCAACAGGAAGGAGTCTGAGTGCTGCATGGACTACAGAGTGTGAGCGGAGCTTTGAGGAACTCAAAACACGGTTAGTGACTGCTCCTGTTTTAGCCTATGCTGACTTCAACTTGCCCTTCATCTTGGAGGTTGATGCTAGTTATAGCGGGCTGGGTGCTGTCCTTTCACGAGAACAGAATGGGAAAGTTCGACCCGTAGCTTATGCCAGCCGAGGTCTCAAACCCACGGAGCGTAACATGGACAATTATAGCTCCATGAAATTGGAGTTTCTGGCTTTGAAATGGGCCATGACAGAAAAATTCAGAGACTATCTGTTAGGACAAAAGTGTATGGTGTACACGGATAACAACCCCCTCAGCCACCTATCCACAGCAAAACTAGGAGCAACAGAGCAACGCTGGGCAGCACAACTGGCTTCATTTGACTTCACCATAAAGTATCGGCCTGGTCGAATTAACAAAAATGCAGATTCCCTCTCCAGGCAGCACCCAGTCAGCAGAACTGCAGGCTGTGAACCTCATGGCCTCCCAGTTCCAGAGCAGTTGCAGCAGGCTATTGAGTCAGGCCAGGTAACAAGAGCCACTCAGGCCACCATTTCAGCATTCCCCTCTCTCACTGACTCTGATTTGTGTGCATTGCAGGAGGCTGATCCAACAATCAGTGACTTTCTTCTGTTTTGGAGCAGAGGAAGGGGCCCTAATGCAGCAGAAAGAGAGAAAGCCTCAAAGGATGTCCTGACATTGGTGAGACAATGGAGCCGTATAGAACAGAAAAACGGCATTCTTCATCGCAGAGTCTGTCATCCCAGGGGAGAGGAGGTGTTGCAGCTGGTGCTACCACAGTCTCTAAAAAGTGAGGTTCTGCATCAATTACATCATGAACAGGGACATCAAGGTGTGGACCGCACAACAGATCTGGTCCACCAGCGGTGCTATTGGCCTAGAATGCACCAGGACATCAAAGAATGGTGCCAAAAGTGTGAAGGCTGTCAGGTGGCAAAGCACACTCAACCCACTGCCTGTGCATATATGGGACATTTACTGGCATCCCGGCCAAACCAGATCCTCGCCGTGGACTTCACTATCCTGGAATCATCAAAGAACGGGTTTGAGAATGTCCTTGTTATGATAGATGTTTTCTCCAAGTACACCCAGGCGGTTCCAACCCGAGACCAGCTAGCATCAACAGTGGCTAAGGTCCTCATCAATGATTGGTTCTGCATGTTTGGTGTACCGGGGCGTATTCACTCCGACCAAGGCAGAAACTTTGAGAGCCACCTCATCCAACAACTCTGCAGCATGTATGGGATAGAGAAGAGTCACACCACCCCCTATCATCCAGCTGGTAATGGACAATGTGAACGTTTCAATCGTACACTACACAACCTCCTACGCACCTTACCAGTAACCAAGAAAAGGGATTGGGCCAGCTACCTACCTCAGGTGACCTTTTCCTACAACACCACACCACATCAATCCACCGGTGAGTCCCCATATTTTCTAATGTTTGGACAAGACCCTCACTTACCTGTAGATTTCCTTCTGGGCAGAGTTCCTGAACCCACAGCTGGCAGCACTCACGCCTGGATCACAGAGCATCAAACCCGACTCCGACATGCATTTGAGGCAGCTAGACAGCATCTGGAGGCAGCAGCTGAAAAGCGTAAGCAGAACTACGACCGACATGTGAAGGATGCTCCCCTACAAGAAGGCAAGCTTGTTTTCCTGAAGGATGTGGGAGCAAGGGGGCGGCACAAGATCCAAGACATCTGGGGCCCAATACTCTACAAAGTACTTAAGGCTCCAGCCGCTGGAGGATCAGTGTACACCATCGCTCCTGCTGACAACCTCGACCAGGTGAAGCATGTCCACCGCTGCCTGCTGAGAGGTAAAGTGGATAGTGTGACCGACTGCAACCCACCAGAGACCCCCCAAGTGGCTGAACCTCCTCCCCAGAATGAAGCTTCAGCAGATGGTGAATGGTTTGTTGTGATTCCTGAGGTAACCCCAGCAACAAATCAACCTTTACCAACTCGGGCCCCCTTAGCAGCTCCCACAGAAGATGCTGTACCACCACCTGCTCCTCAAGACCCTCAGCAGCAGTTGGAGGAGACAAACCCTATAGCTCACAGTGGAGCATCCCAGCGCAGGACCCCTCGCACAAATGCTGGCCAACACCCGAACCCACATCACCTCCCTCAGGCAGCACAGAGTAGGGCAATAGGGGCTACGAACTCTCACACTCCCGGGCATACTGCCTTTGTCTTTAGGCCATGGCAGTAAGAGTAAATCGTCGGGTCGCCGATTCAAAACCCAGGGGCAGATTGTGGCAGGCAGCACCTTGCTGCTATTGAATGCAGCTCTCCCTCCTCCTCTAACCCCTCCCTTCCCCTAATCAGGTCAGCTGAACAAAAGGCAGCAGCTCACCTGCAGTCGGCCTTCTGATCTGCTCAGAGTGCTGGTGAGTAGGGTGGCTGGTAACTTTTTAATCTTTAGAGTTTTATGATTGCTTTTAACAGCATGTCCTTTTTGTTTGTAGGTGGTAGACCTGCTGCTGTTTTGTTGCCCCCATTAATTGTAGTTATTTTGCCTGTTACTTTGATTGTTTCTGCCCTTTTGATTGGTTTCCCCCCTTACTTGGTTTGTTTCTACTTCTAAGTTTGGTTGTTTTACACAGTTACTCCCCCATTAGTTTGCATTCTGTTCTTAGTTACCCTTAGTTGCTTTTCTCCTTAGTAATTCTAGTTTTACCAACTGGGTTCGCTGGTTTGTTTGTTTGTTTCTTTGGTTAATTCTTTTATTTTATTTCAGAGGTTGAGCCCACTAGTTTGGGAGGCTAGGCACCCCGGGTGAGGGCCCTCCACCTTTGCATGAGTTTGACACCGGGTCACAAGACTACACCGATTTTGTTTCTTTTGTTGAAGGTTTGCAGTGTGTGTGCTGTGCTTCACTTGGTGAGTATAAGGGAGCACCCCCCTGCACTTTCCCTCTGTAGTCTGCCTCCCTTCTGGTGGCCTCAGCTTATCTTAAGTTAACTTAGTTTGGGTTTCTTTGATTTAGTTTAAGTTGGGGTTATTGTACTTTTTAACTTTTGTAGAAGGCCTTGTTTTAAATTTTATTATAGAAATAAAATTAACTTTCTTGCCCCTTATCTGTGTTTTGTTATGTTGTTTTAACTTTATCCCTTTCTTTCCCTCCTAGGTTAAAATTCTCAGTTATATTTACGTTTAACTTCATTTTTTTTGATCTAATAAACATTTTGAAATATTTTGAACTCTGTCTCTGCCTCTTCAGAACTTACCTGTGTTGCCTTTATTCTTATTTTAGCTTCCTGTTTTAGTTTGAAAGTTCAGTTTCCTGGGGTGCAAGTCCCCAGGTGGGGTTGCTGGTTGGAGACAATATTCTCTATTTTTGAATAAAATAGCACCCCCTTGCCACATTCTGGCGTTGCCGGCAGGATTCCGTTAAAGGCAGAGACGTGTGTATTTTTCCTTCTTTTGCAACCCAGTTGGTGTAGATTTTTTTTTTCCTTTTCTATTGGTATTTTTGTGTTTGTGGGGCAAAACAGCAGCAGGTCCGGAGGGATCCCTGTGCTGCACCCCTGGTACTCTGCTAATCTCCTCTGCTCTGCTTCCCCATGGAGGAGGAAATCGCTCAACTGAAGGAGCTGGTCGCCCAGCTGCAGGCGGAGAATCAACGCATGCGTCAAGAGTGGCAGTCCAGTCTTCCTGGGCCCAGCACCTCAAGCTCAACTTCATCTGGCCCCCCTACAGTTAACAATATGGTAACTGAAAGACTGGTTTACCTTCCTCGGGAGAGAAAATGTCCCATGTTTAGGGGCAGGACTGGAATTAGCATTGTTGAGTGGGTGGAAGAAGTCCATGCTTGCACCCGTGCTAGAAATATGTCCACAGTTGAGCAAGCACTTTTCCTTTTTGACCATTTAGAGGGGGAAGCCAGAGAAGAGATTAAGTACAGACCTCAGCAGGAACGGGAAGATCCAAACAAGGTTTTGGCTATATTACAGGAACTGTATGGGTGTTCAAGGTCTTATGTGTCTTTGAGAGAGGAGTTTTTCTCTAGAAAACAACAAGATGGGGAAACATTGCAAGAATTTTCACATGCTTTATTGTGTCTAATGGACAAGGTTGATAAAAAGACACCAAATGTTCTTCCTAACAAAGATGTGTTACTGAGAGACCAATTTGTTGAACATGTTGTTGATTGCTCCCTTCGCAGAGAACTGAAGCAATATGTCAGAAGCCACCCTACAGCCAGCCTGATAGATGTCCGCAGTGAGGCCATTAGGTGGGAGCAGGAGGGATTGTCCACCAGTGGGAGGGGTAGAAGCCACTCTGTGCCTAATGTCTTTGGTTTTCAACAAACTGTTCAGCAAGGGTACCCCAATCATAGCCAGGCAGGTAGCTCCTTCAATTCTGAGTTAGGTGAGCTGAAAGAAATCCTTAAAAACCAGCAAGAGCAACTGAATAAGCTAACTCAAAGTTTAGCCACCTTAAACGATGTTCAAAACACCCAACCAAATGGCCGCAGGAAAAATGTCATTTGTAGGAGGTGTCATAAGCCTGGCCACTTTGCTAGGGAGTGTGAGGAAGAGTTCCCAGCCCCACAGCCTCCTGTTCATTCAATGCAGTTTCGCTCTAATGGTAGACAGCCCTCTCAGAACCAGGGAAACTTTCGCCCCCTGAACCTTTGAGCCAAAGTTCAGGTGGGGGCCCCTTAGGCTCGGACTCTGCTGCTAATAATCTTGATAACTTGGTGTCAGTCTGCCCAAACTTAGCTGTACTTATGGGGGGAGTTTCAGTTCCATGCCTGGTTGATACAGGTTCAATGGTGTCGACTATAACTGAAAGTTTCTTTGCTCAACATTTTGAACCATGGGGTCCAGACAAACTCCAGTGTTGTAATTGGTTGAGATTGAGTGCAGCTAATGGCTTGGCCATACCGTACATTGGATACCTGGAGTTAGATGTTCAGCTTTGCGGCAGAGTCATAGCAAAGCGAGGTGTTTTGGTGGTCAGGGATCCCCCACACAGTGAACATTCAGTTCCAGGTGTCCTTGGTATGAACATCATAAAGGAATGTTACCAGGAGTTGTTTGTACTTCATGGCCCTGCTCTGTTTAACTTACCTTCTGTGTTGCAGGCCCCTATCCAAGTTCAGCAGGTCTTTCAAAAGTGCCACCAGGCCCAAGCAGTTGCCCCTTCTGGTCATTCCAGTCGGGTCAAGGTGAAAGGTGGGAGGGTTTGTAGAGTTCCTGGGGGTTCTCTAAAAATTGTGGCAGCCACCTGCTCTCAGCATCACCTTGGGGAAGTTTTGTTTGAGCCCCTTAGCACAGGTTTGCCTGCAGGTCTGCTAGCATCCCCAGCACTTGTTCAGGTGAGTAGAGGCACAGCTTACATCCATGTTGTAAATGTTGGAAGCCACGACGTTGTACTGTACCCGAGAACCGTTCTTGGCACCTTGAGTAATGTTCACCTTGTAAGCTCGCCCACAGGTCTGGTAGAGGGGGAAGTAGCAGCCACAGTTTCCTCTCAGTCAGCGACCAGTTCAGTGCAGGATAAGGTTGATGCACTTGATTTAACGGCCCTTACAGAACAAGAACAAATACAAGTCAGGTCCTTGTTGCACAAGTACAGTGGTGTCTTTTCCTCACATGAAAGTGACATAGGATGCACAAACCTCATTTCTCATGACATACCTTTAGTGGATGAGGTCCCAGTACGTCAGAGATACAGACGCATCCCCCCTTCAGAGTATGAGGCAGCAAAGGCTCACATTCACCAGCTTTTAGAGGCCCAGGTTATTAGAGAAAGTAGTAGCCCCTTTGCCTCTCCTATTGTGTTGGTGAAAAAGAAAGATGGTAGCCTCCGGTTGTGTGTGGACTACAGGCTCCTCAACAGCAAGACCCGAAAGGATGCATTTCCGCTGCCCCGCATAGAGGAATCCCTCGACGCTCTCTCAGGCGCCCAATGGTTTTCAACCTTGGATCTAGCTGCTGGATATAATCAGGTACCAGTGACTGAGAAGGACAAAATGAAGACTGCATTTTGCACCCCATTTGGGTTGTTTGAGTGGAACCGCATGCCATTTGGATTGTGCAATGCACCAAGTACCTTTCAGAGATTAATGGAGAGAATCTTTGGAGATCAGCATTGTCAATCATTGTTACTGTACCTGGATGATGTGGTTGTGTTCTCTTCCTCTGTAGAGGAGCATGTGAAACGCTTGGATGTTGTGCTGGGTCGCCTACAAAAGGAGAATCTCAGAGCCAAGCTGGAGAAGTGCACATTCTTCAAACCAGAGGTGAGCTACCTTGGCCATGTAATATCCAGGCATGGTGTATCTACAGACCCTAACAAGATAGAAGTGGTGTCAAAGTGGCAGCGCCCTGACCAAGTCTCGGAGCTGCGGTCTTTCTTGGGATTTGCCAGCTACTACCGACGCTTTATTGAAGGTTTTGCTAAGCTGGCTGCCCCCTTGCATCACCTAGTGGCTGAGTTGACAGGAACAAAATCTAAAAGACCAACAGGAAGGAGTCTGAGTGCTGCATGGACTACAGAGTGTGAGCGGAGCTTTGAGGAACTCAAAACACGGTTAGTGACTGCTCCTGTTTTAGCCTATGCTGACTTCAACTTGCCCTTCATCTTGGAGGTTGATGCTAGTTATAGCGGGCTGGGTGCTGTCCTTTCACGAGAACAGAATGGGAAAGTTCGACCCGTAGCTTATGCCAGCCGAGGTCTCAAACCCACGGAGCGTAACATGGACAATTATAGCTCCATGAAATTGGAGTTTCTGGCTTTGAAATGGGCCATGACAGAAAAATTCAGAGACTATCTGTTAGGACAAAAGTGTATGGTGTACACGGATAACAACCCCCTCAGCCACCTATCCACAGCAAAACTAGGAGCAACAGAGCAACGCTGGGCAGCACAACTGGCTTCATTTGACTTCACCATAAAGTATCGGCCTGGTCGAATTAACAAAAATGCAGATTCCCTCTCCAGGCAGCACCCAGTCAGCAGAACTGCAGGCTGTGAACCTCATGGCCTCCCAGTTCCAGAGCAGTTGCAGCAGGCTATTGAGTCAGGCCAGGTAACAAGAGCCACTCAGGCCACCATTTCAGCATTCCCCTCTCTCACTGACTCTGATTTGTGTGCATTGCAGGAGGCTGATCCAACAATCAGTGACTTTCTTCTGTTTTGGAGCAGAGGAAGGGGCCCTAATGCAGCAGAAAGAGAGAAAGCCTCAAAGGATGTCCTGACATTGGTGAGACAATGGAGCCGTATAGAACAGAAAAACGGCATTCTTCATCGCAGAGTCTGTCATCCCAGGGGAGAGGAGGTGTTGCAGCTGGTGCTACCACAGTCTCTAAAAAGTGAGGTTCTGCATCAATTACATCATGAACAGGGACATCAAGGTGTGGACCGCACAACAGATCTGGTCCACCAGCGGTGCTATTGGCCTAGAATGCACCAGGACATCAAAGAATGGTGCCAAAAGTGTGAAGGCTGTCAGGTGGCAAAGCACACTCAACCCACTGCCTGTGCATATATGGGACATTTACTGGCATCCCGGCCAAACCAGATCCTCGCCGTGGACTTCACTATCCTGGAATCATCAAAGAACGGGTTTGAGAATGTCCTTGTTATGATAGATGTTTTCTCCAAGTACACCCAGGCGGTTCCAACCCGAGACCAGCTAGCATCAACAGTGGCTAAGGTCCTCATCAATGATTGGTTCTGCATGTTTGGTGTACCGGGGCGTATTCACTCCGACCAAGGCAGAAACTTTGAGAGCCACCTCATCCAACAACTCTGCAGCATGTATGGGATAGAGAAGAGTCACACCACCCCCTATCATCCAGCTGGTAATGGACAATGTGAACGTTTCAATCGTACACTACACAACCTCCTACGCACCTTACCAGTAACCAAGAAAAGGGATTGGGCCAGCTACCTACCTCAGGTGACCTTTTCCTACAACACCACACCACATCAATCCACCGGTGAGTCCCCATATTTTCTAATGTTTGGACAAGACCCTCACTTACCTGTAGATTTCCTTCTGGGCAGAGTTCCTGAACCCACAGCTGGCAGCACTCACGCCTGGATCACAGAGCATCAAACCCGACTCCGACATGCATTTGAGGCAGCTAGACAGCATCTGGAGGCAGCAGCTGAAAAGCGTAAGCAGAACTACGACCGACATGTGAAGGATGCTCCCCTACAAGAAGGCAAGCTTGTTTTCCTGAAGGATGTGGGAGCAAGGGGGCGGCACAAGATCCAAGACATCTGGGGCCCAATACTCTACAAAGTACTTAAGGCTCCAGCCGCTGGAGGATCAGTGTACACCATCGCTCCTGCTGACAACCTCGACCAGGTGAAGCATGTCCACCGCTGCCTGCTGAGAGGTAAAGTGGATAGTGTGACCGACTGCAACCCACCAGAGACCCCCCAAGTGGCTGAACCTCCTCCCCAGAATGAAGCTTCAGCAGATGGTGAATGGTTTGTTGTGATTCCTGAGGTAACCCCAGCAACAAATCAACCTTTACCAACTCGGGCCCCCTTAGCAGCTCCCACAGAAGATGCTGTACCACCACCTGCTCCTCAAGACCCTCAGCAGCAGTTGGAGGAGACAAACCCTATAGCTCACAGTGGAGCATCCCAGCGCAGGACCCCTCGCACAAATGCTGGCCAACACCCGAACCCACATCACCTCCCTCAGGCAGCACAGAGTAGGGCAATAGGGGCTACGAACTCTCACACTCCCGGGCATACTGCCTTTGTCTTTAGGCCATGGCAGTAAGAGTAAATCGTCGGGTCGCCGATTCAAAACCCAGGGGCAGATTGTGGCAGGCAGCACCTTGCTGCTATTGAATGCAGCTCTCCCTCCTCCTCTAACCCCTCCCTTCCCCTAATCAGGTCAGCTGAACAAAAGGCAGCAGCTCACCTGCAGTCGGCCTTCTGATCTGCTCAGAGTGCTGGTGAGTAGGGTGGCTGGTAACTTTTTAATCTTTAGAGTTTTATGATTGCTTTTAACAGCATGTCCTTTTTGTTTGTAGGTGGTAGACCTGCTGCTGTTTTGTTGCCCCCATTAATTGTAGTTATTTTGCCTGTTACTTTGATTGTTTCTGCCCTTTTGATTGGTTTCCCCCCTTACTTGGTTTGTTTCTACTTCTAAGTTTGGTTGTTTTACACAGTTACTCCCCCATTAGTTTGCATTCTGTTCTTAGTTACCCTTAGTTGCTTTTCTCCTTAGTAATTCTAGTTTTACCAACTGGGTTCGCTGGTTTGTTTGTTTGTTTCTTTGGTTAATTCTTTTATTTTATTTCAGAGGTTGAGCCCACTAGTTTGGGAGGCTAGGCACCCCGGGTGAGGGCCCTCCACCTTTGCATGAGTTTGACACCGGGTCACAAGACTACACCGATTTTGTTTCTTTTGTTGAAGGTTTGCAGTGTGTGTGCTGTGCTTCACTTGGTGAGTATAAGGGAGCACCCCCCTGCACTTTCCCTCTGTAGTCTGCCTCCCTTCTGGTGGCCTCAGCTTATCTTAAGTTAACTTAGTTTGGGTTTCTTTGATTTAGTTTAAGTTAGGGTTATTGTACTTTTTAACTTTTGTAGAAGGCCTTGTTTTAAATTTTATTATAGAAATAAAATTAACTTTCTTGCCCCTTATCTGTGTTTTGTTATGTTGTTTTAACTTTATCCCTTTCTTTCCCTCCTAGGTTAAAATTCTCAGTTATATTTACGTTTAACTTCATTTTTTTTTATCTAATAAACATTTTGAAATATTTTGAACTCTGTCTCTGCCTCTTCAGAACTTACCTGTGTTGCCTTTATTCTTATTTTAGCTTCCTGTTTTAGTTTGAAAGTTCAGTTTCCTGGGGTGCAAGTCCCCAGGTGGCGTTGCTGGTTGGAGACAATATTCTCTATTTTTGAATAAAATAGCACCCCCTTGCCACAGTATGAATCAATGGACCATGGTAAAGCACCTTGAGTGAGCAGTGTGTGGTTGGAAAAGCAATATATGATTGTGATCCATTATTTATTATAAAACTGAATCTGATGAGGCAACATGCGAAACATGTGCTCACCCTGTTTTAACTCTTTTTAACTCTATTTTTCACTGTAATCCATTAATGGGCCGGTGAGGGCTGCGGACACCCTCTGGATGGCGCCACACACTGTAGCTTAGCTTAAATGTTCTGCGTCGCCAACAGTATATAAATATGTACCCAACGCATAAAAGCGAAGGGCGATACACACACTCTGTGGGACCGTTAGCGCACAGCTTCTACGAGTGTCGCGAGCCAGGTATGGCTCTAAAAGCTGGCAGATGTACACCAACCCCTCCCTGGAAAACCGGTACCTTTCATAAAGGCGGTCATCCGAAAGAGTCAGTGGGTCAGTGCGGTCCCTGAAAACTCTCACACGCCGAAGTGATCCTCGGACAATGCAAGCACCGAGGTGTACATGATCCTCCAAGAATGGACAAGCCATTTTTCGAGAGAGCTCATTGGTCAGTGGGTAGGGTTTTTATACCCGGTGAGTTCAATCTGGAACCTAACCTGCCCCGGAGCAGGTTAGCCGTTCAGCATATGTTGCCATGGAGACTCACCTCGCTAAGAAGTGAACCCGCGTCGTAAAACAGGAAACCCCGAACTTACCCTCGAAGTTACCTCACAACAGGCCCCTGATTGCCACACCTCCCTGTTGTCAAACAGATGCCATACAGACATAGTCGGATTGAGTTGGTTGATAGAGTTTCACTTTCTGTACTATAAATAAAACGTTAATCTACTTAATAAAAGGATTTTTATTTTATACAGACAGATCGCCCTCCTTATTCATTAGAATGAATTAAATCTTTGTCATCCTGTAGTTGTTTCTCCTTGCCTTCATCTTTCTTTGACCCTTTATAGAACACATGAAGGTGATCACAGACTTAGGGCAATAATTAATTAATTAATTAATTAATGTAACATTAATCAATTAATTCAATAGTTCCCCAACTAATATACAATCAGATAAACTTTACTTATCCCTTATAGGTCGATTGAATTTGGACTGCTTTACTTTGATTACCTTGTGAAGACACTGAAAAGATTTAAGTGCATGCACAACTGCATTAATGATCCTGATTACCTTCAGCCTTTATCTTCTTCAATTTCTGTGTCGTAATCAAAAAGATCAAGAGATGTCTGAAGACAGTAATGCCACACGATGGCGACAGAAGGCAGCCCCTCGACAAGTGTCGCTGCAAGTGCTGCAGAGGGTGTCCTCCACACTTTCTCAAATAAGCAGAGAGGGATTTGGTGTGTGTAAGGTTGTACCCACCGGTAAGACAAACACCCGTTTTCACAAATAAAGACAATCACATTAAGTTGCATATATTTAAACCCCACGTGACAAAGGTGGGTTGTGTGCAAAGATCAGAACATAAATTCCAATAATGGCATTAAAATTGGAACCACCTGTGCGTAAAGGATGCATCTCGCTCCATGGCCTGGCTCTTTCTTTCATAGATGTTGGCAGATAAAATAAATTTGGCCCACAAAACTGAATTTTATAATATTCGTTTGTGGGCCTGACTCTGGATTGAATATTTACAGAATTTTAAGGATGTAAAATCATCGGATACGGGTAATTTTGAATGAAAGTTTCTTTCATTTATTTTTGTTCAAATTTTCTAAGTAAATAACTCATCAGATCACTAATATAAATCATTTGGTCAGCATTAGCATCAGCAGGACGGGGACAGAACATATGAAAGGGTTGTGCCCACAGATCACAACATAAATTCTAATAATGGCATTAAAATCAGAACCACCTGTGCGTAAAGGACGGATCGCGCTCCGTGGCCTGGATCTCCCTTTCATTGATGTTGGCATACGAGATGATTTTAGCTCACACAACTGAATATTATAATGTTCGTATTTGAGCCTAACTCCGAATTGAACATTCACAGAATTTTAGGTATATGGGGACATTAGATAAACAGGTAATTTTGAATGAAAGTTTCTTTTACTTTTTTGTTCAAATTTTGAAGCAAATAATTCATCTGACCACTAAAATAAATCATCTGTTCAGCCTTGCTGCTGCAGCATCGGGAAGGCCAGAGGACACGGAGACACGTCCGAGTCGAGCTGCGCGAGAAAAAGGAGGAAGAGGGAAAGGGGGACAATTGAAATATCTTGTTCACTTCATCATGTGTGACTGTTTTCTGGATATTTAATTTGATGCAGTTTCAGCTGTGTTGATTTGGTCAGTTTTTTTGTCCAAACGCGTGCCAATTGCGCTTACCGGATCAGATGTAGATCAGAATATATCTATAGATCTAAATGTGTGTGCTGATTCAGAATATTAGCTGTTGATTATTTTTCGCACTGAAATGTGGCTGACACTGTGGAAACCTGCCGGTGAGGAATCGGTGATGTATGCGCATTTTGTCGCCGGTCTACCAAAATACTACTAGACCAGCTGCGCTCCGCCAGCGCTGAAAGCTGACCAGTTTTGAATTGGCGAGCTTTCAGCGCACTTTACGCGCCACAGGCGAGTGCGAAAATGTCACTGCGCCAGCTGATTCTGTCGACACCTCCCTTTGCCTTGCCCAGCTTGGTGGACCTCGGTGCGCCTCAGTCCACGAAAATACCAAACTGGCTGTACGCCGGGCTCCACTAGATGAAAATACCACTGCGCGGGGTCCGCCACCCTCGGACATGAAAATAGAGCCCTATGGCTTAGACAATAAGAACAGTACTCTTAGTATCAAGATAAAGAATGAAAATATCAGTGTATGATTTTTACCAGACAACAGATTTATTTGGCCTCCTCCGTGCAGGGATGTGCTGATTTATGCAGCACAGATGAGTCAGTGATGTGGATATGACACATTTGTAGCCTCGCTCAAGTGGTGTTCCAGTTTCCTTGCATATTTCCCATGCTGACTAAGCTGGAAACCTCTCAGACACAGACACCGTATTTCCTCCTTTTGTACTCCCTGTGAGCTCTGTGTCAAATCTGACGTCAAATTTAAAAATGGAAGATAAATACTCCCAAACTTACTGGTGTACCAGAGTTTGCTGACTTTGTTTGTTTTTAGGTAGCTTTCCTTTCCATTACTAAGCTGGCACAGTTTATTTTTCCCTCCAATTATTATGAACAGTGTTCCTGTTCTTTCCTTCTTAACAGAGTGTGCTGCAGACTAGGAACTTTGCCATAAAGAACAACACAGGTGTGATATTTCCATCCTACCTGACCTGAGCTTGTAACTTTTTATTGTTCCTCGTCATACTGCTGATTTTTCTGCTTTTAGTCCCCTAATCCCTTTAAACCCTTTATACTAGGGTTTGGCTCCTGGCTGAAAGACTAAGGATGAAATATGATAAAAGGAGTCACTTAGTCAGTCCTATGATAGAATTTTTTTTTTTGTTTCATCCAAAAAGCCAATGAGAAGGCTAAAACCAAAAAAATGTGCTTGTAGTTCTTTAATCAGTTTTCATTTACCTCATCTGAGGCACTTAACCAAAACACAACAGCACAATAGAAACACAAATATCCCAGTTTGAGAAGCAGCAAAGCAGCTGTTCCCCAGTCCTAATACCTCAAACTCCGGACTGCCAAACTACTTCGTAGGTACTGTCACCTGTTGAAAGGTGTGTCTCAGTTCCTTGAAGCGATGTTTCCTCAGTCCACAGTCAAACTGAAAGTACTTACATACCTGTCATGTTGAGGAGTGCCCCAAAGTCTTTATTGCAGCTGAGAGGATCAAGGGCAGAGGACATATATCAGAGGAGTGTTATGTGAAGGTACATACATGAGAGCAGTCTTTAGGAATTCTTTTAAATGACGTACACATGTATTGAATATTATTTACTGAGTGGACGCTGCAGCTGGTCGGTGAAACTTCACATGGAAAAAGGACAGACCTTTAAACATACACAAGCATCATAAACACTTTCTGAACTATCAAACTGTGATAAACTGGAATAAAAAAGTGTGTTCATCCTCAGTATTGATATTGAACTATTGAGCATAACCATAATAAAAACAATAAAACAGGGTATCGCTCCACAGTGACAGAAGTAATTAAACATACAGTCAGATATAATCAGTGTGATGGCATTCTTCTTTACACTTCCTGTAATTTCTCTTGGGTTTTTTTTTTTTTTGTTTGTTTGTTTGTTTTTTTAGTATGAATGAATTTCGTTTAAGAGAAAGGAATCAATACGTGTTACATTTACTGTCAATAGAATGTAGGAATATAAAGCAAGACCATTTTTTCCACTTTCCTCCTCCCTCCATCTCTCCATGCATCTCTTGGGGCAGGGGGCCAGGATGCAAGAAAAGGATGCAAGGGTAAGATGCATGAAATTAGATGTGCCTCTAAAAAAACAACGCAGCTCTGTAGGATAGAGATTTGAGGTATTTTAGGCTTTGGTTACACAGAAATTATTATTGGTCATGACTGAGATGCTAAAGGATATCATCAGCCTCATCTTAAATCTAAAATCCCTTTCAAGTTTTTGCCCACTGGGGGGCAGACTACCTTTGACAAACAGGACCAGCTCTCATTTAAAATCAGAATCCAGTATCTCTGTCCTTTCGACCCTGTTGGTCTCATACTTGTTGACTGGTGAGTCTAACCACTGTGCACACCCTTGGCATGGACCTCCTTAGCCTGTGGCCTAACAAATATGAATTTATGGTGCATGTGGTTCAAGACTGACCCACAAAAACAGATTCTTGGATGCAGTAAGGGGGCCAAAGAGAGGGTGAGAGAGGAATGTTTGGCATATGGGGATGATATGTCTAGTTTACAAGGACTTATAGATGATGGAAGTCCTCAAGAGTAGATGTGAATTAAATCCTCAGTCAAATGTCACTCTGACACAGACCAAGACTCCGATAGCATCATTCCTGACATCATCTTAACTGTGTCTATTTCTGTACTCCTTTGTTTCTTCAATGTTTGTTTCTTCAGATTACAATCTCCTCTTTTACTCTCTGTCGTGCCTTATTGGGACTTTGTTTATCTTGTCTTTCTGAACTGTTCTTAAGGATCTTCTCTCTCTCTTCTATCCTCCTTATCAAAAACTCCTCCTCTCACAGATCTGTCATTAATCTTCTGATCCAGACTAAAGGCTCTTTCTGCCAAGACTCCCAACAAGTGCCAAATATGCTGCAGCAGAAGGTAGCCACATCATGCAAAAGGAAGGCTGAGCGCTGGAGATTGTTTATGTGCTTTTAATATCTTTTAGAGGCAAATGTTCTGATCAGATTACAGACAGATCTCTTCAATAGATTCAAAATTAGCTGAACATAATGGCTCAGCCTGCACACCTCCTCCTATCTGTCTCTGTACTTTATACAATAACAGGAATTTGTCAAACTGCTTTAGGCTAAATTAAACCTACACCAAGTGTTTTGTCAGACAGGTTACTTCATGTCCCAGGGTAGATTTACATGTCCTCTTATTAAACCAGTTTTATTTTTCACTGTCTGTATCAAACTATGGACGGGGCATCTGCATCACCTCCTACTTTGAGAATAGGCCTCTTTGACTGAGGGGGCAAACTTTTGCAATGCGTGCACTGAAGTGTCATGCAGTTGTATATTCTTGTTTATATTCAGAATAGATAAGATATAATCACAAGAAAACATGATATAATCAAATGGAAAGAAAACAAGTACATCTTGGACATTTCAGGGTATTTACTAAACTAGCTATCTTGTAACTTGAGTTGTGTATTTGTCTTAAGGTTGCACCACGTGGGAATGAGGCTCATCTCAACAAGCAGGGCACAAACTGACCAAAATAACTTTTTAACTTTTATGAAACCAACTACCATTAGCTCCTGTCAATCAGCTAACAGAAATGTCAAATATGAAACCGTTACAGTGATATTTAATCTACAGCCAGTGTAAAATATCTGTGACATTGGGAGGTGATTTCACCAACTTTAACTACAACTCAGTGCTTCTGTATTGTGGTGCTGTGGTATTGTGAAAAACAAAGTGCCATCACAACACAGCCCTTCATCCAGGAAAGCCTTCTACTTTCTCCACCTTAAAGTTACACCATCTTTCAAATCAACACACCAGAGCAGCCAATATTTTACGGAAAACTTCACATCTGCCTGGAGCAAGGAGTAAGAAAAAGTTGTTCTCGAGTGGTGCAACCTCTAAAATATATGAGCTATATGTCTGTAACAATAGACTGTACGTAGAATGGATGCCGTCTGCCTCCTCGCTGGGGGAAGCCACCGCGGTAACAGCACCCTCTGGTGATGGGCTGCAGTATAGGTCATGAATCCCGCCTCCTCCAGCAATCCCTATGGGGCTGTGGACAAACTTTAGAAATTTATTACACAGAATATAAATTTTTCGCCCCCATGGTTGTGATGTTGACATGTAGAACTGTAAGACTGGTTTGTGCTCAAGTCAGCCCCATCGCCAGACAGATTTCATTGGGGCACGTGCCCCAGTATTGATCTACAGTGCCCCAGTAAAAATTTCACCAATAAAAAAAAATCACTTCAGAGTTTTAAGTCTACATAGCATAGACTACAGCGCATACACCACTTAGTATGGTAATTCAGTGCTACTGTATTCACCCCACATAAACAATGTGCACATGGCTAATTAATATGGTAATTTATTCATGTGTAGGGACTTCGGTTGATAATACTTCCTTGTCAACTAGAGGTCAAGAGAAAGAGCGAGGCAGGCGATGGGAATAACTGTGTGAGGTAGGTAATATTAGCCAACAACAACTTGTTAAATATATTATTTGGATTTTGATTTGACTCGAACTGTAACTCCTAGATGGATATCAGAAAGTTATTCGCCAGCAGCAGGGATAAAGCAGCAAGGAATGAGCAAGGTAAGTGAAGTCCTAGCTAGCTAGGCAACATAAGTCTGTCTTAAATTAATGCTAAGTTAGCTAACGTTATTCCTTGTATCAATACAACCATATTAATTTGCTGTATGAGTTGTGGGGGAAATTTCTAGTCAGTTTCATCAGCATGAAACATAATGTTGGTTATGGTCTGCTGGTTCAGCTGGTTCTGCTCAGGACTTCTGCATCAATGATGATTTTGAGTAAGCTTGTGTTAGTTGACAGATATAGTCGATGGATGGTGCAGTGGTTCTCAAAGGGTCTATCTTCAGGAAGAAAAACATTTTTCCCTATCATCAAGTCGTGAGCCAAATTTTTAAACCATTCAAGTTTATTCCACAGAAAAATAGCACAGTAGACTGGGGTGCTTTGTTTTATTTTTTTACTTTTGTAAATGTTCAATTTGCAGATGTTTACTTAAATAAATATTTCAAATAAATAATATTTCATTGCTCTTCCTTTTTGCTTTTATCAGTAATGGTTTAGAAGTCTAGAGTAATGTGCACAAGCAGGCCAAATGCATTACCACAGTACATTTCAGGTGGTTAATCAAAGATCTAGACAACAACATAGTCTGATATGATTGAAAAGTTTGTGAACTGTTTGTGTTTTTTTTTTAAATAAATAAGTGCTGAATATGTTTTTTTTTTTTTTTGTGCACTCTCATGAATTCTTTGTGCCTCAGGTGTGCCCTAGTACAGTATTAGGTCTAATGACACCCCTGGCTCAAGTTCTATTTTTTCTGTGCAGCTTAATTTTTAAAAGTTATTAGGGGCTTCATGTTTTCTATGATTGACACTTGGTACAGCCTATGGGCATACGAAGATTGTGTAGCTCACCCGGGGAATACGCTGTTTGAGTCGAGCATCATCACAGCGACTCTCTGCGACTCTCCTGCTAAATGCGTTCAATGCTACTGTGCAAGTGGTAGTTCCAGGAAGTGGAGAAAACTGAGAGCAATTCGGCTTCAAATTCATATAACGATGGAAGGCAGAGCCAAGTTTTCCATTGTAGTCTATGGTCTGGACTTACAGATTGTTGGTGCAGCCTGGTGCTGAGATGCATTTCTTTCTTCTTTCTCTGCGTGTATTCTGGTATTAAAGTCTCCTTCATAGCCCTACAGATGCCTCCATATGTGTAGTCTTACAAAATAACGTCAGTATTTACAATCCATCAGGAAAAATTTACTTGTTTCTAGTCTACCACTACTGTTGGCAGCTGTGCCTCAGTGGTCGCGCAGTCGTCTGTCTCTAAGTTGAGAGTATTGGTGGTGAGATCCCGGCCCCTGCAGTCCACATGCTGGAGTGTCCTAGGGAAATATGCTGAACCTCAGATTTACAGATGGCTGTCAGTGTATGAATATGATGTGAACAGATAAATGTTATGAACTGTGTACTGTGAGGTACTATGAGTAATAAGAAGGCTGGAGTGTCCTCTGACCATTTACTGGTGTCAAGATATTCAGAATGAATCTACTTAGTTACAGCAAAATATGTCTTTTCTTTGATCAGACAGGTGTTCTTGTGTGTAGTCCAGATACACGAGTTCAAAGATTTTGCAGGATTATTTGGTTTTAGATGCTGATAACCTGTTTTAATTTTTCTGCATGTGGCAGTTCATGGATGCAGGCTTTTGAATTGTGATACATGATTTCCAAAAAGAAGGTCTTATTTCAACTCATCAGACCACAGGACAGTTTTCCATTTGGGTAAGTCAATCTTAAATGTGCTAAAGCCCAGGGCAGCCACAGATGTTTCTGGATCATGTTCATAAATGTCACAATATAATAATATCATTTAGCAGATGCTTTGTCTAAAGTAGAGTACATCTGAGTGTACCTGGTGTCCTCTTTGTGTGGGATAGTTTGAACATGCATTTGTGGAGGCAGACCATGATTGTGGAGAGTAATTTTGAGCCAATGCGGTCATTTCCACGACAGAGTCATTTCTGTTTTTATGCAATACTGACTGAGAACTGAATATCAAGGCCACTGGTAAATGGGTTCGGCCTTTTTGCACAGACATTTCCTCATATTCTTTGAAAAATTTGGTGGTTTTCTGTAGATGTAGATGATGAAATCCTCTAATTCTACATGCTGAACTTCTTCCCAACCTTAACTCGGAGAGATTTAGCCTCTCTGAAGAACCTTTTATTCACCCGGTCATGTTACGAAGCTATTAATATCCCTAGTTGGGAGATGTTCCACCAGGTGTTTGTTTTCAGCATGTCAAAAGTTTCCTGTGTTTTTGTTTTCTCCATCCAAACTATCATTGGAATTGTAGTTGTGGTATTTTACCCTCTTTGTGCCTTGTTTTTAAGAGCTGACGTGCATGCAGGAGTTGATTAGAAGGAGTTAATTTCATGGCATGTAAAAGCAGGAGGGGGCTCGTTGTAAACGCTGTCTGCAGCCTGAGCTCATGTCTGAGACTTTGCCTGAAAGATATACATAGAGAGGACGGAATGAGGCAGTGCAGGAGGAGGGGCTGAAGGTCGACTGGAAGGGGGCCTAAGAAACAGAAGTGGGGGATGGATGGATGAACGGATGGATGGATGGGTGGATTATAGGGTGCAGGAAGAGAGGAAAGGAAGGACACCTGGAAGGCTTGTCTGGGGCAAAATGCCTGCAACAACAAGAGTGCCTTATGTCTGACTTTTCTGTCTAGTGAGAGAAAATAAAGATGCAAGAGAAAAAGAAAGGAGAAGAAAACAAGTGAGAAGAAAGTGGGAATGTGGAGGGTAAATACAAAAAAAAAAAGGGGGGGGGGGGGGGCTTTTGGAGGCGTATCAAGAATTTGCCTTTTAAGGGGTATGGTCTCCCTCTTCCAAGCCTTGTGAGCTCTTGTGTTGCAGCCAAAACACTTGAGGGAGAAGAAATAAACAACAGCAAAGAGTCCAGGAGGCACCGAAACACCAGGACGGCTAATATTTTTCACATTTTGTTACACAATTTGAAACACACAGGGCAGCTTTGTGCTGGAAATTCTCCTCAATATCCAGGCAGAAATCAAGAATCCATCTGACATTCCTTCATTTAGCTGCTCTCATCCTTTGTCGAACGTTAGGTAAGCACTCTGCAGTGAAAGAGCTCTTGTTTCCCCAATGCAACAAACAGGCATTTGCATTGTAAACAAGGGAAGACTCAGGCTCAGTCATCTCTGAATCACCAGTTCACGCAGCAGCATCCCATCAGCTGCCGTCACTGTTTGGTTTTCTTGGTTGTTTTCTAGACAATATCAGCCATGTGTTTCCCCCGAGCTGAGGAGAGACGGCCTGTATCTGGGAGCAGGAAACAGTCGAGGAGGAGAGAGGGGTGGGGGTGAGAACAGAGAGGTGATTGTATATGAGAGTGAGGCGAGAGGTAGAAGGGTGGGAGCAGGAGGAAGGGACAGATGTGTTCATGAGATGGAAAGACGAAGGAAAGGGACAAAAGAAGAGAAGAGGATGGACACACAAAAGCCAAAGAAGATGGGGAGGTGAATCCTTGAGCATTTCAAGGCAAAGAAAATCAAAGAAGAAATGAAGTTAGAAGTCTAAGAAACTTTGGGTGTCTCCTGAGTGAAACAAAAGAAAAGGGGTGGAGGCAGGAAAATGGGGAGCCCACATGTGACTGGGCCGACTTGGAGAGAGAGGTGTTTTTAAAGGGTGCATATAGAAAGGAGAGGGGGGCAGTGCAAGCATGCTGTGTGTATCCTTCCTTCTGTCCCTGTAACCAGACTGAACGAGAGCCAGGAAAAGGGGAAGGGCCTCCCTCTCCTCCTCTCCAGCTGACAAAAACAGCTGCCCAGGAGAACGAGCTGGAGACCGTTTAGAGGACTGAGAGGGAGCGAGGAGGAGGGAGGACAGAGAGGAGAGGAGTGGTGGAAGAAAACCCCAGAGTTCAGGACCCGTCCAGCTATATGGGTTGCGTCCTGAGTTCGGACTGGTGTGGGGAGGAAGAGGTGCTGCCGGTGCCGGTGGTCAGGAGCTCGTCTCTGAAGAAAAGGAGTCTGGAGAGGAGTGAGAGTGGCAGGATGAGGCTGACGAAGGTGAGTGTGAGTGTAGTGCTCACGTGTGTGCTGGATAAAGAAACATGTTCACTGACAGTCAGACATGGATGCGTTTGTGAGCATCCTCTTTGGCATTAGAATTGTGGTCAAGGTGAAGGACATCATATTATCATACAGACTGCACAACTTTTTGAAAGTTTATTGAATGTACCAGAATGGGATCTGCTTTTTATCTTCTGATACACACTTTCACAGTGACTAATATCGTTCAGCTTCTCCTGCTGAAATCTGTTTACAAGTCTCTGGGCAGCCCTGTTTCCTGGAAATACTTGCATGTGCAGTCAATTTGTAATATGTTAAATTTAACTCTTAATGTGGCCTAAATTACAGAACAAGTAAGTTTTGCTTGTCCAGTCAAAATATTGGCAACACAGTGGGATGTTTGTTGAACATATGTACTTTGTTGTTTTACAAAACAGTCAGTCTTGCAAAGCACCAATAGCGGTGTAAACAGGGCAATTCTGAATATTATGTCCATGCTTGAATCAGTCTAGGTGACACAGGTGATGAAGTCACCACAATCGACAGCACTTTCATGAAATGATATTCAAAACTCTTTCTAAAAGAGTTGATCTACTCTAGGTTTCCTACTATAGGCCTTCTACTCTGGATTTCTGCTGAAGGATGTCTACTCTTAGGTGTAGTAGTCTAGGATTTCTACCCTAAGCTTTCTGCTCTAGGCTGTCTACTCCAGTTTTTTTCCTCTAACCTGTTTACACTGGGTTTTCTACTCACAGCTTTGGGCTGTCGACCCTTTACAGTTGACTCTAGGTTTTCTTTTCAAAGCTGTCTACCCTAGGCTCATGGTCTAGGCTCTCGACCCTTTACAGTTGAATTTAAGTTTTCTTCTCTAAGCTGTCTACTCTAGGCTTTTGCTTCTGGTTTTTCCCTCCCTCTCCAAATCATCAGCGCTAGGCTTCATTTGCAAATAACGCTGTTACGGGGTTCAAATGCAGGCAAAGCAGATCCCGATTTAATGAGAAAGATTTCTGCTTGGATTGTAAACAGGACAGTGACATTGACCCTGTAAGCCTAAAGAGGTTTCTTTGTGGTTTTACTTCATTAATGCAGCTCTTCTTTATTCTGGTTTTGCAAGCTAGGTCATCAGATTTAACAAAGTTGCCTATGTCATTATTTTAGTTTCTGATGGCTCTCATATATAAAAGACTTTATAAAGACTTAAAGGTGTGACACCCCATATTAAGATCTTTAGTTGTAACTGTGGTTTTGCAATGTTTGGTTATCTTGGATGGTCACTATTTACAATTCTACAACTGGATTCCTGTTGAAAATATTTCCCACCCTGGTCCTTTACAGGAAAAGAAAACAGAGGGGAAACAGAGAGTACTTTTGGCTGTGGCTTCCTGGATGTGTGCAGTGGTTTGCTTTATGTGCTATGATTACAACCGTAACAAATATTTGGGTTAGCATAAAAAGCTAGCTGGCAGGTGGTGAGGTATTTCCTTTCTTTCCTCTTGAAAATTTTTCACCACTTTGTTGGAGCCAACTGGAGCTTTTGTAAGTGCTCAATCATGTGAGAGTTAGTCAGGACACAGTGACAGCAGCACATGAGTGTGTGTGTGTGTGTGTGTGTGTGTGTGTGTGTGTGTGTGTGTGTGTGTGTGTGTGTGTGTGTGTGTGTGTGTGTGTGTGTGTGTGTGCAGGTTGTTGACAGGGTTAGTGTTGCTAAAGTCCAATATTTGCATGAGCCAAGTTACATAATATTGAATAACACATGCTTTATTCTAACAGATCATCAAACTAAGATAAAAAACAGAGTTTTATCCTCACCTCACAGCAGGGGTTTACACTAACAGGAGCCTGCCTCAGCTCTTGCAGCTGTCACCTTGATATTTTCAGAAAAAGAAAATTTTTCTGTGATAGTGAAATCACTTGGCCGATAGAGAGAAAATTTCTTAACACTTAAAAGTCATCCAAAAACTCTCTGAGAATAGAATAAATCCTCTCTGATTTCCCGAGATGTAGGTCTCAATTCTGATGCTTTTCAACAGAGGGTGTTTGGCTCAGAATTAATCATCACAGCATTTTTCAGAAACAGATTTTAACACATCTCCATATTTAGAACATCGAGGGGGTTTTGCAATATCTGTGTAGAAGATTTGTGGTTAAAGAAGTGGTTGATTGTTGAATGCTTACAAGGAGTGTCTGAATGTGTGTGTGTGTGTGTGTGTGTGTGTGTGTGTGTGTGTGTGTGTGTGTGTGTGTGTGTGTGTGTGTGTGTGTGTGTGTGTGTGTGTGTGTTTTCTTTGGCCTCGATTTGAAAGACAGTGTGGATGACTCTGGCATCTCAGAGCTGAGGTCACATCTGTGCAGATACAATGGCTGTGTTGTGATAGCCTCTACTTCTGTGCAGCTACCATAATGGTAACAGGCAGGCGGGCTGAAGTGATCTTAAAGTGCTATTCAAGAGAACAGAGAGAACCTTGAAGCTGTTTACATCACTTTGGTAACACACAGATTTAAGTATTTGAGGCTTTTTTCATCCAGATGTTTGAATTATTTCACTTTGCAGGATTTTTTTTCATGTGCATGTTGTCTTCTGTTTGCACTTGATTCTGAGTGTGTGTGCATAAGAGTGTGCACATGCTTGGTTGCACCACAGTCTCAGTGGCTCCATCTCACATGCTGAGCAGCGTGGGAATGTAGAGCCCTCTGGACTACGTCATCCAGCTGTAACTGACCCCACTACAGGGGTGTGGGAACCAGTTTGATCCCAGAGATTATTCTAAAGGAGGAGAAATCATCTGTATATTTGTGGTCGCTTTTTATATGCTTGTTTTTTACTGCTTGTTTTTACCATTTCATTCTTGTCTCTGGTGGATCTGCAGACAATCATGAGTCTGAGAAAATGCAAATATTAGTGAGAACCTGCCCAGAATGTGACCTGACTGTCTTGGCAAACTCTGCGCACATACAGAACATACCAAGTCAGATTCGTGCCAAGTTCTTACTGGAAATATTTGGACACAGAAAATAATCTTCCACATGTTCTGCTCTCACTGTGATTATATAATTTGATGTTGTTATGTCAGGAGCTTGGGAAATGACTGTTCAGCTACATATTTTTGAAAACTGGCTTTTTTCATTGACCCTTTTTTATTTCCAAAACAATACTTTTTTCTAGAACATTTAACACGGTTTAAACCATTTCTTAACCCACTGTACTATGGGGCTGCAGCAGCAGCTGCAGTCAAAATCCGAGACTTGGAAGAGACATTAAGTAATATAAAAGTATGTGACCTTGGAGATCTAGGTACAATGAAGTTTAGGGTCATATCAAATTTATTAATTTTTGTTAAATCTAGATTTTTAAGCGTAATCCTTTTCTTATAAGAAATGCTGTTATGTTGTGATATGAGATTGAAGCCATTATGTCTTAAAAAAAAGGTTGCTATTTTAGTCAACAGATAGCCACATAATGCTGCTTTAGAGTGGGAGAACACATTTCCCTTTTTGCTCAATCTTTACAGTGTCCTTAAACTTCTAACAATGTGGTGCTGATATGCAAAAAACATTCAGTGTGATTTAATAAGAAGCTCCACGTCCCTCATTTTGGTACTAGCAGCTGACTGCTAGAAAAAATCGTACAAACCTCAATTTCTAGTTTTGTGGTGACATATTCACTTACGACAATATATGGATTGGTCTGAGTTGGCCAGTAAACATGCAGTCAGCTGGCCTGCAGTCTGGCTATCATGCATCCACGCCAGCAGACCAGTAATGATGTCAAACCCTACAAAGGAAACTCAGAATGTATGTAATGCTGTCTCATGGCTACATGGGGGGTAGCCAGTCAGATTTCAAGGGGGCCTATGCCACCCCGGGCACCCCATAGGACACCCCTGACTACACTATACATATATATATATATATATATATATATATATATATATATATATATGTACAGCCAAAAGTAAAAACCCAACCTCAGAGAGTCCATAATTCTATTTTGTTTTGTGCCAGTCATTTATCTTAAATTTTCTACATGATGAAAAGAAACAGAGAAGTTGGTGATCAAATGGAATCCTTAAAATTCTCAAGAAAAATAGTTTCAGGTGGAGAGAGACAATAAATCATATGACAGTCTAGATCCATGTGTGTAGATCAAAGTAGGTGAGCATTGCACCTCTTTAAGTCATGAAACTGCCACTTTGCAGTCGACCCCTCTCGACCTCTCTCGATCGTCTTCTGAACTTTCTTTTTGAGTCTCATGATCACACACAGTCCATATTGGCTCTGAAAGTTAATTTTCCTCATATCTTGGAATACATCAAGATAAATTTGTATTTAATCTGCCTACATACACAGCCAGGAGCTCAAGTCTGACAGTCATTAATAGAATCGCTCAACAGATGAATTTTCATGTGAAACTTATTCTCTCAAACTCTCTGCTGCCAAGGAACAGCAGGTTCTTTGAGCTGATCTGCTCTCTGGGGCTGGAAATATCAGTGTCAAGCAGCCTGTGAGTTGTCATCTCCAGCCAAGAAACAATGATTGACTAATGGATTGAGTGCCATGAAATTCAGCGTGAAGAAGGTGTCAGGAGACTGTGCAATAATGACTGGCGTATTTGCTTGTAATCATAAGCAGTGCTGTAGCCGAGTCAACGAACCTCAAGTCCTCAGTGCTCAATTCTGAGTCAGAGGGTCACCAGAAAACATCTGAATGGAGTCCAAGTCAAGTGCATATTTCCTGATTCAGAGTCTGAGTGGATTTCTCATTGATATTACTGTTTTTGACATATAGGGTGGCTTTTTGACTCCAAATATCATGAAATTGTAGCCATACTAAATACACACCACACTTCTATTAAAGCTTCTGTGAGGGACTTTTTCTCTCAGTTGACTTTGGCGCCCCCTGTGGTCAAACTGTTACCCTTTTATCGCTGATGATTTCAACATGTTTCTGTGAAAGAGGAATTAATCAACACAAATGTGTCTCCTGCTGTTATCTTTCTGAAATGTATCTCTAACTGTGGATGTTTGCATGTTTGACATACTAAGTATAAAATCCACTCACTTTGTTAGACTGACACCCCTCAGGGGATAAACTCCATGTGTTTTGGCAACATCCAGAGAACATCAAAGTGTTTTCAGATCACTCAAAAACAAGAGTAATCTATGCTGATTTATTTATTTCATTTTATTTTTGTTAGCTTACTTTGCTGATAGAAGGCTACCATATTTGTAATGGTCTGTTGCCCAGTCAGAGGCTGTATCTACAATCAGCTGAACTCTAAAGGCCCAATCAGAAACTAGACCTTCCTGTCACAGCAGAGTACTGCAGTATTTGAAGTACTGCACCTTTAATTTTCTTCTGAAGTCAGGATCAAATCAAAATTTTCATCTATTCAAACTACAGCTCATGACTAAATACTTACTAAACTCATTACACTCCCATCAAACACAGATGTGCTTTTTCTTTAGTGCTAAATTAACTTCACTCACTATCAGTCCAAACCAATCAGCCAGCAGATCCCCACAGCTGACAATGATTTGCCTCTTTAAGGTTGACAGTAAATCCATCATTCTTCCAGTGCAGCCAGTGAATACTTGCTCAGTTGATCAGATATCCTTTCTCTCTGCTGGTCTTTGTTTAGAGTCTGGCTTCAAATCAAGACTCAAGCATGGAGTTTTAGTTGAGGTGAAGTTGATGTCTTTGTCCACATTGTTATCTGCACTCACGCTGACATCTGTTTATGGGAATTTTTCTTTTACAAAAAAAGCTAAACTCATGTCTAATGATGGATGATGAGTTCTTGGATTGCCTTTTGTTAAAATATTCTGCTTCCAATGCACTCTACCAGAGTGTGCTCCTGCAAATCACCAAAGCTAACTGAAATCCTGTTGATCATTACCGACTGGGTCACAAACCTGCAGATTCTTCAATAAGGCCTGTACCGTTCAGCACTCAAGTCTCTTTATTTTTATTAACAAAGAAGCAAATTCTAAGGGAACAGAGTAATTTTAAACAGACACCACACACAAGGAGGATTGGTATTACACTTTGTTGCCTAGTGACAGTACACACTGGCAAGACGCACACCGAAATTAGGGTCATGGCAGCTTCCAGTACAAGAAACTGGTGCTGATGGACATAGGCCCTTGTGCTCATATGTTCATTGATGGTACTCTAAACCAAGCCAGTGATGTGATGAGGAGAAATAACACCTAAAGTTTTCTGTACCACCTGCAGACATGCTGTTGTACTCCAAAGCAGCAACAGTCTAAAACAGGTCATATTTGAGTGTGCTGTCTGGAGTTCTCCTGGAGCACTCGCCATTTTTCACCTCTGCAGCGGTCTGCAACCTCCCCTCTCAGACAACTTTCAGGCAGCTGGTCAGTTTAGCTCTTCCATGTCATGCATCCTCGACCACTCAGATCACTGCATGGATAATATGGTTTGGAGCTGTGAGGCTGCAGATTCCCCACAGAGGCTGAATTTGTGATGTCTTTGCAACTGAACTCAAAATCCCTATATAAGCAACTAGAATAAGAAACAAACAGCTAAATTTACCATCATGTGGGACCTGTGACATTGTTGTTGACATGGATAATGACAGACTGCACATTGTTTTTATGTCATTTCTGGACGATGTCTCTTTGCATCTTTCCCAACTCTTTCAGTCTCAGTTCAACATGAGTCTATCTCTGTGAAAAGGTTTGGCCTGTTAGGAGAGGACTTTTGCCAAATGTTGCGAAGCACTTGCTCGTGGCAGACTTGTGTTGGGTCCCTGGAAATGATATAACAAAGAGAACAGTTAAGACCCAGCTTTTTGAAGAGTTCCCTAAGATCTCTGGTTATGACTTGGCCCTGAAACCGAGTGACTAGCTGGGAATAGCTTTCAACTAGAGGCATTACTGAGCTATGAGTATTGCTCGAGAGCCTTAGTCTTATTAAGTTCAGGCCTGAAATGTTGAGCTCCTTTTCTCTTATGTAATGCAGCTTTGTTCCCACTTCTTTGTTGTTCCACAGTGTTCTGCAAGTGCTGTGGCTTCTGGGTCTGCCAAGCTCACTGGTGGTAGCTCACAACACTTGTGATCTTGAAATTTCAGCTCATTTTATCCCTTCACACTGCTGTTTGTCACCACTGAGGATAAAAGGATGTGTTTTTGACTCTAGAAATACACAGAGCCTGTGGGTTTGTATGGTTGTTTGGACAGCAGTGGATGTATTTGTCAAGCATCCCTGTAATTTTTCATGGGCAACAAAGTTTAGATTGGTCATGACCAATACTGAAGCACTGAGCCACAGGCATTCACTACAAACACACACCCAACAGAGGAAGGAACAGTGACCGGCCAGGGTTAAAAATAGACCCCTCCTCTTAGCATCAAGAATGGAAAACAAAAGAGCAATGCAGTGTGACACAAAAGAGTTAAATCCAGACTTAAGGATGTCAGACCTGACTCTTGGGGCTAAAAAAGTGAGCTGGTTTTGAGGCATGCTTGTTGTCGTGAGATGAAAGCTGATCGAGGGGAAAGGGAAGCACATAAACCGTTTCCTCTCAGCATGATATATTCTCTTTTCTTTCCCTCAACGCTTGAAGACTAAATCTCTTTAGGTTTGGGAAACACTGACGGACAGAGAGGTTTTTATTGATCTCCCCGGCACTATAACTGAACACGTGTTTGTTTGTGTCATCTTTGTTGCACCCACTCCTCCCTTTGCTTTCTTTTTTTTTTTTTCACTCTTTGGACAGCTGCACCTTGTCAGTCGTAGTTGCAGAGCTGTCTTACACAATCCTCCATCATGCTGCACAGCCCCCTTTTCCAGCCTCCTCCTCCTCCTCCCCTCATTTCCTCTTGGCATGGGCTCCCTCTCTCTCCACATCTTTCTCATTTACCTCCAAGCATGATCCAAGTCCCTGCACTTCCCTGAGACTCTAAATCCTCCGTCTCAGACAGAGTACACCCAAACACACCTGGCATTCCCACCACATTTCATCCAGTGTTTATGAATTTATTATTAGCTTCATGCTGGGAAAGCTCGACCCCAGAAATGTGCTCACTTCAGCAAAAGCATCATTTTCCCAAATCAACACTTCTACTGATTTCAGCTTTTGTCATCCCTATCTTTCCTCTAACATAACCCTCCCCCACTTTACTCCCAAACTCGACCCCTCATTCCAGTCCCAAGCACCAGCTTCCTGTCTCACATGGTCTTTTGGTATGTTTTCAGTCTCACATGTGGCCTCCCCCACCCTTTATTCCAACTTTTTCACCTTTTTCTGTTCTCTGTATACTAATCTAGCTCTCCTACTCTCCATTTCCCTCTTTCCCTCTTTCTCCTCCATGAGCAGCTAAAAAATTCCAGGAACCAAGAACTAAACCCCCCAAGACCCCCAAAATCTATCAGTGGCAGCAATTTTTTTCTGTCATGAGCCGGAAATTCTTGGATCATGTGCAAAAAGGGCCGCATTAGTGCACACATACAGTATGAGTCAGTCACGTTTTTGCACTCATTGTTATGAATATACTGTACAGCCTCTATACCTGCTCGCTGGCCTGACACATATGGAAGTGAGTAAGAGATCGAGGCTGCAGATGGACATAATGCTCTGTGCACTATGGATTCTGTTTCTGGGGCTAACAAAGGAATAATCATATGTGGGCAGATGTGGAGTTCAATCCAAACAATATGCATGTACTATAGATGTGAGAGCCTAAAAAAACAAAAAAAAACGTTGGTTCACACTGATAACATTAAACTAGACTGTCAGTATTGTACTTACTCTTTGAGGGTGACTTATCAGTTGCTGCAGCAGAGACGTGATGATCATAAAAACTTAAACGGTTCAGTTAAATTAAACATGTGATTGTTTATGCAACTAAACTCTGCCTTGCACGGTGCAATTCTTTCATTGCACCACTAGATGCTGCTGCTAACACACTACTTAACCTTGTGTGGATGCCAAAGCAGGCACATCTGTGTGTTTGTTGATGTTTTTGGAGAGAACAGAAGTACAGAGGCAACTTTTTGATGACTTTTATCAAATAATCAGCAATGAAGGAGCCTCTGTAGTTAACGTGCCTGCTTGGACAAACTGTAAAAGATACGGTTTAAGAAATTTAAAGGTACAGAATGGAGATGTATTTAGCAGAACAGATTTGGTTGAAATAAATTAAAATGATTATTGAGGGAAAAACAACAAAACAAAAATAATCTAGTTTTTTGCTTACTAAGAATTTTCACCTACATAAGAGTAAGTCTCTGTCCTCTAGGGGCCGCACCAAGAGATGTTTAAATCTAGAATCGGATAGAAAGATATTGCAAAATACTCTCAATTCTACACATTGTGCCTTTGAGTAAAGCTCTTATATTTGAAAAGTGCTTATCATTACATTTGCTAAACTTGTTGCAGGGACTTAAATCTCCTGCGAGGAACTTTCTGTCAATGTTGACAATGTGGACAATGTGGTAATCTTTACATTGTCACTAATTTATCTCACCTTTGGAAAACGGTGTAAATTAACCCAGAAAATCTCCTCATGTTGTCTTTTAAAAGTGAAAAGTGTTTCTCTGGGGTGTCTACTGCCTACCCCCTTACCATAGGTACTGGCATTAAAAATTAGGTTATAATTATTGTCAATTATTGTCTACAATGGTCTCATTTGCTTTTATACCTTTATATTATTAACCATATTATTCAAGACTAGTCAAAGAAGCTTGCTAACATTAAGGGCTAGTGAAAGACCGCATAACATGGAAGAAGTGAGGTAAGTCAAACTTGACCTGAAAATCTGTGTGTCTCATACACTTTGACTGGGCTACATTAATTACTTTAAATTAGGCCCCCACTAAATACTCTGGGACAGATCCAACATACTGTATTAAAATGGACTGAAATATAACATTTAGAGAACTTCAGGGGATGCTGATGAAAGGTGATGGGTAGACCAGCTCTTTTAAGTTTGACAATAACTGCTTCATAGTGTCTATACTCTGTGAGAATGCAGAGTTTATTCCCATCCGTGGTCTGTATGTTGACATAAACATGTCTGTTTCATGTTATGATGGTGGCGTGTAGGAGGAGGGGGCCAGAGACATCACATGCACATGGGGCCATGATTTAAATGCTTCAACATGTGTGAGATCCACACAGCTACATGTTTGTCCCATGTATGTTAAGATGTTGATTCTGCAAAGCTGGAGTCAAATCCACCTTCCATACCACAGCTGTGACCTCATGTGAGAAATAAGGACTCTGTAATGTCATCAACTACATTAACATGTTTGTTTTAATCTGCTCCAATCATTATTTTGGATGAGAATACATTACTCACAAGGCTATCATGTGATGAAATGAATACTCCAGTGTAAAGAGAGGTAATAGAGCAAAGCTCAGTGTGGAGTCATCAGCTCAGTTATGCCAGAACTTTTCCTGTAATATTACCGTGTTTCATTCAGCCAATCCAGGTCAAGTACCCCTACGCGCCCCTCAGGAAAGCAACCAATCAGGGGGTGAAAAACCAGTAATAGTACTCCACACATGCTTTTGGCTGCATGGAGCTCCACCCCACAGCCTCAGTACTGAGGGTGGACCGGAGCTAAGAAAACAAGTTACCTCAGTTGCAGGCCGTGTTATTGATGGCTTTCCTGAGAATGAGGGGCAGCTGTTAAACCGGGGATATGTTAAGCGGGAAAAGCAACAAGGTAAGAGATAATGATTAATATTATAGATGAAAAGGAGGGCTTAAGCTGTGTTTGATCTGATTCGGTCATTTAATTAAACTTTTGAGTGTCTGGATGTGAATTTTGGAGCGGTGTGATGCTGAGAGCTTGTGCGCATGTGTTATCTGTGTAGTTACACACTTTGAGCTATAGTACTAGATATATTGTGGGAGTGGCACCCATATGAGAGAACACTTATGATAGAGCAAAGAAGTTAGACTTATCCTCCTGTTTAAATGGCTGTAAATGTTTCAGCAGCCTCAACTGTGAATGTGCAGTTAGGAGCATTATGGAGACTGGAAAGTAACCCTCACTTCATTAAACCGACATGAAGTGTTCTAAATGGGGTCATATGATGCACTAAGCGGCCCCCTCACCATCCGCACTGTATCTGCGTCAGCGCCAGTCAGTCAGCGTTAATGTCGCAGATTCACATCAGGGGGAGGAAGAGCGCGAGCGAGTGTGAGCGAGCGAGCGAGGCTATCTGACAGTCCTCTCCTCAGTTAAAGCTCCGTTGAGAAGTTTAAAGCTAGTCATGAATCTGTCTAAGATGAAAACTAATGTCTTTATCTGACCTACAGAAGCAAACAAGATCTTTAGAGAGACTATGAGTATTTCTGTGCTGTTATTTTACATGCATGTCACCACTGCCACAGGGTAGGTGTCAGGTGTGACAATGAACGGCTCCTTTTGAAATTTCCAGATGAGGGTTTATTGTAGTTGTATATACAAAATGAAAAGTGAAATACTAAATATTTATAATACGTACTGAACAGAATTAGAAACTGCACATGACATTTAAGTCTTTGTGTTTATTTGTACAAATTATTGACTTGTAATATTTATGAACATTATCCTTGATTTTGCTCACTGTGTTGTTTCTTTTTAAAGTTTCCCATTAACATCTTGAAAATGTTGGTATAAAATTTCATAGCCTTAATAGTCACAAGAAAAATCAACATAAAGATAACCCCTCCGGCTTTGTCCACAGAGGGCTCTAACTGAAAAGTTCCCATCGAACTCAACAGTTGTTGTTGTGGTCAAAAAACTTCACACTATTTGTATGATTATGGTTATCATGGAACATTTTAGGAAAAAAGCAATGCTACAAATGACTAGGAGAGAAAAATACTGTCTAATTCAGGATGTAAAAACTTTGCTTTGACAACTAAATAAAGAACTGAATAACCACCTTTATTTCAGCAGGTTTACAGAGAGAATCATTGTTAGTTTGTTAGCCTTTAAACGGAAAGTGTGAAAGAACTTGATAACTACTGCTTTAACTTTTTATAGTTGTTGTTCCAAATTTCCTCTGTACTGGAGTTCCCAAACACCCTGTCTGTTTTACGAAATCCCCAAACCTCCCAAACTGGCAAAGAAACTTCTAAAGTGTCTCACAACAATTGTCAAAGTTAACTATAAGGATGCTGTGAACAAACAAACAAACAAAAAAACAATCTTGTCCTATTTAGGTGTTTGGTGCAACGGGGGGAGCGTTTGTGAATGAGTGTGTGGCGTGTGCGTCACAGCACTGCTTAACGAACGTTCAAGGTTCATAAAACAGTCAATTAATGTTGTCAGATTTCCCATCCTGCTTTGCAGTGTGAGGAAAGCAGTGATGGATTAGCAGCAAGATAACATTGTTCAACCTTTTAGGCCTTTCCTTCTCTGATAATGGTGCCTATGTGAACTACATGTAATGCTGATAAGCTGAAGTCAACCTATAGTTTGATCAGATTGGAAAGGGAGCTGGTGGTTTTAAAGAGGTCAGACTCTCTGGTAGAAGTTGGGCATGAAATTGGAATGAAGTAATGGTCCTCTACATCCTCCTCCTTCAACACAGCTGCCTTACAGAGCTACGTTTAAACCCTGAGGTGCTCCACTGGAGATGTTCAGGGACCAAGAGTACAATACTGCACTGTAGTATGCTGTTCTCAGTAGTATACTGTTGGTAGTGTATATTTGAGTTTGATTGTCCAGAAATGGTTCATGTGCTTATTTGGGACATCCCCAGTCCACTGCCAGACTGAAACAGAGGCCAGTTTACATTCTTAGATCCACTTACTTTGAGTTCAGATGTCCAGCAGTGTCTTTTATTCCCACTCAGCTGCAGCATTAAAACAAGATGGATGGAGATGATTCACTGTTTCAGCAGAAGAAGCCACAGGTTTCCTTGAATCTGAACTTGTCTGAGTCATGTGTCTGAGGCGGCAGCCTGATCAGATCTGCTTCTCACTAATGCGCCAGACCATTACCGGATGATGTCATCAAGTTACCGAGGCCCCCTCACAGTACATGGGAATTATTTAGAGGCAAAACAGATGTTGTATTTTGTGGGTAAATATCAACAACTGCAGCAGGAGGTTTTGGTGGTGCTGCTTGAGCAATAAGACCCTTCTGTTAGTCTGTTTGTGTTTGTGTGTGTGTGTGTGTTTTGTAGCAGGAGTCTTGTGAACGGAAGTGTGTCATGGCGGCTCATTGACCTCACCTCGGGAACAGGCAGTCTCTGTTCCCTCCACTGCTTGTCCCACCCTTTGGACACACGCGTGCACAGTCACGCACAAATGAATTGGAACACACGTATTAACACAAACACTGACCTGGATGCCAACAAATGATGCAGGAACTCAGACAGCGGGCCATGCGAGGCTCTTTGAATGGAGGGTGTGATTTAAGTATACAGGAAGTCACAAAAACACCGCTGAATGACTTTGTGTTTTGAAATGTATAAAGTCTCCTGTGGAAATACAGTAGGCTCCAATGCACCAGGATTTTGTAACCTATTCATTTAGGACTGGCATCAAGTCTGGTGAAAAAATAAGTTCCTTTCGCAAAAGCTGACGTTTGACCCGTGGGCTTCGTTTCATAACAGTGCAACGTGTTTATGGGTGTTACTGCAAGACAAGGACAACTTTGGAAAACCAAAAAATGTCAAAGCTACACTTGCTCTCAGTGAAGAGTAAGGCTGCACGATATTGGAAAAAACTAACATTGCGATTTTTTTCAACCCTGCGATATATATTGCGATATTAAAAATACAGGAATTTTCACCAGATGACCTGAATAGCATTTAATGTTATGCTGCACCACTGAAGTCTTGAGGACAGTTAACCTGCTCTGATCTTACCTCTTTTTGTGAATGTTAGTAGAATGGCTTCTGTCTGTCTCAGAGATGTTTTTCGCTTTTATAGTTCTGGGGCGTTATTGTGGCGACAGATGAACACAGAACACGTGTTTCGGACGACATCATCCTTCTTTTAGCCTAAATAATTCCGGATAACTGACTTTCCTTTTCTTCATCTTCGAAAATCTTCATTTTCGGTGGTTTTCTCTTGTTCGTTGCTCATTTTGCAATCGTTGTTGTTGTTGTTAGCGGTGTTGTGCCGAGAAACGCATGTCCTCCGAGAATTGCATGCACCTCGCAAAACGCGCACTGCTTATAGTAGAGTGGTCCACGGAAATGTACAATTTAAAACCCATACAGTTCTTATTTGTTGGGCTTAACAGTCATGAGTAAAGTTCTGAAAGTAATTCTCAGCGGACACGGGTTTCTCGGCTCAACACCAGCAGCCAGCGGAACATGCAGAACATGTGCAGGGGTGGGTTTCCTCCGCTCTGATTTTGATTGACAGCTGACAGTGTAGTCTGATTGGCAAATGAGAACTGAGTCAGCTGATCAGCTGATCAGCTGATCAGTTTGCTGTAATTGTAGGAAAAAACGCCTGTCATCTCAGAATATAGTGCAAAAAGAAATGGGCTTCCCGATGGCAAAGTAGAGCACACAATTTCACCAACACTGGAGCGATTACTTGAAAATGTTATTGATTTTGGAATTATCTATATAAGATTAAAACCAAGGGTAATCTGTGATGATTATGGATTAATTTTTGTGACATACTGATTTCTGTTGTTACCTTAACATGCTAATGGAAGGCTGCCATCTTTGTTATGGTGTGTTGACTAATTAGAGGCCACAACTCTCAGGGGTGGGAGAAAAAAATCGATACAGCATAGTATCTGGTGATACAACGTATCCTCTCATTGACCAAGTATCAATTTTTTAAAATTATTTATTAACATGTAGTCAAATCTATGATAATAGGTAAATAAAATCAACTGTTTGTCCAGTGAGGTTGGCAGAGGTGACATCACAGAGCAGGAAAAAGTTAGAGCAACAAATATGGCAGCACCTGGGGAAAGACATTGGGAAGGCAAGCAGGGCACAAATGAGATGGACCTGACACATGAGGTTTGCAGTATATTGTATCGCAATACTCACTGTATTACAAACAGTTAAAAATCGCAATAATATCGTATTGTGTCCCAAGTATTGTGATAATATTGTATTGTGGGGCCACTAGTGATTCCTACTCCTAATATCTATAACCAGCTGACATTTAGAGGCCCAATCAGAAGCCAGGCTCCTGTTGTTGACACAGAAGACCCATGAAGGCTGACATTTTTGCACACAAAGAATCTACGGGAGCTGATACAGTAATTGAGAAAGAATTGGATTGAAAAGCAAAATCAATAATGGCATCTGTATCAATACTGTCAACCAATTTACTCTTTTTTACCCAAATATTTACCCTCCATTTTACCCATAAGTAATTACAAATGGTTTGACAAAAATCCAGACGTCCCTTATTGCGGCCGAAAACAGTGAAGGTTGATAATAATAATAACATGTTGATTTCAGCTCAGCAGTTTGATTTCTCATTTGTCAAGTTGGTCAAGTCACAGGACACATTTATGGCTCTGCGATCATCTAATTGATACAGTCACCATATTAACAGGCAGAAAGACTGTGTCATCTGACCTCAGCGTAAAACTGTAAACTTAAGATTTGAAGTTGAGTTTCTACACTTAACTCTCATGCTCTGACAAGTTAGGCAAAAATGATGTTATTTCTATCCCTGCTACTTCCATTTTGATACTGTTCAGAGGGCTGAGCATGCCAGTAATGAAATGTGAAAAGGGGTTCGATTTCATGCAGTTTGGCCTTGTGGTTGTGCCGGTGCCACGGGCGATCAAATTCAAGCAGTATGAATCGAATTATATTCAAAGTAGGTCAGGAAGATCAAATGATCAGGCTCTTGGAGCTGATGCAAAGCTGAGCGTCTGTGCTGAAACTAATGATGTAAAGATCTAAAGACAAAGTCCCATTATGAGCTCCTCTAATGACAAAATCAGACAGAGCAGTGTGCCCGTCTTATGGTTCTTATGATGCCCTCACTGACCATCTGCAGCTGAGTCTGAGGTCACAGAGCTCAGTCCTGTAGTCAGTAATGCACCACTCCCACACAATGTACAACATTGTTTAAATATCAGGACTATTTTTAGACTGAAGGGAAGGAGCGAGAGTTTCCACAGATGGATGTGTGCACGAATGGCTCTCTCTGTTTCTGTCTATTTGTTTTGACTTTTTAATGCATAAATCTCTCCCTGTGTGTGTGCATTTCTTATATGTGTCCAACCCCTCCCTCATTCAATCCTGCTACTGTTCTGATGGCTGGCAGAGGTGCAGCTAGGAAGGGGAGGGACTCCTGGTTTAAAAAGCGTCCCTTTGACTGCAGAACCCCCGGCCTTCTTTTCCTGCCAGAAGTCAGAAACCATAAGAAAAAGGAGTTTCTTGTGTGTAGCAGATGCTGCAGAGGGAGGTGGGGTCTGTGCTGTGACACTAGGGGGGACACACAGGGAGTGTAAGAGGAAATGGGAAGGCTGCGTGTTTCCACTGACTGTCTGCAGGGATACCTGTCTGCACGTGAGTGTTTGTGTGTGCAGGTTTGGACTTCCTTTGGTTTCAGGTAGCTGTTGACTACTTTTCTGAGGAAATTCAGGCAGGCCAAAGCTGGTCAAGGCTTTCTAGTGGGTGGATTTCTCAATCACTGTTGAACCTGTTGCGGCAGGAATGTGCCTCTTGAACTTCTTAAGTGAGTGAATGCATGTGCTAATCAGAAAAATGGGTTTCTAATTTGTTAATTTTTTTCTGACTTTGACTCCTTTGTAGAAGAAATGATTGAATCTGCACCAGTTTCTTTATTAGATCAGAAAACAGAAAAACACATGCTTTTGCAGAGGAAGATGCATTTAATCCATTACTGCGGTGACAGTAATGACTGTCTTGGGGAACAGGCAGAGCATCACAGGTTGTGTTGAGCGTTCATTCACTCAAACTCAACCAGCTGTTTTCTGTTTTCCTGTGTTGTAATCCCTCTCAGGGTTATAAAACCTCCCTTGCTGTGGTTTCCAGCATTGGACTCCCAAGTTGAGCAGAATGGAGAGCCTCAGTAGGTTTTTGATTAGGCACTGCAATGTTTTCTTTGATGGAGGTGATCATACAGAAGTATTAGTGGGACTAAAATATCTCTATATTTGAAAACTCAGGTCCTGTACTTTGTAAATGTTTCTGTTTTGGACTGCTTTTCATTTCTTACCGTAATTACATACATTATCTTTAAGCGCTAATCTGTGCTTAAGCCAAAACAAATGCAGTAAATGTGAAATTATGCTTATTTTATGACCACGAGTTACAGAATAGCTTCATGGTTTCCAGTCCAGATGCTGAAATGACAGGAACAGTGCTTGAGTCTGTTCTGTAGTTGAGTCATGAAATCTTGAGTCCAGGTTGAGTCTTGAGTCTTCACTGTTCTTGTGCAAGTAGAGTCAAGTCCCTCCGATCCCACAGCTGGATATGCATCCAACTGGTACCTCATCAGGTAAGTTCTGCTATAGGTTGCAGCTTCCTGTTTGGTGCTGGTGAGAGTGCTCCTATTGGTCACATCATTAGACAACAGTTTGCATAAGAAAAGACAGGGACCTTAAGTGTTTGATTTGCTATTAATGAGAAAAAGACAGCTTCAGTACAGTCTGGATAAACAGGAGTGAAACAAACAAGGGAACTTGTAATACCGTCGATATTATCACTTTGACTTATGGTTTAAGTTACACTGTAATGGTTTTAGAGATGCTCTCACCAGCTCTGTTGACGTTGCCTGGCTTGCGAGATGGGCTCTTTTCCCTATCAGAGATGGTTTGGGCTCAGTAGCTCCTCAGGCTCTGCACCCACCCACTGTCATCCTCTCGAGACTCTCAAAACCAGCCTGAGGTAGAAACTGACATTTTAGCCACTTTGTCAACAGATGTAGAATGATAACAAACTTAAAGCCACATCGTTAACCAGGGGTGGAAATCACTAGTGGCCCCACAATACGATTTTATCTCGATACTCGGGCCACGATACTATATTATTGTTTTTTTTAACATTTTGCAGTGCAGTTGGTTGCACTCCAATATATTGAGATTTATACAAATTTTTCAACTGTTTAGCTAATTTAGCATTTGTCTTTCTTTATGTTTGGTTTTATTTACACAGTACTCTATTTTCATGTGGCACATCTTGCTAACCTTATATATATTTGTTGTACTACCTTTCACCTACTCTATGATGTCACCTCTGCCAACCTCACTGGGCAAACAGTTGATCTTGTATTTTCATTATTGTAGATTTGACTTCATATTAGCAATTAATTTGAAAAATGGATACTTGGTAAATGAGACGATGTTGATATATCAAAATATTGCAATACTATGTTGTACTATGTCTTCCACCCCTATTGTTAACAGGTAGAGGTGAAATGTGCCAGGCTCCTTAACACGGATGAATTTCATGTGACGTATAATCTAAATGTTCCAAGTTCCACTCTTTTTCTAGTGTTGCAACCAATCAAAATGATTTAATACATCCTCCAATCGTTTGGCCAGAAAAATATTGTGCATTTTATCAGAAAAGCGGCTCTGATATTGTTCATGCGTCTAAATTGGATGCAAAATTCAAGATGTTCCAGAAAATGGTGGGAGAAATCTATCTATCTATCTATCTATCTATCTATCTATCTATCTATCTATCTATCTATCAGGGGGGTGATATGCAATAGTGGTGGGCAAAACCGGTCATTTCAGTGAACCGGATCATTCCGGATCGTTCAGTAAAAAGACCCGTTCATTTCGTTCTTTTCGGTCAATCGGTCATTAGTCAGTCCACCCCCCCCTGCGGTCCGACGCTGTGACCACTGCACTCTCCACTTCCCACCCCTGGTCCAACGCTGCGATCGCGGTGCACTACTTGTAATATAAAATTATAGTAGGAGTAACAAAATATATAAGGTTTTTAATGGTTTTTATTATTTTGAGGTGCATTAAAAACAATAATAAAAAGAACAAAATGTCAACAGACAGTGCAAATGCGTATTAATAGTTGTCTCTCTGCCTCTGGCTGCAGCAGCAGCTGTGTGCCTTTGTGTGTGTGTCTCTGTCCCGCTCGCTCCGGCTCGGCCATCGGGCCTCGTGCGGCGGCCAGTCAACTCGGTCTTTCAGTCAACTCGTTCACCGTCTGGATCTTTCATTCACTCGGTCTTTCGTTCAACTCGTTCATCGGTCTGGGTCTTTCGTTCAACTCGGTCTTTCGTTCAACTCGTTCATCGGTCTGGGTCCTTCGTTCACTCGGTCTTTCGTTCACTCAGTCTTTCGTTCACTCGGTCTTTCGTTCAACTCGTTCATCCGTCTGGATCTTTCGTTCACTCGGTCTTTCGTTCAGCTCGTTCATCCATCTGGGTCTTTCGTTCAACTCGGTCTTTCGTTCATTTGACCCGTTCTTTCAGTCAACTAGGTCTTTCTTTCATTTGACCCGTTCTTTCAGTCAACTCGGTCATTACAGTCTTTCAGTCAGCTCAGTAGTACTGCTGCTGCTTCTCTAAGCCCCACCCACACACAGAACGAGGCGCGACGATAGGATAAGACAGGCAAGCAGTCCCTCTTCAGCCAATCAAAAGAACTGAACGGATTGAACGGGTCATTTAGGGGGGGAGAACTAGTTCATTTCGTTCATCAAAAAGAACTAGTTCTTTTGATCAGTTCGTTCAAGACCGACACACCACTAATATGCAACGAAAACACAAACTTGGGACTGGGACGCTGAGGTTCACAGTCTGCACCTTAACTCTGGAGCCACAGTGGTGGTTTCATCCACTTCAATTAAAAGTTACTGTCCAGTCCCCTCATATGAACCACTGTGTTGCAGCTTGGTCTATCCATATGAGACCTTATATAGAACTGTTGCAGCAGTGCACCCCAGTCTGACCATGATTGCCTGTGGGTGGATTATGTAGTGGTCTTGATTGTGTCTGAAACTCCAAGAATGCTGCCAACCTCTCATCTGTGTGTTTATCTCTCTGCCCACATCACCACTGTGGTTAGCTGACAGGTTGCTTTTTTAAAACTCGCCCTGTGTGCATACTCATGCAAGCTCAAACTCACACACACACACAGACACACACACACACAGACACACACACACACACACACACACACACACACACACACACTGACACACAAAGTTTAAGATGATTGCACAAGTTCAGGGATGAAATTGAGGGCACAATCCAGTCTGAATCCACAAATATACACTGAGGAAGAAGGGTTCTGTTTTATGATCATGTGCGTCCGAGTCTATGTCTAACATGCTTGGTCAGGAGGCATAAATGTCAAGGCAGAGCTAATGAGCAAGGAATACATGAGGTAATTGAATTGGTCATGAGGGGAAGGAGCTGGTTATGTTTAGGGTTAAGGAAAAGGTGGACTTAGGGCTAAATTAAGGATCCATGCAACAGGATTAAGATAACAGGGAAACTTTAGTGAAGCAGAGTTTGGTTTTTCACTGTGTGAAAAGCTCCAACAAGAAGAGGCCAAACCCTGCTGAGCCAAATGAAAATGATTTAAAGGAAAGACACGATTTCAAAAGAAAAGGCTGCACAGCTCTAGAGACGGACGTCAATCCTGTGACCGCAGCACATTACATAACCGCCATCAGCCTTGAAACCACCCACCCAGTGCACCTCCACCATCCATGCTGCTGTGGTTGTTGTACACTTGTAGTGGAGCGGGCCAGCAGCCGCTGAACACTGCTGGCAGAGGGTGATGCCAGGCAGGCAGCTGTCCAAACACTGTCCAGTCCCAGAGCAGCAGAATAATGGAAAAAGTGTGCAAACAGCACCCTTTCTTTGTTACCAAGGAGGAACAGCACACACAGAGGAAACAAAAACCTCTTTATGCGAATTTATCAGTTAAATAAGAGGAACAGAGATTTTCAATAGCATTTGCCACAATTGCAGTCAACTTTCTTACAAGTCGATGCTTGGATTGTGTCTGTATTTACACTTGAAAAAGTTGGGGAGGCAAAATTTGGTTCCATTCAATACTGATATAGTCAGTCAAAATTTCATATAATGGTGTAAGTCAGGAGGAGGTGTCGAGTAAGACTGTTTCAAAATTAGTCCAAAACTTCTCACAGTGACTGAAAAGGTGATACTTAAAGTTTCTCCTACACTCAGCAGCAAACCTGGTAGGCTGGGGGACTGAGAGCTGAGCTGCCACTAGTGACTAGAAATTTTTCCAGAATCCCCCCTCTCAAAAAAAACTGGACCAAGTGTTTAAAAACATTAAATTCACTAGACTAAGCAATGCAGTGTCAGATATCAGAGTTCTTAGACCGGAGATGTGTCCTGACCTGAGTTTGAAGCTTTCATGATATGCAAGATTCAGACTGAGGCTGATGTTCCTTTCTGCTGGATCCCAAGCTGTTGGATGTTTCTTGCATGTCTTGAGTTGTTTCAGGGGAGCTCTTTCTCAGGTGTTTACACTGAAGTTTAAATTCTGAGAGGAGAACTAGTCTTAATTTCAGAAAACACTCAAAAATAATACAATTTAAAAGTGGGCACAGTTTATTTTACTGTAGTATTTGTCTGCTGGGTGTGGCAGTGGTTAGCAGATGGTTTATGTCCACATGCCTTAACTAATTATGTATTGATCTGTTCAGTAGTTATTTCCTATTTGACCAGACACAGCCTACGCCCATTCTCATCTCCATTTTAGAGGGCAAAATACATCCAAACAGTAGATAAATACAGCAACAAAACAGTTGCCAAGTCGGTGCCAGCTACCTGATCAGCATTTTAGCTCTACAGAGAAAAAAACAATGCTGATAAATTATAAACAGATTAATAATCCAGGTGCCACCGAGCAAGAGGATCCTCAACGTGCACATCCCCATGTTTGAATAAATCATCATAATTGCAGAAAAACTGCACAATAATCCTGTGCCAGTGGTTTTTTCTATCCCTGGTTTTCAGACAGAATCCTTCACTTCATGCCTTTCAGCATGACTTTGCAGAAACTGTTTGCCCCCCCTCCCATTTTTCATGAAAATATGCTTAGCAATCCTCATACTTAGCCCCTGGTTCAGAAGTGGTCTCATGTTCAAAGAGCCACGTCAGTCCCAGTCGTCCCATGTTTGGAGAGCTAACGCACATGCGAACACAAACTGTGACACAAAAAGACAAAGACAGAAAAGTCAATTTCTCGTCACTCTCATGTAAAGAGTGAGACCAACACGCTCTTTAATTCATTTCCAGACCTTCACACACATTCAGACACACTGAGGATTATAGCGCGGTTTGGGCGGGAACCACAAGGATTATTACTGGAAAGTTACACAACCAGAACAGAAGTTCAAGAGGCAAATGGAGAAGAGAAGAAGTGTTGGATGTGGAGTTGTGCACTCATTCACGCAACTATGCACTCTGTTCTGCTCAGGTTAAGGCTGACAACTCTAATCTCCTGTCTTTGTTGCGGCCCGCTAAGCCATGCCTTTGTTTTCCTCTCTTGATTTTTGGGAGTAATTTTGGAAAGTCCAGTTCAGCGGAAAAGTCTGTGTGTCTTGTTTTCATCCTGTCCGGCCGAAGTGTGAAGAACAAAACACAACATTTAACATCTGCCAAGTTAAACTCTTGGAAGGAGGTCAGGCAGAGATCATTGTTTCTGAAAGTAGGCTGTAGTGTAACTTGTGGTTCTGGATCAAGTTTCAGAGTATGAGTGTAATTTTCCCTCATGTTTGTGTGTCTGTGCAGGGGGGGAAGGGTGAGCCCCACGTCTTCAAGGAAAAGACCTTCAAAAAGAAGAGGCAGTGCAGTGTGTGTCGGCAGAACATCGACAACATCGGCTCCTTCTGCAGAGGTAAACTGTATGTGTGTGTGTGATCATGTTGTCATGTTTCATCAGCTCATCAGACTGGGATGCAGAGTGTGGGGTTATTTAACACATGCCACATGTGCTCAAGTACACACAGGTGCAAAATCTAGAGACAGAAATTAAACATAGAGAATGATGACATACTATAGGCGGGGCACGCTCAAACAGCTCTCACTTTCACTTTATCTTAAACAGCTTGAATCAATGAGATCAATGAGAGGAGGCAGGTGTTTAAATTCATGTGGGTATCTGAAAAGCCAAGGGACAAAATGAGCCCAACGAGATCATCTATTTTGGTTAAATTTTGCCACACTGCCAATGTCTTTGACATGGATGGTAGAGGAGGACTCACACAGTTGAAACACTCAAAATAAAAATAAATATTCAGCAAACCATTGGACCGTTATAAACGTGAACTCTCTTCAATTTTCCTGCCTCCAGCTGGTCTCCAGTGGGCTGGGCAAATCCAAAATGGTGACAGGAGGGGTGTTCTGAGACAGGCTGTTACCTGTAAAACAGCTCTGGAAACAACCCCATTAGCAATTGATAATTTCCTCCTGATGAAATTAACCAGACTGTAAATTGATGCGGAGAAAAATTGAGTTGATCAATCAGAATTTTGGTCGACTCAGCATGTACCGACCAATCAGTCGACTAGGACTTTACAGACCTAGTAATCATCATAATAAAACACAAGCCCAAGTCTAAGCATTGTAAAGGGTGTTCTATAAAAGCATGATGCAGTTTAGAAATACTTGAATAAAAGTGAAATCTGTTATTTAATTTAGTGAGTATTACCAACAAAATCTATTCAAAGCTCTTGAAAGTGAAGAGAAGAAATTATGCAGGGTACTTTTCAGTGGAAGAATAACTTTTTAAAAAATGTATTTTACCAAGTGAGCCTAAAAAGTGAGGTTAAACAGAGCTGTAGTACCTTACAGGACTAATTACATGTATTTATAATAAAAGTGGCCCTTACTAAACTTTATTTCATTTATTTGTGCTGTATAAATATTGATCCAAGGCATTCTCCCTCTTTTCTCTCTCTCCACTTTTCATCTTTCTTAGTATGCAAGACAGCGACCCACAGGAAGTGTGAAGCTAAGGTAAGGATACAGCTTAATATTTCCGCTCCTTTTGGGAGTTTGAGGTTGTTATGAAGACGACTAAAGATAACACTGATGCCTCTTAAAATGCACAAAAGCAAACTGGATCATCAGCAACATGACAGACTTTTTCTTAAGGTTAATCCATGGGTGTGAATCTGTGCAGTTGTTAAAAGTAAGTGGAAGTCAAGACAGAGAATGAATCAGTCTAAATATGCAGGCATCACCAGTTGCCACCATGACCTGAGTGTATTAAGGTTAAGCCTGGGTGCTGCACCTCTAATCTTGTAAGTCCTCCAGGATGAAGCCTTTCTATTTCCAAACAAAAGCATGCAGTGAGTTATTTTGCTGATTTTTAATGACAGTACGGTGTAAAGAGATACCCAACAGTGGCTGCACAAGGGCAGAAGTCTGAGGATCTCGAGTATGAAGGCCTCTCAGTTACATTCCTCAACCAGAGCTGCAAGCCCGGCTCGAACCCACCGCTGCCTCTGTGAAAGGCTCATTGATGGAGAGATGGTATAATGAATAGACAGAGGGATGCAGAGGGGGAGAATGCCAGCCTTGGGCAAAGTGACGAAGAGGAGGTCGAGGCTGAGGCCAGGGGAGGCTTGGCAAGCAGAAGGCGAAAGAGAGACAGCCAAGGGCGAAGGCATGTGGCGAAGACAAGCCTCATTCCTGCAGCATGGCTCCATCTTCTTTCTCTTATCAAGGACAGAGCCAGAGGATGAGTTCAGGGACGAAAGAAAGGAGGTCTGTCAAACTACACATGGAATAAAACAGGCTTTAAGGTCATGGGACAATCAATCAAATCAATCAAATTTTATTTATATAGCACTTTACAATATCCCAAATGGTACCCAAAGTGCTTTACATAAAAGCAATAAAATAACACAAGAAAAAATACCATTATAAAATAATACAATAGAATAGAATAATACAAGAACGATGAAATAATAAAAATGAATATGAAAATAAAATAATACAATAAAATAGTATGTAGAAGTGCTAAAAAACCTATAAGTACGGGACTACCTAGTCAGAGTTAAAAGCAAGTCTAAAAAGGTGCGTCTTTAACTTTGATTTAAATAAACTGAGGTCAGTGGTGGTGCGTACATCTAGCGGCAGTCTGTTCCACAGCCTAGGAGCTGCAACAGCAAAAGAACGATCACCCCACTGTTTGAGTTTTGACCTCGGGACCTCCAACAGGCGCTGACCGGAGGAACGGAGGGCCCTGCCATGATCGCGAACAGTTAAAATCTCTGACAGGTAGGAGGGGGCCAGGCCATTTATGGCATAAAAAGTAAATAATAAAAGTTTAAAGTCAATTCTAAAACAAACTGGAAGCCAGTGTAGCGAAGACAGCACAGGGGTGATGTGTTCACGCCTAGACGTGCCCGTTAAAAATCGTGCAGCAGCGTTCTGTACAAGCTGGAGACGGGAGATTAAAGACTGGCTGAGGCCAACATAAAGGGCATTACAATAGTCCAGCCTGGAACTGATGAAGGCATGGATTGCCTTCTCGAGGTCCTGCCGACTTAAAAAGGACTTCACTTTGGCCAGGAGACGCAGTTGAAAAAAGCTGGTACTGACGACAGATCTAATCTGTTTATCGAAATTAAGTCCACTGTCAAATGTTACCCCAAGATTCTTTACATGTGGCTTGAAAAAAGGCGCCAGATTTCCAGAGTCTGTAATCGAAACGTTTGATATCGATGGCGTGCCAAATAAAATACACTCAGTTTTGCTGTCATTTAGGTGCAAAAAGTTTAGAGCCAACCACTGTTTTACTTCAGTAATACAGTCCAGTAAGTGAGAAAGTGCACTGTTCTCGTTGGGTCGCATGGGCAAATATAACTGTAAGTCATCAGCATACGAATGAAAAGACAGATTGTATTTTCTTATAATTGATCCCAGGGGTAGTAAATACAAAGAGAACAGAATAGGGCCAAGAATAGAGCCCTGTGGCACCCCACAAGAGAGAGGCGCCTGTGAGGAGCAGAGGTCACCAATCATCACGGAAAAACTCCTATCTGCCAGGTACGACTTAAACCATTTGAGAGCGGTGCCACGGATGCCTACATACTGCTCAAGGCGAGATACAAGGATTGCATGATCGACTGTATCAAAAGCCGCTGTGAGGTCCAGCAGGACCAGCACAGCGGGGTTTCCAGCATCCAAGTTTCTCTGCATGTCTGATATCACTGAGCATGTATTTTTTCAGCTGATGTGACAAGAGCAAGAAACAATCTTTATCATTAAGTCAAGTCTCTTAGAAGTCCACTTTTCTACCTTTCCACAGAGCCTGACTACGTCTCTCTCTCTTGTTTCTCGTCTATTAGCTAAGCTACTCTAAGCGGTCTCCTGGCTTTAGCTTTTAGGGGTGGGAATCACTAGTGGCCCGCAACGATATTTTCATGATACTTGGGCCACAATATAATATTAATGCGATTTTTAACATTTTGCAATACAGTGAATATTGTGATACAGTATATGCCTTGCTTTGTCAAATTTTCTCCCACCCCAATTAGCTTTATTCAGGATTGAGACATTAGGCCGTTTTCTGATCTTCACTTTTAACTCTTTTGTGTTATTTGTCATTGGGGTCCCCTCGGTAAGGCTGTTGGTAAGTGGCAGTAATTAATTCGAGGACAGAGCAGGATATTTTTGACAGCCTTACTGTAAGCGCTTGATGTGTTGTTGTTGACCGGTTGTTGATTGGAGATATCCATCAGTGCTGCCCAGGAAGGGAGAGGTTGGATAGACCAGGGTGTGGGGGTCTGGCTGCTGTATTCATCTGAGCTCTTATCTAACCTTGTGTGTGAGGGGAGATCTAAGGCTGACGGCATTGATCTGCAGTACAGGGAAACTTAAAATGCATGCTAGAGTTACAACAAAACCATTTATCAATCCAAACCTCAGATCTGAGTTTGAGAACTTCCTACAGCAGCAGCTGCTCTGGGGTTTTCCTTACTTGCTCTACATTCACATTTGGAAGTTATTACCTATAACCTTGTGAATGATGCAGCTGCATTTAACCCCCTCTGTTTTCCCATGATGGTGTGTGTTTATGTGCACTCTCACACATCTGGAGGTGTGCCCTCTGTCACCTATTCCCCCAGAGTTTTGTTGACATCTCCACCCGGCTGGTGTTGCCGTAAACTGTGTGACAAATCTTCTCATTACACTGCCCAGAATTAGTCAGTGTGTCCGCTCCAGGTCTCTGGGAAAACCCTCTCATTTTCTAAAACCTCCCTCCCAGATTGACTGATTGGTTCTTAGAGCATGGATAGTTTGTGGTTTGTTTTCATTTCGTTGTCCCCTGTCACTCTGTTCCCGATTCTCTCTGCCCACAGGGTCAACAGCCTCAAGCTGACCCATCTCCACCCTATTTAAAACACACAGACTGTCTTATTTTCAGCCACACAAAACACATAAACAGGGCAATAAACAGATTTATTCCAGCATGTTCTCCTCTCAGAACACAGTTCCTCTTTATCTCTGATCCCAAGTGGAAAATTGAGTCCACAGGGAATCTGGGGTTGGGAGGGGAGGATGACAGGGGCCACTGGGCAGAGAGACACTGAGAAGGAGGGGAGTGAGTGGAACAGTGGGAGGAGGAAGGATTAACATGAGTGAAATGCAGGCTGTGATGACTTGACTGGCATTTCGGTCTAATTAGACAGAGGAGTAATTTCCGCTGGTCAGGGAAACACTCGATGACTATCTGCTCAGCTCTCAGACAGAGTGACATAGGAGGATCTCTGTTAATATGAAATCACACAGACTGACTGACTATGAATGATGAAACGAACTGTAGAGGGAGAAGAATGAAACACAGACTGTATAAATTAATGAATGTAGTCTCTGTAATGTTACTCACTGGTTTCTGAAGAGTCATAAAGCAAATTTAGAAACAGGACTACAAGAGGAGTGGGGAGTCGAGCCTCACCTGTCAATCAAATCAGCTTAGTCCCTTGTTATGTCTCATGCTGTACAAACAAAGTCCATCTACAAAGCCGATTAAAAGGTAATTCCAACACAGTAGTGGCACATGACTGGCCAACATGAGTCTGGTTCTGCAGGAGAATGCTACCTGTTCAAGGAAGTTTTTACTGATCACTGTAACTTGCTCCTGTCTTGATGTTGAATCTTCATAAGTATAATCAAGAATAAAGTCTAGGCCAGCTTCTCTTGTAGAGCATTTTTGGATGACATTTGTTTGTGAGTTGGCGCAAAGTAGATAAAGATAGTGGTGTGATGAGCTCCTATGAAAGCTGTAGTTTTATGAACACAGGTGGGTCTGTGTGGATGAGAGGAGACAGGTGTGTAGATGAGGGAGACTCTGGTGATGAAGTTTATATAGTTGATACTGATGTTTACTTCAGATTGCTGCTCTCTGTGTGTGTGTGCGTGTGTGTAACATTGTAAAGGATCCTCCTTGTGTGAGCCTCTCTCCCTTTAGAGACTGATTGTCACCGATCAGTCAAAGCAGGATGCTTGTCCTGCTTAGTTGGTCGTTTGAGTGGCTGGGGCAAAAAAGTAGGAAACTTTTATTAACATTTGCCATGCCGTGCTGCAGCTTCTGGATGAGGTCGGCTGTAAATTGGTCTATTTCCAACTGCCTGGGACTCTGCTACATCTCCTTTGTACTAATAGCCAGTAAAATATCACTGGTGAAGATAACCATACATCCTAGATATATTATAATGTTAGTGGGACATTATGCAGAGCTGTCATAAAAAACAGAAACTCAAAGATTCACCCGGTTATTCCTTTTTTAATCATAACATATTCAGAAATTCAAGGGTCATTGTGTGCCAAACATCTTCAAGTTTGTTTAACCTTTATTTATTTAAAAAAAATAATAATGAAGCTCAGCAGTTTTTTTCTTAGTTGTTCATTTGTTAAATTTTTTTTTTTTAATCAAACGAAAAAAAATAAAACAAGATACTAAAACAGCAATCTGATATTAGCACTAGTAAACATCAGCCATCAGCCAACCTGCTTTCTCATTATTGGCTGCACCAATGAACAACTGAGATCAGTTGACCACCGATGAACGGTTGCTATACTTAAATACAGCTGTGTGATAAAATGCAGTAAAATGCCAAAAGAACGTGACTCAAAATGAATAGAACAGATGAATTGATGAATTGAATTGTACAGATTCAGATGGACCATCAAACCACAACTCTCCATAGATGCTCATAAACTTTGACTGTCTGTTAGTGTGACTTTGTACATCATGGACTGACACATTGACAGATTTAACGTCTTTACCACCCAGTCGATGGTTTTAACAGGAAACATGTCAGAAAGATAAGCCATTGTACAGATGGTGTATGTTGGCAGTGCAGAGTTGTGTATCGCTGTAATGACAATCCCTGCTTCCCCCTCTGTGTATTAGTATTCCCGCTTGTCTCTCGTCCTTATCCACTGAAAAAAAAAAAAGTGACATGAACTGATTGCAGTGTCTGAATCTCTTTACAAGAAGAGGATGTACAGTTTGGTGCAGATAGATAGAAGGGAAGCAGGGGGAGGATGTAGAGATGAGAGGAAGAGCAACATGACCCTCGATGTTTCTGTGACATACAGCCTTTCATCAGGACAGCGTGGTTTTGGCTCTGTGCCCCCTCCTCCTGTTTTTCAAGTCAAGAAAAAGCTTTTTGGATGAAAGACAGACAGAGAGTCTGACCTGTCTGAAAATGACTTCTTCTCTCTGTAATACTGTTAGAACCTTTTTATTTACTCACTGTAGCTGTTTCCCTCAAGGCCATGGTACTTAAAGTATATTGGATTTTTTTTCTGGCTCACAGAAGCAAAACAAAGGAGAGGATGAGGAGATGGAGTGATGGAGTAATGTTGTGTTTCCCAACATAAAGCTCAACCAGACGAGCCCCCTCCCCCATCCCACAGACTTCCTTTCATATGTGAACCTTGTGTTCCCATAACTTCCCGGTTGTTGCTATAGGAACATGTCACTCAAGGATTTTTAAAATATGTCAGCTGCAACTCAATTTTCAAAGCCAAAGGGACAACACAGCAAAAACTGGAGAGGCTAAGTTTGCAGAAATTGCAGTAATGTAGTTTTGGAAGATCTTCCTGACATCAATCGTGAGTAATCTCTGGTTGCATTCTTGCGGCCTCCAGCTCAGACCTCTGGTTCCCGTCCTGCAGACCCTGTACTTCACCAAATCCTTGTGTAGTCAGTGTGAGTCAGTCAGGCTAACAAGATCCAACTGTATCGTTTTAACATTTCAGGGACTATAGCTGTCTCTCCTGTCCAAAAGGAGTCGCCTCTTTATCACAGACAGCTCCGGTAATTGCTGAGATAGGCTGGTGTGTTTTGAGTTCAATTTGTGCGCGTTTGTGTGTGTGTGTGTGTGTGTGTGTGTGTGTGTGTGTGTGTGTGTGTGTGTGTGTGTGTGTGTGTGTGTATTTTAAGGCAGAAAAATGAAGGAGTGGGTGGACGATGTTGATGAGAGTTAAAACCATAAGCATGACAGCTAAGTTAGCCAAGTTGGGACAGAGCCAGTCCACAGTGTGTGTGTGTGTGTGTGTGTGTGTGTGTGTGTGTGTGTGTGTGTGTGTGTGTGTGTGTGTGTGTGTGTGTGTGTGTGTGTGTGTGAGAGAGTGAGTGAGTGTGTGAGTGTACCAGCGGGGCATAAGCTGCACTAATTGGCTGGTGGGTTTGGTCTGTCTAGGATCTGACAGGAAGAGGCCTTTTGGGTATCTCTCTAAACAGGGGTCTTAAGTGGTGACACAGACTGAGGCACAGATTTGAAAGATATTCACTTCACTCACAATCACCAGAAAATCCCTAAGATCTGACTCTGCAGTCCCAGTAGGGTGACGCAGACCTTAAAACTCCCTGAAGTCACTCTAATGTGTTGTAAACTATAAATCAAGTTCACCATCTATCGTTGATCTAACTTGTGTCTTAACAGTTCCTAATTTTTGCCGTATATTTTTTTAATATTGTCATTTCTGACAGGATGTTCACATTCAGATCTCAAAATGTCACCAATACTGAGGTGCGTTACTTGAGGCTGCCACCAAAAGCCAAGAAATCCATTTAGAGCTCATATTTAACAGCCTATCTTTACAGATAAATAAACACACCAAGGCAGTTTTTGTCTCCATCCGTCATGTCTTCAATTGTGCACACTGTATAGATAAGTCTTTTTTAAAGTCTACAGAAGCCAAGAACATCCATGGATTTTTCTTTTTTAAATGCACTGTTATCTTGTGATAACAACTTATCTCATTTTCTCGATACACCAAAATTCGGTTTCTTGATTTTTTTCATTATCTCAACATAACAAAAATCGTTTTCTCATGATAACGGAAACGACGTTTAAGCCGACCTCAATGGCAACTTTTAAAAACGCCCTCCAGATAAGGATATTTCTGAAATGCTGCAGCCACCATTGTCAACAGCAGAGTTAGGGTTCGCGCATGGCAGTAAAATGTTCACACATTGAAAGTGTAATGCATGTTCGCAAAATGGAGCGTGCCGTCAGCGTTTTCATTTAAAACCCTGACTTGCAGTTGACAACAGTGGCTGCGATGTGTCAGAAATAACCCAATCTGGAGGGCATTTCTTAAAGTTACTGTTTAGGTCAGCGTGAACTAGTGTGGTGTCATTCATGAAAGTTTTGTTCAAAAGAACGCAACTGCTGAGTGAACAATGTGAGCTGAATCACTCCGAGACCTGATTCGTTCCTTTTTCAGTTCAGTTGAGCTCAGCTGCGAGCCTGGCATGCCGGTCGGGAATGGAACAGCCGCCTTTGACTCTTTTGCGAATGACACACAGCCAGCCAGCTAGTGAGCAGGCGAGCGGGCGGAATCTCTTGATTCACTCACAGCGAATGAACGATATGTATCGTTCAGTGAATGAAACAGTCAGTGAACGACATGTATCGGTCAGTGAATGGAAGGATTCAGTTAGTTAGTCAGTGAACGACATGGTGAACGAAACAAACTACTTCTGAATGACTTTATCCAGACAGAGGGGGGGGGGGGGTGTAGTGTCGGTCACTTACTGCTGAACACTGGTTCGTCCGTTGAGGCTAGAGCAATACGCTGTTTAATATCTTTAAACGTGGCAGAATCCCCGCTACAGCTGCGATGTTTATTTATTTTTAATCTCTCCTTTCTGCGATATAAAGTAACGACGACTCGCGCTTGTTTAGCAGGCATGACGCTTGCTGCTGTGTTGTTTCCACCGACAGCGACACACAGAGAGGTGAGTTTTTCAGGGCAGTGGAGTGATTCTTCCTTCAGGACTTGGCAAATGAATGACATGTGTCACCCAGTGAACGGCACTGTGACTTCAGCAGCAGGGGAGGAGAGGGGCTCATTCAATGAACGAACTTGTGGCTGTGTCACTCACTTGTGTACTGCACCGTCAGGACGGGGCTCAGAAGCACTGACTGATTCAGTGAACGAATCTTTTGAATGAATCCTTTTAATGAACGGATTCTAAAGATTCAGTACAGTCAAAAGAACTGTTCTTTCTTCCCATCACTAGGGTGAACACCATTTCCGTTATCATGAGAAAATGATCTTTGTTATGTCGAGATAACGAAAAAAATAAAAAACTGAATTTTGTTATATTGAAATAACGAGATAGTAAGTCGTCATCACAAGATAACAGTGCATTAAAAAGAAAGAAAGATCCATGGCCGTTCTCAGCTTCCGTACCATTTAACTTTATACTGCACTACCCATTGATGAATTATTGATAATAATTGGATAAGGCATTGTTCAAATCTGATCAAACTTCCTTAGTGTGCTAAAGGTTTTAAAGGTCTTAGGAAATAGTAATATGTAGCATCATTGCATTTATCTCCAGAGAGCATGAAACTATGATAAAACCCTGCAGTGCGCCCCACAGTTTACCAAGGAACAATGTTAATGTCTCTTTGATTTCTTGACAATGAAAGTGACAGAAACAAACAGGGGTGTTGATCGTGATGGTAAAGCTGTACTGCAGAGCGGGCTTGTTTTCTGCTGTACTGACAATGCACAGTGTCTGTGTGAAGACTGAGGATGAACTTTTGTGTAAACAGTAAACACTGTTTAGCAGAGGCATGCTGCAAATATAGAAAGAGGAAGGGCTCTGTGCCTGTGGGAATTGTATCTGTGCCTTCTTATCGACAAGAGGGATGACAGAGAAGCATGTGGGGAACCTCCACCGCAGAGGGCACTCAGGGAGAGGAGATCTGTAATAAAGCCTTGTGTTGGTTCACAAGAGATTTTTCCATTGTTAATGTCTCCCAGTCTCATCCCCCTACAGAACTTCCTGCTCTGTTTGTTTACTCATGTTTATTTTTGTCCAACTTTCAGCTCATTTGGCTGTGGGAAGATGGTGATGCTGCATGAGAGCACAGCAAAGGCCTTCTGTACAGGCAACATGTGTGCATTCCTGTTCGTGTTTGCCATCAGTGTAACTTCATGAGTATGTAAGCGTAGTCAGAACTCCATAACAGGGAATTGCATCCCACTTGGCTATTAAAGCTTCACCGCAGGGACCCATGTGACTTACCATATCTTCAAACTCCCTCTCAGCTGTTTGGAGTGGAAAACGAAACAGCGACAGACAGAGTCCCTTTTCTTTCCTTATGGGGTAAAAAACAAGTGTGGGAACAAAAGAGAGAGTGGCTAATGTGTTGAACAGGGAGAAAAGTAAAACAGAAAGAAAAACACTCAGAGGTTTTGTCAGCCAATCTCACATTCAGAAAACTACAATGTGGGACCACCTAAATCCAGAGGATACAAGTTTTTCACCTATGGATGTTGTTTTTGCTCAGCCGTGGCCTTGAAGTCCCCTCATGCTAGGCTCGGTGCTCTCTGCTTTTCTCATATAGTCCACCTTGTCATGATTAAGAGGTATTAGACATGTGGGGTCCATCTGAAGTGCAGTTATGAAGCTGAGCCAGGTAACTCTCAGACCTGCTGGTAAATGACTTCTGCAGGTTTGGGCAAAAGGGACACCATCTGTTTTTTTAGACTGTCAGATTAATGACAAAGTTAAAGTTAGACTCAAGCTGGTGTTTCAGAAATGTTGTTTAAGAAATACTAATCTACAAAAGAAGAGCTCTAATTTCAGATTTATATGATCTTTACAGACATAAATCACTGCATAAACCTCAAACTTCTGAATAGGCCTTTAATTTGAAGTATGCTGAACAAAGTGGGTGAGAGCAGAGGTAGTGTTTAACACCCACATTAACCTCAAGTGTTGAAGTCAACAGATGGATGCATGTAAAATTGCCCAAAACAGAGCAGGTGATTTAAACTCTTAACACACTTTAATTTGAAGTAAGTGTTAAGAATGATCCTTTAACTTTTTTGTTGTTATTTTTGCAGTCATTTAATTATGCTGCATAACTTTTAACATTCTTTAATCTGGAGATCGTGTTAAAGGAATTCAGACAATGATAGAAAACAGGATGTTAAAATCTCTCCTGTAGTGTTCCCTAAAGCTGCTCTATTTGTCGTAAGAAGACAAGATAGTCTTGGCACAGTTACAAGAAAAGTTTTCATCAGAAAAATCTGCTGGATTTTTAATTAATATAATTTGGGAACCTCAGGACTGCAGCTGAAGCTATAATTTAGTCTTTTTAAGGAAGCAAACATTTCAACTGTTTGAGGGGTAGAAGAAAGTCTAGTAAAATCATCATGACAGTGGTTTGTGTTCATGAATCACCTGTCGGAGCTTCATACCTAGTACTTTTACCCATCCTTACAGGCCTGTACGGCCCTTTGCTGCAGGATATCTCTGCGATTTGTTCTCTTTAGAGTCCTCATGTTCGCTCCCAGCTTTCTCTTACTGATGATAGTAAAGATGAAAGCACTACAAGGTCACAGCCAGCTTCGCCTTTCACTGCTGATTCGTTGCAGCTTTCATCAGAGCGCCCTGATTGGCTCCCCCGAGGGACCATAAGGAATGGGAATGCTATAAAGCCTGAGGCTAACCATTAAAGGGAATGCTACATGAGTGCTGTGATCGTATGTGACTAAGGACCAGATGGTTTCGATCTGGATCTCACAGATGTAGTGACAAACTACTCTACTATGCTAGACTATGATTGACCTATTATGTTGTATGTCACCATCAACTTTAAGCTCTATACCTTTCTTATTCACAATACGACAACTTTGTCTCTGTTACGTCACTTTTTCTTCTTCTATTGAGAATTTGTCTACTGCCTGTTGCCTAGTAACCAACAGGTCAAAGTCCCACATGCAAACCGTGGAGTATGAGCAGAAGTCTTAGACCAGTTCCAGTCTGATTGAGGTGTATATATGAAGGAGAAGATCAACCCCCGACCACAATATCAAGGTCTGACTGTAAGAAGTCAGACTTACGTGTTAACGTGATTATTCAATGTCAAATATGAATCACATAACTTGATTTTTTCCACATTTTATCCATCTGGATTTAGACATTAAATGTTGGGGGATGCAGTTGGTGAAAGTATTAGAATTGAAGATACGAAGCATGACCTCTTAAGTGTCTGTTTAAACTTTTCCAAACCATAAACTGACTCTCCTGACTCTCATTGGTTGTACAGTTAAAGTTATTTACAGCCCTAACATCAGCAGGGTGCTCGCTGCGTTTAGCACAGAGAAGAAAAACAAAAAATCTGTTATCATATATCACTTAACTGAATATGTCTAATTCTTTTCTCTCTCCTTCCCTGTATTTGGGAACATGCTGGCTCTCACAAACACCCCACTCACATACCAGTTTCTCACACCAACAACATACCAAGGCAGCTACCTCACCCCCTTGTTATCCCTCTCAGAGCCTACAGCTCTTAAGCCATGCGTTGAGCGGAGAGAGAGCTGTGCATTATCCATTAGCCATGCTTCTTCTGGCTTTGATGGATCAAAGAGCATGTAAAGAGCTGGAGGAGCCGGGGCCACTGCCGCACAAACAGAGCTAACAGAGAGGAAGAAGAGGACAGAGGGACGGCAGATGGAGACGGAGGAAAGAGGGCAGAGAAAGAAAAGGAGGAAGGTTACAGGGCCAAAAGCTCTGTGAGTGCCACCAGCTGGACCTACCTGAGAGGAGGCGTGTGATTTATAATAAGCCATCAGTTTAAAGGAACAGTAGTGACCCAGCATGCATGCATGAATCTTTCTTTTTGATCGGTCAGTCTGCAGTTCTGCCCCTCTTTTGAGTTTCTGTACTGTAAAACTGTACAAACATTTGAGTCCAGAGCAAGTGAGAACACGCTTACCATGGGTCGTCCTCCAGGATATTAAGTTTCTGATGGTTACAGGGGATCAAACCTGTGACCCTCCAGTTGTAAGACTCTTCACATGCAGGGAACCATGAAGACATAAGAACAACGATGGGGGCTCAGGAGGAAGAAGTGCAGAATGAATAATGAAGACAGGTTAGTAGAAAAACTGACTCAGGAGCGATCATCTGAAGATAAAAATGAAACTAAATTTGTTCATGTTCTCCTAGAAAAACAGAGATAATTACTCAGCACATTTAGTGCTTGGAAAAGTTAGTTTGTCGTGTATCAGCTTTCTCAGACTCACTGTTAATAGCATTAAAAAGTTTGGACACTGTTTTAAATCTCGATCAAATCAGATTCTGGTGGCTTGCAAAAAAATTTAAAACCCTGTATTTGATTGGAAATAGTGCAAAGACAACATGTTAGATATGAGGTGCTCAGAAGTTTGGGTTACCTTTGTTGTTTTGTTTGTTTTATGATGCCTTCAGTAGGTGACAGGTTGGGAGTGCAGGCTGGACATGTTAGTACCTGGACTCTTCTGGTGCCGAGCCATGCTGTTGTGATGCATGCAGAAAGTAGTTTGGTAGTGTTGTATTGAGTCTGTATGGCAGCATACAGCATGTCCATAGTGTTCATCTTAGGTGATGCCCTTCAAGTGTGACAGCAGGACACCTATGCATCTCCACACTATCTACACATGGTTGCTTTTAAACTGTCCTCTAAGAATGTTGTGTTCACAGTTTCCAATAGGGATGTCAGGTTTTGATTTGTCAGACCACAGGGCAGTTATTAACGTTGCCTCAGTTCATCAGAAACAGGTTTGGGTCAAGAAATTGGTGATTTGTGATGTGGTCATTTCCACTACAGAGTCATATCTGATTTTAATGCAGTGCTGCCAGACAACGCAAAGATCATGGCTATCCAGTGTTGGGTTTTGGCTCTATGCCTGCTGAGATTTCTTAAGATCCTCCAAATCTTTTAATGACATTTAGTTCTTTAGATGATGAAGGCCCCAAATTCTTCACACTCAGTAACGTTATCCTAAAATTGTTGAGCTGTTTGCTCACACAGTTTCTCACAAAGTAGTAAAATTCAGCAGCAAATGATGCTCATTACTTAGGAGATATTTCTCCAGGTGTTTTTTTTTTTTTTAAGCATTGCACAACTTATTCAGTGTTTTGTTGTCCATGTCCATTTTTTTTCAAAGTGGTGCTGGCATCAAATGGAACTTTTTTACTCTAGTTCAAAAAAGACCAATAAATAAATAAATAATAATAATGGAAGGAAAGAAATCAAAAAAGGCAAGAGAAGTCCAAAAGTAAGGAAAATGAAAATAGAAATAGGAAAGTAAATAGTGCGGGATTTGGAGGAAAGATTGATTACACAGCTGAGGAGAAAAGCAGAAAATAACAACAGCAGAAACACAAGTTAAGAGGAAGTGAACAAGGATATAAATTTGAGGGAGTGAAATGTGGAAGTCAAAAAGAGGTAGAAAAGGAAAGGAGAAATTAATTTAGAAACGAGAGTGAACAAGATGAAGAGGAAAGGAGGCAAAGGATCTGAAAAGAGGGAGAGGAATGGGTGGAGGTCTTTGAGCAGGAAATTGGTGCGTAAGTGTTGGCGAGGGGAGATGGAATCTGGTGTGGAGTGTTTGTTCTGGCTTAGCTGCCCTCTGCAGGCCCCTTCACTGGGCACAGGGAGAGAGGGATGTGAACGAAGAGATGGAGGAGTAAAAGGAGATGGAAGATGTCAAAGGTACGACCCAGTTCAAGCCTGATTCTCGCTGCATTTAGAAATAAACACAGTGAAAGGTACAGAGTCAAAATTGGATAACTGTAGTCATAACAACTGGAAATGTAAGACATTGTGAACTGTATCCAAACCCGGGAAAGAATGAGGAGAAGCTGGACCCGGCAGATGATAGCAGAAGGTTTTGATTCGACTTTTTATAGGCTTGTTGAATTTTTGCATTTTCCGACAACACCACAAGATTTCATTAGGAGTTTTATGGAAGTATGAGGCGTTCACTGACCACAGAGCCCCGCTACTTCCCTGGATTTTACCAATTTCCTCCTGTCATGGCAGATTTTATCAAAAATATATAAGACCCTGAAACACACGTATAGTCTTACCTCTGACACGTGGAGGGATGACGTTCAGAGAGACAGAAAGAGAAGTAAAAAGTGTGGTTGTTCATTTTGATTCCAGAAATTCTTCAACACTGTAACACAGGCTTGGGATATTTGATGATATGTAGCAGTCAGATTGTAGACTGAATGCTCCTTGTCTCACCCCACCATCAGGGAAGCAATGCTTATTTGATAAAGATATAAAGATAAAAAAAATGCTCACAGGAGCTTTAATAATACTTTTTAACATACTGTATATTCAGGTGATTTTACCTTTATTAACACAAACTTTTAAATAGTGTATTCCATTGCTACCAAGTCTGCTCTGCATGATATGACTATAAAATCAATACTGTACCTTTAATATCTGCCTGCCAAATGAAAAAAAATAACATTTTATAATAATGATGACTCTACTGATTAAAAACTGATACACACGGCTCTCATAGCAACAGATTCTCATCAGGCTACTTGGGGGTTGAAAAAAGCTATAATCTCAGTTTTTTATCTGTGGTTCAGTGCTGAACCTGATTCTGCAGAGGCTGGCAGTTGATTTAACACAGTTTTTTTATGAGGGATTGGAAATTAAGATTTTATGAGGAAACAGGCGATTAACAACCTTTTGTCATATTTGGCTGAGAGGATGTGACTGGGATGGAGTAAATTTTAGATTTTGGCCTAAAACAGCTGAGATGAAGTCTTGATTAAAAAAAACAAAAAAACAAAAAAACAACTGTTTTCTGATCTGCATCAATCAAGAGGAGTTCTGCCAGTTTTTACCAGGAGAACAGTGTTGGAAAGAAATGTCTCTAAAACTGCAGATTCTTTGCCACGACAGTTTGGGATGGTTAAATCGCTGAATTTCTTATTTTTTTCTATAACAGCTGCATTAAAGTTCAATCAATCAAATCAATCAAACAAATTTTATTCATTCAGCGCCAATTCACAACAGTTGTCATCTCAAGAAGCTTTTCGAAGAACAAGAGCAGGTCTAGACCACGCTTATTGTTTGATGATCAAGAACCAACCTTAGATGTGTTTTGGCCCATCTCATCTAACATGAGTAGCAGTGGCAAGAAAAAACTTCCTTTTAACAGGCAGAAAAAATGACACAGTGACTGCAAATGCTGAGGATCTGAAAGAAAGGACAGCAAATTACTGTATGAAATCTTAAGTTTTCAGATATATCATCCAACCCTACACGTCTATGATGGTGCAACATACACAAGGAAAGAAAAAACAAGAAAACACCATCCTCCATTGAAACCAAACAACCTCTACATCAACACAAGCATCTGCTGACATTCAAGACTGACCTGAAGTAAGATTTTGGCAAAAGTACTTCTATCTAAAGGGAAGAAACACTTGATGACTGACTATTATGCTGTTTATTTCCAAAGGAGGATGGAAGACGTTAGAAAGGAAAAGAAGCATCATTCTAATGTCAGCCAAAAGTGAAATAAAAAAAACAAACAAGAGGAAGGACTTAACAGGTCAGGAAAAATGCAAACGTTCACTCACCACGGTTGTTGGAAATTTGGATCAGTTGAGCAAAATAATAGAAGTCACGTAAAACATTTTCAAATCTGAAATGTCAAGACCAGTCCTGGAATATTTAGAGCAGAGATGTCACAACACCAGAAATACTTGCTGAAATCAAAGGGTATCAATGGCAGCTTAAAAAAGGAACACCTCGGTTCCCAAAAAGGATACTAATGTTGGTTTTTGATTTCCAATATATTGATAGTGATAGACGGCAGCATTAACAGGATTTTTCCTTAAAGTAATGTTGAACCAAAGTAAAACATCCTTTATTTTTCCTTTATTTTTTGTGCTCTCTGTATTTTTCATTTCTCACAAATTTGGTGATTATATTGGCATCAATCATTTGTTAGGTAGTGGCACTTCCCATCAGTGGTCTACAGGCAGGGACTAATAGATGACATACAGAGACCAGGTGACATGGCCAAATTTCCGCTTCTCTCTGCCTGTCTGCAACATAAATATTTACAACCTGTGTGTCTTTATTAGGTGCTGATAAAGTCACTAAGTTTTGGTAATTACCATTAGCAAAAGGCAGAGCGGAGACACACAGAGGGATACAAATCAGTGCAATTAAGCACTTTCCTGCACTTTTTTTTTTTTACATTTCTGAAGTTTAACAACAACAGTAAAACAATCAGCAATTTTTATCAGGCTGAATATCAGCAACTTATTTACTGACGCTCTCTCCTCACTATATCTCTGTGATGAAAAACCACCATTGCTCACATTATTTCTCTCTTACTCACCTTGACTTCCTCACAGCAGCCTGTGATTGATAACATGTTCATTTAGAAAGTTTTGACCTGACTCTAAGTTGTATTTTAATCTGTATGGATTAATAAAATGTCTATGAAGCAGCTTCGATCCAAACGCTCTTGAAGACAAAAAAGAAAAATGAAATGAAACAGCTTTTGTCTGGTGAATTTAAATAAAATTCAAGCTTGACACGGCCCAAAACAGTCTTGTCCTGAAAGAACTTCAACAAAGGAGAGGACTCAAGATACACGTCCCTGCGGAGATGGAAAAACACATCAATTATCTGAGTGACTCACACAGGAACAGTGTCCAGTTTGTCATTCGATAGCTGATTTTTCAACCTGAACCTGTTTCCTGTGACTTCTGTTGGACACGCCAAGTCTGGATATAGCTGGTTATCTGTCCCTCTGCTTTCCTGTTGACGTCTGTTGTTGTGTATTCCTGCAAGCATAAATAAGACTGAGCCTGATGCTTGAGAGAAAAAAAAATATAGAAAGAGTGATTAACATGGCATGAGCTGCACACACACACACACACACACACACACACACACACACACACACACATACACACTGCGGTGACACACCCCCAAGTTCAGGACCTGTGTGACTTCCCTTTTGTGCACAATGAGATATACACAAGCCCTTGCCCTTTTCCTGTATCCAAATAAACAGACCAAAAAAGGGCTAAGTAGTGGGAACACTGCTGTATGTGTGTGTGTGTGTGTGTGTGTGTGTGTGTGTGTGTGTGTGTGTGTGTGTGTGTGTGTGTGTGTGTGTGTGTGTGTGTGTTTGCACGTGTGTTGGGTGTGTTACGTAAGTCTGATGTGGACCCCTCAGCCCCCTTCATTAGTGCTGCCGTTCAGCTCCTGCTTCCTCTGGTCACAGTTCATTGACCCGTCGGCCCAAAACAGACATGGGAGTTGGATTTGTCTGTTTGTGTATGTTTCCGTCCCAGTGCGCGTCCAGCTGTGGAGCTGACTTCATCTGGCCTCTCATTTGCACATACTTATCATTTATAAACACTCTTTAGCTTCAGTTGAACTTATTGACATGGCTCTTAAGCTCATCTGAGTAGTTGAACAGACAATGTTTGTTCTTCCATTTATCATCATGTTCCTCTTAAAAATGTCGCTCTTTGAGTCGTCCTCCCAGTCTGACCTTGATAAACTCAAACTGCACTGCTGAGCTGTCTGATATCAGAGAAAAACTATCTTCATCTTACATGGGCAGACTTCCCAGCCGTAATCAACAAAGACAGATTTAAAGCTTAAAGGATTTAATGAGGTCTTGGGTATTTTTTGGCAAGTTCACGCATCATCCCAAAGTTTCAGGGCACAGGTGGGCTGTAGGGGTGGGCGAAAAAAAGTATTGTTTTTTTCAAAACATTGTTCATATGAAGCCAAATCTATGTTAGTAGAAAATAAAATCAACTGTTTGTCCAGTGGGGTTGGCAGAGGTGGCATCATAGAACAGGAGAAAATAAGTACAACAAATATATATAAAAAGGTTTACAAGATGTGCTACATAAAAATATATTACTGTGTAAATAAGACAAATATAAATCTAAAAACGTATAAATCTTAATATACTGTATCGCAATACTAACTGTATTGCAAAATGTTAAAAATTTGCAATAATATCGAATCGTGGCTGAAGTATCGTGATAATACTGTATCGTGGGGCCACTAGTGATTTCCACCCCTAGTTCACTGATATTGATTTATCTGACTGATACTGATGAGACTGAAAACCAGTATCTGGATGCAATGTGCATTTAGAGTCTAAATAACTACCATAATTATAATACCGTAAAGGCTCCTCTTTGTATTTGTGGGTGTGGGTCAGCTTTGTGTTAAACTGTGGTCGTCTGTGTGTTTTCTAGGCGACCTCCGCCTGCATCCCGGCCCCCTCCAATGATCTGGTGAGTCCTCTTTACATATTCATTCCTGTTCCTCAACAGTATCCTGTATATGCGTCTAGCTTTCCCTCTGTGTCTCAGTTACGAGGTCTGGCTTCCCAAAACCACAGTATGGTTTCCTCCTGCTGAATTCCTTTTGGGAAGCCGAGCCCTCAGCCTGGTCTGAGCTTGGTTCATTCCTGGAGCACTGCAGGATTTCGCCTCAGGAGAGAATGAAGTCGATGTTGCTTCAGGAAGTAGTCATGTTTATCCATTAGAGAGTGTGTTTGTTTAATTAACTCTCCTTTCCTTCCTCTGTGTCCTCCTCCTCCTCCTCCTCTTCTCTCCTCCTTCTTTCCCTCTCTTGCCTCCACTTAACCTCCTCCCTTTGCCCCACTTCCTCTTATCATCCTCCTCTTCACATTCTTCTGTCCCCTCGTCTTTTTAATCCTGTCACCACTCCTTCATGCATCCAGCAGCGCAGAGGGACCGCTCCTTCTCGACACACCCAGCACCTGGTGAGCACACTTTAACCTTACATCCTGACTCCTTGTCCTCCTCATCCCCTCTCTTTCCCTCTGCACCCACCCTGACCTTCTCCTCCCATGTCACCAGTGTAATTTTTAAAGTTGTGGGGATGTACTTGACTTTTTCATTTAGATGCAGATCAGGCTAGTATTGGCCTTTGTTTACAAAGGAGGCCATATACCCGTCTTCTTCACGTCATTACTTCTTCTATCAAGGTTTTGTTTTCCACTCGCCTTCCTTGTAACGTGTTCATGATATTCAACTTCCGGCTCGAACGGTGTAGCATGTGCAGAATGATCAGGCTTGTTTATATATAGCTGAAACCTTTCCTCACAACGACAAGAATACTTGTGAGCAACATTTCAAGACGATTTAAATCTACAAAGTACAGATTAGGGGGAAAATGCAAGCAGTGAAAGAGAATTTGAGGTGGCTGTTTCTTTGACAGAGCTGCAGGAGGGGCTTGAGTTTTAGCAGCAGCTTGATAGGACGGCACAGCCTGACATAATGCTGCAGCCATGTCTTGACTTGAGTCATTCAGGAAACTAGAAAAACACATTCAGGAGTTTCACCGCCATCCATGTCTCATGTTATAAAACTTTGCTGCAGTTTCGTAGTAATCCAGTATTGTAGCGTTAAATTCATGTTCAGATCAACATGATAGGTCCTCTTTAAACTGTTTTTTCCAATTTCAGGTCTGACTGTATGACTACACACAGATTTTTGGGTGTAGTCATACAGTCTTTAAGTCCACTAACCAATACTGTGCACTGACTTTAATCTCCCCTCAATGACTTTAGAAATAAATTTCTGTTTTCTTTTCTCTTTTTTCCGTTCACCTGGAGACACTCATGGCACATCCACTGATTTCAATGTTTAAGGTTTTTACTCCGGGTCTGAACCCAGGATGTCATGATGTCACGTAACCTCTGTGTCACCTGGTTGAGCTCTGGATGCATTTATGCCTAAACACTTTGAGATGAAGCTGCAGAGTCTTTTTTTTTTTTGAAAAACACTTAGAAAACTTTGATTTCATCACAGTGAAGGATAAATTATTTGTAAAAGATATTTTTTGTAATTTCTCACAGGGGTCGACTAAGTCTCTGACCTACACCAAACAGAGGAACACCCTCCCCAGGTAAAAGTTGTGTTATTAAGGTCCTGACATATGTGTTTATGAATTCCTGAGAGAAATTTCTACAATATACAAAATAATGTCCCTCTGTTGACATCTTGACTCTGCTTTACTCTTTGGCCTTTTCACCTGTCGTTTTGTTTACTGCCTTGTTCACTTGCTTTCGCACCTACAGCCACCTTCCCACTACTCTTTCCAAAAGGTTCAGTGTCTGTTTAGTGATGGAGAAAGTTGGCTTTTGATCTGACCTCTATGTTGCTCACAGTATCTAGTTTCTCTCACTTCACTCTGTTCTTCCTCTCCTACCCACCTTTCCCTCCATGCATTCAGCCAAAGGTTTTATTAGCTTGTAAGAAGGAACGCATTCACTTTAAGCTGCCTTGAACACACTCTGACCCACGTCCACCTTCCTCTTCTTCTCTGCATGAACACACAACTCATCGCTTCCCCCTTTCCCTCTCCTCTTCCTCGTTTCTGTTCCTGCAGGAGCTTCAGTGTGGACCGTGTGATGGAGAGAGTGATGGAGCGCCACTACGACTTCGACCTGACCTACATCACTGAGAGGATCATTTCTGTCTTCTTCCCCCCAAAGCTTGAGGAGCAGCGATATCGTATCAACCTGAAGGAGGTGGCAGCCATGCTCAAATCCAAACACCAGGACAAATTCCTGGTGAGGGAGCAGAAAGGCAGCTCATTGTGTCTGTGTGCTTTGTGGTGTTTGTCACAGCAGTGATTTCACCTCGTTCCTGACTGATATAGTTTAAATGTTTGCTGCACAATAGACAAAAGAAACCTATAGCCACAGGAAGCTGCAAAGTACACTCAGCAACCCACAAATTAGCAGTTTGTTTGTTTTTCCTGGCACACCCATGATAAAATAAGCAAAATGATGAGTGTCTACAGTGATTTACATCTTTTCTGTTTCAGCTCCTGAACCTCTCTGAGAGACGCCACGATATTACCCGCCTGAATCCAAAGGTAAACTGTTTTGAATTTCTATTCCTGTGTTAAATTCAGCTCACAGCCTGTACTTAGATGCCCTGAACGTGGTTTTTCCCTCCATATAAACCACCAGGTTCACGACTTTGGCTGGCCAGACCTCCACGCCCCACCTCTGGACAAGATCTGTGCCATATGTAAAGCCATGGAGATGTGGCTGACCTCCGACCCCCAGCACGTGGTGGTCCTGCACTGCAAGGTCAGAGTTCAGGGTGCGAGCAGGGTTTTTAAGACAGATGTGGCATTTCTTTCCCAGGCCCCCAGAGAGCAGATTTATCAAAATGCAGTCACAAGTTTTGTTTTTGTTCCTTCTTGGCAACATAGATTATTAAAGATGTCTGCTATAGTATCATCAAGGATCATATACGTACCCAAGCTCCCATCAGCTACTGTATGCTGTTTTTAGTTCTTCATCTAAAGTACTTCACCTTTCATGAATACATTGCAAAAACTCAAAACCAGGCAAGAGGTTTTTGTCTCATTTCCAATGGAAATATGGGATTAAACTTAATAAATACCACAGGGCCAGCTGTGTCTCTGAGGTGGAGTTGGTTGGAATAAAAGTTGCACGATAGGGGACTCGATCCCACATCCTGCCCCTACTGGCTGCATCAGCAGTGTATGAATGGAATTTGTCAATATTTATGTGCACTTCACATAGCAGCTTCCGTGCAGGATGGATGACAGGATGAATGTGAGACGTTGATGGAACAGCACTTTGAGCTGTTATAAGACTGGGAAAAGGGGATTTATGAATACAGTCTACTATTGTTTTTACCTTATAGGTCCAGATCAACATCTTATTAAAAACATTAAGAAGTAAAACCATAGACTGTCCATAGACATGGACATAGTCTGCCTCCTCACTGGATAAGGCCAACAGGACAGCACCCTCTGGTAACTGGCTGCAGTGTAGGTCATACATCCTGCCTCCTTCAGAAATCCCTATGGAGCTGTGGACAAACTTTAGAAATTTATTACACAGATGAGTCTTGACAAATGTTAGCTTCTGTAAAATTGAAAGGAGTCCAAAAAAATGCAGTAATTCGAAATTGAACAAAGCACAGAAAAAAGGAAATATATATTAAAAATGTGAACATGTCCTGTTACTTTTATTTTGAAAAAGTAATCACTGATCAAGTTTAACGTGTCTAAAGCGTAATTTGTTTCCCTTTCTTAACGCTTCTTCTACGATTTCTGATGCACAAGTTAAAATTTACAGCTTAAGCATACCTCAGTTTAAACCAAAATTGCAGAGTGCACCATAAACTGAAATTCAATAAGCTTTTCAACCCCCGCCAAAGAGCCAACCATACAATTAAGCTGAAACTGTGTCACATTCGATTTCAACTTTCACATATTTCAGCTGTTTATTGATGTCGTCCTCTCAGGGGGCGTTATGGCATTTCAAACTGTACTTCCACTACCACCACCAAACAGAAAGCAGCCAACACAGAGGGCGAGCGATCTCCCACAGCCCTGTCTGTTGTTTCATTTATTGACTGTGTTTTGGAGAAATGGAACACTAAAACCAGACTCCCTCTGTGGTCTGTTGGTTTTCCAGAACATTCCAGCTACATGCATTTTCCCCCAGCTGCACATCACACCGCAGATGTGAATAAACAAGTTTTAGTCAATGAAGAAAATTCCTCAGAGATGCACGCTTGGGAAAACATGCTTTCATTTGTGCTTAGTGTGGACTGTGCAGCCATGCTTGTATCTGGAGGGGTCACTTTAGGAATTTGAGGCTGGAATGTCTTTGGAATGTGTCAGGAAGTACAGAGCTCCTGGTGTGAGAAAACACGACAGGGAACTTTTTAATTTGAACTCAAGCTGCTGGTCAATATCTTCCCCTGTCCCTCTGTGTGTCTGTATCCAAAGTAAGTCCTGCAGTCTAAACTTTAGGTTCCTATAAGCTGTAAAAATCAGCTGTCCTGGAACAGACCACTGTGCCAGATGACAGAATCTGAGACCTGTTTCTCAAAGATACCTCAGAGTGGTCAAGATTTTTAGCCACTCCTCAAAGACAACCTATTATAGACTAGGGTGACCATATTCTGAACCCCGAAAAGAGGACACTACTATGCCGGGTGGAGTCGCACGCAAAATTTTGAGGGTTTTTCACGTTGGATTGAGTGTAATCTTCTAACTCAGTTCATCCACGCTACATAAACTCAAAACTCCTGTACAAAACCCTGGACATTTGAAGGATTTTATAAACTCCCCCAGACGGGCCAGACAGCCCCCAAAAAGACGACATGTCTGATTAAAAGAGGATGTAGGGTCACCCTTTTATAGACTCTCTAAAAAGGGATTTTATCTCAATGAGGAAATCCATTTTCCCTGGACAGACATTTTGTAGCCCAACAACCACAGAGAAATCAGCCAAGTACCCACAAATTTATTTTTTGAACTAGGCTTTGATCATGTTTAATTTCACTGTTAAGATGGTCTTTTTATCACAGCAATTCCTCTGCTTTTTCAGCCTCCCTGAAGTGGACACGTAAGCAGTAGCGGTTCTAGGCACGGGCGAACAGGGCAGCCGCCCGGGGCGGCATTTGTGTCATGACTCATGGGGGGCGGCACGAGCACTTCCAAAAAAATAAAATAAAAGATAATAATAATAAATCTTCACCGCAAAGCGGTTTTGTATTAACTCTTGTTGTCAAATTTGCGCCCCCCGCTGCTGTAGGCGCCCCTGCTTGCTCCGAAGGTGCTGCACAGAGGCTGACAGACTGTGTGAGATGAGGCGGGGAGAGAGTCGCAGGGGGACAGCTCTGCTCTGTGTACGCATGTCAGCAAATCAGCGGGAGCGCGGCTATGTCATTTTGTAGTTTTTTAATCATTTCTGGAGTCGCGGTGAATGAAATCACCGTACTCGTCTGCCTTTGATAGGCGAATAAAGCGCTCGGGTTCATGCTCGGATCTTGCTACGTGCTTGATGAGCTTCATGAGTAAAGTAAACAATGACTGAGGCAGAGAGCAGCTTCAGAGGAGAAACATCCAGCAGTGTGAACAACCTCTTCATATGGAGTGCTTTGGCTCACACTATCAGCGTTTTCTCTGGGTGTTGCATGACTTTGGGTGAGAACAGAGATGAACACACTGTCAGCCACGTATTTATTTATTCATTTTTTAGTTTTTAGTTCTGCTTTTGTACTGGCACTATACTGGGGCAGCTGTATACCCTTTCAACACCTTATTTTTTATATTTACATTTGTATTGAATGGACACTTTATCATGACTGCCACTTGTTTTACAGAAAGCAAATTATTTGTCATTCTCCAGTGCAGAGCCTTTACTTTTATTTACACAGCCACTTTATTTCATTTGAGTTTGTTTGTTCAAGGTTTTCAAAAATGTGATGAAGGTTTGCAAAACTAAAAGAGAGCTTTCTTGACAGCCACATGCTTAAGCTCTCAAATACTTTTTGAATTTTGTTTCTATCTACTACAGAGGCAGAGATATCACCTTTTTGTAAACCTTAAGTCAAAAAACCTCAGGATCTGGGGGCCCTTCTCAAAATGGGCCACAGCTGCTTATTGGTGGTTCTTAGGCCTGTCGCGATAATCAATAAATCGCCTTATCGCTCGATAAATAAAAACGAGGTCGATAACTTTGCCAGCCTCGATAATTGACGTGCGTCTGTTTTCCACCGCTCTCGCTACCAAACACGCTGGATGAGAGAAGAGGTCTCACTCTGCGTATTGTTCTCGGCACCTAGGGGTGTTGGCTCTATAGCAGAATGAACGGAGTTAGTGAACCCTCCTGTCAGTCATTCAGTGTCTTTGTTACGAGGGGGCGCGCGCGCAGGTACACGTAGGCGCGCACAGGCACACAGACACAGACTTTTGGATACAGTGCTGCAAGTGAGCGTCGTGAGTGAAAAGCAAGCTAACAGAATGAACACGACAGCTTTGGTGTCTAAACCGAACGCAACAACCCAAGTGTGGGAATATTTCGGCTTTAAACCACTTTTGTTTTCGTCAACCACAAAACTCCACGTGTGTGTGTGTGTGTGTGTGTGTGTGTGTGTGTGTGTGTGTGTGTGTGTGCGCGCGCGCGCGTGCGTGTGTGTCTGTGTGTTGGAGGAGCACAGCAGGCTGATGAGAGCTGTCAAAGCGGACTGAAGCTGCTCCTGTATGTTTAGCGTTTAACTGACTGAGTTTTGCAACTCTGTTCGTCATTTTCGTCTCGTCCCATCAACGTAAACGCACTTTCGTCTCGTCACATTTTAGTCATCTCCGACTTATGTTTAGCTCGTCAACGTTACGTCTTCGTCGTGGGAGAAAAGGGAAATATTTTAGTCAACGAAAACAACCAGTGTTGTTCTCGTGTGGAAATTAAAGTTTATCACTTTTGACATGGTGTACTCGCATTATTATGCCATATAATATCATTATCTATAATTTAAAAAATGGTGTCAATAATATCGTTTATCGGCGATAATTTGTAGCACAATTATCGTCCAGCAAAATTTGTTATCGTGACAGGCCTAGTGGTTCTTGTTTGACATGGACGGGCATCATTTTCATTTTCAGTTTGTTTTCCTGCCAGTTACAAACTCCTCATAGCGCCTTTAAGTTTCCATCAGCAGCGTATGCTTATCTTTAAACTAATTTCCTTGTCTTGTATGTATTTAGTAGATATGCCATATGCTATTCCTGTGCCATTCACCTACCATTATCTGATGACATGTCTTATCTGTTCCCCCCCACAGGGCAACAAAGGTAAAACAGGAGTCATTATTGCGGCCTACATGCACTACAGCAAAATCTCTGCAGGGTGAGTGTGTCGCACACATCCACAGACACTCAGACATTCTTCTGAGAATCTCCACGCAGTAAAAGTATTTTTATCCCTGTGCATAAACATGCATTTTTCTGTCTGAATTTTGATGTAAATACTCAAATATGCATATTAAAAAATGATTGCAACAGAGAGCGACATCCATTTCTAATTTAAGAATATCCAACACAAAGATTTCCATTCAGACTCTGTTGATAAGTGCTGTGATTAATTATGCCCGGTGGACTCTGCAGTGGAACAGTGGAAACTGGTTTATCCTGTGGCTGATGCCAGCTGTATCCTCTCCATGTGCTCTCTAGCATCAAGACAGTCTGGTGCAAGTCCCATGATGGAAATTGCTGGTTAAAAGCAACTGTATGTGTGTCTGTATGTGTGTGCGTGTATTTGCAGGGCGGATCAGGCTCTCAGTACTCTTGCCATGAGGAAGTTTTGTGAAGATAAGGTGTCCTCTTCCCTCCAGCCCTCCCAAAACAGGTAGAGGCCACCGGATGAAAAGAGGGGAAATTGGGTTGAGGGAGGGTAAAAGGTGGGGGGTGTTGAGGGGGTATCCAGCATCATAGCTGAGGTTCATGAATGCATCCCTTTAGCATCCTATTCAGGCAGGAGAAAGAGGAAACAGCTGTTAGCCTCAAGCTCCTCGTATGGACAACTGCTGATTATTTTATCATAAATCTCAAGTTAAAGCTCATTTAGCCTCACTGGACACAGCTGCTATGATGACTCACTATCAGACTGTAATCATTAATGAGGAAAATCAGGGTCGTAGCTGATTTGATTTCTAACATCTGAGGTTTTTTCTGTCTTGACAGTTTAACATTTCTGCTGCTTCCATGGCTCATTTTTTAAATTATCGCTGCATTTATTTTATTAAACCCTGCCTGTTGAGCTAGGCTGAAATGTAAGCTTTATTTGATTGGAAATTGGATCTTTTCATAGTTTTTTAACAGAAAAATGTACACATAGAGGTGTACCAAACCGATGCGCAAAACTAAATGTCAAGAAAATTCTTCAAACTCAAGAATGTGTCTGGATGAAGATGTATGTTTAGAGGTAAAAGAAAAAAATCAACATGAGCTGATAATTTTAGAAAAAATTAATAAAAAAAAAATGAGGAAAAAAAATGAAACCTCCATTCTTAATCTGTCTGCATTTGTTCTTTGAAGAATCCACTGAAGCCGTCTTTCTGGCAAAAGTACTGTCTGCTCCAGGCTGTTTTGCATTTTTCTGCACTCTTACTCTCAGTCACCATCTGTTATTCGTATTCTTCATTTTTATCACACTTGTTTTATTTCAAGACGATCTGGCTCACCTCTTCGCTCCCTCTCTCTCTCTCCCCTCTCTCTCAGATATATCTATTACTTTGGAGGCCTTCTGTCTGGGGCAATCAAGATGAACAGCAGCCCTCTTTTCCTCCACCAAGTCCTCATCCCGTCCCTCCCAAACTTCCAGGGAGAAGGAGGTGAGATTATTAACAGTCTCTTACAGTCAAATTATACAAGAAATCACTGCAAAACATAAATCTGCTTGCCTTTTATGTGCATGTGTTAATATGTGTGCACCTCTATTGCTGTTTTTTACGATCCCTTTAATGCTATTGGCATAATTTTACCAAAGTTTGTATGCATCACTGTGTGTGAGATGTTCTTGAAAGATATTGTAAAATTTAAGTTTTTTTTTTTCTTTCTCCCCTAAACTACCAAGCTGAATTAATCATACTTCGAAGCATTAGAGCATTAGTGTTTAGAACTTTCACAAGTCACATGACATTTCATCTTTGGTACAAGCTCTGAAGTAGTGCTGCAAACTCACTGAACCATCTGACTTCATGTTTGTTGTACTGACTTCATGTTGTAATACTGGTTTAGGTGCTGTATAAATAATCATAGCTGATATATATGCATTATAATCAATCTTACTAATATTATAATTAACAAAGTCAAACTGAATGCAGAGAGCCGTTTCCATGGGCAGCAGTATTGTTCTTTCATTGTTTCTTTCGTTGTTTGTATAAGTTTCTCATGTGAGGTGTGTAGTTTAAGAGATAAGAAAAGAGACAAACTATTGAATGAAGCAATACACATTTGCAACAATTTTATTATTCTGCACTAGTATACTAAAAATATTTGCTTGTGTAATTTAATAATATAAGTCTTAAATGTTGACTTAAAGACTGAGTCTTTACCCCAAAAAGATCAGTCCTGTACATACTGTACATTGAAATCCTTTTTTAGATCATTTATTTCATTTAAGATCCTGACATGTACCCTCTCTGTCTCTGCTCTGTCTGACAATCTGTGTTAACTTTTGGAGAGATAAATACATTTTAAATGTCTATGTTCAATAAGATGTTTGTGTTGGCATGGTGCTCTGCCAGGCCTCCCTCTTGAATCCCAGCCATGCCTCTGACTCACCGCTCCCTCAGATAGGCATATTCACCCTCCGCCCACAAAAACTAGTCTGTTTATCTTTAATCTGATGATCGAGTCCAGAAGGCGGGGGTGTCAGTCAGCACATTCCTCCATCCTCCATGTTGATAATGCCCACTGTGTCTGAATTTCTCTCTCCTCCCTTTAGGTTACTTCCCCTTCTTGAAGATCTACCAGTCCATGCAGTTGGTGTACACTTCAGGCATCTAGTGAGTCTTTGTTGCTGTCATATGGACAATGATAGCACAGATAAACATGGGCCTGTGTTTTCTTTTAGGAGCTTTCATGAGGTTTTAACCATGTCACCAGGCAATTAAAGTGACAGGAGTGAAGGAAACTGCACAGAGAGCATCTTTATTCTTTGGTCAGACTTTAAGGAGTCATTACTTCCTTCTTTCTTGTGTAGCTTTCGGCCTTTCTAGGCACTAAAGTGATTAAAGTAACTGTCAAGGAAGGTTTTGATCAAGTTGGACCTTTAAAAATCTGACCAAAAAACACGCAGACTTGTAAATCTCTAACAGTGTGTCAGTATTAGTCACATAGTTCCTGTGTTTGTTTGTGTACCCCGTGTTGTTTGCAGTGATCTTCAAGGCACTGGAGGCAGACGTCTGAGTGTGACCATCGAGCCGGCACTGCTGCTAAAGGGCGACATCATGGTAAGTTCACATGAAAAGAAACGGCGTCAGAGGACCTCTGATAGACATCACAATCGCAGAGATGGAGAAAGTGAATCTGGAGGAATCTAATGAGATCCTTTAACACACTCAATATTAAAATAGATAAATGATGGAGGCTATCTGACCTCATGGGGACAAACCACACATGATTTTGAATTTGCACAGAGATTTTTAATCTTTCTAGGATGGTCTAAATTATGATCTTTGGGTAAAGTTGTCACTTTTTCCCATGTTGTTTTATACCCTGAACATCAAGAGGTAAGTGTGCATCCAAGAGACCAATACTTAATCATGTTTCAGCTGCAAAGAAATACTGTCTACTGTAGTGCTCTTGACCTTAACCACCAGTATCTATAGAGTAGGTGGTACTAGAAAGTGACAATTCAGCAGGTTAAAAAACAAACACTTTACATGAACTACAGGCCAAAAGTTTGGAAGCAAGGCCATTACAGTCCTAACAGTTGGGAGTAACTTTAAGTTTTGGTTCACAATTCTTTTTTTAAAATCCAGCATGAGCTTTATGTATTTTGGGATGTATTTACTCCATGATCAGATTTTGCTTTCATGGAAATGCACCATTTTACTCCATTTACAAAAATCCTAATAAATCTCAACTGCGTTCAAACTACCGCTAAAATGGCTAGAAAGAAGCAACTGAGTAAAGAAACAAAAGTACAGATTTGTACATTGAGAAAAGAAGGATACACACAAAAAGAAATTGCAAAACACCTTAAAGTGTTTAACAAAGGATTCCACTACACTCTGAAGAGACTAGAGGAACCTGAAAGTTATGATGATAGAAAAAGACCTGGACAAAAGAGAGTTACTACAAAAGCAGAGGATGAACATAGCATTGTCACCAGTAAGAGAGATCAGCGAAAGACAGCACCAAAAATAAGGGAGAAAATCAAGATGACAAGGTCGAAACCCATATCTCTGACAACTGTGAAATGACGTTTGAGAAAGGCTGGTCTGAATGGTTGTGTATCTGCAAAAAAAACACTACTTCGTCCACAGAACAAGAAAAAGAGATATGAGTGGGCAAAAGCTCACAAAAATTGGACCTATGATGACGAGAAACAAGTTTGCACTGTTTGGTTCAAAACGCAGAGTCTATGTCCGCTGACAAACTGGTGAACGTCTGAGAGCACCATGTGTTACACCCACAATTCAGCGTGGAGGTGGTAGTTCCATGGTATGGGGATGTTTTGCAGGTGAAGGAGTAGGAGATTTGTTTAAAGTAAAGGGTATCACAAAGAAGGAACAGTACCACTCCATCCTCCAGCACCATGCTGTTCCATCTGGACTAAGACTTGTGGCTCATAATTTTGTTTTGCAGCAAGACAATGACCCTAAGCACGCCAAGCTCTGTCAGGGTTACCTAGACAAAAAAGAAGAGGAAGGTGTTCTTCAAAAGATGGTTTGGCCCCCTCAGTCTCCAGACCTTTCTCCAATTGAGCTTGTGCGGGATGAATTGGATCGATCAGTCAGAAAAACACGTCCCACGAATCAGCAGTCTCTTTTTAATGAACTTAAGAAAGCTTGGAATGCAATCCCTGGAACATACCTTAAAAAACTTGTGGAACGAATGCCTGGTATATGCCAAGCTGTTGTTAAAGCCAGAGGAGGTTACTTTAAAGAAAGCAAAGTCTAAGCAACAATAACTCAAATACCTAATAATTATAGTCAAAATGTCTTCTGATAAGTTACTCTTTACACAATAGTCATGTTTATTGTGTTGCAAATTATATATATGAAACTATGATCTTTGTTTGTACAAATCTGATCTTGCTTCCAAACTGTCGGCCTGTAGTGTATGTTTAACAAATGTGCTTCAATGTGCTAAACTAGCAGAGCTCATCCAGCACCATAAATTTTAGTCTGGGACAAGGTTTTGTCACTTTGTTAACAAGGAATCATCATTTGTTCCTTCTCTGCAGTCTGTCATTTCAGAAAGTGTGGGTGTCACTCATTTTGGATGAGTGAAGCCTCAAATTTACTGACCAAAACCTCTTATTATCCCACACACATGCTGATCTGTCTTCCTCCCTCATTTCTTGTCTCTCTGCTGCCCTCTGCAGGTCAAATGTTACCACAGGCGAGCGCAGAGTGCTGACAGAGACACAGTGTTCAGGCTGCAGTTTCACACATGCACCATCCACGGATCCCAGCTGTGGTTTGGCAAAGGGGAGCTGGATGAAGCTTGTATTGGTAAGTGGTAAAGGGATGTCTGTCATACTGGAATATTACTTACAGGATGCATGGATGCTGAATCGAATGATAAAACTCTGACTGTATGATTTATCCTTTTTTAAAAGGTGACACAGTCATACTTAAAGTGTGCAAGAACAGTGATATTGTTGCTTAAATGGATATTCGTCAAAGGGATATAAGTTATGGTCAAACACACTGTTACACCGAGTTAGACACCCCTTCGAGAGATGAATGTTGTCGACCGCTTGCTTCTCTAGTTAAACTTTAGGAACACAGCAGTCTACATCCTTTGCTTGATTTCTTTAGCAAAGAGACTAAACACAACTCACCCACTTTCTCCCAGCAGCTGCTTGTTTGTGGGGAAGCCCTGAAGAGTCAATTACCAAGTGCAGCAAAGTTTCGCAGCTCAAGGAAGAACATTAAGGATCATTTCTATATGGAAATGCAATCAGGCCGAGACGCTAAGGCAAAAGAACTACCGTGTCTGCAGTGCAAAATGATTATTATGATGATTATTATTTCAAGGGAATGATCCACTGCCCTTGGAGATCGACTCATCAGGGCATTACTAAAGTTTGTATAACTAGAGAAGCAAACAGTCGGCAATATTCCTCTCTCGAGGGGGTGTCTAACTCGGTGTTAAGGTGTGTTTGACCATAGCTTAATTTTATGCCAGAATACCCCTTAAAGGGCAGAGCAGATTTTATAAGATCTTGCTACATTGGCTAATCCTCATGCAGGGAGAATTTGCTGATTAACCACCCTGTACAATATTCTTACATAACACCATTTCTTTGGAAATCAGCACAGTGGAAAGTCACCCTCAGTGATTTGTTACCTTGAGCAGCCTCCTTATACTGTGATGGAATAAATCCTTTAATAGTAGCAGCTAAGTCTCCATCTTGGACGTAATGACGGCCCCCTGGAGGTCAGTAACAAGAATAAGTTGGACTGTATGAAAAGTTGGAGTGTTTCTAACTTTTCCTCGGCCTGCTGAACACTGGTCTGCTGCCTAAGTCTATAATGAACAGGGTCATTACCTCATTTCCTCTCGGTTTCACTTTCTGTGAAATGATGAAACACACTCAGCTGAGAAATAGATCTGTAAAGGAAAGGAGGTTTTGTATGTGGTTATCAATCCATTACACTAAATGAAGCTTTGCTAATGTACATAAACACACCATTGTGGGTTCATAAGACTCAGCACACATCTGTGAAAAGGATCAGTGTGTTGATATATCGGAACAGAAACACTATTTGATTTGTCTGTGGAGGTTCCCCACATTACTGATGCTCTGCTATGCCTTCATAAATCTGTGTCTCTTAGAAGAAGATTATATTTGCAGCTGAAGACAGAGGAGATGGAGAGAAACTTTAAAAGGACATTTTTAATCTCCCTGTTTTATCCCACAGATGAGCGTTTTCCATCTGATGCCACAGTAGAGTTTGTCTTCTCCTCTGGACCGGAGAAAATCAAAGGTTGGTTCACTTGAATTAAAGTTCTCCTTGACAGCCTTTCTCCTTTAAGATAAGTTTTGTCCCTGTTAAATTTTTTTCATATTAGGGATTTTTTTTAACTTAAATGTACAGTATCCTTTGTAAATCAGCATGATTGTCGGGTATCTTTTATAACTATAGAACTGTTGAACTTCACACTTCTGCACAATACAAGTGCCAACAAAACAGGGAGTACCATCATTTTTACCCACATAAAGCACTGGCTTTATCTACGGGTCTGTAGTGTTTCTTACACTCCAAATTAGTGCTCTGTTAGATCTTGTGAAGTGGTTGCAAAGTGGTAGCTCAAACTCTGAGTACTGTTTCAGTTGACACAAAGTGCATATCATTTCTGACCTGTTGCTTTGACCACTTTTCAAAGTGGTGTGGTTTTTTTTTGCCATAGCAGTGGCAACAGAGGGAAGAACACACTATAGTAGCTTCACTATGGTGTGCTGAAAGGGATAAAATAGAATGCAGTTTCACTCCTTACTTGGGGTGTGATCTGTCCTGCTCTTTAGTTTCAAAGGATGTTGCAAATTAACATCTGCCATGAACACAGTGACACGTGAATGGCTGATCCCAGTTTTTCTGTTCCTATCGAACAAATTATAAATAAATAAACAAAAAAGACTTGTAGTAGGAAGTAAACAAAGGTGATTTATGTCCTTTTTCAGGCCGTGAGTACCAGAAGAACGACCCGGCTGTGACAGTCGACTACAACACAGCTGATCCAGTGGTTCGCTGGGATTCCTATGAGAACTTCAACCAACGCTACCAGGACAGCCTGGAGGGTAACACACTGACTCTCCTCTTTATATCCTATCCCAGTTTGGTGTTTAGTGATAACTGATGAGCGACAACCACCAAATGGCCTTAAAATCACTAGCCTGGTCCTTTCACACTGGGACCGTTTTTATCGTGCCATTATTTCGGACGTCAGTATAATTTTTCGAACCCATATCTTGCCAATACAAGAGTTCACATCAGTGGCGTTTTGCTGTCCTGGGATATTGCGGCATTTATTTTTTGTGATCATGGTTAATTTTTCTGAAGTTTCACATACTGTGTGTCCTGTGTGTCCTGTGTGTCTGACCAATCAGATAGCGTGTTGTTGCGACGTTTGATTCACCGGTATATCCAACATGGCCGACCGGCCGATTGTTTATGTGTTGGAGAACAGAGTGCTTTTTGAAAAAAACCCACAAAAATTACAAAGATAACAAACTGAAGGACAATTTGTGTGCTTTAACATGTTGCTAAACGTCTTTGTTTTAACTTTCATCTGTGCTAAGTAACTTTAGCTTGTAAGCTAACCTGTTCAGATACAACATACAGTATGTATTTTCACTGTCTCAAACTCAATCACGTTGCTGTCACAGCACCATTAGGTCTCAGTTGTTACCTTATGTTTATGGATTATAGTTTAATGTGGTTATCTGGTACTGGCCCTGACTCAGTACATGCTATCATGACAGACAGCCATCTCAACACTAGTGTCTAATCAGAACTGAAAAACAGTCAGTCTGCTGTTGTGTCAGTCTTCTTGCTTCCAAAATCGCAACGGGCTTGATGTGTATAGTCAGGCACGTCAAAATTCGCCTCCAAATATTTCGTAATTTCATGTCAGATATTTGCATCGGTCCCGGTGTGTAAGGACCTTTAGACTGTGAAAATTGAAGGAATTTCATAAGTCAAACAGCCTAGACTTTGAGTTGAGGGAGATCCAAACAGCTGCTGAATAAAGTTAAACCTACAGTAAGGAAATTTTTTAAAGGTGGGTTTGAGAGCAGATCTTCCCTCTCTCTCTGTGCCTCAGATATCGCTCACACCAGAGGTCCTCTGGATGGTAGTCTCTACGCTCAGATCAAGAAGCGCAGAGGTCCAGGATCCGGCTCTCTCAGCTCAACCAATGGCAGCAGTCCAGCAGGAGGCCTTGGAGAAGACAGGCCAGATCATCTCATCACTCAAGGCTCTGACTCCGCCCTCTCTGCTCATTCCCTCCATTTAAATCAATCATCAATCCATCCCGACCACCAGGAGGAGCCCATTCGCCCTCCACCGCCCACCAGACAGGAGAGAGAGGAGTTGGAACGTCTTCTCGGAGGCATCGAGGGAAACCAAGATGGAGAGCGAGAGACCGCCATCTTGGATGATGGAGATTCTTTGCCCTCAGAGAGAACCGGGACTCTAAGGCTCAGTCGGTCTTGCTCCTGTCGGGATGGTTACCGGTCTCAGCGCTGTGCTGAGCCTGGCTGTGACCGCACCCTCCTCATGCCTAATGGTTACTGCCTTGATCGGGCTCCTGGCACCAATGGGCACCATGGGGCCACCCCTTCTGCCAGCCCCAATCCAGCTGCTCCTCCATCACATATGGACCTGTGCCAGCACTACAGCCCCCACTCCCACCAGTCTCTCCCTCCACCAGACCTGGTTTGGGACCGACAGAGTGGTCCTCCACACTACCTACACCGCTCCTGCTCAGAGGCCTCCTCATCTCGACATATGTGCCCGTACCCATCTCCAGACCTCACCCCCCACCCCCACAACCATCTCCATCACCACCCTCTGTCTGCTCCAGGTCGCCTCTACTGTCGTGAAGAGGACTTTGGTCCCTACCACCATCCTCCACCACCTCACAGCCACCATCACCCCCACCCACACCACCCCAAACCTGCCACAAGCCCCACCTACCATGACATCATGCTAATGGATAGTCTGCCTCCCCCTGGCTGTCCTTGTAGAGACTGCAGCATCAGAAGAGACGACTCTGCGGCTTATCACATGAGGCTGGACCGGAGTGAGAGCTTCCACTGGGACAGGGAGGCAGAGCTCCAGCAGAGGGAGGTGGGGCTTAGGAGAGCCAGGGAGGCGGAGTTACCAAGAGGTTCAGAGCTCCACTGGGAGAGAGATCCTGGACTGAGACGAGGCAGGGAGCTGTCTCTCCACTGGGAGAGAGACAGGGAAGCTGAGCTGCAGTGGGAGAGAGACAGAGAGGCTGAATATTGGCACAGGAGGGCCACCGTAGCCTCATATGGCCCACAGGGTCATGATCTTCCAGCCTTCACATTTGACCCTTTGCCATCAGGTCATCCAGCCTATCCTGAGGCCTCGAGGTCTCATGCTCACTCCCAGCTGGACCTGAAGTACAGCAGCAGTAGTAGTGGCTACCAAACACCCCGTCAGGTGTGCCCCTGCTCGCCCTATCAGCCCTCACCATCTGAAAGCAGGGGCTATGGCTCAGGATACCAGTCTGAGTCCACATCCCCACTACCTACGGGGTCTTGCAGTCACAGCAACGGTCCAGGAGAGCATAACCATAACCATCACCACCACCATCCAGACTCACAGCAGTCATACGGCTCTGACTCACACACTGGTGAGTCATTTTAACACACAGACACTCAGGCATGTGTTTTCTTCAACAATAAGGTTGGTCTTGAATTGATCTGCACATAAGCAACTACATTGTTCCATTAATAGTAAGATTAGACACATCCACTACACAGTGTTGACGAAATGTCTCGTCTAACAACCTTGTCGTCACTCAGCAGCAAAGAACTGAGCTGAAATCGTCATGTAACACTAAAATGGCAACATTTAAGAAAAGTGAAGTCAATCATTTTTTAAACCAACATTCATATGGAGTGTTATTAGAAAAAAGTGACGCCGGTTTAAAAAACTAATTGTCACTGTCCAATAAAAAACACGCATCTCCACTTTTAGCGATCTGGACTTTTTCAATACATGTATGGTCCATAATCTTCCCTAACAACCTGTAGCTTTGGGTATCCAAATGACTGATGGAGAGATATTTTACAACATCATCTTTTCAACAAGTATCTCTATTGGGTGTTGGAAGAGTCAACAAAGCACATAAATCCAGCCCTGGCTTTTTGTTTTCATGCCAGCAAACAGATTTGACACTGTGACGGACTATTACAGTCCAGGGTAATGCTACACTAATGTCCTCACATCGACTGATGCAGACCTAACACTTTTTTTTCTAACCATGACAGTGTTGTTTACCTGTACGTTAGATTTCATGAGCTGAAGTTCATTCCCAGAGGCAAAGCTGCTGCTGTTTTCTCTCTCACACTCGGTTGCAGACACTAGTGCATGTTACATTGGGTGTTGCGACTCAAAAAGGTTGACAACCAATGCGCTATGTGGAAATGTAGGAAAGCTCGCTATCAATAGTTTATCAACAAAGTGGGACATAAACAGGACACTCTAAGCTCCTGACCGAACGTCACTGGAGCGCATCATTAAAAAAACACGTAGGTCCACTATCACTCACAAGGCAAAGCACGAAGGTCCGTTTAAAATATCAAACAGGTCACTAATGATTGCAAATATAGATTTTGATTTTAGGTCCTGATTATGTGTAATTACAGTGTTTTTGGTTTACTCTGTAAGGTAGTTTGTGGGTAAAAATGTTTTTTGAAGTTCCTGAAAAAAACACATTTTAGAGATTTGTGTTTTTTATTGGACAGTGACGAAATACATATGTGTCAATATCTGCTGATGATGTCTTCTGTTTTTCTGTTAGTTTCACTGCTCGCCTTTGTTTCCTTTGTTTTCAGATGGCCTTCGAAGTTCTGGTGAGAGTGTCGGCTGGAGGGATCACATAACCCATGGTTCTTTCAAGAGAGCCCACAGAGATGTCCACGGCGCGTGCTCCACACCGTCTGACATGTCTGGACCGTCCACTCCCGTCCACACGAGCAGCCCTCTACGCACACGAGAAAGGTAATGCGGATAAACATGCATGAAATGGTGCAGGTAAACTCTTCAGACTAGTAATACCCACATATGTCTGTTAAAGCCCCAGTCCAGGTGGAAGAGAGTACGAGATCCGGACCACAGACATCATTGGCAGTGACTGTGAAGGATCCCAAACCCAGGAAGGACCCTGTTGTCGTGAAACTATCATCACAGAAAGCCAAAGAAGCAGTACAGACCCTTCACCCATGCCCCAGACTGCCAAAGACTCTCAGTCACACCAAACAACAACGTTACAAAGTGAACCGCACAACCACTGCACTGCACCGACAGCCCCCCAGCAGCTGCACTGTAGCCCAGAAACACCATCACCCCTGACAACGCAGAGCTCCTCTCCTGTTAACTCTGCACCTCCAACTACACCAAACCCGGGACACTACCAGACCCCATCTTCCCCAGTCCATGCCTCTCCTGCGCCAGAAACACACAGCCAACCTGGACCAAACACCCTCCAGACCCCCCACCCCTCAGAGGCTGCTGTCCCGGCACAGTCAGTGTCCGAAGCCAGTGAACTGACAAGAACTCCTCCAGCAGAAGTAAATGGATCTTCTCCAGCCAGAGAACCTCACCCAGAGGCCTCAAAACCCACCAGTACCACTGCCCCCAACGCCACACCCGACCCTGCATCCCCATCATCTCCCCAGCCATCTTCTTGTAGCATGGAGGGCTCCCCAGTCTCTGAAAGTCCAGTTCCTGGGTTTTCCACTTTAAGCAGGAGGTTGATGCTGAGTGGTCCTGATCCCCACCATCCCAATCACATCCAGCAGCACGGACCCCCACATCACCACCACCTCCCAGGCATGGAGCACAATCCAGCCAGGCACAATCCTGCTCCTGACACCAACAACAAGAGGCTGTGCTACTCCAACCCGACCCCTCAGCTCCATCCATCCTCCTACTCCAACTACTCCACCATCTCCATCCCACTCCCCCACCCACAGCCGCCTCTGCCGGAGAAGCGCCACCCACCAACCCAACCAGGCTCACCCAATGAGAGCCCTCTGAGGCCAGCTGCAGGCCAGGTGCCTCCCTCCACCACCAGCAGTGCTCAGCATCAGCACCACGTCACCTTCTCTCCCACTGTGGGGGAGATTGCGCCTCCTGGTGGCCAGAATGATAGAGAAGCATGTGCTGAGACTGAGAATGCAAACAGGGTCAGCGTGAAGTTTGTACAAGACAGCTCGAGGTTGTGGTACAAGCCTGGCATCTCCAGAGAGCAGGGTAGGTCTGATTGTCTGCACTTTATTAACACTCTTTACTTTAATTAGTCAATATATTATTATTATCTATTAACACACAACAGAGTTTGTCCCTAAACTCCGTGACACTGTTATTTGGTCATGTTTCTGCAGCAATCGCAGGTCTGAAGGAGAGAGAGCCGGGAACTTTCCTGATCAGAGACAGTAACTCTTTCCAAGGGGCCTATGGTCTGGCACTGAAAGTAGCAACACCTCCTGCCAATGTCAACAACCACAGCAGCAAAAGTAAAATTGATCTACTACTCCCCAGTAAATTTTCTATTTACGATCTTCATCCCTTGTATTTCGTGTGACGTTGCACTTATTCAACAGTGGATATATCTTTGGCAGAGTTGTTCATATCTGCAGCTTTCTAACTGTAAATTTCTGCTGTTACAGTCAGTGACCCACTGGAGCAGCTGGTCAGACACTTCCTGATAGAGACAGGTCCTCGAGGAGTCAAGATTAAAGGATGTCAGAATGAGCCGTACTTCGGTAAGCTGCCCTCTTCCAGCTCTGGGATGTAAATCACATCTGTGTTTCAGATACAGTCTTTTTATTGCCAAAACCTGAAAACTTAAAGGAACATTTTATTATGTTACCTTCTTACAGGGAGCCTGTCTGCGCTGGTGTATCAACACTCCATCACACCCATCTCTCTGCCCTGTACTCTCAAGATCCCAGAAAAAGGTTTGTGCACTTCCTTCTTTTTTTAATGTTTATTAACTTGTCATTTTGTGACAAAAAGTCCACGTCAACGCTTAACACTTCTTTGGTCTCTATAGTGACAACTATAATGTCATTCTAACTGGTCATTTCTTATCTCACTGTCATCAGATCTGATCGGGGAAGTGCAGGAGCTTCAACCCGTGAGTAACATCAGCACGGCTGCTGACCTGCTGAAACAAGGAGCAGGTGAGTTTGTTTTACCCATAGACTGTCTATAGAATGGATGCTGTCTGCCTCCTCTCTGGGTGAAGCCTCCGAGAGAACAGCACCCTCTGGTGACGGGCTGCAGTATAGGTCATAAATCCTGCCTCCTACACAATCCCTAAGGAGCTGTGGACAAACTTTAGAATCTAATTACGCAGAACATAAATTTTTCTCCCCCCTGGTTGTGATGTTGACATGTAGTTACTGTAAGACTGGTTTGTGCTCAAGTCCTCTTTTTTCTGTGCAGCTCCATTTTTAAAAGTCATTAGGGGGTTTATGTTTTCTATAATCGACTCTTGATACAGCGTATGGGTGTACGTAGATTGTGTAGCTTACCCGGGAGATACGCTGTTTGAGCCGAGCGTCATCACAGAGACTCTCCTGTCGAATATGTGCAACACTACTGCGCAAGTGGTGGTTCCAGGAAGTGAATAAAATCCTGCAAATACAGAGCAATTTGGTTTCAAATTCATATAATGACGGAACGCGGAGCCAAGTTGTCCATAGTATAAACAGTCTATGGTTTTACCTGATAGAAAGCACCAACTGATACTATCTTACTTATGATAACCACCAAAGAAAAACTGGAAGTGTTGTTGCAATAACTCACTCTAACTGTACCCAACTTTTGATGGTTGTAGTTTTAGAGACCAGCCTGATAAATTAAAGCGCTGTCCTTCAGCTTACATCATGCCTCTACCTCTCTTTCCCCTGTCCTCAGCCTGTAACGTTCTCTACCTGAACTCTGTGGAAACAGAGTCTCTGACTGGACCCCAGGCCATCGCCAAGGCAACGGATGCCTCTCTTGGGCGTAACCCACGACCAGCTGCAACGGTAGTGCAGTTTAAAGTGACGTCACAGGGGATCACACTGACTGACAGCCAGCGCAGGTGAGAGACAGTCTATCCTGATAATACTTCAGTCTTGTGTATGACAGGTGGGCTACACCATCACTTTTACCTGCAGTATTCACAGTTTGTTCCTAAAACTATTATTCATCACACCTCCTGATTACTTTGTCTCTTTGGACGCCTTAGGAATCAATAAGTGGCTCATCCCCTCTTATTTAAGATGTTTCCAAACCATAGGAACTTTTCATAGCTGTAGGAGCTGCAGGGACCCTTCCACTAGTTATTGTGTCTGCATCACAAGAGCTATAATCTCTTCCGGCTCCAAGGACCCCTTTAAAAGGGACCTTCTTACCTCCTGCGTCAGATTAGGTACTCACTCAGAGGGAGAGAGACTCAGATGAGTGAGTCTATGTTGATTGGTCCAATCTGACACAAACTGAAAGTTCCTCACAGTAGCTTTAACATCAAGGTTCATATCGCCCATCACCAGATAAATCCAGACCAAGAAAAAGTCCCCATAGTGTGTAGTTTTGGTGAACTCCCTTGTGAGTGGTTCCTCCTCTAAAAGTCCCCAGAACTGTTTGGCTGGAAAACACCTACCTTCCTTAAATACCTGTTTGAGAGATAGACAGTCTTCAGTTTTAAGTCTCTCCTGTAAATGATTCCAGTGTAGCCTGTCTTGGGTAATGCAGACCCTCCAGATCCATTCAGTAAACCGATATATTTCCTTTTATTTTATGGGAAATATCAAAGGAGTTCATCTTCAAATTGGCTCGTATAAGTAGTCAGTCTTTATTTTTTTGGGTCTCAAGAAGACATCAAATTTTATTTCTGTTTGGTCCATGACAACTGGAAACTCCTCACAGGAGCCCTTTAGATAACCTTTAAGAGTGGAAATGTCTTTACAGTCCTGTTTGACCTTGTTTCTTTTCTTCTAGGCTTTTCTTTCGGAGACATTACCCTGTCAACAGTGTAACTTTCAGCAGCATCGACCCTAAGGACCGGAGGTAGGCCAATCAAAATAAGGAATCTGGTTGATTCTTGGAGCTGTAGCTGGAACCGTACTAACCCAGAGTCTGCAGAAGTCATAGACACATCACCACCACAATCAGTCACTCATTGCATCCATGATCATTCACTGCATTTGTTGCTGTGAGCTCTGGCATGGATTGTTCGCCTGTTTTGTGAGTGCATTTGTGGCCTGAGTGAATATGTGAGAGTGTGCATGTGAGGCAGGTCATTATGTCCATGAGCACGCTGGCTGTGGCCGAGGCTGCAGCTGCATCAGCTTGTTTGGCAGCTCTGAATGTGAGTGTTTGTCTGAGTCTGGTTTCTGTCTCTTTCTCTTTTGGCTTTAGGTGGACTAATCCAGACAACACCACTGTTAAGTAAGTGCTCTCTTTGTGTGTGCGTGTGTTCATGAGAGGAAATAAGAGTGTGCGCATGTGTGTAATTTGGGAAGAAGGTGTAGATGAGCTGTGGCTGAGAAATCAGTGATATTTGAGCCTCTGCATGGCACCAGATTGCGTGCAAGCCTTGGCAAAATCATTCCAGCAAACATGATTTAACAATGAAAACCAAGTCCCACATGGCCCCATAATCCTGGGTCTACTTTTAGTCTAGATAACCCTGTATGCGTACCTGCAAGAACAACAGAAAACGTGTCTAATTTCCTCCCTTCTGCATCCTCTGACTTCAAGTCTCTGCCTTTTTCCTCACATCTTCCTGTCTGTTTTCCTCATTTCCTTCCTCAGGGTGTTTGGTTTCGTTGCCAAGAAGCCGGGCAGCTTGGCCGAGAACGTTTGCCACCTGTTTGCCGAGTTGGATCCTGAACAACCTGCATCTGCTATCGTCAATTTTATCAACAAAGTCATGCTGGCACAGCGCCGGTAGAGGGAGACAGCGAGAGAAAACCACACTCCAAAGATCAAATGAGCAGTGAGATGAAACATAAATCAGTGACAAGGCTTTCATTGTTTCAGTGTTTTCTGAATAAGTCCCATAACATTAACACTATTTCATCATGCAAAGACTCTGTTTTTATTTTGGAGGTGATTTAAAATCCAAGTCCCTACTGTTGATTATAGTTCATTTGTGTATTTTCAACTATGTCTAACACTCAACAAGAATCAGTTGAGAGAATAATTACATTTCAATTTTTTAACATAGATCAGTTTTTCTGAGTGACAAAAAAAACACAACCACAGTGGTTTGTGTGACATCTGCGCCAAAAACAGGGAGGTGACAGAAGAAACCTCCTGAATCCATATTAGCTTTCTAGGAATAAAATCCTCCTCCACCAGGGGCCTGTATCACCAAGAGGACGTAGAGGGTTATTCATCAATATTGTGTTGTCTGGTGTCATTTAGCTGGCTCAGCTTCAACCAGCATAGAGCACTACAAGCATAACCTCCTCCAGATGAGGTTTGGCTGAGATGGTCAGAAAACCTGTCAAATTCCTCCAGGTTCTTGACATAGGGTCTAAAAGAATAGAGTGTTCAACCAGGGCTCCTGTATCAGCATTCAGGACAGTGGGAGCTCAGTTTGATTTATAAGTTCCTGTGACATCCAGCTTTGGCCTCTTTAACACAAAGCAGCTCTGCAGCAACACCGTAACCAACTTCCCCCACCACTCTGCTTTTGTACTTTACAAACCGAGCGCTGCAAAGGTATAATTCTGACGTCTCAGTGTGTTATTTCACATTGCATGACAGTATTGGGGTGCTGCGAGAGGCACGGCTTGTAAACACACACTAAGAGAACACACACACACACACACAGTGTGCTGCACAGTCTAACCCCCGTTCTGACTGCCTGTTGCACTTAGATAAAACAGCCCTATATAAGGTAGCACTAGATTTATGCAGTTGAAGACAAAAAATTAAAAACTGCCTTTATTAGTAAAAATTTTAAACTTATCAGTTTAAGTTGAAAATTTTTAACAGACGACAGTGTCATGAACTTTTCGATTACTTAAGTGCATCAGTGCCTCCTTAAACCCCAATGTGTTTGTTTCTATGACAACTTGAATCATATAAAAGACCTAAAAACACTTTTTTTATATGAAAATTAGGATAAAATATGACAGTAATATAATTGTGTAGCTATTTTACTTTGGAGAGGTTGTCACATAGTTTTTTGCACCACACAGGCTCAGCTCAATGAAGCCAGACTGAGTTCATCTTGGTTTAGGATACAGGCTCCTGGTTGGATGATGGTTAACAGAAGCTCTTATTATCTGTTTAGTGTATAAATGAATAAATAAAGCAGCTTTAAGGACACACAGACTGTGTAAAGTGCTTACAAAGAAGATATTTTGTTGCACTGTGTCCAGGCAACAGATAAAGACACATAAAATGACTGCCTAAAAAAAAAGTAAGTGTTTATATGATGTATTGCTACAAAAGTCTGTATTTTTCTTTGTATAAAAAGGACCAAAGCCCTGATGGTGTAATTCAGTTTCAATATGCAGAGATGTTCAGGTATTTAGATGTATGTACAGCATATTTACACACTCTTGCCTTCAACCTTCCATAGCAGCTTTACACACACATCAAACTTTGAGACTGTTATTGACAATCATGGTTTTTCACTCACATACACTACAAACAGAGAGAGAGGGGTGTAACTCTAATGAAAGCTAACATGAATGTGAGGTTTTTAACCTTTAATAAGTGTGTGTGTAGGAGAGGGACTGGCCTGGTGTTTGTGTGTGTGTGTGTGTTGAGAGGGTATTAAGGTGAACATGTTGGGTGAGGTTTGGTTACGTCCAAATTCAAAGAAAAGTACGTGAAACACGGGAAAAAGCTTGATGAGGAGGGACGTACAGAGTAAGAGCACACCATTGCCATGAAATGTTCATGATTTCAAACATTCATATCAAACTTATTCTTAAACAAAGCAAAGGCAGGTAAAGACACACAGGTGAAGACTGACGTATTTAACCAAAGACGAAGCACTCTTGTATTAATAAGCTTTTATCCAGCTATATTTTTGTACTTATTACTTCTTATATTTGTACTATGCATTTATTTAGTGTGTGTTTCCTCTCTTGTTAAACCCAAGATAAACACTACTTGTATTACAGTGATAATATATTGTGGTCTGTTTTCTTGTCCTCTGTATTATGTAGTAATATATTTTCACATGCAGCTATAGGACAGTGTATGAGACATAAAAAGGAAATGTTGTTTGGAAAGGATGTGATGCTGTTTTGTATGCAGAAAAATGAAGAATAGAATTAAACTGAAATTATGTGGTACCTGAAGGGCTTCTTGGTCTGCTTTTATTTGCTGTAATTGGTATTTGGAAACTGTAAGACATACAGGAGCAGGTAGAGAGGTTCTCAACAGAGGAAGAGTAGTTTCTTGTTGTGATAAAATTTGCCATTAAACATCTTGAAATTACAGACATTATTCTACCAAAAAGTTTGGCTGTTGTTTGTAAAAATAAAACAATACAGTGGTTTTCAAAATCATTTCAACTCTATCTTGATTGGAAAATGGTGCAAAGACAACAAATCAACTCCGTCTTAGTCTTTGCTGATGCAGGATTTCAGCTGATAAACAGACAGTTTTTGTCCCATAATGCACTTCCCTGAAAAAGACATTGTCTAGATGGCAGTATATGTTGCTCAAAGACCTGTATATATTGTTTGGTACGGATGATACCTTCCCAGATGTGTGAGCGACTCATGGTATGGGGACTTACGCATCCTCATGACAGCATGGCTTTTTAGCTACCCCAATGTGTAAAGCAAGGAACAATCCGTGCAGTTAATAGTATTTGACAGAGAGGTGGTTAAGATGTAAGAAGGTGGTTATATTCAAACACTTGGAGTGATTATTCATCAATACAACATTTTTTATTCTCGTCTGCGGGGTGAAATAATGGATCAGTCCTCATATTGAAGTATTGTCAAAACATAATCCAGCTTAAAAAAAGAGGTATAAAGAAATCATTTTCCTGGTTTACAGTGAGGAGGAAGGGCTTAATATCAGGAGAACTATCAGGAGTTTGTGGTCATTTATATAGATCATAATGTAGTAATATGTTGCTAGTATGAATGTATACTAGGTATTTTGAATGTGAATTGTCTGTATATCTATAATGGTTGTAATGTAGTAAGACAAAAACGTGCTGGTCTCAAAGTGAAAATCAACAAGTAATAAATACAAAACCATCGTAGGAGTTTCATTCATTTTATGGTTATTTTAAACATTAACTTAAGAAATAAAAATAATGAAACGAGACCAGTGTTTTTGGTTTCAATCACTTTTATTTATTCACAACTCATTATCATCTCTATTTAAGAACCATATTTTTAAAAACACTAGTAAAATCTTTCGTACAGAAATTTACAAACTATCCCTTTAAAAATAATCACAATTTCTCAGTCAATTTTTTTTTTGCACTATGAAGTCAAGCTTATGGAAGAAAGACGCTTTAAGAAGAGACCTTCATAAATACCTGGTAAGTTTTCGTGATCACTTAAAAATGTGATTTTTACCTCATATCTCAAAGAGAAGTCGATCTGAGAACATGATTCCTCTCGTTTTTTGCTTTGACCTGAAGGTGCTCCAAGCTGCTGTCATGAAATGTTCCAAGGACTAACTTATACAATCATTTAGTAACTTTTTCAATATGTTGATGCCATTTTTAACTTGAGATTCAGAGAGTAGATGAATGTGTGTAACAGTATGTCCCGGTTTCAAGGTGCAAATACTAAATAATCCCTGCATTCGATTCAAAATAGAAACAGCAGGCAGCCTCTGGTTCAGCAGCCTCTGGTTAACACAGTGTTATGATACAAAGGTCATTCAAGCTTTGCAGAAGAATTCTTTCCTGATGTTGCAACAGCAGCAGACAGACAGACAGAGCACTGCACTGTTATTAAAGGGATGGTAAAAATGCTGTCTGTGGCAGATCCTGGTCAGCTGAGAATGTGGTCTGTTCTCTGGACAGAAAGAACATTTGTCCTGCCTACTAAACAGAGCTACAGTGTGCTCATTGGCAGGGGCCTGGTTCATTTCTCTACATCTGGTTTGACTGATGTGACTCACTCTGAAACAGCTAAACTTCAGCCAATCCAGAGCCAAGCTAAGGCAAGTCAAAATCAATATCTGATGCTGCGTGGAGTGAAATATCAAAGTCTGACAGCCACCAAAACAAACCGCTTATCGACTGCTTCTGGACTGTCCAAATGAAAATCTATGCACTCTGGTTGTCTAGGAAACAGAACCATCATTCACAGCGACTTATTCTGCCAGATCTAAAAGGAGGAAGCACCTTTTCGTACGTCTGTTGCTGGTGGTTTTCTTTGAGACGGAAAGAGAATCCATCCTGGAGTGTGCACTAACACCCGTCCCTCTGCAGTACTCAGAGCAGAGGGGGGCTGACGGATAAGACAGGCGAGAGGGTGGAGGTGAAGTGCTGCTGGACGTCTGTGGTGTTGGAGCCACAGTCGATGTAGCGGTACGCCTCCAGGCTGTTCATGGTCGTGTGCACCATGTTGGCGGTTTTCACTGTGGTTCTGAAAGTGGGAACAGGAAACAGGAAGTGAGTCCAAATACAGAACTGGTCTCCATGTTGCTCTGCCTCTTCAGGTCTTACTATGAGCACAGGTTCTGACACTTTTTCCATCCTATAGGCAACAAAGTAAAAACTGGACATGCATTAACGATAAAAGAAGACAAAGACAAGAATTATCTACTTCTGATCAAGATCATTGTGTAAAATTGTGCTTATTTTTTAACTTGAGGACAAATTTATGTAAACTATGGTCCACATTGTGTCACATCAGTCATTCCCTGTAGGAAGTGACTGATGTTGTAACGTCGACTTAGACTGTTAGACAGCATGACACGACAAAACTGAACAAAAGTTTTCAGCTCAGAAAAGGTCTCGACACAAAACTTTGAAGACTTTTCTACGCACTGTGTTTATGCCACTGCTGGATCTGTTTTTATGCCTAAACCTCCACAAAAATCTAAGTTCAAATGTACCAGGAGTAAAAGAAAAGAGATACTTACTGCATAAGTACAACTATGTTGTGGACCTTAATGCTGGTCATGGTGCAGAAGGCACTGAAAAAGAGACAAACACGAAAACAGAAGATTTCGACTGAGAAGAGCAGCAGTTATGTAGAAATCTTTATTCATGATGGTTTCTGTTTGTATATCCAGAGAAAAAAAAAACCTCCTGGTTGTTTCAGTTTTCAGTCAAAGGGGCACTTCAGTCAGTTTACTCATGATAACAGATCTACTGGACTGTGAAATCAGTTACATAACTTCCTCTGTGGCTCTGATGGGAATCGTTTTAGGGCTGGAAAAAAACTGATGTCGACACCACGGTTACTTATCTTGAGCTCAGAGGGCTGCAAATACAGCACTACAAAACTACCTGTTCTCAAAGAAGGATCAGATGTTCAAACACAGTCGCAGAAGTCTGAATACTGCATCGATGACGAAGAAATCACTCATATTTTCATTTCTGTTTGCATCTGAATCAGGGATGTTTCAATTTGAAAGCTGGAGATGGAGAGGTAGAAACTATGTGAGGTGTAGGCGGCAGGGGAGTTGCATTATGGGAAGTATCCAGAGCTCCTGGAGCCTGTCCCATACTCGGGACTCAAAGTCAGGATTATAGTAAAGTCTCTGCTGCCTCAAATTTGACCATTCTTTCAATAATCCATCTCTCACATGCTGACCCGCTGTTTTGGAATCTTTGACTAAAGAAACTGAGTTTTCCTTTCAGCCACAAGAGTCCACTTCCCTGTGAGACTCTGCAGACCACTTCAGATGTTTGGTGTTTCTACATGGTGCTGAAAAGCTGTTCAAGTCTGAGAGTCTGAGTAGAGACACTTACTAGACATACGGTGCGCTGCTGCCAATCTCCACGCTGACTGTGTAGTTCACCTGCAGAAGATTGACACATTACAAACACACCAGGTTTTTTTTAAGTTAATAAAAACAGGAATTGATGGTTTGCAAATGTTAAGCAGCTGAAATCCTAAATCAGGGACAAATGAGACATTACTTCACCTTCTCCTCAGTTCCTGGATGTTTACAAAGTTTTGTTAGAAGAAGAGCTGACGCTGCACAAACACGCTCCTAATCCCAGCTGTTCAGACACGTGTTACTGGCATCAAATTTAACTTTTCTATTCTCAAATAATCATAATTTTCAAACCACCAAATCTGCCTGTATTTACATTATACACAGCATCCTTACTTTTCTGGAAAGGAAGTAACTTCTTCTGTTTAGCAGTCAACAAATACATTTCCTGTTAGCTTCATGACTTCCAGAAAACCACGCTTTATTTTCACATCACAAATTAATTTTGCGGTGGACTAAAATTATTGGGTGTGTAGTACCTGATCTAAATCATGGTTCTCTGACTTTTCTTGAGTATCAAGGGGGGATTTATTTCAGTTTTTTTATCAATGAAATTAATTAACAAGAAGCCTACACATCATGGACAATGAATTTCAACGTTTTTATACAGCATTTCAATTTCAACGATGAAATATTCACATTCATTCAAAGCCTTTTATAACTATGTTGCAATTTTACAATTAAGCCCGTAATAGGAACCTTTCACTGCGAAACTGAGCGCCATTCTCTTGACTTTCCGGCGCTCTGCTTCAGTCGGGGGAAGCACTCTGTTCAGGAGAAAAGCGTGTAGCTGGTGATAAACTGTATATAATTTTCGCACATGCGCAGTATAAATCCGGTTTCCAGGACGGATCAGGTAGCGACAGGCAGACACCGCGGACACCGCACCATGTACAGAGATCAGCCCAATGTTTCTAGCCCACTGCAAAATTAATTAAATTAAGAAAACGGGGGTAAAAATATAAATAATCCATGTCTGTTTAGGGCTTCCATATCAAAGCACAAAATTCCACCTTAAGAGAGCCTGTCCGAGCATTTTGCAATGCTGGTACATCTTAAGCAGTTAAAGAAGTTTAACTTCTAGTGGTTACTCGCTGCTCTAACAGCGTTTCGAAGAAAGTTACTGACACAGAAGTACAGTAATTGTTGCCCATGTTCTTGTGATACTCATGAGTACTCAGACAGGCAGGATAGTGTATTGTGCATTACTGTTAAATAAGCCAGAGTTCTTATCTGCTTGATGATTAATAGCGTAAATAGAAAATCTAGCTTTCACAATGCATAAAGTTCTTGTAAGAAGGATTAAGTCATGCTCAGTTTTTGCCCTTTTCATGGGATTTGCTGGCAGAAGTAGTAATCAAATATTTGCAGTTTAAGGCCAGTGGCTGTGTGTGTTCTTGTACTAAAGTATTCAAGTATGAACACTTTTCAGAAACAGCGTTTTTGCAGTAGAGCAGCAGCAGCTGTGAGCTCATATTCAAAGATATGTTTTGAAACAGAGACCACATCCTGTTACAGACACACCTACACATGTGCTTTACAGTCATGATAAGCTTGTTTGCGCTCTGTACCTGCACTTGAAGCAATGGCTGCTGACGTACACTCACCGGCCACTTTATTAGGTACACCTGTCCAACTGCTCGTTAACACTTAATTTCTAATCAGCCAATCACAAGGCGGCAACTTAGTGCATTTAGGCATGTAGACATGGTCAAGACAATCTCCTGCAGTTCAAACCGAGCATCAGTATGGGGAAGAAAGGTGATATGAGTGACTTTGAACGTGGCATGGTTGTTGGTGCCAGAAGGGCTGGTCTGAGTATTTCAGAAACTGCTGATCTACTGGGATTTTCACGCACAACCATCTCTAGGGTTTACAGAGAATGGTCCGAAAAAGAAAAAATATCCAGTGAGCGGCAGTTCTGTGGGCGGAAATGCCTTGTTGATGCCAGAGGTCAGAGGAGAATGGCCAGACTGGTTTGAGCTGATAGAAAGGCAACAGTGACTCAAATAACCACCCATTACAACCAAGGTAGGCAGAAGAGCATCTCTGAACGCACAGTACGTCAAACTTTGAGGCAGATGGGCTACAGCAGCAGAAGACCACGCCGGGTGCCACTCCTTTCAGCTAAGAACAGGAAACTGAGGCTACAATTTGCACAAGCTCATCGAAATTGGACAATAGAAGATTGGAAAAACGTTGCCTGGTCTGATGAGTCTCGATTTCTGCTGCGACATTCGGATGGTAGGGTCAGAATTTGGCGTCAACAACATGAAAGCATGGATCCATCCTGCCTTGTATCAACGGTTCAGGCTGGTGGTGGTGGTGTCATGGTGTGGGGAATATTTTCTTGGCACTCTTTGGGCCCCTTGGTACCAATTGAGCATCGTTGCAACGCCACAGCCTACCTGAGTATTGTTGCTGACCATGTCCATCCCTTTATGACCACAATGCACCCAACTTCTGATGGCTACTTTCAGCAGGATAATGCGCCATGTCATAAAGCTGGAATCCTCTCAGACTGGTTTCTTGAACATGACAATGAGTTCACTGTACTCAAATGGCCTCCACAGTCACCAGATCTCAATCCAATAGAGCATCTTTGGGATGTGGTGGAACGGGAGATTCGCATCATGGATGTGCAGCCGACAAATCTGCGGCAACTGTGTGATGCCATCATGTCAATCTGGACCAAGCTCTCTGAGGAATGCTTCCAGCACCTTGTTGAATCTATGCCATGAAGAATTGAGGCAGTTCTGAAGGCAAAAGGGGGTCCAACCCGTTACTAGCATGGTGTACCTAATAAAGTGGCCAGTGAGTGTATGTCGTACACACAGACACTGTTTACTCAGAAACGTCATAAATTTCTTATTTAAGCTAGAATCTTACACAATAGCCACTTCTTTAAACTTTTACATATAAACAGGGTTTAAAGTTGAACGTTTATGGACCCTTACATAGAAATTCATCCTTTTTCAATGTCTTTTTTTTTTTTCTATTTTACCTGAATGTCACTGAGCGGCAGGAGGGTAGTGATGTTGTGTTGCTGCTGACTGCCAATCACTGACTTCATGTAAAACACCTGACAGCTCACACTGTCCACCCACACCGAGAAGAAGTTTGGGTTGCTGAGGTTCAGAGTGCTCTGTGGAAAAAAAACATTCAGCAACAAGAAAAAGTTCAGTCAGTTCCAATAAAGATTGTGAAGGAGGTTTGTGGAAAAAAACGAACCCAGGTGTTAGTGTTGTGATCGGCAGCTCATTGCATAGAACAGATTAGGCTGAAAAAGTTCTGCTTTTAAGAAAGAAGAAAACTCTTCTATGATATGATACAACTGAAGCAAGTCTCACACATGGAGAACAAAAATGAGGTTTTATCTTATAGACCTCAAGGTCAAACTTTGAGATTGTTCTGAATCATGAGCCCTTTTCATACTACCAGTTATCAGCCTCGTCTTCATATCCTTATTATGTCCTGCCATCAGTACAAGTGCCATGGAGGCGCGGTGGTCAGATCAAGACAACACACCGGTGTCAAAGAGAAGTTACAGGTGAGGCAGGATCGACATGAGCCAGTGAAGCAGGCAGAGCAGGAACAGAAACAGCATAGAGATGATGGCCTTAGAGCATGGCTGTAGACTTGCAGTTTGAAAAGGACCACTGGCCTTTTAGCCCTGGCAGCAGACTTGACTCAAACATGATCATCTAAATGTATAAAATCAGCAGAGGTGCTGTATCGGCAGAAAAGTTCAAGGGACAGGTTGAGGCATTAAAAAATACTGGCGTAGCAGTTTGGTGGGGCTCAGTGTATATCTTTCAATGAGGCCTAAATTCTCAGGTGTCAGGTTGATCAGACAACATTAGATAAGCACTTAAAGGACAAGATAAGCAAAGACATCTTTGTCCACAGGGGGGCGCTAAACTTGACACAAAAACACTGAAAGTTTCTCACAGGAGCTTTAAATAAAAATGCAGATTTTTGAGCGACATATTCTGCACCTAAGCTTAAAAAGCTAAATGAAACAGCTGATCAGCATAGTTGCTCATTTATTTCCTAGAACAAATAAATTAATTAATCACTTGTTTATAAAATATATAATGAATGCATGAAAACAAACTCAGCATAAACTAGTACTTCTGCTAAAAGAGAGAATTCAATCAAACAGGATTTTCCTATACTACATAAATAAGAGTTCAGCTGAGCAACAACTATTTTGATTACCAAACAGAGACTTAAACCAGGCTGATTCCAACAGTCCATATTTTCCAGTCTCCTTATTTCTCAGTAATCCGCATTTAAATTTAAGGAAAAAAAAACAAGAAATGTGAGGATTAATCATAGGCTTTGGGAAACAACAATCCTCAGTTTTCACGACAGATGCAACAGTTAGTTGTTTATTTGAAGCTCCTGAAGGGAGTTTTTCACAGGTCACAAAATAGACTGAAATTAACAGTGCTACCTTTTTGTGACCCGATCAAGCAGACTGGACAACTTCTGTGTTGTAATTCCTAATGCTTGAAACTGCTCCGAGAGATGAGGTGGATGACACATGTCCAGGACAGCATCAGCAAAGATATCAGAGGTACAAACAAAAATTTCTCCATAGGAGCTTTAAAAAAATCTATTAATTACAGAACAATGAAAAAATAAACTGTGTTCGAAGCCATAGATTTAAGCGATGAAAATTTGGTATACTGTTGATCAGATTCTGTTTGTTTTGAGGCTGTAGTATTTCCTCGAACTGTAAAAAGTCTTTTTCATCAGTCTCACCCTCCAGTTCAAAAACACTACAAACTGCAGCTTCCAAAGTGAAACTTTTCAGAAACCACACCTCTTAAAAACATTTGCAGCAAATAACTAGACTTTAAACCCTTCATTAAATATAGCAGGAATGTCAGATTAGGCTTAATTACTCTCAGCTTAGTGCACCTAATAAAGTGGCAACGAGGTAGAGTAAGCTTTAATAAGGTCAGAGTGAGAGGTACCTACCGTCATGTTCATTAAGACCCTCTGATTGGTGGTGTCGAACTGTACGGTGACTGTGTGTACACCATCATCTATGACGACCACAGAGCGAGGGAAGAGGAAGAAGGCCCCGAGCGAGGAAGCCAGGAGACACAAAGTGATTGACAGGACCACATATAGCTTCCTGTGTGACACACAAAAATAAAGCAGCTTAGCTTTCCTGATAACCTCTGACTCTTGGAGCTGGAAATCAATGTACCACAGGGCCAAGAAAACACATATATGTTAGCTAGTTTTCCTGACTTACGTTCTTTGGGGCTGCAGCCTTTGGTCACTGTATGGGATCAGTGCAACCAGTTCATTTACTTGATCTATGAGACAAAGAAAAACAAGTCATGTAACACACTGATAACCGTTTGACCTTCAGATAGATATTTTTGACCCCTGACTTAACCTCTGAAGTTGCAAAATGATGGCAACTGTTTTCAGATTTTGCAGCATTATAACTTCACTAAAATTAAGCCCATGCTGCGGTGTTCATAATAGAGGAGCTGGAAGATTTGAATCTCAGAAAAGGGGAAATATAAAAGCATACAGTATCAAAAAAGGACTGCATAAATATTTGAATGTCTGGACAAATATGGCCCAGAGCAGAGGGACTTTTCAGAGACCTACAATTGTTTTATTACTTAAACAAAAACTGCAGACTTCAGGAATCAGCTACGGCTCCCCATCAGTCAAGCAGACACAAACAAATAACAGGGAAAACAGGGCCCAGGTTAAAAATATGAAATACCCCTTTAAGTTGCTATAACTGTTTTGACTGATTACTGTCATTTTTTGTTGCTTTTTTTGTTTAATGTGAATTCTGTATCTTAACGTCATTGTAAATTAGGGAAACCTCAATGATTTTCGAGGCCTCATTAAAATGTTAATTAAAATAATGCCAAGAGAATTAAAGACACACAAGGTTACAGTAAGGCTCAGTAAAGGGGAATTATTTGCATAGATTCTAGGACTTCCCAAACTGAGTTTCTACAGAAGTCATATTCAGCAAACAAGCTGAGTGTTTCAGTAAGACTGAGGTACCCATGACCTTGGTGGATTTCTATTTGAATCACATTTTGTGTCTGAATAAAAGGAGTGTTACAAAGCTGCTGCAAGCTCTTTGGCAGCCAGAACAAAGATCAATTACTAAAAAGTGGCTAAATCCAGCAGCAGCAACAATAGATGGAATAACTCAAGAAATATTCAAAGCGGAGAAAGAACTCACTCTGAGTTCTGGCAAATTTGAAACAAGTGGATCTGATTTTAATGCAGCAGATTTTCTTTGTCACTATAAACTGTGTATGTTCCCTTCCCCTCTTGTATGATAACACAGTCTGTGTCAGCTCCTCTGTTTCACTGATCGTTGGTGTGGGAAGCATACGCAGGAAACATGCTCCCGGCAGAAGTGAAAGCATGAACTGAGTGTCGATTACTCAGTAACATGAGAGTATAAATGGATGCATTCACTTGGAAATGATGATGGAGGACTGAAACATTATCAGAGTGGAGTGCGCTTCCACAGACCATGCAGCCTCACAGCCTCTGTTTGTGCAAAAAGATTGTAATATGAAAATGTGTTTCCAAAAAACCACCTACTCTCATAATACTCAAGATGTGCTTTTCCATAAATTTTATATTGATTCATATTTTTGAGCCAAAATATGTACCAATAAAGTCAAAATATCCGCCCCAGCTATTCTTGGTTTTTAATTTCATTACAATACTGCTTAGGACAGACACTGAGAATGGCTGTTACTCTGCCTGTAGGGGCTTGACAGAGTGGCAAACTAGGCTGCAGATTCATGACTGCCATCCTGGGACCACAGCTCTAAGACCCTTATTATGGAAATACCTAGGGGTGGGAGAAAAAAAGTATTGCGATTTTTTGTTTTACAATTTTAAATCGTTTTTTATATTCAAATTTTTTTTTTTTTTTCTTCAAATTCAGGAATAAAGGTCCTTACACACCGGAGCTGATGCGAATACAGAACGCGAAATTACGAAATATTCGGAGGTGAATTTTGATGCGCCTAACTATACACATCAAGCCCGATGCAATTTTGCGACTTTCCAGGGGGAAAAAACACGTCCCAGGTGGAAGTGAGAAGACTGACACAACAGCAGACTGACTGTTTTTCAGTTCTGATTAGACACTAGTGTTGAGATGGCTGTCTGTCATGATAGCATGTACTGAGTCGGAGCCAGTACCAGATAAGCACATTAAACTATAATCCATAAATGTAAAGTAACAACGGAGACCTAATGGTGCTGTGACAGCAACGCAATTCAGTTTAAAACAGTGAAAATACATATGGTATGTTGTATCTGAACAGGTTAGCCTACGAGCTAAAGTTACTTAGTACAGATAAAAGTTAAAACAAAGACGTTTAGCAAACTGTTAAAGCACACAAACCATCGTCATATGAGAAATTCAACGCTATGACTCTCCACAAATTGTCCTTCAGGTCGTTATCTTTGTAATATTTGTGTCTTTTATCAAAAAGCACTCTGTTCTCCGACACGTAAACAATCAGCCGGTTGGCCATGTTGGATATACCGGTGAATGTGACGTCGCAACAACACGCAATCTGATTGGTCAGAAGTGGATACGCAGTAAACGAAACTTTAGAAAAATCAACCATTATCCGAAAAAATAAATGCCGCAATATCGCAGGACGGGAAAATGTCGCTGATGTGAACGCTTGTATTGACAGGATACGGGTTCGAAAAAAAATATCGACGTCCGAAATAATCGCACGTAAAAAACGGTCCCGGTGTGAAAGGACCTTCAATCTTAAAAACTGACTTACATGTGATGTGTGTTTTTGGGGGAAATATGGTTCCTGGAATAGTCAGTAGACAATCATAATCATTCAACTGTTGTTGGTGTTAATAATGTAGACAAAAGGTCAAGAAATTCAACAATATCATAGAATCACAATTTAAATCGAATCAGCATCCAAAAAATCGTAGAAGAATTGAATCAGGAGAAAAGCATATCGTCCCAGCCCTAGAAATACCATTTCACACCCTGGGAAAAGGTGGATTTGTGCAGGGCATTAGACCCCTCTGAGCACTTATCCGTGAGCAGCATACATCTATATGTGTGTATCTCTGTCATGGTGTGTAGCATATAACTAAAACACTTTTAAAAAAATCACCTCTCCTTTAAGTATTTGTCATTTTTCTCCTTGGACACAAACATGCTGACATCTCCAAAGACGTGTGCTGTATCAGCTGATGATAAAGAAGTGCGTGCTGATCTGACTGACGGGCAAAGACATTGTGTTCCAAGACTGAAAACTAACACATATACCACATGTTGTGTACTTTTTCCAATGCTGTGATGTGATTTGGCGCATGTGCTTTCCTGAAGAGACGCTAATCCAGTACAGGACAATGATACTGTTGTTGTACTTACATGATATTCGTCCTGTCCCCTGGCATGTTGGACACGTTATACTATCCCTGCCGGTGAACTCCACATATGGAAACTGAGCTATATCCTCACGTCTGCTCATCCCATCCAGAGAGTCATTATCAGAGTCGTTCTGCTCTCCTGACCGGGCATTGTTCTTTCTCTCCGGGAGGAGTGACAGGCTGCTGTCGCTGCGAGACCACCTCATCCCCATGGTGGATGAACCCGTCAGGGGGACGGTCAAGACAGAGTTTCCCGTCCGACTACAGCCAGCCTGCAGGTGGATGGAAACAAGCCGTCAAAGTGGAGATAATCGAGCAAAATAAATCAGCAAAAAAGCCGCTTTGTTTACCTAAAACTGACTGTGATTATCTCCTGAAACGAGCTGACGGGGCAGAATTAGGCGTTAACGAGGATGAGCTGGACGGTGTTTGGATGAACTAATGCGCTAACAAAGATGTTCAACGGTCAAACTTTTAGCATCAAGTAAATGTAGCCACCTGTATCGCAGTAAATGTTACACAAAATACACAAACGTTACTCACCTTTTTCACCAAACAAGTCAAACTTTGCCATGCCGCAATCGTGTCAGTGCCAGCAGCTCACTCATCTCAGCTCCGTGTCACACCGAAGTTTGGCTGCGTTTGGATCCCGCGTTCACGAGCTGCCGAAATAATCGGACAAACTGGTTTCCGACTGGGGGGCATTCACGTGCGGCATGTTTTAAGGTTTTAAATCCAAAGAAATATAAGAATTTCGGAGAAAAGTTTAGCATACGACTTACCAGGTCGTAAGAATTTTTGTTAATCGTGGCAGAAGCGTGGTGGGCCAAAGTTAACGTTAGCTTTACGAGAAAAATATGATACAATTCTCTTTTTTCTCCATGAAAATGTCTTTTTGTTTAAATTTCCAGTTGCAGCGTGGTGTTTAGTTTTCAGTGTTCATGATAAATAATCTATTTCTCTAATGTAAAATAAAAACTTCTTTTACCATATGCACACATACACACTGGGGTCAGACGGCTGCCAAACCCAAGAACTGGGACCATCCGAGGAATACATGAATGCAGCAATATTCTGATGCCTTCAAGTGACTTACGTACCTTTGAGAACCCAAATGTGTGATTCCAAAATACGACAGGTTTTTGCGTTAAATAACGACCACTGCAACTAAAACCAATACTTTTACTATAAAAATGATTACTTATCATAATAATAATATATGCTGTCAAAATAGTATATGAAACAAGAAGTTGCTCTGGAAATTGTTTTTGTTATTACTATTATCATTATTATTATTATTATTATTGTTGTTGTTGTTGTTGTTGTTGTTGTTGTTGTTGTTTTATGTATTGTGTTTTGTTACACTAGGGAAATAGTTTTTGCTCAGTTGGTGGAGCAGGTACCCCATATTTAAAGTATGCAGTCCTGAACTGTATCCACGACTGGTGCAAGTTGTTCCCCATTCTCTCACTCTACATTTCATGCCTTTCCTTGGTTTATCAATTTTGTGAAGGCTAAAACTGATAAAATAAAATAAAATAAATAAAAAATCGATACATTGTATCAAACGCGAGTAAAATGAGGCACACCAAGCTCATATGTTCTGTTTATTATCATTATTTATTAAATACCCACAGATTTAGCATTTTTTTATTCCTTAAAGATTGTCTTTAAATCACATAGGAGCCACATAGAAATTCGTTCGAAATATCAAATGTCCCTTTGGTTCACCAAGGCACAACATGTACTCTGAATGATTCCGAGGCTGTCAGTGGTATTTGAACGCACCCAGATTTTTCCAGTTTGATTGGTGTGTCAATTGGAAGGCTCACTGCCGCCCTCTACTGGTAAAAATCTGGGCAACGTTTGATATGAACCTCATTCAATACTGGAGAAGGGGCTAAACAGAAGAAATCACCAAGCTTTCATCAGTTTAAAAGTTTCTTTCAAACTTCTGTCTTTTGCACCCTTAAATTTATTCTTTTGTCATTCATTATTAAGGTTTGTAGACTTTCAAACAACAGATGGAAAAGATGAGGTTTTACAAAGTTTTTTGTGTGTACTTGTGTGAAGTGCTACATGTGGGGAGATTCTAAACACTGGTCAGACGTAGTTTTTCCTTCAGCTCTTCATTCTCTTTCTGCAGCAATTTATTCTGAAAGGAAAAAGGAATAAGAAACAGTTTTTTATTCCTGCAATACAGAACACCGTAACATTTAGAAAACCCAATCCCATTGAAGTTGGGAAATTGTGATAAACCTAAATAAAATATGAATACAATGATTTGCAAATCCTTTTTAACCTATATTTAATTGAATACACTACAAAGACGATATTTAACGCTTAAACTCATAAACTTTATTTTTTTTGCAAATAATAATTAACTCAGAATTTCATGGGTCAACACGTGCCAAAGTAGTTGGGACAGGGGCATGTTTACCACTGTGTTACATCACTTTTCCTTTTAACAACACTCAATAAGCGTTTGTGAACTGAGGAGACTTATTGTTGAAGCTTTGAAGGTGGAATTTTTTCCCCATTCTTGCTTGATGTACAGCTTCAGTTGTTCAACAGTCCGGGGTCTCCGTTGTCGTATTTTACGCTTCGTAATGCGCCACACATTTTCAATGAGAGACAGGTCTGGACTGCAGGCAGGCCAGTCGAGTACCCGCACTCTTTTACTACGAAGCCACGCTGTTGTAACACGTGCAGAATGTGGCTTGGCATTGTCTTGCTGAAATAAGCAGGAAGGGCGTCCATGAAAAAGACGTTGCTTGGATGGCAGCATATGTTGCTCCAAAACCTGTATGTACCTTTCAGCATTAATGTAGCCTTCACAGATGTGTAAGTTACCCATGCCTTGGGCACTAATGCACCCCCATACCTTCACAGACTCTGGCTTTTGAGCTATGAGTCAATAACAGTCCGGATGGTTCTTTTCCTCTTTGGCCCGGAGGACACGACGTCCACTATTTCCCAAAAATTGAAATGTGGACTCGTCAGACCACAGAACACTTTTACACTTTGCATCAGTCCATCTTAGATGAGCTCAGGCCAAGACAAGCCGGCGGCATTTCTGGATGTTGTTGATAAATGGCTTTGGCTTTGCATAGTAGAGTTTTAACTTGCACTTACAGATGTAGCAACGGACTGTATTTACTGACAGTGGTGTTCTGAAGTGTTCCTGAGCCCATGCGGTAATATCCTTTACACATTGATGTCGGTTTTTGATACAGTGCTGTTTGAGGGATCGAAGGTCACGGGCATTCAATGTTGGTTCCTGGCCATGCTGCTTACTTGCAGTGATTTCTCCAGATTCTCTGAACCTTTTGATGATATTATGGACCGTAGATGTTGAAATCCCTAAATTCCTTGCAATTGTACTTTGAGAAACGTTGTTCTTAAATTGTTCGACTATTTGCTCATGCAGTTGTTCACAAAGTGGTGAACCTCGCCCCATCCTTGCTTGTGATTGACTGAGAATTTTGGGGAAGCTGCTCTTATACCCAATCATGGCACCCACCTGTTCCCAATTAGCCTGCTCAACCGTGGGATGTTCCAAATAGGTGTTTGATGAGCATTCCTCCAATTTCTCAGTATTTTTTGCCACCTTTCCCAACTTCTTTGGCACATGATGCTGCCATCAAATTCTAAAGTTAATGATTATTTGCAAAAGAAATAAAAAATAAAGTTTATAAGTTTGAACATTAAATATGTTGTCTTTGTAGTGTATTCGATTGAATATAGGTTGAAAAGGATTTGCAAACCATTGTATTCTGTTTTTATTTACGATTTACACATCTTCCCAACTTCATTGGAATTGGGTTTTGTACAACAGATGAAAACAACCCTGCTTAAAAAACTATTTCGGGTGCATATAAAAGAATAAAGAAAAAATAAAAGAAAGCAAAGATTAATATCAAATTTACAGAGAAACTTACCTTGTGCCTCAGTGCTTCTACTTTTAGGTCTCGTTCTCCTCTGGTGTTGTTGGTCTCTTTTTTTGAAGCTCGGAAAGAGTCCCCGATTAATGACACCAGCACATGAGACTGTAAAATATTTAAAAACACACATAAACCTTGTTTCTGCAGAAGCCAAGCTGTAAGACTGTAGTGGGAATACTTACAAACTTCTTGCTCTGGAAGAGATAGCAGTGATATGTGTCTGCTGCAGTGTTCTGGGCCACAAAACCAAAGACTTTAGGTGAGGATGGATTCACACCACAGAAGGAAACACTGGGCAGTGGGCATGAGTACAACAAGAACTGAGGGAAGGAAACACAATGAGACTAGTTAGCTATGACTCAAGGCCAAACTGCAGGGATGTCTTTGCAGTTCAAATATGCAGAGAAGTTTTGCTCTCACACCTTGGTTTTGTTTTCCAGGATGTCAATCCCGCTCAGTGACAAGAAGAGAAGGACTTTGCTCCTTTTTGCTGCCTTTTCAGGGTTAAACCTATCTGGTGTCTGAGGATGAGAGGGGATTGAGTGCTTATCATGTTTGTTTGCTGCATCTTTGAGACAACATAATGTGGTCAATAAGGTCTCATACAGCTCAAAACAGACCTATTTTTTTCCACTAGAGTGCAAGACTCACTGATACCTTGAGGAAATATCAGAATCTGTTGAGGTGCAGCTAACAACGTTGTGATTTAGCCTCCTACACAAAAACAATCACTAGTGTGCCAGGAGTATGTCTTAGGCACTAAAAACACAGTGGATTATATCGTAGCCTAGTAGTAATTCATTTCCTTTTATCAGAGGGTGATAGGAATTGTTGCATGTGGCGGTGACTCTGGGAGTAACTGTACAAACCCACAACCATTAGGAATAATGAAGGATGTGGCGTTGCTCATAGCAACAGACATGTAAACAGATGAAAGAAAAACACCTTTCTAACCATTCAACATCGCAAGTCTTAAACAGACCTCACAGCTTCAGAAGTAGTTCAAGGTTATACTGTATATTAAGTGAAATTAGATGCCCTAGTCTCATCATCTTATGGGACCCCCCCCCCCCATTGGTCTGGTGTATCTGACACTAAGCTATCAGGTCATGTGACTGATAGCACGTCACAGAGACACTCCTCCCTTGACATGTCTTTGTTGTGAGAAAGCATAATGAAATTTATGCCTAAAAACATCCCAAATATTGCCCATGACAAGATCGGCAAAGGTATATTTTAGTCCACAGGGGGCGCCAAAGCAATACAAATAGAAAGAGTCTCACTGGAGCTTATAGTGACACTGACCTTCAGGCTCTGAATCGCTTCATTGAGGACTTCCAGTCCACCAGGACGGACCACCTGAACTCGTCCAAGAAACTTTGGGTCAGAGAAAGACAAACACATAAGGTAAACTGAACAACAGTCTTTAAACGGGTATGAACATAAAGGTGTGGCCCATGGCAATACCTCTCAGATACCTCTCAACAATAAGTTCAGGGTGAAGGATAGGAACCAGTTAAGAAGCCCAGTTTTTTTTGGAGACCCAGAACCAGAGCATCAGTCAATAAATATCATAAAACAGCCACTTGAATGAGTAAAATAGTCAAAAAGATGCAGTTGAAGGAAATATAAAAACATGCAGATAACTGCAAAAGACACAAACAGCCACAAAGAGAAATAAAGTGACCACAAAGTTTGATAAACAACTACAAAGAGGCACAAAATGACTTGAAGTTAATCTGACCATCTTGGAGGAGTGTGTGTGTGGTGGTGGTGGGGTGGGTGCTTTAACATTTCTGTGCTTTGGACCTCGTTACCCCCTATTCAGCCCATGAGGATTGATGTCACATTAATACATTACAGAATAAATAGTGTGTCGCTTCCAGTCTGAATCAGAAAGACAAACTGAGTATGCTCATCACAATGTCTTTGTCCATTTCTCTGTTTTATATTCAGACTGAGAATTTTCACCATCCAAAGTCAGTGTTTACCTTCACTGAAAAGAAGATCTCGCTGTCGTCTTCTGAAATGTCGCTCATGGTAACACGCCGGTCACCAAACTTCAGCCTGGAGTGAGATGTACAGATGGATCTCAGAGGTTGTAGATGGACACAAATAATTAAATTCCCTAAATTATTTAGAAAATTCCTTTAAATCTTGGCCTTACCGTCCAAACAGCGACCCTTCTTCTTATTGCATTACAAATGCTGGAGTTTAAAGTCTATCTGAGTTAATCAGTAACAGACATGTCTTCCTTATTGCTTTTCATCAGACATCCAGGTATATCCTGGAAGAGTTTTTGGTTGACATGTCAAAGCTGATATTAACACAGGGATATTATAAATAAAAAATGACTACAATGTTCTTTAAAGTTCTTCAGTGTGTTCCAGTAAAATAAATTTATGGGAAAATCTGATTGTTGAGAAACACTTTTGGGAGTTACCCAGATGCAGATTGATGGATGTGAGTTTATCAATTCTTTCTGTGTTTGTCTTTTAGATTTTATGCCCAAGTGATTTATGGCACTGCAATAGTCTTCGCATTTCACTGCCCATCTGGATGATCTTTAGAGGCAAATATGAAGACTCGTGCCCACCCTCAGCCTGATATAATTGCTCTTCAATCACAAAGGCTTCCCATTTGACTCAAATCTTATGCTCTACTCATAAAAATAGAATGTTTCCTTTGGACAAATGAAAGATGTTAATCACAAACAAATGTATTAGTTTCATTTAGTGCTTCATGTCTCCAAAAAAAAAGTTTTCATTTTGAACATGCAGATACTAACTTGTGTGAACAGGAAAATAAATGATGGTCTAGAGCTTAAGTTTATATTTGCAGATGTGCAAATCCCATAAGATCTTCAGTTGACTGCACAAAGTCCAAATTTAGCAGGAATACCCGAAAAACCTTGAGTGCAAAACATATTTGCATACAAGCTACTTTTTAAAAAGTTTTGGCTCTTCTGGGGCTCTGTGGTTTCCTCACAAAAGGTAAATTTCTGAGACTTTAACTATGTTCACTCTCACACATTAAGTCATGCTTCATTCCAGTTTCCCTCTTTTAGCAGCTTTTTGACCATCAAGATGGTTCAGGAAAAAAAAAAATAGATATAATCATGAGATTCCCGCCAAATATACAAAATAAAAGTGTTTGTTCATTTGTGTTTCCCTTAAAGGGATATTCAGGCGTAAAATCAAGTTAGGGCCAAACACACTGTCACACCGAGTTAGACACCCCCTCGAGAGATGGATGTTGCTGACTGCTTGCTTCTCTAGTTATAGTAGCTTTTGTAACACAGCGGTCTACGTCTCCACGCGCAAACCTCAACCAAAAAGCCACTCTACATTCACAAATAATGCTCAGAACAGCACCTAACTTCATCAACAGTACATATAGGGTCCCAGCCATAGGACTTGCCACCAAACATCTTTTTTAGTCTTGCATGGTTTCTTTGGCAAAGAGACCAAACACAACTCACCAGCTCTCCTCCAGCAGCCGCTTGTTTGTGGGAGAGCCGTTCTTCTGACTCAGCGTCTCAGTCTGATCGATTTCCATAAAGTAATAATCCTACATTTTCTGCTGTACTTGGTGAGAGACTCTTCAGGGCTCCCCCACAAACAGCTGGAGGAGAGTTGGTGAGTTGTGTTTGGTCTCTTTGCTAAAGAAACCAGGCAAAGCTAAAAAGATGTTTGATGGCTAGTCCTATGGCTGGGACCCTATATGTACTGTTGATGAAGTTAGGTGCTGTTCTGAGCATTATTTGTGGCTATAGAGTGGCTTTTTGGTTGAGGTTTGCACATGGAGAGATACACTCATGTGAAACGAGTCAAATAGAAAGAGCACACAAAGGTCCATAACAACTGTATTTAATCCAAGTGCCACATTATCACCGCTCAATCATTTGTATATATATTTATATATATATATTTGTATCAGCAAGTGCTTACAGGTAATGTCAACGTCTCAATCATAAGCTCATGGACAGCGTTATGGTCAACAATGACATCAAGCAATAATGATCGATGATGAAGATGATGGTGACTATGGTTTGAGAGGACGTGAAGCAAAGCCTAAAACAGACAGAGAAATTCAGAAACCTGATTGTTAGAATTACAGTATCACAGATGATCTGATAAGCCAGAGATGGGATATAACCAACAATGTCTGAAGAAGAGAGGACGTTTTGGTCTCAGTAAAGAGAGTGACACTAAACCACACTTTTCATTTACAATTGAACCCCCCAAAATCTTAAACTTCACCCGTACATAAACCTGCGATTTTATCAACACTACACCTCAGCCTCTTCCTCTATGACAGGGACATTGGAAAGTCTAACTATACAGCATTACCGTCTTGTTTCGGTTTGTTTTAGGCTGTGTGAAAAGGACAGACAGACTTATAAACAGGTGGACTCTGAAGTGAACTGTAGATGTTTGAGAGCACAGAGGTTTCCCTTTTTCAGTGTGCTTTATGTGGATGAGGGTGGAACAGCTGAGATGAAGACCATCCACTCAGATAGAAGCAGACAGCACAGAGCCGGGCGTCCCGACATCAGGCGCCTGTTTACGAACAAAGCAGCAGGTCTGATATTCTGTCAGTACACATGAGGCTCTGTTCAGTCTGTTTCTATCTGTGCAGCTGGTGAAGTGACGTCGCAGTTAGACAAGTCTATGAGTCGTTGACGGACATGTTCTCCAGGGCATTGGGCAGTCCTCCTCCTCCCTGCTGCTTCTTCTTCTTCCCCCCATCCTGCTGTTTCTTTGCTTTCTTTGCTACTTCCTGATCAATGGGAGCAGGCTTGACAAACTTGATCATCTCCGTCAAACCTGGAGGAGAGACAGTAAAGGCTGGTCAGAAATACTCTCCAGGACTCAAACAAGGAAATATAAAGAAAGTATAAGACAATAACTAAACTAAAACATTCTGAAACAGAAGATGCAGGGGAGTATTCTAGGACCAGCAAGACTCAATAGACAAGTAACAACAGCCAGTCAGCTCAAAGACAAATGACTTTCAGGTTATAAGAAATGCAGAGCCTGGTCTGTCAGAGAACCAGATTTCAATCCACATCACTGCTCCTAGTTACGATTAAATTCCCTCTCTCTTAAACTTTCTAGAACTTCTTGTAGTTATTCTCTCGAGGTACGACACACGTTGTGTCATCCTTCATCTCAGCTTACCAGGAGGCATGAAGTCCCTGAGGACCTCTGGAACAATGATGCCTTCTTCGGTTTGGTAGTTCTCCAAGATGGCACACATCACACGTGTTGTGGCGCACATGGTTGCATTCAACATGTGAACAAACTCGGCCTGAAAAACAAAAAGAAGTTTTATAGAGGATGCAGCTACAAGACGGAATTAATAGCATCGAGGGGAGGGAGAGAAAATCCACACTCTGTTTATCTTTGTGGAGATGCACATCAGTGTAACATCAACACTCACCTTGTCCATCATCTTTTTGGTCTGTCCGTAGCGGATGCGGAGGCGTCTGGCCTGGTAGTCAGTGCAGTTTGAGCAGGAGACCAGCTCTCTGAAAGCACCAGAACCAGGGAACCAGGCCTCAAGATCCAGCTTCTTACTGGCTGCATGATTTAGGGCGCCTGAAATGACAAACAGCTTCTTGAAAGGCTGGACCTTTACACAAGCTCTCAGTCCTCAATCCACAGTATGCGGCTGACTCTGTTATGGTTCAAGAGCAGCCGAAGGGCGTGGATACAGGATCGGTGTCTGGGATTTTAAATGCAGAGGTTTGACATCCCACCACATCAGGCTCTCTATCAAATTTGAGTCCCAAAGTCTGAAAAGTACCCCGGATCACATAACCTAGCCCAATGACTGTGCAGAAAGTTGAATGACTGTTGTGGAGGCCGAGTCTTTGAGTCTTTGAAAGAGCTGGGCGTACAGCCAGCATGACTGTTGCTGCCACACCCTGGAATAGGTGACACACAGTTATTGCAGTTATTTTCTTTCTAACAAAACAATGAGGCTATTATTAGACCAGACACAGTTAAATATTTTGATATGTTCATTTCCAAAAACAAACAAACCATTTGACCTCAGACAACCTAAAAAAATTCACTCCCGCTCACTGCTCTTATATGATACATGATGTTAGCTGATAAAAAAAGCAAACTGTTGTGAAGTCAACATTCAGCATTTTTCTTTTTTAAGGAGCTGTCTGGGAGCTAAATCAGTCAGCTTCTGCTTCACTGGAATTCACATCACCATCCAAGTCTCTTCTTCATTAGAAAAGTCCAACATCACTACATAGATATATATTCATAATTAGTTTTTTTTTCTAGCACTCAAAAATAAAATTCATCAAGTCTCCCTGCCAACCCTGGAAAAGATGGATGAACTTCTTCTTTCCCATGAAAACTTGGTCAAACTTGAGCTGATAAAGAAAACATTCAAGGTTGGATTCAAAAACTAAACTTCATGTTCAGTTTGAACTCAAACCATAAGCTTTCCAAAAGATACTGAAACTGTGATCATTTTAAGCTTTTTTTTTGTGAAATTGGTCAAAGTTTGGTGTTGTGGTGGCAGTATCCTCACCTCAAAAAAGGAGCATTAAAAAGATTAATTTAAGTCACAGACACACCTTGAAAGAATCTGTTTGGTTCGTTTGCTCTTCAGCAGCATGGCAGACATAGCAGTTAACTGAATAACCAACAGACTAGTGTTTTGTCTCTTTGTACGCCAAGTCAACTCATCCTTTACAAGTCAGTCAATTAACTGCAGAAATCCTCTTGAGCAATTACAGTTTGGTCTCTGGGACAGTCTTCCTACATCAACCTTACACAAAACTACAAACATACATGCTGCGCTTACCAGAGACAATGTTCACGATGCGATAAGGAATTCCCAGTGACTGATAAAACTCCTCTGCTGTCCCGATCATCTCATCAAACATCTCCCATGATTTGCCGTCATGTGGGGAGGAATACACAAACTGTTCGATCTACAAGGACAAAAAAAAGAGACAATATGGCTCTTTAAATAACATGCAAATGTCTTTTTCTGAACAGTTATTTTAGTTCCTAATACTCGAAGATCCCCGCTGCATTATTGATCCAAGTATCTCCACAACTGACCTTCTCAAACTGGTGCACCCTGAAGATCCCACGGGTGTCTCGGCCGTGGGAGCCCACCTCCTGTCTGAAGCAGGTGGAGAAACCTGCATAGCGGATGGGCAGGTCTTCGGGTTTGAGCCATTCGTCTCTCAGGAAGGCTGCAATGGGCTGCTCGGAGGTGGCGATGAGGTACTTCTCATCGACTGAGTTATCGTCTGACTTCTCGCTGCTCTTACCGATGACCTGATGTAAACACAGACACGGTTTAAGATAGAGGACCAACAGGTAGAGATCTAATAACAGAGAGTACATGGTAGTAATGGAGGGAACTGCAGCAGAGAGAGTTGAACAATATGGACTGTCATGAGTGTCAGTGGCTGAGCTCCTGTGGATAAGCCATTCTTTAGTATGTTGGTTAAAAGTGATAAAAAAGGTAAACTGCTAATATTTCATCAGAGTAAAAAGTTTAAAATACAAATAGTAAATGCCAGTTAAAGGCTTAATGTAAAACTTGTAAAGCTAGAGATGATCTGGTTCCTTTCAATGCAAACAATAATTAACTCCAAATATATAGTAATTTAGGACCATGGTTACTTTGATTAACACATAAGGCAGTATTTGCCACATGCACGATTATCGTAAGTGGGAAGTAGGAATAAGTGGGTGTTAGTAGGAATACTCGTGATTAATACTAGAGGTGTCCCGACACAACTTTTTGACTTCCGATGCCAATATGCCTTCAATACTGACCGATACTGATATTGGCAGAAAATTGTGCATGACAAGATTAACACTCAGCTGCAATGTCTTCTTCAGACTTAAACAAAAAATACTGCCACAAGGCCAAAATCACTCTACTTTGTCAGTAACTTAGGCCCGAACTACACGAAGGCGGATATATTTCAAACCGCACATATTTATGTCCGATTAGGCCTCCCTACCACACCAAACCGGGAGTTTGGAGCACTCAAACCGGATAAATCTGAATCCGGAAAAACAAGCGGAGAAATAAAAAAATATCCGTATCCCGTATCCGCAGTGGATTCGTGTGGTCGGACTTTTACGGATCGATGACGTCAAACCGCAGCTCGCGCATGCGCATTAAAAACAAAAACAACAACAACGATGGCGGACATACAGGGTATTCTTTACGTTTGTTTTGCCCTTTTGGGGCTAATTTCAGCCTTGCAAGTGACGCTGTTACGATTCATCGGCCAATCAGGTAGCTTTGTTCCTGAATTTTTTTTAAGCGGCACCAGATAGGATTGAGTTTGAAGCCTACGTGTGGACGCAGATATTTTTTTGAACTAACACGTGTGGACAGGTACATTTATTAAGACGGGAGTACAAAAATATCCACATAAATAAATATCCGCCTTCGTGTAGTTCGGGCCTTAGTAGACACTGTTGTTGAGATTTTGTGGGCTCAGCTTGCTGGATCAGCTGCTAGATAGAGGTGCCGGAGCGTATTCTGGAAGGGACTGCTTATATCAGAGAGTTGATATCAGAGATTTTAGATGCAGGCCGATATGATCCGATACTCATTTTTTTTGGCGACCCTAACCCTAACCCCTAATTAATAATAATACAGAAATGTGTTAAAAATCCAGTCACTTGTTTAACACTGCTCTTCTTTAATACAACTACTCAAAAGTATTTTTTTTTTTTTAAAAACTTAACAAATTAAACAGGCTGCTAAGTAACATACTAAACTACACAACCAGGCCAAGGTTACATGGACATGGATCAATCTAAACAACAATGGCTTGTGCATAATTTTAAAGTTTTATAACACAACTTAATCTCATTATTTTCTATTTAATGTTGTAACATGCAGGACCCTGTAGGACAGAAAATCCCTCCTCCTCTCACCAGTCAGGTTTACCAGACATGCACAAACACACAAACACCTGGTTAAGTGAAGGGTAAGTTAAAGTAAGAAGTCGAAGAATTCAGTCGTTGTTTCTCACCTTGTACAGCTCTTCGTCAAACTGGCTGAGCTGTGCGACTTCCTGCATCACCTCCTTCCTCATGAAGAAGGGTGTGTAGAGCATGGTGTAACTCTTGCTGTGCAGTATCCTTAAGGCGTAATTGATCAGAGCCTGCTCCAGAAAAACCAGTGGACCCTGAACACAACAAAGGAGAAGAAATCATTACAACTCTGTTGTAGTATTTCTCATCAGGAAAAATAGAATGTCAAAAAGATGAGTGGTTGTGTTTTTCCTGCTTGATTTTAAATCTGAACTAACCTTCAGAAAGTAACCTCGGCTTCCAGCCACTATAGCTCCTCTCTCTCCTTCAAAGCCATCGATCATGACCACCAGGTCAACATGAGAGTACTTCTTCTGGACGCTGCAGTCACCCCAGGTACGCTCCACCTTGTTGTCAGCATCCTGTCAGGAGGAAACAACAGGAAATGTATGAATAATTGTATCAGTTAACAACTAATCATTAGTTGTTATAAACTATAAATATTAGTAATGAGAGTAAACATTACTAATCCAATCCACTTTATTCATATTGCACATTTTAAAAAACATTCAAGTCTACCAAAGTGCTGCACAATAAAACTAAAAGAACAGACAATGCTGAAAACACTAAGATAAATTAACTAAAAACAGGTAAAAAAAAACATTTAAAATGAAATTAAATTAATGAAAGAAAAACAAAAAAGCATGAAATAAATAAAAGTGATAAAAGGACCATAAAAAGACATTAAAGGAACCAGTTACTTTTATATGCTCATCTAAACCTCTGGGAAAAAGCAAAGAGTGACATTTAAAATGTAGTAATACTAACTTTAACAAAGTAAAATATCAAAAGACAATATCTGCAATGTTTGCCAATAACAGCTGGCTTTCAGTTTTTGTTTACATCTTTACAAAGTTATGATACTTTACAGAACATATATCTGTACTACACCCTTTCTAATTTATCATTTTTAGAGGATGTGGACACTTATTCATATCAAATCTTTCCCTGAACCTGTATGTATCAAACCACTTACCTCATCATTGCTGATGGGCACAGATTCATGCAGAAGGTTGCCAATCTCCCTCAGATGCTCAAAGCGTTCTGCCTCCAGCCTTATCCTTTCACTGTCAGTTTTCTCTGCTGCCTCTTCCACCAGCAAACGCACCTTCTTGATCTGAGTTACTGTAAGGGCCTGAAAGATAAATGCCATCAGGTAGGGAGCCACAGAGAAAGAATTTAACCTTTAACTTGAAAAATACCATCTCACATATGATTTTATGGATAGTCTTACCGACAGTGTTTCAGCTGTCAGAGACTCCAGGTTCTGTGCTTCTTCAGGTACAGTGTCATCATCGCCAACTGGTTCCTTTTTCTGCATTTGCAGCATAAACTAAGCATTAAAAACAACACCCTGCTTCTTGTGTGTGACAAGTGGATGCATACTTTCACTTCGCATTTGGAAAGATAATTAATTTAGTGTCCAGATGCTTTCTTACTTTCATTTTCTCCCCAATGCTCTTGCTGCAAAGGTTCTTTGCTTTGTTGAGGTTGTCTGCAGTAAAGCGGCCTGTCAAGGGATAAATAACAGTTAGTAGGTGAACACATGGGACTGTGTGTTTGTGTGTATGAGCTGAAGATGCATCCCTGCTGCCCTGGTGACAGGGGCTTCAGGCAGAGAAAACTCATCCAAATTCATTTAAAACTTTGAGTTAAAAAAAGAGGACAATGCAATCATAAAATCATTCTCATTATCAGTCTGGATCTAAAAGCAACAGTGGCCGCAGTGCAGCGTGAGGTTGACTTGTCATGTTGTTGGCTGGGATTGCATCAGATTGCACGTTACTACCCGGCATCGCTAAGCTAACCCGGCATTTGAGAAGATTACGTTTAAATATCTGTCATAAATTAAATAAGAAAGTGAAATTAACTAGTGCTTAGCGACTATCTTTCATAAAAACGATAAAAAGTCAGTACTGTTCACCGCCAAGGGGAAACCATATGGCGTATGTCGGCTCTCTGAATAATGCTAAGTTTGCTAGCATTAGCCCCATTGCGGTGCGGTTTCTTCCTATACAAGACCATCTGACCAAACTCCCTAAAGAGTCTGGCTAAAAATTGTTTCGCAGCTCAAGGACCAACAGTCACACCCCGTAGAAAAAAATTCTACATGAATATATCTAAATAATGTCCATCCTTTGATACGGCATAACTTTATGAGGAGTAGGATGAAAATTATACACATAATTCGTTAACTTTCTGAATTGATTCAGTGTCCCCTGCTGTAATGCGAGTCACCGTGCGTTGACGCTATTGCAGGCGGAGCAGTGAGGATAGCTGTAATTCATCGCTAAGGTATTCATTTAGGAGTACTTCTCCAGCTTTTTAAGTAACCGAATGAAATACTGTACCAGAAGGATACAACAAGGATTTCTATATTCCCGTAAAGGTAGTTAAAAAATATCTACTTTAAAACTGAAAGCAAATGTGTTAAAATTTGAATGGAGTTGGGCGTGAGCTGACGTAGCATTAACCACCGCGCTATCGTTAGCTGCTGTGACTAAAGAAACAAAAGGAACACTTACATTTTCTCCACTCTGTGTCTGCAGCGATCAGTTTATCAACCAGGGTCACATCTTTAAACCTCTTCCTTTGAGTTTCACGGATGATCTCGGGATCGCCACCCTTGTCGGTCCGAAACAGGTCCAAATCGAGCACCATCTTTCCACGCTGTCTGTCAGAGAAAGCGTGAATGAGCTTTCCACGCATGCGCCTCAAACCGGGTTGCCAGATCTTGGTGCTCAGGCCACCATACAGGAATTGCAGTTGAAAACATTTCTCATTCACACCGTTGATTTATACACGAAAAACTACTTGATTTTAAGTGGATAAAGAAAGAGTAACAGCAAGAACCCATGAAGAAAATAATGCAAGGTTAGTCGTAGAGAACTTTTTGAATTGATTTACTCGTCCAGAAAGTGGTAGAAAGATTTAAAACTTAGAAAATCTCCCAACCTCTCTATATCAGAAATCACTATCATCCTGTCAGCATGATCATGCACACATAAACCAAATTCCTTCAATTTATCTAATTATTGAACATAAGCAACAGCCTTTTATACGAGAACTTTGGACCTGTCTGAAATATTCTTGTATTAACTACCCTGAGTACATATAATATGTATATAGTATTATTGATTCATAAATGTGTTCAAGATTGCAGGTTTCCCCCCACTCTTAAATCAGTAAACTGACCCTACTGCTCCCAGTTATGATTTGTTGATCATGATTAATTTTAAAAGCCAGTGGACCCTTGTTTGTCAATCTCATTTTATTAATTGACAAGACACATAAAGAAAACCAACAATATATGAAAATACATTATAAAACAGACACAAAATTCTGCAACATCAGTATGACTCAAAACAGCCAGGATCTTTGGGCACATCATAATGTATGAACAGACTATGAACATTTGTGTAAATATGCATGCATAAAGATTTAAGATGTACTTCAATGCAAAGATTCTCAAAGGATAACTTCAATAATCACACATGCAGCTAACATAATCTGTACAATACTGAAATTAAACATGTTTCAGTTTCATATAGCTTTGATTGTCTTAATAACAGAAAATCTTTCATTACATTTGAAGGTTAAGTTAGCTTTATTGAGCATCACTCACATTACTGGACATTTCATTCAAAATCCTTCATGCACACACACACACACAATCATAGCCACATCTCAGAGGTCAGAGTGCATGAGTGCAGCTGAAGTGGAGGTGGTTGGTTGATTGTTTGCTTTAGGGAACATTAGCAGCACTTGCAGATGTAGCAGTCACCCTGGAGCTGCGAGTTTATGACTTTCCTGTTCGGCAAGATATGAAGCCATTTGATTTGTGGCCATCATAAATGTCCACATTGAAGCCAATCTTTTCTTGTTACATGGCAGATACTCACCAATAAGTGTTTATTAAGTGTTCATTTCCCCCCCTCCACAGGGTGACGCCTTTTTGACCTCATCTCCATCCCCGCCTCGTAGATAGCCTGCTGCAGAGCTGCTCCAGCAGGAAGCTTCGTAAAGCCTTCCTCTGAGATGTTGTTTATCTTCATGTAACCTCCTGGCCTGTGCAGAGCCACATTATGAAGGTGAGAAAAGAGCAGCGGAAGGTCTCTTGTAAGCACGTAGTGAGAAACTAGCCTCAGCTCAGTGGGGATGTCCGTCTCCTCACAGTGCTCAAAACTGACTGACATGTATTTGGAAAGATCCTGACCCCTAGCTGTGGTACAGCCAACCTCCTCTCCAACAAGCTGCACGGCTGCATCAGCTGTGAAGGAGTTGAGCCCAAAGTCCAACCATCTGTCTGCCTCTTCGTTTTCAGTGTCCTCCTCTGGCTCTGAAGGTTTAGGTTTGATACTGAGGCCCCGAGAACAGATCACTAAGATAAAGTTGCTCTCCCGGATCTGACGACAGTACCACGCCATACTGCCCTCCCTAGCAACACTTAGAGAGTCCCACAGATCCAGGCACACCTGGGAATAAAACAAGAAACAGCATAACATCAAGAGATCCAATAACTCAACTCACTGATGGGAGGAAAAGTTTGCAAAGAAACAGGCAAACAAGCATGTCCCTTCGCTATTCAGAATTAACAACCATTATTAGGGGGTTTGACTAATCAGGTTAGAGTATTTAACATCATAATATCGATTACCTGAGTGGCCATGTGCTGTTGTATGAAGGCTCCTAACTGCATAACAGCTTTGATATGAGAGGGGCCATCATTACTACTGTAGCACATCAGAAGACGAGGAGGGGTCAGCCTGTGTCCCGGTAAAGCCACCACTTCCCCCTGAGTCCCTCTCTCTTCATCCTGAGTGATGATATCTGAATGGGTGACCATAAGAAAGTCTGTTAGCATTCACTAACCTGTTACTTTACACATGTACACGTGTCTTTTTTTTGTTATGTTTTGTTTCTTTGCACCTGGTTTAAGATTTAATCTCTTCATATGCAGCTGGGGCCTCCTTCTAGTGAGAGCAGCCAGACAGACTGCAAGTATGGTCACCACAGCCAGACACACAGGGAGCAGCAGAGCCAAGGAGGGAGTGATGGAGGGTGGCGAGGTTTCCCCTGAGGGTTAGATTATAATTCAGGAAAACATCAAACCCAGATCCTATTTAAACATACATATAAGCAACCATAAAATTAACAAAATACAGCAGAATACAAATAGAAAATCATTATACACTGGGTAAAAAAACAGTGTCTGTATGAGTTAAGATTGATTTATTGTGATTCAACTTGTCTATTACTACTACGTCAAAGAGGTGTTGGTACATGTATTTTTGACTTTTCATTTCGAACAAGCACACATATTGCAGAATATATGGATCTTCTTTCTTTAACTTGCATCAGGAAATAAGACAAGAGTAATTCCACATCTTTTCCTTTTTTTATTTCAAAATTTTACACTTTACATTTGAAAAAAATCTCTCGGTGCACTAAAAATAATCTTTGTACCTTTTTTAATGTGCAGGACCTGAACATTGAATGTCTTCCTCACTGCGTCCACCTCATTAGCTGCAATCTGTGAAAAAAGAGGGTGGAGTGTGAACACTGGCTCGATGAAATTGCTGTGTGACATACGATGTTGAATCTGCATTCATTGCAATCTCTGGCCACTTGGGGGCAGTGCAACATGCTTCGGTATGGTTGTAACATTTACACCAAAACACTTGTGCCTTATAAAGCTGATCTGCCAAACACATTCTGAACAACACTGGTATTTATTTGAACCACCAGCTGAACTAATGACGACTCTCCTTTTAGCTTTGATTTGCTCTCCATCAACTTTAATTAGGAATATGTTCACCTGCTATTCATTAAAATCAATGTACAAATTGATAACCTCTGTCCTGGACTCTTTATGAGGGAGGAGGAAAGTGAGTCAATATGTCTTAAACTGGGGCAAGTAAAAACTGACTTTGTTTGAAGTATTTATTTCACTTAAGATTAAAGTTATATGAGTTATAAACCCCATGTCCTGGATTAAAGCCTCACATATAACCCTCTTAATGACAGATTTGTAGTGAACAGACTGGTGCTTTTTTGAGAGAAACTTTGGTCAACTTTGTCAATACAGAAATCATTTCTTTCAGCCAGATTTAAAAATACACCTGTACGGATGGATTAAATAACTTTTTTTTTTTTTTTTTTTTTATGATTTTTGGTTTGTAAACTTTATAACTGTGTGAAACGACTGATACTGAATCATCTGAATAGTAGAAGCTCACTCAGTTCCAGTATCTGTCTGATACTGATTTTTGATCTTAAAATCTTTGCAGATGATATAAATGGCCGGCATCTGTACAGAACCATATGTCTTATCCTATCTGTATAAGTTTATAAGTTTACAGTTCACAGGATTTGGTGGAAGTCTTCAGGTAAACCTGAAGTTGGTCATTTGGTAAGGCTTTGTCATCATATGTGGTGATAACACAGGGGATATACTTATATAGAATAATGACGCATGAGAATAATGAGCAGCATAGCCACGATGACACTTCTTGTGGGATTTCTATACACTGTTAATACTTATACAGTTACACAAAGTCGATGGTGGGTTTAATCACAAATTCAATAAGAGAGATTAGTTGTTTTATGACTAATTACATGTTTTACTTTACCTCACAGGTGTAGTTGGTTCCTTCTTGAAGGTCTTTCAGCTGATAGCTGTGGTAAGTTTTGTTTGTGGAAGAATTCTGAGGAAAATTGAATTAATGGTTAATTAAAATAATTATTAATTCAATTTTATAGGCTAAATATTTAGACTATATACAGTGATTAAGAAAATAAATGTTAGTACAATTAATAAAACCAAGGAGCCAAATAACAGTCTGCAGCCACGAGCCAAATTCACTCACAGGTGTTATGTCCATGTATTTCTTCATGCCGTTAGCGTAGCACCGAGAGAAATAGCTTCTGATGCCCAGGTTTGGTGGAGCCAGGTTAAAGGTCACATTGATGGTTGTCCCTTTCTGCTCCACCTTGATGTGTTTTGGGTACCAGTCTACAAACAGAACAAAACATGTTGGTGGATGTAAACATGATCAAACAACTAAGACCAAACATTCACTCGTGAGATGGTATTCTCCTACCCCAACTTTTAATCTCACCTTTTTTGCACTGCTCAAGGCCATTCTTCTCTGCACATGCTGCAAAATCAGTAAGTGCTCATTACTACAAATTCAATAGTGTTTAGACAATGATATTGCTGAAAGACATGAAAAAGGTGGAGTGTTCAAAGAGGATAATATAGGATATCATAGTAACTGTGCTGTGTAAATTAGCTGACAGACAGAGGAATTTTGTTTTTACTATTTTCCCTGCAGGAACTACAAACTCTGTGAATTCCACCGAAACTGTGTGTGTGTTCTCAACTAGTGCGAGTATGAGATAATATTCAGCCTAGAGCCTGAGGGAGTCTCACATCGTGTGGAGAAGTTCTTGCTGCGGTAGAACCTCTTCCACTCCTCAGGCACTGGTAAGGCCATGACGGTAACAGCATACTGAGAGCCAAGAGAGAGGCCGGGGAAAGGATCTGACTTGTACACCTGCAGAACAGAGGAGGGTCCATGTCCTTAGATTTTCTTTGAATACATTTCTAACAATGACAGCTCTGTTATCAACTAAATAATTATGTCTGTCATATACAGATATGAAAAAATGAATCACGAAGATCAGATGAGTTTTTGATCATGTGATGATCAAAAATACTCCTATGGAGGCCTGGATGGTAAAAATTGCAGTGCAAAATTTCCCTTTTTAACTTTATGATCTCAAAAAACATATAATTGATCTACTAATTTTTGGCTGTTTTCTGTGGAGTCCTGTTAAGATGCTCGGGTCTATCTCGTATGCAAAAGTTACTGTTTTGTGCAAATGCAGCAGTTACAATCATCAGTTTTCTTTAAACAGACAAAATTTTAACTTGAGTGGACGAGATAATACTCACCTTTGTGAACATTTAGTGGCTCCAAAGTTTTCTACTTTTCATCTTAAGTAGCCCATTATGTATTTTTTATATATTTTCTGCTTCTCATGTACATTTAAAAAAATCTTGTGTACAATTGTGTACAAATTCTAAATGTACATTTATAAATTCTTGGCCTACTTCATATTTTTTTGGGCTACCTGGTATTTACAGAGGCTCTAAAGTTCTGCAGTAGAGACTCCTAAGGACTACAAAAAAGTCTTGTCATTTGATAAATCAATATATATTCACTATATATTTATGTGAAAATATTTCACTAATAAAAAAGTACTTTAAGAAATACAAAATAACTCAATAAGACAAAGAAAAACAAAGTACCAAACATAACCTAAGTTTATTTTCATGTCCCTTGGTATATTTTCATGTTTTTGAATATATTTTTGCATTTGGAGAAATATTTGTGTGTGATGAAATATTTTCCTTGTGTCTAGCAAAGATATTTGTGAAGGTCATGAAATGTTTCCTGAGTTGACCTTCTGGGCCTCTTTTAGAAATTCCTTTAAAAACCGCACCACTTCAATTATGGCCTGGTATAATGTTTCACTGTAAAATCACATTACTTATTTTCACATGCTTCACCTTTGAGAAATAAGTTTTTCTTTCAGGCAGTGGAAATAAAAAATGGCTACTGTTTGGAAATGAGAGTTGGACACGGTAACTAAGAAATCTTCGTCTTATTTAGGAAGCCGGTAGCTCTGGACAATATGTGGTTGTTTCTTGTCATGCAATCATCGTTACCACAGTGTAACCCCTCTCACCAGCATTAGTTAGAGAGAAACTTGTAAGTGTGTCTCAAATCAGCCAATCAGGAAGAATTCAGCCCAATAATCAGAAATATGCAGGTTTAGCTGTGTGTGAGTGCCAACAGCTGTGAGAGCAGCGTGATGGCGTTCATACAACGATATGCAAAGTCCTCCAGGACATTCTCATGACAAGAAACTACAAAAATTAGAGGCTTCTCTTCCAGTATTTACAGCTTTATGATGATCATTGACAGAAAAATGTACAGCTGTTTTACTGTGTCACTGTGGTCTCATTTCAAATACAGCAGCATTGTGCAATTACTGTCATGTTATTTATGAGTGTGCCCTGAAACTCAAAGATGCCAGGCGTTGAAATGTTTTCACTGTAAAAAAAAAAAAAAAAAAAAAACCTCCTGGTAAAAAAAAGTTGAATTATAATTTTGTTCAAATGAAAAGACTGTTTCAGAGTCTGTTTATCCCAACTCTAGATAGTGGTACTATCAGTGAGTCCTCCCAAGACACAAAGCCCAAACAAAATGGGCCCCTTCCTACCTTTTCAGCATGTGACGCCGGGAGGGAAAGGTTACGGTGGAAGAGAAAGAGCTGACAGGCAAAACTCGACCCTCCCAAAGCCTGTAATGACACCTGAAAGCCTCGCAGGAAGGCGATCCCTGCAGCATAAACAAAGGAACAGAGTGAAATCAGAGTCACCGTCTTAGCGGCGATCCATCTTTTTGAGTTATACTTCAGCGTCAATTACATGTGTGTGCTGCATGAGCCACTCTGTTTCAGTGCACGGTCAATTAAACTATGAACATGAAAGTCTGTCAACTGTCAAAGCCTGGGACGTATATGGATTTATTTAATGAGCTGTCTCTAGTACTTCAATTACATTTAACAGCTATCTTTTGGAGTGCCATCCTGAAAGACATCTTGTTTTTGATGTGGAAATTACTTTGGATGAGCAATGTTTGACATTTTAAGTGAGTTTCAAACTGGTTAGATGTTAAAACCAACAAACCGCTCTATTTTTGCTTCAACTTACAATGTGTACACTTGAGTGTTAAACTGTATTAACATACCATAGTAACTGGGCTTCCAGGACACAACAATGGTGTCAGATTTGGGATTTAGCTCTTGTTCAAACTCAACCTTCACATCATTTGGTGCATGGACGTAGTGCTGGCAGATTTTAGGGTCTTCTTCTCCAAGCAGCTCAAAACATGGCCATGGGATACAACCTACAAGGAGGAGGTAGAATAAATACAACAGGCTGGGTAAGTGGTTACCAGCAGCAACATTGGAGTGAAAGTTTGACAAATATTTGACATGGGTTTGCCACGTGAAGTCTTCACACACTCTATAATGTTTTTTTTATTATGCTGTGATAACTGATCTATCTAGTCCATCTCTTTTTGTTCTGGAGATTCCCGGGTCCTTGGAAGAAGTGCAAACAATGTGACAACAGGTCGTGACAATGCTACGACTGTGAAGTATGGCTGTAAGTCGAGGGCATGCAACATAAAGACCTTGAGGGGATCATATCACGGTTGAAGCTGAAGACAGCCTGTAACGCTGTAACACACTTTCTCAGTGTATTAAGTAAACAGAAGGTGAAATGCATCCTGGGAGAGTGCAGCCTGTTTGATTCAGACTTACTTCCAAAAGCATCAATGGTCTTAAATCCCAGAGCCCTCTTGACGTCTGCACTCGTTATTCGGCAGTACTCACATCCAGGTCCTCCCTGCAGGGCAGATAAATAAAGGATTTAGTCCCGGCGCTTTGATCTTCAGTCTTGCCTCACTTATTAAATGTTTGCCTGTTTGTGCACACAAGGTGCCCTCTGATGTTTTCAGGTTGGGTAATTAGAAAGTGTATTGAGCCAGAACACTGGCATGCTGATGATAATAATGGAAACCATGTGATGGAGGCTTTCCAAAGACAACATGAAAATACCTTGAATTCAAACATCACATCAGATCACATTCACTGTGAAACAACTCCAGGACCTTGTATGTGCCATGAGTAACTCTTGGGCCAGGTCCCAAAAACGGCCAAAGAAAACAAAAGTCATCTCATGACATTTTGCATAGAAGATCTTTGACATTTTTAGCCACAGCATTTTTTTTACCTGATTCGACCTAAGAGAAGATTAAAGCTCTGGCAGCCACACCTGTCTTAAAACTGTGGAATTTCCCGACTCTGCAGAGTCTCTTTCCAACCCCTGTTCACTAAGAACACTAAAAACACAAATGATTTCAGCCCAAGTATTACCGTATTTAGAGGATTATCTCTTAATTTGTCCAGAATCAGCATTGTGGATACAGTACCAACACTGATACAGATACTCACACTGATACCTGCTCCATTACTGCCTGTGATTTTAAAATACCTCACCATTCGGCTTCAGGAGCTTTTCTGTTTGATCACACTGCTCAGGCCATCCTGTTTTTTTTTTCTTCCACCAATGAGCCTCAGTGTCACATAACCTTGTTGACAGTAAATCAGTTTACCATCCCTCTTGGTAGGTCCTGACCACTACAGGCCAGGAGCAACCCACATGCCAACCCATTTTTCCTGATTCCAACACCTCTACTTCGGGAACAAAATGTTTACTTGCTGCCTTACATTCCCCACTAACAGGCGCCCTACTGTGAAGAGAAAATACATTGTGTTCATTTCATCTGCTGGTGGTCACAGTGGTGAAGTTAATCAAAGTAGATGGGTAATCAAAGTAAACTTTTGTAAACTTTACAAATTCTTTATTCTTTATTCATACGGATCCCCATTAGCTGCCACCAAGGTAGCAGCTACTCTTCCTGGGGTCCACAAATAAAACAAACAATACAATACAAGACAATACAATACATAATTCAATAAAACATGTACAGTCTTGCAAAGGTCATTCAAGACAAGAAAAGTCCAGTAAAAGCAAACCACAAACAAAAAAAAACAAAAACAAAACAACAAGAAAAAAAAACAAGCAGCAAACAAATTAAGCTAAAATGTTGGAAATCCGTGAAAAGTTACAAACAGCAGTCCATTTTCTTCCAGTTGGCCAGTTCTCTAGAAGCCTCCTCCACTGTTGCCATGCTAAAACATTGTCCTCATTGAAGTAACCCATGTTTTTTTCCATGTTTTTTTTTTACAATGAAAAATTACAAATGATAGGTTCCTTTAGTGAGTAGCCATGCAATAAGTGGGATAATGTAGAGTGTGTGGGACCCCTTTCCACAACCCTCACAGTCCACCCATCATCAGTGTGTGTGCGGAGGTGTGAATGTGACAGGGTTTTTTTTTTTTTTTGTATCTCTCTCTGTTTTCACTTTTTAGACATTACTGGAGGTATATTTCCGTCACATTTTATGACTAAAACCAAGTGCTACACTGAGATTGCCTGGAAGGGGGGACTAAAATTTGCACTGTTATCCCCATATTTAGCCTATCCTCTGGTAATCCCCCCTCTTTAATAGCAGGCTTTTTGTCCCTGCTTGGAATGTGGCAGTTTGGAAAAATCGTGCACACTTTTGCCCGCGACCTGTTCATATTCTTGACACACAAAACTCAGCTATAGCTTTCTTTCAGGGTTTGCAGGTTCATTCTTGTTTGTCACTTAAAAATACTAGAAATAAAAATTATTCACTGGTGTTTTAACGACCGCACATGAAAGACGAGATATGATGATGCTGCATGCATTTTTGACAGTTTCCCTTCAAGGCTATTTGGAGTGTTACTCTGATTTAAGACTGTGTCAAAAGATGAATATGAGGAGTAGAGTTTGGAGAATTATCTTAATGTATGCAGACATTTTATATTTGCACACTGTATAAAGTTTCTTTGTTTTGAAACTCATTAAAACTTTAAATCAAAGACTGGCAACAAAGTCTTAGTCCGAGCAGTTACTGACAATAAAAAAGTTACACAACATGCAGATACTTTGCAGTTTACGGTTCATTGAGACTCATTATTTTATGTTTAGATATCCGGCTTAAAAGAGAAATTCAACAAACTGCCAGTCAGCTGCTGCTAGCTAGCACTTGAGACAAAGTCTATCACTACCTTGACACTTGATGAAAAATCTAACAGTCAACTGTGTCATTTTTGTGAATATTTAAGAGCACATTGTAGAATGAGGTCTGTTTTTTAATGTTTAGCTGACACTTAGCTACCCTCTTGCACCAGTTTTAGGCATTAAAAGTTAAGAGTTAAAGACCATAACAGTTGTCACTGATGGTCTTGTTTGCTCTTGGATATCATGAAAAGGCACTAATATGATTTGCAGTCTATTGTAGAAATGCCAAAAACTCCTGATAGGAGCTTTAAGAAAAATGTGCAAAACTACAGCTAAAAACTGTATGCAGCAGGTCTAATGTGCCATGCAGTTGAAATCAATACAAACGTTGTTGTGTACAAATACAGTGGCTTTAGTACAAGTATGCAGTAATGTACTGGTTCAAATCATGCAAAATTACATGCTGGAAAGCTTATGTAATATCATACATGAGATGCTGTGAGTGACTTTGACAAGACCCATATTGAAGCCCAGGTCATAGCATATTTAAGTATGCAGGGGTCAGTATCCACCAAAAGTGGTTCAAGGAATAAAAAACAGTAAACTTGCAACATGATCAAGAACAGCCAGGACTTCTAGATACACATGAAGAGTGAAATCCGACGTGTATGGTTTCACTAAACAGAAGCCAAACTGCTAAAAAAGTTGATACTTGATCTGACAGAGAAATACCAGAACACTCAATATATCACAGTTTCATGTGTTTGTGGCTGAGAACTCACAGACTTGTCAGGGTACGTAGTCTATCAATTCATCATTCTATATTGATAAAGCCCTAATTCACAAAAAACATGATCTGAAGACGCTTCACAAAAAGACCTGGTCTAGACCATACACTTCATTACATTTACAAGTACACAACATCAAGATAGGACAAGATTAAACCCCAGTCTGTAAGATCAGACCAAACCTTAACCCTAATCCACCATGAGTGAAACACTTAACATTTATCAAGCAACAGTGGAAGAACTTCCTTTTAACAGGGAGAAACCTCGAGCAGAACCAGACTCATGTTAGACAGTTGTCTGCTGCTACTGTGTTGAAAAGAACATTTAATATGGACATGAGTGATTATAAAGGTTTGATTATGAGGGATTTAGGCCAACATTCCCAAAACAGCCTCTAAATTCCAGACATCTGCACACACTTTACTTCAGTGGCTTTCATCGACAGCACTTTCAGAGAGGCGTATTTGAAAAAAAAAAAAGCATTGACCAGAGTTTTGATAATTATCCCGTCTGGCCTGTTCAATGTATTTATGATGTGGGTCCAGCTCAGTGTCAGCTGCCTCTGGTTTCTGTCCTGAGACAATCGCTGTCAGACCATAGGCCTGATGCCATTGAAACAAATACTGCATAGTGAAGGTATCAATCATACGCTGTGATGATTGAGCAAAATCAGAAGGAGAGCAAATATGCTTTTATGTCTCAATCTGATGTCTAACTCAGTGAAGACTGGTGCTGATGAGGAACAGATACATGTACAGAGTAAAAAGATGCTTTCTCTGGTTTTTGTTTGTGTAATCATTTTCATTTTACTGCACTCATAGACTATCTGTATGTTATTATGGGTGGTGTGTCTCCAATTCTACTCTGTGTGAGAAGTGAAGCCAAAAACCTGAACTAAAGGGAGCTTCTATGTAGTGCTAGTGCAGCCAAGGAGTGTACTTTCACAACCCTTTTACCAACCAAAGTGTGCGTTTAACCAGCCAATAAAATGTCTACGACCCCTCGACGAAACACAATACTACATGCTAAATGTTTTATCGAACACAAATATAACATGAAATGTAGAAATGTTTCAACAAAGACAAAAAAAATTCATGACACGGCGAAAACATTTCATGAAATGCACGTCATGACTCGTGACACATAAAAAAAATTCTCCAAACTCTCTAAAACTGCATGAAATGCAATTCACAGCTGTTGCAATAAACTGGTATTGAAGATCACTACCAAATAGTAATAACACGCTTATATACACTAGCACTGTGAGCTCATCGCAGTGGTCCCTTACGGCGGCTGCCTCAGGTCATAAAACAGAGGAGAGACAGAGAAGAAGCAGCAGCTGCCAGTAAGCTAGCTGTAGCAGCCCTCTGAGAGATGATTCATCCCTTTTGACTCTAAAAACAACTTCAGAGTTTTAGTCACTTTAGGTTACTTAAAAATTAAACATTGATTCCTTTGCAACTATTTTGAAGGTGATTTTATCTAAGTCCTCAATTTACAATCTACAAGATGAAAGTAAAAGCAAAACTTTACAGTGAAGACAATAAGCAACTAATAAGAAAAAAGAAAAAGAGTTGGTCAGAGGGCTGGAGATGTGAGTCTGAACATCATTGGAAATAGATCATAATAGTAAGCTGCACTCATTTAATGAAGTTTGTGGAGTAATGTGCTGCTCTACCCTTGTCTTACCTTTTATTTTAATTTAACTGATGGTGCTGTTTTATTTTCAAGATTCCCATTAACCTGTCAAGTTGTGGGTTTGGAAAATAACCAAAACTTGACAGGTATTTTGATTCATCTGTGTGATCACAGATGACAACTTGCTGCTGCTACTGGGTGGGTACTTTACACGTGCTAGTGACAGAGTTCATTTTGGAGAGGAAGAATTGTGTTTTTTCATTTACATATATTATAATACAGGAGATTTATGGGAGAATACTAATACAGGAAGACGGCGGGAAAGAGGGGTAAAATACGGAAGTTCCCGGCCAAAACGGGATACTTGACAGCTATGCACTAATATCATGATAATATCATTGAGATATATTTTATGATAAGCGTAAGGTAAAAATCTAAAATGGTGAAAGCCCTAATTTGCATTATGAATAAATATGAACTTTACTTTGGTCAGTCAGTAGGGGGAGCTCCATAAGTTTTGGCTTCATTTCTGGTTACTTTACAGCAAATCTACCAAATACTTTGCATTCATGTTACTTATTTGCAGAAAATGGTAGCTGGTTCATCTAAGAAAAAGTTGTATTTTAATGACTGTGAATGAGAATAAACAAAAATATGGCCATTTTCAACAAACGAAGGAATAGTCCAGGAATAAACATTTGGTCGAAGACGATTGGTTTTGATCAGTTTTAGAGGTCCTCTCATGTTTCCCACCTGTTTTTGTTGCTGTTGAGTGATGTGATGATGCCACTCTTGATCGAAACATTCAAGTACATTTGTGTTACGGCTTAATAACCAGATTAGTGCTTCATTTGGTAGAATGAGGTTTGTCTGACAGACACTGGAATCTGATTTACCTTAATGCATATCTAGATGCTAATGAAAGAAAAGGTTTGACATGGGCTATTAAATTTTTCCATGGCTATATACTGTAAATGCTGACAACTTGTCCTGCAGGTTAAGAGACCATAACTTGAACAACAGGTGGAGAAAATAAGAGAGACAGAAATACTGCGTCTGCCTCAGGCGGGAGAGTGAGAGTCAGTGTGTACGTGTGTGTATGTGTGTGTGTGGTTCACAATGGTAGCTGAACTGTCAGGTTGGGTAATGGCCGTCAGGAGGTTTTTGTAACCTAAATGCTTTCTTGCACGCAAACTGTTGAGAGAACATAATGGACGTGTTAAGCAAGCCCGGCACATTTGAGAAGTCGTCCAGTGAAGCAAACACAATGGAGACCTGCTCAACACACACACACACACACATGGACTGTGTGGCTACATCAGAAGAAATTTTGGTTCAGCCTAGGTGAACTTGGTCGTAAACTCCATGCACACTTTGATCCTCCTGTTTGAATCTGGTTTAGAGGCGTTTATATTGACAAAAGTATCACGCATATCAACACCTGCCAATATTTTGATATCAAACCCTCTGCAGTTGAACTCACGCAGCAGCTGAATGAAACCTGATACAGTATCAGAGAAGCTGGCACTCAGTCAGATTGTCAGTGCGTAATTTAAACTGCACACATTAACCTGAAATGTTCAGCTTCACTTACAGCCTCTGATCCTTCCTTTGCAGGTTTGATTGTTTCTGAGCATAAACAGCTCTGACACAGGCTGAACACAGGGCTCTGAGACTCAAACATGTGACGGTGTCATCAACCTTTTTGCCGGCAGCTACTTATTTGAGTTTTTGTTTACAATATTTGTGACGTTTAGCACAGAAGCACAGCGGCTCAAAGCCAAACATACTCAAGTAGAGGGACATTTTGTGCTATTTCAGAGTTATTTTAAAGGTGGAGCTTTACGAAGTGTTGACATGTTACGAACGACTCCCCCTCAGTTAGAGGACTGACCTCAGACAGTTAATTCTCTATAATAACAAGAGGAGGACATCTTTTGCTGCCTTCATATTCATTTATGTCTCTATATTGTTATGATTAATGTTTTAACCTCTTCAGGGTCGGGGGTTTTAGTGAATAACTGCACGGCCTTTATTTACATTTTCCCAGTGGAGTATTGTTAAGTGATACATACCTCTGAGTGTTAAACTCAAGCAGAAATCAATGTTTTAGCTCCATATATCACTTACACATGTACAGGACCAGATTAGCATGGAAACATACTGAACTCATGGGATGCCAGAATCAACAAAAAGTTCCTCAAAGGACCTTTAAAAACCCATCTGTCCTGGCTGCTGCTGTTTTTTTCTACCGCTCATTTTTACTTGTTTTTATTCATTTACCATCAGACACTCCAGTGTTAAATTTTGTATTTATCGTTGGCCTTATGAGTGTTTGTTGTACTGCTGACTGCAGAATGAAGAATTGGAACTCGAATCCTCAAAGCACATTTTGCTCTATGCACTTTCAAATCTCTCTAGTTTGTTGGACCTTTTCCCTAATAGGGGAAAAATATCATTCATAATAAAATGAACTTGGTTTTGGTTTTTCTCCCTGAACTTCTGACCCGTCTGTTTTTGCCTCGCTGAGCTGGGAACCATTGCTTAAGGCTGAGACCAAAAACTGTACAAAACTAAAGCCAGAACAGCAGCTCCTCTAAAGTGAAACTAGAACCTGTAGGACCTTCCCCTTATGACTGGGTGCAGTAAAGGTCTTCAAACCTGTCTTGCTTTATGTCATAGCAGTTAGTTTTGAATGTGCTAAATCATGCGTAGGAGTTCGCTATTGGGAAAGTACGATTGATCGACAGCTTGCTTAACGAATACAGGCTGCAGAGTTCTTGCCAAATTCGCAGATTAGAGGAGATCAGCCAGAGAAAACATGACAGGCACCAAGTAGAGTCATAAAAAGTTCCCCAACAATGAGAGTCTGCGTCAAAAAGGTGTGTGATATCAGTCACTAAGTCTTATTTAGCTCTGTATTTTACAATGGAGGAAATAGAGGCACACTGTCTATGTTGATATACAGTTAGTTAGTGGTTCTATTTTTGTTAAATATGTGTATAACAAAATATAAAACATAAAATGTTCAGCTGGTAAGTGTTTGAATTAAGAAACCAGAGCATGGTATAACTGGCATTTAAGATAATACCTGATATAAAACTAATACTGTATCATACAACAGAATAGACTACAGAAGAGGATTAGGGCCACTGGAAAAAAGAGGTCCAAAATAATTTTTTGAAATTATTATTCTGAGATTAAATTCAGAATTCTAAGTTTTTTTTCTAAGAATAATAATTAAAAAAAAATTATATTGGACTTTTTTTTTTTTCAGTGGCCCTAATCCGCTTCCGTAATAGACAGCAGCATTAAAAGATAAATCTAATTTGAGTTTCAGATGTGTTTTATCTTCTCTAAATGTTCAACCACAAATACAGAATTCTGAACAGTTCACGTGCTCAGCAGCTCCTCCATAGCATAACAATGTAAACATGCCAGCATGTTCAAGTTCAGGTCAGCTGTCATCTGCAAGTGTTATGAGCCCGACCACTTAGAGAAAGCTTAGTGAAAGGTAGAAATGAACGTAGTACCTTTCGATGACAAGCGCGCTTGTGTCAACACATTAGAACTCAGGATAATGTAAACAAGACGTAAAATCCGGCTTACCTGTCGTATACAGTCCAGACTGCAGTCCTGAGGAGTGATAGAAGCCGCCGTGACATCCTCCTGAGCCCAGAGCAGCCGCCCGAGTGCCAAGAGATGGTAGAAAAGTAAAGCTGCCTTCGACATGCTGCTACCTCCAGCACCTCATTGTCCAAGTGTGAGCCCCGAGCCCTTAAACTCTCCTTTATACACTCTCACCGTGGACTGAGCGGCTGTCAAATATGCAGGGAAGTGAACTCTTGTGTCAGAGTGTCGTTGATGGTGCGTGAGAGAGTGACAGGATCCAAGGAAGAGCGAGAAGGAGAAGGAGGAGGAGGAGGAGGGGAGTGGTGTCTTCAGGCTACGGGTGGAGGCTCCCTGTACATGTTTTAACAGTGACGTTGCCAGACTTGTTCATTCTGTGCTGTACGCGCAGAAGGCAAATAGCAGGTTTGGCTCTTGAGCGCAATTCATGGTTAGAAGGTTGAGCCAGAGAGCAGACTTCATTTCACGCTCAACAAAAACACACACGCACACACAGATGATCATCATTTCAACAGCAGGCATGAGCCTCTAAGTTTAAGCGCTACATAAATCAACACTTTGTCGTCGGTCCAGTGAATACTCACAGTTTATTAAGCACAGATGCTAAATACATGTTTATGAGCTATATACACACAAACGAGGGGTTGTTGTTTTTTCCTGGAAACATCCAAAGTAATTAAAAAAAAAAAAAAACTATTCAAATATCCATTAAAATCATTGAACAGTTTCCCAAAGCTTGATACAGTATGTTACATAGAGTCAAATAAGCTGCAAATATACATTGAAAAGTTTGCCTGTGAGTGGAGGAGACAGGAATTTCACCGGATCTGAAAAACAAAACAAACAAATGGCAGAGTTACCTCACAAGATTTAGGAACAGGTCACAACTGGACACAAACACGTGAAATAATTTGTCCCCACGTGGCCTCTTCTGGAAACAATTAGATCAAGTTTGCTGAACCTGATTGCTTTTTTTTGTAATAATTGAGCTGCAGAGAACAGTATGTATTTGCCAGGCATCTGGATAAACTGCTGCTCTCTTTGTCGTAGCGTGCCCATGCTAGATCAAGTTGGCAGCTTCCCTACGCTGGGGAGGACTCTGTACGCTCATCAATGGCGCCGCACACGGAGAGCTGTTTATCCAGTTACACCACAGGGATCATTATAGATCATTCTTCTCATATTTTGATGAAACATTTGTGAGGAGCTTTAATGCAGGTTGAGGGTGCAGATTAAGGTCAGGTTCACATGAGTAAGCCATGTGCTTTCCTCTCCTTAAAATCGTACATGAGGAAACAAAGTCTTTTCAGCATCACCTTTAAGAAATCTAAAACATATCCAGGAATTGCTGGTACTGGCTTTAGATTTTTCTAACTTGGACCAGATGCCAGAATCACACTCTTGGAAAGAACTGTTCCTATGTGGGGCTCACAGGGGGTCTGACTGAACGTGTCCTGTAGCGAACTTGTATCAGAGAATAAAAAACAAACATGAAATGTGGTCCACAGATGAGGACACTTAGAAGTCTTTCCTCTGAAAATTGAGACTGGATTAGTTAGATCTCCAGCATGGATCCTTTTAAACTGGGCCACAGGCAAGAAAACACGGGTATGAACACTTCTTCTGTGGCATGTGAAGAGAAGGAAAATTTACGAGTGGCTGGGACACCTGTCTGACAGGTAATTTACAGTACACTGCCTCTGCCGACAGACCAATAAAACACTGGTCTGACCTGAAATCATCAGCCACTCACAATAACTGACTGTACACTTTATTTAGATTGAGGATCGTTTCCTTTGACTGTTTTTTTAGTTAGTTTTTTTTTGTTGGGGGTGTGTGTGTGTCTGTGTGTGTGTCTTTTACTGCCTTTATTTTTATAGAGGACAGGGGAGGAACTATAGGGAGAGAATAAGGAGTGATATGTGACAAAGGGGGCCACAGGGTGGAGCTGGGCCAACTGCTTGAGGCATGACCTCTGTATATGGGGCGTGCAATCAGTCATGACCGCTAATCTTGGTCTGATTTCAACTGCGGTGCCAAACAGTGTCTGAGATCAGTCCTGTAGTCCTGTTTTGGCGATATGAGGAGGTGGAGACTGCTGATACAGAGTCTCAATCCAACACACATCAAAACAAGAGAAGCAAACAAATACTCTTAAAGACGTCCCATAAGACCCTTAAAACTGATCCCCATGCAACTCTGCACACTTCAACTCAAAAGTGGAGGAATCAATCAAGTGTGCAGGGAGGCTCAGTAATGACACAGGTCCAAGGTCAAAGCTCCAAGTGTCCGTTGAAAAACTTACAGCAGTCACATCATGGTTTAAATCACCTCGTATGTTGTCATTAACTTTGCGCTACAGTTCTGTGATGTCTGAAATACACAGTGGATCCATAACCTTCAAAAGGACACCTCTATCACAGAGATGTGGACATAGGCTGTCCAAAGAGACCCATTTAACCACTGTCTCTGTAATCATTCTGGCTGTTTGGCTCTCTTGAGGATTTTCATCCTTCCGTCTAAAGTTCAGAGTCCGTTTTTTGCTCTAGATAGTTGAGATTGGGATTCGGACTTTCCAAATACAAAACTTGTTATTTTAATACTGACTTTGGATAAATCTATGATACTCGTTTGGTTCTTAATCTAGAAGAAAGAGTCCTTCATGAATAACATTAAAATATCATTAATTAAACAATAAATCCTCTTCCAGTTTGACAGTGAATGACAGCATGCCTGGTATTTGTCCTCTCCACCTCTCATTTTGCTGCCACAGCTGGACTTAAAAGCTGTCTTCACTCTTAAACTGTGTACCCTCAAGCTTCTGTGACTGTTTCACCCCAACAGGGAAAGATGACAGAGAGATTTCAGGGAGGTCAGAGTCACTCAGAGAGGTTAAATTCCTCAAAATCTGAAAAAGCTGATGAAGCCTGCTGGATAAGCAGCAACAGATGCTCTAAGCCCCGCTGCCTTTGAGTCAACACGAAATATCTGCATAATATTATTGGCCTTAGAAAGCAAATTGTCAATTTGTAATGGTAACATGTTTTTAATTTTACAGGGAAAAGATTTCAGCTGTTTCCCTTGTTTGGAATCTCAGATTGAACCCCAGCTCTCACCGTGTATTTGTCCCATTTCTTCTCTGGATCGTACGGCTCCCAGCGGCTCGCAGGGAAGATGTGTTTGTTCTTCTCATACCAGCTCCTCAGCACCACTTTACCTGCATGAGACTGAAGACAAAAGAAAGGAACCTGGATTAACTTGGACATGACTTTTCAATCAACATAGTGAAAACTGGGTATTTTGCATTATCTGGAGGAGGTCAACACTAGTTTAACCCATCAATGGTAGATTTATTGATTTATCTATGTAACTTTTGTTATTGATATAAACACCAATAACACTTAAAGGCTCAACTAGGACTGGGTAATTATATGATCGTGATTAATGATTGTGATCAATTTCAGTTTGATCACGGTGATCAGCTGTAAGCATATTTACTCGATCAAACATGGCAGAAATGTGTGTGACAACAGCCAATCAGAGTTGAGCGTTTACTGCTCACTTCTGAAACTTTCCAAGAAGTAAACAGAATGACCGTATGTGAAGCTTAACACGGAGCTGAGGGCAGCAAAATAGATGTCAGCTGTGACTTTGAGTCATCCTCCGAAGATGCCATCGTTGAGAAGAAAAGTTATTCAACGTCGTACATTTTAAGGCGTCTTTATTATCCCGAGGGGGCCATTTGTTTATTTTGGGTCTTGCATACCTGCAAAAACACTTAGGACTGTAAACTAGTTCACTAGTTTTATATTTTTCTAAGTTTATTTTATTTTATTTCCTTTATTATTTACTTTGGATGTAATGAAATGTTGAACAATCTCTAGTTTCTTTAGTTATTAGTATAGATACCTTAAAACTAGCAGTTTAAAAACATTAAAAAAAAAATCATGATAATGATCAAGATCGGACAATATGACAGAATATATCATGATCTTTTTTTTGCCAAATCGCTCAGGCCTAGGCTCAACACCTCTAATCTTTTTCCTGAAAATAACATCCTCACCTCGTCTTTCTCTACAGTGGCGTCATTCACCAGCCGGATATCATCGTGGACGTCAAAGCTGAAAAGAGGACCTGAGGAGGAGAAGATGAAGTGAGTAAATAAGACTGGAAGTGACCTCGATTCAAGAAACTGTGCCAAAAAGCAAAGACAATTATTGGTTTTTAAGGTGTTCACCCACCAGATTTGCCTCTGGCCTTGGTCACAATGAAATCATAAAAACTGTGATGCTGTAAGACACAAACAGATCAAGTGTGATGACATCTAAAGACAAAGCTGCAGAGCAAAATAAAATCACATTAATATCATCATAACAATCGTCATGTTAGCCTGTGTAATCGTGTTTTTTTATGTTCATGGACAATGCGACTGTCATTGTTTGATTGAACTCTTAGATACATCTGTAAGCCCAGAGTGAACACGAAAAAACAAACGCATAGGTCAGGGGGGGTTAAATTGGTCGGATCACCTCAGCGATAAACGCAGACAGAGAAGTCAACACAATATCCAAACACAGTGGAGCTGAGATTAGCTGTGGATACGGAGAGGGTTAGTAAGGCAAACACACAATACTCACATGTGGGATTATCAGATCCTCTTTGATGTACATCAGCTGCTCCACCCCGGCAGACCTGCACCCACATAGAAACACAATCTAGTTTTTACTTAATGTAAACATCCACTCGTTTCCAAAAGGTAAGTGAATCTTATAATGTTGATGAGAAGGACTATGATAAGTCCCGTTACATATGCTCTGCTTTGTGCTAGTCTAATTAAAGGAACAAGTCAGTTTTTTTGAGTGGGTTTGTACAACACATCTAGAGCCAGAATATTTCCCACAGGGGGGGAACCAGTAAGCTACAGCTTCAATGAATCCAGACTACCTGCTTTGTATTTCTAAGATTCAGGACTGCATTAAAGAACCCCATTGCAGCAGCCCCCTGCAATGTTATAACAGTCTGAAAGGCAATTTGTGGATAATGGAGAGTGTGTGTGTGAACAACCCTTTAACAAAGGAGATGTTTGTGAGTTCCCCGATGCTTCACCTGAGCTCACTGAAGTCTTTTCTGAGAACCTCCAGGGCTCTTTGCAGGAAGTTCTGAATGGTGTTGCCCTTCTTCATCTGCCAGAAAGAAAAGAAAGAAACACACAAAGACACAGAACGGGCTTGAAGACAAGAATAACTCTGCTGAGTTTATTGTTTGATGAGTGGATGAATGCTGTAATTATCTGCTATAGTGGGCACTCTTTGTGGAGTTTGTATCATGTACTCTTCTCCCACTTTGCAAAAAACTCAGACAGCTAAGCAGCACTGCAGCTCGCCATGCCATACCTTGACAGTCTTTCGGTGTCCAGAGCCGTCCCAGTAGCTGAATGTTATCTCAATCTCCTCACCTAAAGATGAAGATACATGCCAAATTCAAGAGTTAGTGCGAATGCTAATGCACATGCATGTGGCTGTGCAAACAGAGACAAAGAGAAAATTAAAGCTTTGAAAGAAACTTTGTTTCACTTTTGGTGCCCCGTGTGGACAAAACAGTCTGTGCTTTTCTTGTCCTCTACATGCTCGAGTAGTGTCTCCTGACTTTTGATGGTAGATATATCACTGAAGGTCGTTACACACCGGCAAATTAGCAAAGCGAATTGGTGAAGCGAATAACTGAATTTTTTTAAACCCTCAAGTCAATGCAAGCTTTCATACCGGCATACAAACTTCCGCAGAGCGAAAAAGCGTCTGTAATCTTTCGCCCCTGTAGCGAGTTTTGTGAACATTCGCAGGCGAACTGTTGTATAAATCAATAGCCTAATATAAATCTTACCTCAGACATATGGCAAGCTGTTACTCTGGATAAATGGGCTCTCTGTAATTTGTCCTCTCCTTCTGCAAACTTGAAGTCAGCTGATGGAGCAGTTCTTGAAATTGTCCGAGGGACATTCTGAAATATTGTTGGAGTTTCTCTGGATACAATTTGAGCTCCTGGATTGATGTGTGCAACTCCCCCATCCCCTGTTGCAAGGTCAGTATTGGATGTTCCCAGACACTTTGATTCTTCTTTTTCTTTTTGTTATTTAATAGGTTTACAACCATGGCCAGCTCATCATCAAATGAGGATGTAGTCGCCATTATTTCCCCTTCTTCTCTTGCCCCCTCTGTTCTCTTGTGGTGTATTTTATGCGAAAATGTGAATTCTATTTAAGTCACTCCAGGTGTGTATAGTAAAGGCGTAAGCCAAATATTTTGCATTTTCACGTTGCTTCGCTAATTTGGTGGTGTTTAACGACCTTTACTGTGAAAATTTTTGAGGGAAATGATAAAAGTAGGGCTGCCTGGCTGACACCTTCCTCAGCGATTTCAGGTATTGAAATTTACAACATAAAAAATGTCTGTCTTATATTTGATGGTCTTGTGTGCTGTTGTATATCATAAGAGAAAAGCAGTGGTATTAATTTCAGGTCTATTTCATGACCATCAGAAATCTCCTCAGAAGAGCTTTAGATAAGAACAGTGTTTAATTTTTTGACCATCCTGACACTTACTTTTGATTTTCTCCTGTTTGAGCTCCCACTCCTGCCTGAGCTCCTCCCTCAGACGGTTCTCCTCCTCCTAAGCATAAGTGCACCAAACAAATATGAGGAAAATTGCAAAACCGACATGTGGATTAGAAATACATTTGCAGACTAGATTAAAAAAATAGAGTATAAGTCAGTTTGATTTACAACTACTGCACTGTATTAACAGCGTTGACAACCTCATTAAATAACGTGTGAAACCTCCAGCCACAAGAGCTACATAAGAAAGGTTTTTCCAGTCATGTGTCTTTGTTATGTAAGAATTAATCAGAAAATCCAGTGTGACAGATATAGAATGAGCCAGATGAGAACATCAACATCTGCCTATCAAAATCACACTTTATTAATCCCTCTGGGGCAAATTCATTACTTCCACTCAGGTTAACTCGTGAAAACTTGGATCCAAAGAGACACATCTGTGAGCCTCTAAGCAGTTGAGGGTTCAGTGCCTTGTTTGTGGAAAGCTTGACCTGAACACACTTTGGTTTCCAAACTAACAAAACTACTGTTGACCCCAAACCATAAAATTAGGGAAACATAAACACAGTTTTTGATGTAATAATAAACAGTTTCATACATAAAATGGCGATACTGACAAAGTCCATATTGACACACACCCAAAATCTCATCACACAGAGAAAAAAATGAAAACAATTAGTGTGATCTATTCACGTCTCACCTCTCTGTCTCGATCTGGCAGAAAACTGGTGTCCACGTCTGGATTTTTTCCAAGCTTCTTCTTCTTGACTGGAGCATCTGTGAGGCAAAGACAGGCTCTACTTAGCTCATCGCATCATGTTCTAACTGTATACCTGACATAATGTGGCGAATTATTAGCAGAGACTTTCTTAAGTGCTAGATGGCTACATTTAACTTCAGGGGCAGGCAGGTGGTGTGTGACCGCTTTTATTTGAAACGAGCCATAAGGGCTGTTTCTGTTTACACTTCAAGCTAAATTAGACTCCCTACTTTCTGACTTTAACTATTTGATGCATCACCTGATTCTGCAACAAATAGTTTGAATTTCAAGATTATTGACTATCACTGAACCTTTTAATTCATATTTTTTTTATATCTTTGATACACCAGCATGAATTCAGCTTAACTCCATATACCAATGATCACAGTTTAGTTGATTTCACCTGTAATTAAACATCTCAGACTACGTTAACACGTGCCCAGCCATTTTCATTAACAGACATTTCACCCTCTCTGTTTACAAAAAAAAACTGCTTTTACACTAGTGTTTTCAGAAATGTTTTCGTTTACACTAACCCACGTATATTTGCCGTCAAGAGCATGCCAAACCTGTAGGTGGCAGTGTAGCGAGATGCTCAAGCCCACGTTAGCCGATCGGAATCCCGCATCGCAGCAACAACAACAACAATGTCACTTCCTTCTTTTGGAAAAGATGCAAATGCAAACAAATATACAGGGATTGCACCAGCATAAATGCCACTGCTATTCTGCATGCATCCATGATCCCCATAGATTGTAAACATAGACTGTAGATTGTAAACAACATTGCATTTAACCCAGTTTCCGGCACACAATCTGCTGTTGGCTACCCGATCTATCTCTGTTTACCTCTGTTTTTCTCCATTTACATGCAAATGTGCAAACAGAGTTTTTCAAAGTCTCCACTCTGGCAGGAGTTTTTACAAAGCATCCTTTTCAGGGGCGAATTCTCTGTTTGCATCCAAACAGAGGGTGCAAACGATGGTTAACATCTGTGTTTTTAAAAATAACCGGTACATATAAACGGGGCCTCAGTGCGTAAAGTATCTGGCACTGTTCACTTCTCCACCTCCTGATATTTGTAGTCGCCCTCTGATTGGCTGGTGACCTGCCCAGGGTCCATCCCACCTTTTGCCCTATGACACCCCCAACCTCAATAAGCAGTATATTCATAATAGATGAAGATGCTGTTCAGTTTTCTTAATGAGCCTTATGGGTCAAACACACAAGTGAGTTCTGTCTGTGTGGATTAAGTCCAAAAACAGTTCAAACTTTGCGGATCTACAAGACAAAAAAGTTATCTTGCTGTATCGATCTTAATTTAATAAAGATTTTCCTGTTTCAGCTTGTGCAAGATAACATTTCTTCATTACAAATGCTCAAATATCTGCAGGAAGTGACTTTAACACAGTAAGAAGATGCCATGAAGACTTCTTCTGTCTGTTAACAGAACTCTTGCAAGGCCCAAATGAAATCACATCATTTAAAGGTGTTATCACTTTGTCCACATGGGGTGCCATAATCATCACAGACAGAATGTTCTTTACAGGAGCTTAAAAACTTAAGTCGAAAATAAACAACTTTTTTCAGCCCCTTTTTTACAGTACTCACATTCCTGCTCCTCCTCTTCATTTTCCTCTTCATCCTCTCCTTCATCTTCTGGATTAAACGATAAACTGGCTATTTTCCTCTTCTGTTCCTCCTTCCTCTTCTTCTCTTTCTGCTTCTCAAGTTTGCTGGAAACGAGAAAGAAAAAATAATCAACGGCTGGAATCGAGTGTCAGACTGTGACCCACTGCTGGAAGGGTTATTGTTGAGGGTGGTCATGAAAATGTCTTTTATGAGCCTCGTATAAATATATTTACGATTCGGGCCTGTTTTCTTCGTGGACTAAAACATGAGAAACAGCTGCAGTAGCCGAAGCCAAACAGAATAGGGGTTTTTCTTTTGGCACCGGCTGATAGACAGTCGTTTATCTTGACTCTGTTGTGTGTGCTGTGACGTTAAACCAGACTCAAATCACTGTTTTGTTTTCTATGATTGCCTGGTTATGACTATTTTCTCTGGCAAGAATGCTAACCCATCTTGTTCCAGAAAGAGTGGAGTGAAGCAACGGCCAGGAAACCAGCGTCAGTGCAAGTAAGGACAACGTATTGGAATTTGAGAAGTGCCTGTTTTAAATGAAAGAGAAACTTGGAGGGAGGAGGAGAGAGAGTCTTTAGAGCCCTCTCAATCTCCTCACACTCAAATTAACAGGAGCAGAACTCTTTGCATACATGACTTGATTGTCCATAAATCCTATTTATTATGTGTTAGCATGGCAGAGGAAGCCACACAAAATATGGAACTGTTTTGGCTGGTCTTTAATCCCCCTTTCTGCACAAATGTCAGCTGCATATGACACCCTTTAAACCATGAACATATGACAGTAAACATTTCAGCAGGCTTTCATTGTTTAACCTGATGAAAGGAGACCTTGGTATAATGCCCACTCTCTCACATCATTTTCACACAATTAGAAAAACCTCAAACTTGCTGGTTGTCAGCCTCTGAGTCATTAGTGGCAGTTAGAAGAATTATTAAGAAATTCTTAATGGGATCCCTCTGGGTTCAGGCAGGACATGTAAACACAGGTATTATGTTAGCAAACACACCAAGGAAAAAAAAAAAAACGCAAGTTAGAGCCAATAATCCTCCTGACTTTTGCACGCAGATGGAGATGGAGTCTGTTTAAAAAATGTTCAGTTCTTCTTTATATCACAACACATTTACAACGATGATATCACGAAATTCCATATTGTGCAGGTTTCATTACCACCAGATTTGCACACTTGACTCTAACAGAACTCCTTGTTAGTCTTTTTTCCTAAAACCAGGTCAGAGGAAAAATTTCCCCTTATATGCTGTCTCTACAGTAACATCTAATAACCTGTGTTTACGCTTATTTCAAAATACAGCAGCTAGGCTTTTAAAGAGAACTAACAAATGTGCCTGTATCACGCTTATTGAAGAAGATCAACACCGTTGTTTTCAGGACTGATTTCAAGATTCTTTTTAATGTCATTTAAGCCCCTACACGAACTTGTCTCTCCCTATATTTACAAACTTTTATCCCCCTATGAGTCCGGATGATGTCTGAGATCTTCAGGTAGTGGTTTGCAATCAAAGGTCCAGATTAAAAACCAAAGTTGCCGAGACTTAAGCTGTCAGAGAACAGACTTTCAGAACTAGACCCTTCTTTCTTTCCCACGATTCAGGGCACATTTCTACAGGAAGGTCTTTAACCTGTGATTTTATTTGTCCGTTGTTTTAATAGAACAGCTTTTAGCTTCTTTTATTGTTTGCCTTTTTATTACTTACACACTGTGAAGCACTTAATTACCTGCACTGAAGATTACTACATAAATAACGTATTAATATGATCATGATTCAGCCTTAACTGCCTGTGGCTTTTAACTACTGTTGTATTACAGCTAAATCAGCACTAACAAGTTAAAGTCGTGTAGAGAGCGTCTCCTTGGAGTGGTGTTGTGGGGTGATAAGTGAGTCTATGCGGAGGTCCTTTACAGTTAAGGTGTAACAACACATATGCTTTTAGTGTCACAATGCTTAAGCCAAGTCCCATAATGTTATGTAGCTAATAGGGGTGGGAATCACCAGTGGCCCCACTATACAATATTATCACGATACTTGGTCCACGATTTAGTTTTATTGCAATTTTAAACATTTTGCAATACAGTGAGTATTGGGATACCATAAATTGGTATTTGCACAATTTTTTAACTGTTTAGCTGATAAAGCATTTGTCTTTATGTTTGTCTCATTTACACAGTATTTTATTTTCATGCAGCCCTTCTTGCTAACGTCGAGCCATGTCGATCTCATTTGTGCCCTGCTTTCATTCCTTATGTCCCTCCCCAGGTGCTGTTTATTGTATCAACTTTCTCCTGCTCTATGATGTCAGCTCTGCCAACCTCAATGGACAAACAGTTGATTTTATTTTTCCATTTACATAGACTTGAGTTTGTGTTAGCAACTGATTTGAAAAAATAGATACATGGTGGATGAGATGATATACCACCAGACAAAATATCACAATACAATGCTGTATCCACTTTTTCTCCCACCCCCAGTAGCTAACATTATTGCTTATGTTGTACTGAAACTGTTGTTATTACCTCAATTCTAAACTTAAGTGAGTGGTGAGTTCTCGACCCAACCAGACTGCAACATTAACATTAACATGGTGTGATGATGAAAGAGTTTAAAATCAGTTTTAATATCATCACTTTGATCCAAATCAGCACGCTCTCTCCTTTCCTTGTAAACTCTCTTCCTGTGCTTTCCATTTAAAAACACTCTCTCATCATTTAATGCACTTCATTAAAAAATGCACACTCATTTGCATAAAAAAAGAATAGTGAGACCACAGTTAATCCCAGAAGACCAACGTGGAGACACATGTTTATGCCAGATGTGTAAAGGCATGCTTAGAGGTCCATCAGCCTGTAAACAGGGTTATTTTTAAACACGACCTGAAGGCTTTACAGCTGTTGTTTGATTAGACTAAATTTCATGGACCATGAATGAGGAATTGATTCTGCTCACTACATTAAGGATGTTTAGAGAATCTTTGCACAAAGACCTGCACAAACAACAGAGGAAAGCCCTGAGCTCTACATCGGCGACTAAAAACAAACGTGTGATGGTGAAGGTCAGGGATTGAGACTCACAGCTGGAGTTCTTTGGACTGCTCCTTCTTGGCCAGCTGTTTCTCTCTCTCCTTCACCAGTGCCTCCTGCTTGGCCTTCATATCATTCAGTGTGACCAGACCTGATCAATAAATGGAAGTCAAACAGGAATCAGGTCTCAATAATTTCTTTATCATGATATACACACAAAAACAAGAGTAAAATACACACAAATATCCTCTTCTTCAAATCTAATGTTAATGGTTTAGAGATGTACTGTTGCAACTTTTTTCAGTATGATTTCAAATCAGGTTTTACACACCTGAAAAAAATACACATACCAACAGTGCTGGACTTGAGTTCTGCCTCTACAGCATCATAATGAGCAGAGAACTTCTTATCAATGTTCGACTTGACCATGTTGTCCTGAAAACAGAGACACAGATACACATAGATGAGTTAACAGTTATTTTGAAATATAAACATGTTCAGGGCACTGGTGGATAAGTCTCTTCATTTCACATGTAAATATTTCATAATCAACCATAACTAAGCCATGTTAATAAAAATGTGAATAGTAATAGCGTTACAACTTTGTAGATAAATAAGCAAGAGCTGAGTGGATGAAACCTTATGAAGCTTAGAGGCTTTTGACTTCACTGTGTTGAGACGGACTGAAAGCTTTGAAGTTTCATGACAAGCACAGTGACATCTAGTGGCTTATTAAACATATGGCAGCCTTTCTGATGGTGGTCTTTGTACTTATGTTCAGATATACTGCTCAGAGTGCAGGCATGTCTGTCTAAAAGGTTTGAAAAGATACCTGTCTTATCTCACAGTCTTTACATGGATTTTTTCTGCAGTAATGAAGAGCTTATTTGGTTTAGTTAGATAATCTATTCTTCAGATTTCATGATTGGTTTTATTGTAATGTGAATTAGTCTTTACTGCAAACCAATCCTTTGAACCACTGGAACCACTTTAAATCTTTCTCGAATCTGGATAATTAATCAAAATGTTTCAAATGCTAATATCATTTTAATCCTGATGACACTGTAAAGTCATGCAGAGCTTTCACTCCAGTTAATTTCTCAGGGTACCAGGTCTGTATTTTACAACAGCACAGATATCTCAGTATTCCAGCTGATGGCTTCTCTTGAACAACTTATATTCATCAGTTTGTAAAGAGATTAAAACTGAAATAGTCTGGTCTCATTGGACACTTAAGTCATGGTGTTCAATTGCTTTGAGACCAGCACATCTTATTGTAGATTTCCTTTTAACTGGAATACGTTCACCTGCCACAAACTGATCTATCACAAATTCTACTTTCAGGACGCTTCTTCATTTTCAATTTATGATTATTGTAGTTTGTAGTTATTACTGAAGATGTTTTGGGTCGTGGTGGTAAACGCTTATGAAAGGTGTCCCATATATTTGGTCCACTTCTTTGATAAACATAAAGCAACAAAATATAAGGGGACACCTTAAAGCGTGATGCAGCCTAATACACCATAAACACCCACTACAATACATTCAGAGAACTATCATAACCAGTTTGACCTTATCAACAACAATCAGACAAAGTTAAAGTGTCAAATGATTGATTGCATAAATGATCCTCTGTGTGTAAATGGCATTTTTCTATTTATCTTATTTCTTTGAATCCATGTTCAAACTTAATAAAATTGATTTCAAATAAAATTGCCCAGGTGTTCATGATTTTGTTGCAGTACTTTTCAAGTGTATTCATGATCGTGATCAATTTTCACAAATGCTTTTGGAGGGGGAGGAAACACAACCAGTGTTGTATTGATCAAAGCTTAAAGAGTCAAATACATGGGTGGAAAGAAATGAAAATTTCTGCTGATAATTATCACCAGACTTAATTTTCTGCAGAGTAAAAAGTTATGCATTAAATACATGCATGCAGTGACTACTTGGGTGTGCCAACATGTATGTGCATGACTCTATGGAAGCGGTTTTAAATCCTAAAGAGAATTTCTTAGTTAGAAAAGGTAATATATGAGACGAAATTCAATAAATTAAACAAAAATATTGGAGACGGATAGCGAGTAACTGCGTAATTTCGTCATTTCTAACTTAATGCTATCTTGTATCGAGCGTACAGTGAATAATTGTGACTTTTTCGTGTGCATAGCTGAACTTTTTAATTTTACCGGGGTGACGTCAAGGGTCACCGGTCACGTGACACACCATCCTCCCTACAAGCTGCAGCCCCGTATGTTTGAAACAGTGTGGTTCACCTATGTAATAAGAGGTATGACGGTTTCATATCGCCCACTCATTCCTGAGGAAAAGTTACAAACCTCAGCGATCTTCTGCTTCAGCTGTTCAAGCTGCTCTCTCTCCTTTTCTCGCTTCTTCATCAGCTGCATGGCTCTCCCAGCCTCGCTGGCAGCTCCTTTATACTGCGCCATGTTGTTTTCCTTAATTCAACGCTCGCTTACACAGAGTGAAATGACACCTGAAAGACGAGTTAAATTATAAAGAAAACGTCAATTTATTCACACTCTGAGGGTACAGCTCCCTACACAACAGTCACAACAAGAAAAATGGCTGCGGCGAAGTGCATTCTGGTCTCACAATGATACCGATGATATGTTCATGGGCTCAATAAAAGCTCGGAATTATGAAATCCCAAAACCAAAACTGAGCAGAAACCATAGACCAGGGGTTCCCAAACTTTTTCCTCTGAGGGCCACATAACTTTTCCCTTCTCTGATGGGGCGCCGGGGTCAGTTTGTAACAGAAAAAATGTGATGATCACAGGGGTGCCTAAACGTAAACATTTATTGTTTTCCAGAAAGCCACACATAACCAAATATTAATAACCCTTCCTGGGATAGTCACAGACAAAAAAAAGTCTCACGGCATTTAAGACACCCTTCTTCTCGGGACTCACCTCCTCCACAACAGCATTCAAACATTTCTTAACAAACTCTCCATCAGTGAAAGATTTACCGCTGCTTGCTATCAGTTGAGCAACCCGAAGGTAGCCCAAATGGATGACTGGCTCAGCTGAGCTTGGCGTACAAATGTATTCTGCTGAGCTAACAGTCCACTTTTTGGCTTTGAGATTGAAAAACAATCTTAGAACTAATTTTTCACAATGTATGAGCACAGTCAACATCTGTATGTTTTTTGCTCTGTTATGATTACTTACATTATTTACATTTTTAAACATATGCTGCCGATTTCCAGAGATGCAGCTCCAAAATAATGTGAGCGATTACAAGGAAAACCAACCACAGGACTGAGATGGCAGCTAAGTTACTACAAGCACAGACAATTTTGTTTAAAAGTTTCACAGGAAATATTACATACGTTTGGTTAAATATCTCTGCATGCTTTCTCAGGATAGATGGAAATGTTTTGTGAGGCATATTGAAGTTTGTGTGTGTTTAATGGAGCAAATACAAAGAGATAATCATCAGTCTCTTCATATTGATTCATTCAAATATTGATATTTATGTAAAGAAATGAAGAAAATGACAAAAGTGATAATCATGATGAATTTTCTGAGGATTATTATTTTTTTGTACCTATAAAGCAGCCATTAGTGTCTTTCGTTTTCTATTATTTGTCCACTCCAAAATGGCTTCTTTAAAGGATATCTCATCAGAACAAAAATGTTAACCAGCAGGAAACAATAGCACTATAACAAATGACATTTATGGCATTCATTTTATTTAAGGCTTAATACATCTCCTCTACAAGCTCTACAACAGCAACTACTGCTTAAAGTACTGCTTTTACCAATTATGACAGTTATAACAATATTTAATACATAGGGCTTACATGTAGAAAACATATGAAATAGCATCAAAATGAAAAGTTGCAGGGTTTTGACAAATAGAAAAATAAAATTCATAAACAGTCACTCTTTTCCTCACTCACTCATGCACGCAGCATCACTCGGTATGTCTCACTTTCATCAAACAGCCTCCTTGTCTTTCATTGGACGCCAGTCTTTTTTGGACAGTAAAATGTTGATTTGACTGCAGCAGAGAGCCAGAGACGTGCAGAAGGGAGAGAGGATAACATCCACAGCACAGAAACACAAAGATCGCAGGCATGGAAGGAAAGTTTGGCTCAGCTGTATGCAAGGCACCAAAACCCTGCAGAGAGAGGGATGGCAACAGAGACAGGAGAGAGTTTAGAGGATGGTTTTGTAGAAGAATGAAACACAGATGGGACAACTCAAAGATTCATCGTCAGGCATAAAACTCTTTGTCCTGCCCATCCTGGAATATTTGTGCTTTTGACCGTCAGGGCCACTTTACCTGTTTCTAGCTCTGTACCCTGCAAAACAGTATCACCCAGTCCTTTTTAAAAAAGGGCTTATTTTATAATTTGTATCGTAATTTGATCATATATCATCACATCATTTACTGTATTTGATTTGTGATTGAGTATATTTCATGAGTTAGACACTAATGTGTGTATGGATGCATAATAAATATACCAGACATGTAGACAGGCGAGAACAGCCAGGACGACACCACAGAGGAGGGCAAAGGGCACTGCCAACAGCAAGGTGAGGCAGCGGTAAGTACAGATACGAGTCTTCTCAAAGCCAGCAGTACTGTAGACCCACACCTTGTCTTGACCGTGGGGTGAGGTCGGCTCCACTAGCACCTTATTGACATCCACCTGCAGACAAGACGCAAAAAAGACTGTGGTTTAAATAAAGCCTGTCCATTCATTCGAAATGTTACAAATATTTATTGGGGTGCAACAAGTGGGACAGAAATAAAGGAAAGAAGGATACAAAAAAAAGTGACTCCAAGGAAAAAAGTACAAAATAATGGCAAATTATAATTATGAGATAAGAAGTCAAAATAACTTGATGTGAGTTAAAAACTCTAAAATATAACCCCCCCCCCCCCAAAAAAAAAGTCTCAAAATGAGATAAAATTATCTTAAAAAAGTCAACAATCCAAAATAAAAATGTTATCAGATATGTAATAATTATAGACAAAAATTTACAGTCCAAGACAAAAATGCCAAATTCTGAGATACGTCAAAACCAATTGATAAATAGTTGTAATAACTGGGTAAAAATATAGATTTATAGTTAAAGAGCTCTTCTATTTATCTGTTATATGTCTGTCTTTCGAACTTTTTACAGCCATGTGAGCCAGCCATAAAAAAACAACCAAGCTTTGTTTAATGCAAAGCGCACAGGACATGGGTTATTTTTCAAATCAAATCAAACACTATTTATAAAGTGCTTTTCATACAAAAGGATGTAACACAAAGTGCTTTACTTTATTCGAGCTGTCAATTGTTGGTTTGTCCTGAGTTTTAAATAATTGAAGAATGTGCATGTCCCTGATTGTTTCTGCAGTACAGAGTATTTGTTCCAGTGGATAAAATGATTGAATGATTGTTTTGATTGAAATTACTCCTACACAAACCTTTGAATGATTGAGGGCCTTAATCCATCCTCTTTGCACACTCAGCCTCACTGAAGGCCAAGACTGTGCACCACCTAACCAGCAAAACTTGATCACATTTAACTTAAGTCACTTAGTGCCGTGAATTTTAGATAGAGACTTTTTAAAAATGTAGGCAAAGTTTTTTTCTTTTTTTTTTTCAAATGGCAGCAATGGGCTTCCATACATCCTGTGTAATGATAAGGCTAACATGATCTTAGGTGTTGGCCTGGTGCATTTTAATAAGGACAGTGCAGTGCAACTGTAGACAGAGGAGGAGTTTATTACTTAGCCTTTGGTTTAGACATGCACCCCATATGCTTGATTCCAACCTACAGTCTGCTCTCTCCACCAGTTTACTGATCTATCCACTGTCCTCTCTTCTTTGATAAAGGCCAAAAAAATTCAACGTAAACCAACTGAACACATTGAAATGAGGTATGTTGGATGACATGAATCAAGTTTCTCACAGTAACTCAAAGAAACAATGACTTCAGAGGCAAAAAGAGGCAAAGGCACTTTCGCTATTGTGTCAAATAATGCAAATGTATCGAGAGAGGAAGAGGTAAGAAAAACCTTTAGATGCTGATTGATTCCATAAGGATCTCTGTTGACAGGCTGTGGGGGTGTAGGTATAGGTGTAGGTGAAGGAGTAGGTGTAGATTTAGGTGTGGGTGTGGGAGTGGTAGGAGCTGTGGGAGGAGTCGGAGGTTTGGGCCCTGGAGTCGAGGTTTTGGATGCAAACTCTGGAGGAGGCGGAGGGATTTTCATCTCCTCTTCTTCACTGTCATCATCGATCTTACACTCCACCAGACAGTCATCGCTCACCATCATCATCCTGACTGAAAAGAGAGGCACACGTATGAAGAAAGATGGATACAAACATCAGATATGTGCATGCTTTTACACTCTTCTATCTTTCTATCACCAACAGTATTAACTGTGTCCACACACCCGCTCAAAAACACTTCAGCAGCAGATTACAGGCATGTTGAGTGTAACAGCAAGCTGGGCAGTGGCGCTCCCACCTGTTCTTTAGCCCGAAAAAGAAGCCTGACCAAAATCTGGAAATAGCTGCCAGTAAATTTAAAGTGCCTTTTTAAAAACAGGATCACTACTGTAAAAATATACTGTCAGTTTAGAGTTTTAAAATCTAAATTCAAAATATTAACAGCAGACTGATTATCATGCATAAAGCAAATGCTGCAAGGTTCATTCTCAGTCCGAAATCATTAGTCAGTCCATGACAAAGAAAACCAACAGTGTTAAAGGTTAGAAGACTGGCAGACCTACCTTATCTAAAGTGTAACCTAATCTTGCCTCTGTAAAAAAAAAGAGGGGCAGGGAGAATCCTGCTGAAAGAGCTGATCCAAAAAATGTGAATGAGAACAGTTCAGCCTCCTAATCACAATGATCCCCGTGGCTTATGTGAGCTCACACAGACACCTTTAGTGAGTTTGACACTGACTTAGTGCAGCAGACGTGCTAATGTGGTTCAGTGACTCTTATTCCTCGTGCATGTGCGTGTGCATGTGTGTGTCTGTGTGGGTGTGGGAAGGGGTTATTTTAGGAGGAGGAGGAAGGGATGGGTCTAAAAGATCACATTACTACTTGGGTGCAGTTGTGACACAGAAACTGAAACAATGACATACACTCACTTACACATGGCACACGCATACAATCACAAGCACATGCAATGAATGCTTGGCACAAACTGATGAGTCAGAGTAAAAGGCAGAGGCAGATCTGAGATTTTTATAAAAGCTGGCGAGAGGTTTTGGCTCGCTGTATCGGAGGGTAACTGGAAGGAATCCCCACTTAAGAATACGGCTTATACTGCAAGGATACAAGAAATCAATTAGGTGACTTCATATTTTTCTTCTGTGGTTATTTCCGGTCTGGGCTCCATAAAAAAGCAAACATGCCTTAAAATTTTACATAACTTCAGCATGCATATCAGTGTCTCTGACTCAACTCCAGCTCAGGGACTTTCACTAGAGACCAGGAACCTTTGGAGGAGGGGTCACTACTACTCTCAAATAAGGGAAACAAGATCAACAACACATCCAAATATAGATACATACAAGACATAACATGTAAAGCAAAAGGAGGTTATAAAGACCAAGAAACAAAACAAGGAAGATACTGAAAGCAACAAATCACAAATTCTTCCTCCTTTCACAGCACCCCGGATAAGTTTTTACAGAAAATGCAAGCAAGAGCAGTGCAGCGCAACAAGTTCAGAAAGTGCAAAGCATCAAGGAGAAGATGAGGAATGAGAACCTGTGGAGAATACACTCAGACAAGTGATTTTGATGTGATTATTATTTACTCTTAATAATGTTATTGTTCGTGAAGTTTTGGTCAGTAGGGGCATCTCCCAATTAAGAGAGGTGTGACACACACGGTGCATCACTGGTCTTTTAAATCTCCTGAATCAGACAGTTTATAAATGAGATAAGTTTTCTTTACATACAAAAGGGACCACACAGACTTAGTGAGACAGCAGTCATCCCAAAAGGCGAGGACTTGACCCGGATGTGATTTGGACCTGACACTTGGGACAAAAGACTTAACTTAGACTCCAGGTGTGGTAACTTTGGTTACACTGGTGGTTTTATGCATGCACAAATACACAACAAAACAACAACAAAAAAAATGGAAGAATAGAGTTGTAAACATGGCTCTGTCAACATGCCTCCCAACATTTTCTGTCTCTCTGATCACATCTCTGTAATCTGTTACAGTTTCAGTAAAACACACAGCGACAATGAATGAATCATTGATCACTTCATCATCTTTATTTATTCATATTTTACCACATATACAGTTTGACACAGTAAATTTAGTGACATCATTAAAACAGTGATCCAGAATAACAGGATGTCAAACCATAAAAGCAGAATTAACAGAAACATAAACAGGATTCAACTCCCATGAAGCCAATACTGAAACACGTCAGATGACAGATGCCATATGCAAAAACATTTCAAATGCTTTTGGAGTCAAAGTAATTTTACATCTCACCTCAAGGGTCTTAAAACACACATTTGAATGGTAACTGTGTATAATGTTAGTCGGGGGGCTAAAATGTATGAATGAACAAGACAAGAGATTCAATCCTGGCTCCAAAATATCGCCATTGCATTCACAGTTTAAACCAGAGGAGGTCAACGAAGCCTCCCTGATACAGGGGCCATTTTGGCTCTTGATGCTATAGGGCACAGTTTCCAGTTAAAGAGTCAGTAAAACCAAAGCCCTGAGTGAAAATCTCTCACTTATACCAACAAAACCAAACCTGAGCAAGCTTGTCTCTAACTCTGCAAAAGCCCTGAGTTCTGGCCTTTTATTGGGCCGTGTTATCACATGTGACGGGGAATGTGTTTCCTATATGTATATATGTGTGTGCTAATACTGCATGCTGCTGTGAAGTCCTAATATCACAGCTTTCCCTTTTACATCTTTGAGCCAAAATGTTCAATATCTTACTAAAATATTTTAAGTATTCACATCATTATGAATACATAGGAAAGAAAAGTGAGTCAATGTAAGAAAAAAATTGGAAAATCAAACTTATTGTTTTATGATATCCACTTGAAACTGATATGAACTGAGGAACATTATTTTGACTTTGTAGTTCATTATGTTACTTCACGATAACCCTTTTATGCCCTCTTACATTGAAGCCTTCTGCCTAATTACAAGCTCAACCATGGCTACATCATTTAGCCAGCTGACCCCTGTCAGTGCCAAACTGATATTGACTTAATTCTTCAGCTAAAATGTAATAGCTGCTGCCTTGCTGCTTAGGCGGGCAGGTACGGAGCAACAATAGCCTCTTTACAAGCTAAAATCTGATCCCAACAGTTGCTATGGTAAAGAAACCAGTCATTATAACACTGTGAAGTAGATACAGGGATTCAAAATACTTGACCTCGCTAACTGGGGCTAACTGGCTATGCTAGCTGTTGTTGTGCTCGCTAATTTTTTTCCTGATCAATGATATGATAAACACGTAAACCTGCTAGTACTTACTAACGAAAATTAAAAGTTGAGTTTGACGTTAAAAAAATATCTCATTGGGAAAATTTCCATCATTAAATACAATTATGAAATGAGAATATTTGTGATGAAATAAAATCTGCTTCAAGTACAAATTTGTGTTAATGAATGAAATAAAAAATTTAGAATAATTTGACTTCAGCCGTTCAGAAAATGGTTGAAATTTGGTCACAATTTGGGTAATTCAATGACTCTTTGGTCATAAATTAACAGTTTAATATTGAACACTTTGGGATTACATAAAAAAGAACACATTATTTTTTTGTTGTTGTTATAATGCAAAGTTTAACCCTATCAAGTATTTTCAAGACAAATTAACATGGAAACTAAAGGGTGAAAAGGCACTAAGGCCCCAGATGACTCCTCTTTTTGTTTTTACAGTAATGAAGTAAAGGGTGAGCTAATCTCAGATCTGCCACTAAGGGGCAGTGTAAGTCTTTTGTTGATGTTGTATGGCAACCGCTTTGAAAAGTCAGTCTGGTGGTATCACTGTTGATGTCACATCCCTGATTCTCCCAAAATTGCAAAAAGCTTTGAGAACGAAACCAGACCATAACATAAAACGACCAAAAACCAGCTGAAAAACAGACACACTGGACATACAGTAACACGACACCAAGACTAGTGGCACTATGAGATGGCAGAGACGCAGATATTATACACCTGTCAAAAAATAATTCAAGATTTTCACCAAATGTATTTTCGGCATCAGCATAATTATCAATTTTAAACAATAGTAATTCCAGTCATCCTCTCTTAGTCCACGGGTCTGAATAGGGCCCGTCCTCTGAGGCCAAATCCTACTTTTTTGGCACTGGGGCCTGCTTGAGGAAGAGAGGAAGTGGAGGAGGCAGACGATGGAGCAGGGACGGCAGGGGTGGTGAGGGCGGGCTGCTGCACAGGAGGCTGGCGAGACAGAAGCTCTTTGAATACGGAGTTCATCTGCCGGCTGATCATCTCCTGAGAGAACAGAAGCAGAGAGAAAAATCAAGAAATGAAGACATGGTAGGTTTTAAAATTTGAGTCTCAGTGACTCCTGCTCAGCTAAGCATGACCTCGTCCATGTTTGTGTCCATCAGAACGTAAATAAGAAGACTGCAACAAGGCATACCTTCTTAAGTAATGAATTTTAGTGCACTATAGCAAGCATCATCATAATGAAAGTTTATGGAAAATACAGAACTCAACATTCACACAAATTTCAGTGCCTTTCACTGCATGATTATAAGTTCTACCACATCAAACTGTAATATTACTTTATTTTTATCGATAATGAGTTTTGGAAAGTTTCCAGGAAGTCATAACTTTTCATATGCATGACATCATATTGATTAACACCTAGAGACCTCCAATGGCAGTAATATGGCGTGGCATGTCAAGCAAGTGAGCTAAGTTTTAAACAATAAGATGTGAAGAATGATTTGATTCTTTAGGTCATCACAGGTGACACATTTTTTATTATCTGTCCTTTTTATGATGTGACATTGAGATGAATTGCTGACCTTGTCGACCGCTGTTCTTTCTGCCTGACCAAACGGAGGTCTGTCAGTGGGCCTGAAGCCAGCCTGTCTCACAGTGTCTAACGTGTGTCTTCGCTCCTGAGACCTAAAAGAAAAAAGTAACAGATGTAAAACAAGATGAGTAGAGATAACATCAACACAGTTTCCCTGATTTTTAAATGCCAAATCTGATCTGAAACATGTGAAAGTAGTTTATTTCTTACTATCAAATATTAGACACAGACTAGACTCAACCTTAACTAGTTTTCTGTCACTGGTACTGTATACTGCTGTAATGTGTTACCATGTTGTAGTTCTTGCCTTTAAATGCATCAGGCAGAGAAATCTGCTTTTGCATTAATTTGGAAAAACATCAATTTCTGAGTGAATTATTGGCTCTATAGATGCTCAATGCTTTCTAAGTTGAGCAGCTCTAACTTCAGTATTCTCACGACCTTTGCCATGAAAATGTGTTGTGTACAAGGTGTGTGCAATTCTTACACTGGCAGGTGTCGTGTTGCAGGGGAAGTTGGCGGCTTTCGATTGGGGCTCCCCTCACTTCCTCTTTGTCTCCCGGGCAACGAAGCACTGTCACTATTCACCCGCATCCTGTTAAGATGGATGCACAAGTATTGTAACTTTGCATTTTGGGCATTCATGTGTGAGAGTTTGCACATGTGTGTGCGCTCTGTGCAACAATGTCAAAGTGAGTGCCCCGTGTGTGTTTTTGTGTATTCTGCTGTCTACATCTATTGCTGCATGTGTTTGGTGGTGTGGATGCACTCATATATTGCAGTGTGCACTCAAGTATGTGGTTGCATGACTGTTTGTGTGTGTGTACCGAGTTGTGTTCTCCATCTGTGGATCTTCTACTGTCAGGTTTCCAGTGCTGCCTCCTCCTCCTCCTTCTTCTCTTTTCCCTCGCTCTGACCTGAGGGAGAAGAAGCAGAGAGATTTATATAGAGCTTAGATATCACTACAGAAAGTACAAGCAGTACTTGTTTATATATAGGATAAACACTGAGTGACAAATAACTGTAGGAAGGAGCAGGAGTGAAATTAGGAGTGAACTCATTACATGGATTTTTTTTTAGACAAATGATTAAAAGATTGATCAAAATCATGTGAACTTCTTACAGTATAACCTTACAAAAGCAACAGTGCTATTGAGGTTCAATAAAGTAAGAAGCTGAGGAGCAAATGCAGTTTTAATGCATACATTCAATATTTGTGACGATTATCAGTGAAATCTCATGTTAATTTTCTTGTGATTTTTTCAACTCCTGCATCCTGATCTTAGTCTGTGCAACTCCTGTAACTATTTTTTGCATCTATATAAAGGCAAATCAGATATGCAGTTTAAACACCCACACAGACATGCATATAAGATTAAAATCTAAACACGTGGTTGGAGGATGTCTAAAACACTTGTTCAACATTTTTTTTCTAAACTAAGACATCTGCTCAGTGTGATCGTTTTTCACCATCACACGCATTTTTGTGGAGCTGGTTTTGGGTTTTCCTCAGAGCGTAAAGCTGAGATGCAGTGTTTCTTTGAATCAATTTTCCAGCACTTGTCCTTGTAACTTCTATTTTTGTTTCTTCAGTGAAAGTAAGCTGGTACACTGCTGAAAAATTCTGATATACAAGCTATCCTTGAAGAGTCTTAAAAAAAGAGCCAGATGTTAGAGTAAATTTCAGTCTTGAAAATCATAGCACAGCGCTGAAAATTATCTACATAGAGCATACACTTCCTCTTAGGTTAATGTTCAGGCTAAACTTTGTTGAAACTGGCTAAAATACAAAGTTAAGTTGTTTAAAGCCTAGATTCTGAGCTGGTCCTTTGGCTGGTTTCTCAAACTAAGAGGGCAAGCTGGAGCCACTGTGACCCCTGACAAGAACCTTATTCCTCTCACTTCAAATGACCAAATCTTCTCCCTTAAAAAAAAAAATCACCTAGGAACCTGGACTAAGTATTAAAAAAAAATCAAACCAGACCGACTAAGATTACCAATCCCACAACACTTGATGTTTTTGCTTATCTAATCCATAGAAAAGATAGATTTTTATAGATGTTTTTCTCTTTTTGCTAGAGTGACAGTGTAAGTGACAGCACGACTCCATTCAATATCTGCACCTTGGAAGGAAAGTGACCTTCAAATATCCACCAACTTTTCACTGTTACGCAAGTGGTAGAACCTTTTCCCCCAAAAAATGTCAAACTCTGTTTTTGTGTGTAAGATTAGCAGTGTTAATATACTGTACATCATCATGTCTCACCACTCCAACTCTTTCTAGTTTACAGATATCGCAATGAACGTCACTGCTTTGCTTATTCAAAAAGTTAGGGATAAGCTGATGGGAGCTGAAGAATGTGCATCAGGAATTCAGAACTCACAACAATCAGGTGTGCACACCATCTCTTTTAGATTTCAAGTACAATAGTTTAGTTGAGAAGTCCACTAAATCAACATAACTGCATATGGTTATATGACTCCTTTCTGTCTAGAGCTGGTTGAAAATTTAATTGCAGCATCAAAAGGAAAATTGGTGCAGTTCTCATCAGATTTATTTTCCCTGCAGTCATTTGAAAAAGTGGTTAGATGTTGACTGAAACCATCTAGCCTGCAGACTCTGGGGTGATGGGAAGGATGAAAGTATGGTGAAGGGTAACAGTGGCAATAGTTGAGCAGACAGACTGACCTTAAATCCTACAGCTTAGATACGCCACCAAATTGGGAGATTTGAGCTTGAGTTGCTTGGCTGAACTAGTTTGCAGACACTGCTTACGAGGTGAAAAGGTTTAATTTATTCATATGAAATATGACACTCAAACATTAACTAAGTTAAGACCAGAAGTCAACAATTTAAAGAAGCAAAACTTAAATGAATCAAATTCAAAATAGGACTAAAATTCCCCCTGATCGTTCAGGATTTTGCTCCTAATATTCCTGCAGTCGTTCTCTGAATGACTCAAGTGTAGAAACGTCTCTCACCCATCCAGCACGCTGATGTATTTGTGAGGGATGAGTCCCTTAACTCCTCCGACTTCTCCTCTCCACCAATCACAGGAGGCTTTGCTGTGCAGGATAAGAAGGTCTCCCAGCTTAAAGGACAGCTCTGCGGGAGATCTCGCCACATAGTCAAACATGGCTACCGCCTCCAACTCTGCACAGGCATCCAAACACACAACACGGTTAACGTCAAATAAGGCACTGATTTTATATATCTCAGCTGATATAAGTGAGGTTTGGCTGATGTACCTGCATGTGTGGTATTGTAGCTGATGCAAAGGCTGTATTTGTGGTGTGTTTGGTGTGTGTGTATTGTGTATTTGTACTGCATGTACTCACCGTCCTCACTGGGCAGATGCTCAGCCTCTCCGTCTCCCTCCTCTGTGATTGGCTCACTGCAGACAGGCAGAAAAATCCACGTCAGTGGTCGTGCACAGCTTCCCTTCTGTCTGACACTCAGACCAACTGTCACCCCAAAGGGTCTGCTTATACAACCCCTCATGTTTTTCTAATTTCACATAAGACCTAATATTATTGTGAGATTTCTCATATGACCCTAAAACCTCAGTGTGGAACAAAAACCAAACAAACAAAGCTTGTTCATGAGGAGATTTTTCATGTTGCTGCGCTCCCTCAGAGCTGTTCGGGGGCTGTTGGAGATTTTCATGGACACTGTCGATAGGCTGGAGGCTTGTGTTCGATTGAAGTGAGCAATCAGCTTAATAGTATTAAGCTGTTTTTACACAAAGCATTGCAGTCTGCGCATAGATGCCTTTGGCATGGTGTAGCATTATGGTAGGAGAAGATGAGCCGTGAAAAAGGAGGGAAGTGGAAAGCTGCTCTGTGTTCTTGGACTCATCTCAGACTCCAGTCTTAAACATGACCAACAAATCTCAGGAGCGACATGAGGCTGCTGCCAAGAGCTAAATTTACTGCAAGTCATCCAAGGATAGATAATAAGTGTTTTCTGAAAAGCTAACCTGATCATGTTTAATCATTAAAAAAGGAAAGACAGTTTGAAGATTTATTCAGGTCTGAGTAATTTAATTTTACAACCAATCTGACCAAACTTAGAGACAATTTGGTAAATTTATAAAAGATGTGTTAAAGTTACAACTAAATATAAAAAAAGATTGAATTCAACTAATTGAAAGGAGTAAATAAAGGCATAAAACTGTAATGATCCCTTTTTAATGATGAAAATTTGAGTTGAAATGGCCAGTGATGAATGAGACAATTACTGCTCCTATCACTCTCACCTGAGTCAACAAATATTTACCTCATGATTTTGTAGTCTCATGCTGCGTTCGTGTTACCTTAGAAGTCAGATGTAACTCAAACGCAACATCAGTTGTGAAGCTAAGTTTTCTGTAATACAGTGTTTGTATAATTTCATGGTCCATCATTAGAGGGAGAGAGAGAGAGAGAGAGAGAGAGAGAGAGAGAGAGAGAGAGAGAGAGAGAGAGAGAGAGAGAGTTTTTGTGTTTTGATTTTAATACATTCTTCTTATGCAGGCTTTAGCTTGTATGTCTAAGTACTTTGCGGACCCTTCTTTTTAAAGGTTCCACATGAGGAAAGTTGTTATTGTTGATATTATAATCAACTTTAAAAAATGAGTTCTGATGTGAAAAAAGTCGGCTGGTGTAAATGTTTCAAGCATTTCATCACAATAAATCTTACTCCCTACAGCTTTCATAAACGCAGAACCTGTAATCACAGATCTGGATCGTGGTTTCTAAAGTGTTCTTGTTTTGATTTTCAGTTCAGAACAGTGGTTACAAGACTTCCTCTGAAGGGCTCCCTTTTAGCAGATACAAATACTCTCACCCTCTGCTTCTTCTCTCTATAAAAATCAACACAAACACACGTTTCCATGTTTATGAAAGCACACCATCAGACATGACCTTTGCTAACAAAATCCTGGATTGTTAGGATTAGTTGGTGCATTGTCTGCAACACAGTTGCAGCTCCAGTGTGTGACATTGAACCAGAAAACTAACAAGCCCCTTTCAAAAACAAGGCAACAATCCCACATTTGGGAGTCACTGGTTTAAACTGAGTATGGTGTTAGTTCAGGCAGGTCATAAAGTCAAGCTCAACCCACAGGATGTCACCTGATTTTAAGGCCAGCTCATATCAGCTCAGCTACTTACCATCTGTTAAATGTTAAAATGGGTTTGCTCATTAAACTGCTTTAGCCTGCTTAGCCTTTCTTCCTCCTCTGTTACCCAAGCTTTTCCTTTTTACCTTGTCTGATTTTACCAGTATCAAACTACCAACGAAGCCTGCTCTGTTCATCTCTCAGGGGTCTTTGCTGTCGCTCTACCTGCCTTAGCTTTTCATGTATGCAGATAAAAGAGATTAGAGGTGTGCTCTTCCTGCCTCAGGCTTTGGCATTGTTACACCAACAGAACTATACTAACTACCTTGTATGACATAAAATATGACAGAATCATTATTTTTATTTTAATGAAATACTATATATGTTATTATATATTCATATCAGTATTATTATCATCCAGTTTTTCCATCCCTAACTGCTAGCAACATGTGACGTCCTGAAAAATGAGCTATCCCGCCTGTCATCAGGTCATGGCTGAATTTCTCGTTATAAAATCATAACTGACACCACATTTATGAATATCCATAACTACTTATCTCTCACCAGTACTCCTGCTCCAGAGTCATGTGCTTCTCGTAAACTGGGCCGGGCAGTTCTGATTGGCCGGGGTAGATGATGTCATGCTGGAGAATCATAGTTTTGACGAGATCATTGACCTGTGGCTGCCTAGCAACAGCGTCATCAGAATCCAACCCTCTCAGCAAGCTCGGACCGAAGCAAACAGCCAAGTTGTAGGGCTGCATCATGTTCTCATCGCTGTACTGAGACACACTGGGAAAACACACACAAACACAAAGTGTTGTTAACCCTGTTTTGAGGGTGTAACTGAGTGTCCCACTCTGGGGTGTGTTGGAACTTACTGATTGAGGAAAGCGAAGAGGTAACGCATCACAATGAGAAGCGGCCGTGGGAATGTGGAAACGATTGCTTTAATCTGCGCTGCTTTCTCAGTCACCCCCTCAATTTCTGTGCATTACAGAAAGAAAAGTAAAAAAGGATCAAGATGACAAGATGAGTAAAAGCAAAAATAATGCTGCTTGAACAAATGTATTTGTGGTTACAGCTTCTCCAACTCCTGCAGCATTTCGAACCGTGTCAGATTCACAAATCACCCAAATTCTGACTGAAAGAAATGTTGTGACAAGTACTTAAACTTCTGAGATGAGGTGCCTGGGCTGATTTATTAGGCTGCTGAAGCACTAACAAGATTCAAACGACTTGCAGGCAGGTTCACAACCTTGATAAGCCATGCAAATTGAAACCCAGAGTTTGTGTTTTGGAAAATAAAATCATTTACATGCCTACAGGAACAGTGAGGAGATAGTGAGAGATGCAGAAGTAGAGAGTTAAAAAGAAGTAAGAATATTTGAAGGTGATGGGGGCGTCAATATGGTGGCAGTCACCTTGTAGTGCTATTACTTAAGCAGCAGAAATCTAAATCAGCATGAGCATGTTTTTTTCCATGTAGCGCGGTTTACATCTAATCTATTTCAAATGAGATGATATATCAGGTAGAAAGCGCCACTGAATCCTAAAGATGCACAAATAACTAAGCAACTTAAACAGGATCAACGACACAGACATGGAGGTTATATAAGGGGGTCTTACGGACACACTCCAGCAGCTGAGAGTAACTGTCATAAGGGAAGAGAGGAGGCTCCAGGCCCCTGAAGTAAAGCTTCAACACGCCGGCCACAGAGTCCAGGTCACACTCACTGTCAGACAGAGGATCGTCTCCTACAGGTAGGAAGAAACAGGAACACGGGCTGAACATATCCATGTAGCAAAACGGGTTTAGTTCACTGTCAAGTGCAGAAACATTACGTAGAGTTTGAAGCAGCAGGGTGCCAGAAAAGAAAAAGTCAGGAATCAGGAAGTCAAGGAATCTCTAATATATTCAAAATAAGTGTGTTAAAAAAATAAATAAATAAATAAATAAAAACACGTCCCCTGCAAGGTGTGTGCAGATATAAACATAAGCTATTTAAACTAAAACTGTTATTTTTTGTATCAGGTTTTAAACATTTTTTTTTTTTGCTGCAAACATGGGCTTTTTTTAAATGGGTGTGTATGTGGCTGGAGGTGCCTCTGGAGCCGGCCTCAAGTGGGCACTTAAGGTACTGCAGTTTTCAACATTTCTGCTTTGGCTTCATTTTTTGTTGCTTGGAGGTTCAAATACATTTGTGCCAGTAAATCTCTTTAACTTTTCCTCGTAATAATGCTGTGTTCCATGTACCCCGGAAGTCAGATTTTGGAGCTGGGAATGATGTTACACCCAAGTTGATGGTGTTCTGGTAAACAAGTCGGAAAACCAAGATGGACGCCTACTGTTGTAACGTTTTGCCACTGTAAGCTGTTTTTAGTCGTTGTTAGTTGTTGTTAGCTGCTGTTAGCTATGCCAGTTGAAAACAGCACTTAATATGGTATTTCACCCATATAAACACCACAGCACCGTGTTCACAGTTAGACATTGAGCAGTACTACATATAACACTTCTTTAATTTCACAAAAACAAAACAGAAGTGCTAATAAATAATACATTATGAGAGCTTTGACTTTTATTCTTTACTTTTGATGCACTGCGCTGCCATCTTGGTTTATGACGTTGTCGTCAAGTCAGGGTGGGTAAGGATCGTCTGACTGTCCGAGTCGGATACCTGACTACAGGGGGGTGGTCCAGATGAATTTCCAACTTGGAACTTGGAAAATCCAACTTCCAAGTACCAATGTAACACAGCATGATAAACAGTGTTGATCGGCTGGTTAGACTGAGCATGTACCCTGTTATCTTTAATGTCTTTTCTAAGTCTACTGATGAACCTGTAGAAAACATATACAGCTTATTAGTGCCTTTGAGCTCGTTGTTCTGTCTCACTCTCTGCTTTCTACAGACTGCTTTCAGCTGAAGTGGGCAGATATTCTCTCTGATAAACCTCTCTTATCTTAATGTCTGTTGTGTGCCCAGCACTTAACAGGAGGCAGAATAAAACAACAGCCACATAAGGGGGATTTGGCTCATTAAAAGCCAGATGTTTCAGTAAGGAGTTAATGCAGTGCCAAAGAGAGCACAGAAAAGTTTGTTTAATGCCAACTTTGCCAAAGTATCCACTCTTTTGTGCAAATTTTTTTTGAATAATTTGAAAAATAATATATGATGCTTTTTGTTTTGTAACTTTAAATTTGATTGTAATAGGGTCTTTGTTGGTACTGATTCAGTTGACATGCTGCTTTTTCACCACCTCGTTTAGGAAGTTTAAAAGACTGAATTTTCGCCAGCTACACAAACTATTCAGCTGAACCCAGCAGAGCAGCCGCAAGGTCATTATCCTTCACTTGCTTCCTCCCCTGGTTACACTCAGCAGAGCGTACGACCATGTTCAAAGTGTTTCCCCTTCGGGAGGAAGCCTGAGTTTTGCACATTCACCACCTGGGTGCTCAATATGTTTGGAGAATTGGGGACAGTTTTAGAGCCTATAATATAATTATGAGTGTGAGGTTTCACTGTCATGTTCGGCAGAGCTTCCTCTTACACGTTTCAAACTTGTTAGGTAATCCTATCATAGACATTAATCCATTAAAGTAGTTGAAGAGGCTAAAACAGAAAGTGCTGAAAGACTGAAGTGTGAAATCCAAAACTGTATTATTTTTAGAGACATTAATGAATAAATCTGGTTCAGTGCATGAGGGAGAAAATGATGCAATTTCAGCAGCTGGTTTACCTCTTTCAAACGCATCTCTAATGAGGTTAACTTCTCTTTGTGACCCAGGAACTCTGAATATCCCCTCATGATGAAGGCCTGTGAACACACAAACACTCTAACGTTATATTACGTAGTCACAAGCGGCTGCTGTGGTCTATACACAGTCCTGCATACACACATATACAGAAGCTTCCACACGCTCATTGTTCGTGTCCAAAGCTCTCTCAGCATGGCTCATTGCTAATGTCATAAAAACTGACTCACCGTGAAGGTTTATAAAACGGATGCAGCTCTCAACCACCACAGGAATCTGCTGCCCAGAGCTCTGCATGAAGAAAAGATGAACGGAGAAGGTGAGATGAAAGATTGAGCAACAGCGTGGGGACAGATGCAAAGACAGAGGAGGTCAACAGACAACAACAAAAAACACCTGCAACAGAAAGAAAAATATGGAAATGCAAGACTCAAGCAAGGAAAAACGTGAATAAAGAAAGGGAAAGGCTAAAAAGAGCTAAAGAACTGAGAATAAAGTGTTTTTGTTGAAACGTGTGCACCCTACTCTGGGTGTTAAATATACAGAGAGATTTGTTGTATTTGAAGAGGGTTTATTTATGGAAATCCATTTGAACCCCCTTGGTTTTGAGTGGTATGGCATGGAATATTATTGCATGCCATAGTATTGTACTGCGTGGTATAGTGCTGTATCTTCAGCTGAGAGTTTGGTTAGACAGATAATGATCTTGTATCTGTGTTTTAATGTTAGCTAAATTTTAGTTTTTTAGCTGTGGTTTATAATCCACTTTTAAAAAATTGTCATTTTGGGATAACTGGCTGGTAAAAAAATTACATTTCCTGTACAGACATGCAAATAAATCTATTTTATAATCTGACTCTCCAACAGCATTATTTTTTTCTTCAAAATAAAACTATGAAAGTTTACTTCTGTTTGACGACAATGACTCTGCAAAAACTGGTGGACCTCAGAGTCAAGCCACATTATTTCGCAAAAACACACAAAGCAGAAACAACATTTCACTGGAGACGGCACTGACAGAGCATGACAATAGTCTGAATATTCAGTTCCAGAAAACACAGCATTTAAAAAAACTTGTGAACTCTCCCTCTAAAATTTTAATGTTGTTATAACTGACTAAATGTATCACAACTTTTTTAATGTTTAATATAATTTTCTGCTTAAATTGTTTTGTTTTCTGAATTTTACCCTGTGGAAAAGAATAATCTTAAGATAAATTCTCTGATAACTTTTGCTTCCTTGTTATGGTGCAATTTTTGTTAGATTTTTGTACTTGGAAAAAAATTTGGGGATACTGGGAAAAGCTGTAAATTGTGGTATTTATATTGTTGAATAATATACTCGATTTTAAATTTCATTTTTTACTTGAATATTTTGGATATTCTGACATGCCTAAATACCTTGTTCTCAATTTTTGGGTCTTTTTGAAATTTCAGAGTTTTTTTGTTCTGTGTACTCTTTCCAACAATGTTGTTATGTTTTTACCGTCAAGGCCACCACTGCTAAACAAAAAAAATAAAAAATCCAAGGACAGAACCTCTGTGTCTTAATGAGGCCAAAACCCTGGTAAACATGGGGGACAGCCAAGAACCAGCATGTGGTGTCAAAGATAGTGTTCGGTACCTGTGTCCGAGACATTCTCCTTCTCCTCCTGCATGACGTCGAGCACAGCAGAGACAAGATGAAGAAACAGAACAGATTAGAAGAGGCGGAGTAAGAAATAAGTGGAATAAAGATTAAGAAGCATTGGGAAGAGGCGCACATAAGCACACACACACTCAGAGAGGAGTTGAGAGAGGAGGCAGCAAAGAGGCCAGTGAATTTTAATCCCTTTCACCAGAGAGAGGAGACAGAGGGGGGTGGAAAGGAGAGAAAGCCAGCAATAAGCTATAAGCATGACCGTACACACACACATGAAGGCAGCAGGAAGTACATGGGGGGATGGACTGTCAGTCCGCATACGTGTGTGTGTGTGTGTTGTGAGAATCCCCCTCCGATTCTTCTGCCTCAGTGTAACAGGATTTTCTAAATAATTTCCTTTGGAGGTTTGAGCAGCAGTGCAGTGCAGCAGGCAAATAAAAGGAGGTAAAAACAGGGTGTGTTTCACTTTGGATGTGTTTGACTGTTACCTGTATGTAGGAGAGTATGTCTGTGGTGAAGAGTGTGTGGCAGAATTGGGAAACAGGTCTGGACTTCCGAACACGCACTGACCGAGCACATTGCATTCTGGGAAATATAATAGATAAAATATTTAATGCCAATTGACATCTGGATGTTAATACTCAACATCTTATTGTTTTTGCTAACTGCTTGCATCAGTTACACTCTTATTATCTCCCCCAAACCTAAATAAACCCCTTTTTACACACATGAAAGTGCTTAAAACAGCATTTTGGGCTCAAATTTAGAGCCTTTTTCCTTTTTCTCTCTCTGTCCTCTCTGCTCTCTCCACATCTCTAAGCCTCTCTCAGTCACACTCGCTTAAGTCTGGGATGTGTAAATATTCCTCTTACCTGGAAGGGTCACTGTCCACAGCCTCAGCTGGAAAAAAAGAAGAAAAACAGACAGAAATGTTTATTAAGGGCTCCTGGAGACAACTATGCTCATTCGTAGTGGAACTTTTAATTCATCAAAGTTTGTGATATAAGGAGAGCAAACACAAACATGACTGATGTTGTATGAAGACTTTGTGTGCAAAGAACTCCAAAAAATCTGGTTATGTCAAATAATATACAGTATAAGGGAGCCTATCAGGCCTCTGTAGCCACTCATCATCTCTGCAACTGCAAGCATAAATAAGTTGCAAGTTGGTTGCAGGACTTCAGAACTAGGAATGGGAATCAAATGGTTCAATTCATCGTCATCGTTTACATTTTATCTTAATGATTCCCTCAATGATTCCTTTCTTCCAGGTGCCTTGACAGATGGTCTCGCAAGAGCCGGTCTACGCAATGGATAACAGAGACTTTGAGGAAAAAGATATTGCGGGCGGTACAAAAAGCAGGCAGAAACAATCTAAAGTGTGGCTTCATTTTACTAACAAAGAGGACAACAATGTGATGTGCAATGTTTGTCGAGCAGTGATAACATGCAAAGGTGGAAATACCAGTAACATGCTTAAACATTTGTCAACAGGGCACGGCATCAAATAAAAGGAGTAATATGGAAGGCAAAGACGGTATGTGTGACCTGTGTTAACATAAGCATGCCAGACTTAACAACGTCCTCTTTTACCCGGACATGTCCTTTTTCGGGGGGGCTGTCTGGCCTGTCCGGGGAAGTTTATAAATATCTACAAATGTCCATGGTTTTGTATGGAAGTTTTGCGTTTGTATAGTGTGGACTAACAAAAAACACTTGACCCGACCTGAAAAACACTTAAAATTTTGAGGGACTTTTTTGGGATTTTTGGGGATTTTGGGATTCAGAATATGGTCACCCTAATTTGACCTAATATTGACGTAAGTAAATACTGTACAAATAGTTTGTTGTTTGATTATTTTTGAATCACACTGAAGGTGGCATACATCTTTTTCTGTTATCAGAGACTCAATAAAATGTTGAGTTAACTGTGAAAACCTATAGTCTACTTTTTTTAAATCAAAGAAAGGCATTGATAAGGGAATTGTTAAAAAATTGAATCAATAAGCACAATTGATAATGGCATCGATATTGATAAGATGTTATCAATTTCCATCCCTATTCAGCACTGGCCAAGTTACCAGTCACATCCACATAGATCTGCTGTTCACCCAAAAAATGAGCAAGATTTCACAAGAATTAGCGCACACAGCCTGTAACACTTTACTGTGAATACCTTTCTGTATGGCATCTTGTAGAAGATCATGTTTGGCTTGAAGTTTGGAGGTCAGAGAACTGCTGGTGAGGAACTCCTTCACTTTCTACAAGAAAATATCAAACCAAAATGAAATGAAAGTCTTTCATATTTCCTCAGTAACTCAGGCAAAGTTTCTAAAAGCTCCCGTGAGAAGTTTTCAGCTGGAAATAAAACACACAAACATTACTGTTGATGCCTCCTTACGAGAAACAAAAGCTACGAGTCCCGTCAGGAAGAAGAGTGATTATTTCTGTACAGTTATTTTCAGTGCCTGAAACTGCTGACACATGCAAATTAAAGAGATTAATGCCATGCTGCAGAGGCTGGCTTTATTATTATCTTCAGCAGAGATTCTCATTAAGTTCAAATTTTTCCACTAAAAGCAGCACAAACTGAAAGTTCTTCTCACATTATAGCAACAAGTTATGACAAGTATTTCCATAGTGAAGCACAAACTTGCAAGTGCCCTTTCAAAGGCTGCACTAACAGTAAAATAGTAGGTCTCTGTCTCCTGTTGATTGGCTCGACGCTTGGCGAGGGTAAGTTTTTGGATGGTGTTTCCTCCAGGGGGCTCATGGGTTAAACTGCTAGGCACGTCAGGGGAGGGGTTACTGTCGCTTTCACACATGGTGTCCAGCAGGGCGACGAGGGTGGCTTTCAGAGTTTTACTGACCTGAGAGGGGGAAACAAACTGAGTTTTAATTCACCTTGTCATGCTGGGACTTTTTCTCTCACTTTATAGACTGTACATTGTTGCTCACTCACTCATCAACCCATTGAGGGACAGACAGACAGACAGACAGACAGACAGACAGACAGACAGACAGACAGACAGACAGACAGACAGACAGACAGACAGAGTATTATGGAAACAGGCAGGGAAGAAGATTAAGCTGACCTCCTCTGTTTCCAAGGTAACAGCAGCGAGTCGGGACTGAAGCTGTTGGAACCTGGTCTCCAGCTCATACCTCACCTGGCTCTCTGCACTCACTTCACACACCTGAAATGCACAAACAAATTAAAATGTAACAGCTTGAGGGTTCATGGAGTTCAAATCCATAGAGTTCATGGATTAGAGGGAAAGGATCTGTTTTATTTGTTCGGAGAAGAGAAAGACTGTGATGCTGCCAGAGGTTGACGTAGATAGGAAATTTGTTTTTGTTCTGCTTTTTGTGGTTCAAGTTAACTTTAAAAAGTGAGACGTGAGCATTTTTAAATAAATAACAGGATACCAGAGAAGTGTGTTACAGTAAAAAGATGTAAACTGATTTTAACAATGCAGTCATCTGGTCTATGCTTGTCTTTGCCTCCATTTAAAAAAAATTGTCTCACATGGATTTTAATTGTGTTTATAGTTTTTCCTTAAAAATTTCCGTTCTTTTATATATTCAGTTCCTTTCAGAATAAAATTCCTGTAGTTTTATCATTTAAGTTGTTTGTTTGCACAGTTTTGTTGTAGAGTCCATTGTTCTTTTATTTTGAAAGGTGTGTCTATTATGATGAGTACATGCATCAAATTTTAAGGTAGTCTTTGAAAATAAGCTGCTAATTTGGGTGACTGGGATTTTGAAGTTTGCCACCCAAGCACATGAAGTCAAGAGAAATGAGAGTAAATGGGAATAAGTAATTAAAAAAGCACCATTACTCGTGATTTAAACATTTGGTCTCATTATTCAGCAAAAGGTTGTTTGATAACCTTCATCTTCTATGATAATTTAAAAGCCCTTTGCATCATTGTCTATCCAATGTGTGCTGTTTTTGTTAAAAAGTCACATTTATGCTTCAGTCTTTCTCTGAAACAGAAGCAATAAAAGGCCTTCAGTGGTTTGTTTCACGAGTTTGTTAGAGGACTTCTTGGTACTTACACTACTGTACTTGGTGCTACTGTACTTACAGTTATCCGTTAACAAAGAGGGCTTAAAAAGGCTTTATCTCTGCTTCTGATAGCTCTGTTGCAGCTTTATAGGATTTATGACGCAAAGTACTCTTAACTGATCTCAGATCAGTTTCTTTCACCCTAATTCTGATTGGAGTCTCGCGATTGAACTACATATGAAGTCAATGCAAAGACGCAATTAGATGCTCGTACTACTCTGGCGGCGTGATTGAAGCAAATTGGATGGGAGCTGAAAATGTCTCAACTTGAACTGATATTCACATCATGATAACCAATCAGCGCGAATGTTGCCGGATGACGTATGAAAATGGACGGTTGTTCACTGGTATCTAAAATGGAGGACAAAAATTAAATAATACCTTTTCTTTCAATTACTGAAACCAAAAAAAAAGTAGTTCGCCTGGAGGCAAGTGAGTGAGGGGGTCAGATTACCTGGTAAACTGTTAAACAACCTTTGTCTATCACTTGATCCCTCCAGTTGAATTGGCAGGGATTGCATTTGAAATTAACATAAAAGGTAATGATGCGCCGATGAAGCGAGTTAATACTATTCATTCTTGCGTCTAGATTTGTGCAAATTAAGCGAGTAGATGATTTTACTCGCACTTGGTGTGAGCGCCCCATTAGGGACACCTGCAGTGCTCTGGAACCCAGCTCCCCAGAAGCCTCCTCCACTGTTGCCATGCCACAAACTTGAGTTTCCATGAACGGTTAATACAACTCTGACTAAAAATGGAGAATAGTATGTTTCCGGCGTTGCAGAGGCATGCTGATCTCACCTGGTCCCCTTCATGTGGATGGTAGTTGAATCTAAATGGAAGGCAGAAGGCAGAGTCGTGTTGCTGTAGCAAAGCATCTCTGTCTCCACCCTGGTCCAGGGATGTCACTGCTGCCTCCAGCTGCCTGAGCCCCGTCTCCTCTGTCTTCTGGATGCGCCACCTACTAGCCAAGAAGCACCTCATCGCCCTATCCACGGACAGGTGGAACCCCAGGTCACAGCACTGCCAGGACAAAGGAGGGGTTAGGACATGAAATTGGGAGTGATGTGGATGGTAAGAGAAACAGACAGGGATTTATGAGGAGGAAGAGTAAAGAGGTATTTCATCTTTTGTATGTCTTTTTTCCCCTGTTATGAGTGTCTTCAGGAAATAACAGTCAAACATGGCATAAAAATGAATCTCAGAAATCCATCGGGTGGTCTTAAGCCCCCCACTCAGATGGGAACACTACACTTATTGCATGTTTCTTACGTCAATGAGAGTGCTGACATCCTGCAGGTAGTACTTGTTCATGGCTGCATTGGCTGCTGCTAGATTCAGCAGGTAGTCATTACGAGCCTTGGTGCACTTCAGCTGGGTTTCCTGCACTCTGCCATGCCTCTGTGCAAGCAGGCACACAAAGTAGGAGATAATGACATGATAAGGTTAACAATAAAGTAATGGTTATGATGTAGATAATATTTTCTATCTCACACATAAAAAAAAAATGCTTTCACAGAATTCTGAATTTTCAATGCTCAGACGAACAACAGGAAATTGTGTGTTCTGCAGAAATTGGCTTCAAAACTTCCTGTGATCTGTTCTCTCACTGTTCTTCTGTCTCACACCCACGCTCACACACACAGCATTGTGTTACCCCACTTTAGAGAACTTTACTTGACTTACATTCATTTCCTGGAGACTCACTTTAACCCCAACCATAACCACAACTAGACTAACCTCACCCTCAACTGAATTTATACCTTAAACTCTGAATGACTTACACTTTGAGGAATCTACGTGTGAAGTCATGCGACTACCCTTACAGGTTTATTCATCCAGCAGCACCCACTCACTTTCTCCATTAGTCTCTCCATCTTCTTGACCGAGCTTCGCCTCTGTCCCCCTGATTGGCCGAGGCCGAGCTCAGCTGACTTGCCCGTGTGTCTCTCCTCTAACCGCTCGGCTTCTTTCAGCTTCCCCTCGGCTATCAGACAGTCTGTGTGGTACTGGTTATACGTCTTCAGAGCCTTCGTGACACATAACAGATACTCCACATCAGCATTGTCAACACGAGACACTGTTATTACATTATATCACACTATTAAGTTTAAGAACAACATTAGTGCTCACCATCTGGAGTTCTGTGGTGACCTTTAACAGCTCATCTTGCATCTGGATGCCAACTTCTTTGCTCTGAAATATGTAAAAGAAAGTTGTGCAAACAGTAGGCACCATTAAGTATCTATGAGCAATCTTTTAAAAGCAATATTTTGGATAAACTGAAATTGTTTTCCTCTAATTTATAGCTCCCAGTTGTTGTGCTAAGTCGAGATAATTGCCTGCCAGCTCTACCTTCACAGTTTTGGTGAATGTATCTGTGTGGTGCTAGTAGTCTGATTGAACCCTGAGCAGAAACAAGGGTCTAAATGTGCCAAAATGTTTCCCAAAATTAAAAAATGAAGAAATGGGCTCCATGTAACTCCTGACTGGGAGGATCCACAGATCATTTCCTGAGTCTTCTCTATGATTTTTTTCCCTGCATTTATTACACTTTTTCAGATGAAGAACCAAATATTGTTCTCGAAGTGACAAGCTAAAAGGGGACACGTCTCCACCTACCATAGAGGAGGCGGACAAGCTTTTGTTGATTCATTCTGTTCTTGCTCAGTACTTGTTAACTGGGACAAAGACAGTAGTCTGGTTAAATCGCCTCTCCAGCTATGACTGTAACTCGACTTAACTGTGCATGTAATTTCCTATGAGCTCTGCAGCTCAGCATTTTTAATGCTCAGCGTCCTCAATGCAAAATTACTTTTTGGTTTCAGTTGCCTTTTTTGCCGCCATGCTCTTCAACGCCACTTGAACATGATCGAACACTCAAAATCAAGAGGGGGTCGGACTTGTGATATCACCTTTCAGAGGAGGTCTTTGGAGAAGACACAAACCCCACCCTGTACATAATTTTGGGGTCTAAAGCTGCTGATTCTATGACATGATTTCTGTCAATTGATTTATGTTTACTTGCTGATGATAAATAGCCATACAGGAGATTTCAGACTCAACCACATGATCTATAGGAGCAGATATGAGTGGACTTCAATAATAGAGCAATACTAAATGCCAGTAAATAACACTCTGAAATTGAGGTCATGGATGCTGCAAGTGGAAGTTAAAGTTCTTGAGAGGAGTTTTTGACTGGTGTTGAAACTGCCTGATTAATAGTGATGCCTCTTATTGACCTAAAATAGCAAACAAGACCATCAGCAATGGCTTTCACAGTTGCCACATTGTGAGTTTCAATGCCCGTGACTGCTGTGAGGGGGTGTGTGTCAGACGAGATGACCTGCGACACGATTACAAACTCTTTTTCCTTTGTTCAGGAGACAACATTCAGAGTGAGAGTTAATTAGACTGACAGGAGAGCGCAGGATGAGATTTTGCCTCATAAAAACACTCCTTATACTTGTTTAGTACAAAATCAGAAATACAGATAAGAGGTATCCCTTTGTCCTTTGGAGAGGACAAAACTGACCTGAATAAAGCTCCTCGCAGATGCTTTACACAAGAGAAGCTTTATCATCAAACTTTTAAAAGAGGAGTAAAGAGGGATAGTATTTTTTAGGTGTTTATGTTACTGCCTTTCTCACTCATGCATTTGCTCCAGGTTTTAAAAAGGACTGAAAATATACCTTTCTTGTAGTCTTTTAAATGGATATTCCGGCGTAAAATTAAGTCATGGTCAAACACACCGTAACACACACCCCCTTAAGAGATGAATGTTGCAGACTGTTTGCTTCTCTAGTTATACCAACTTTAGTGACAACCACACGATAGTAATACATAGTGGTCTATGTCTCTACACATAAACCTCAACCAAAAAGCCACTCTATAGCCACAAATAATGCTCAGAACATCATCTAACTTCATCAACAGTACATATAGGGTCCCAGCCATAGTACTATCCACCAAACATCTTTTTAAACGCTTGTTTATGGGGGAGGCCTGAAGATCTGATCATCAAGTGCAGCGGATCATTTCCTTGAAGTAATAATCATCAAAATAATCATTTTGCACAGCAGATGCGGTAGTTCTTCTGCCTTAGCATCTCGGTCTGATTGCATTTCCATGAAAAAATGATCATACATTTTCTTCCTTGAACTGCAAAACTCCGCTGCACTCTGTGATCGACTCGTCAGGGCTCCCCCACAAACAAGCAGCTGCTGGAGGAGAGTGGGTGAGTTGTGTTTGGTCTCTTTGCTAAAGAAATCAGGCAAAGCTAAAAAGATGTTTGGTGGCTAGTACTGTGGCTAGGTCCCTATATGTACTTTTGATGAAGTTAGGTGCTGTCCTGAGCATTATTTGTGGCTATAGAGTGACTTTTTGGTTGAAGTTTGCACAGAGATGTAGACACTGTTTATTGCCATTGTGTGGTTGTTGCTGAAGTTGTTATACCTAGAGAAGCAAGCAGTCAGCAACATTCATCTCTAAAGGGGGTGTCTAACTTGCTGTTACAGTGTGTTTGACCATAACTTAATTTTACGCCGGAATATCCCTTTAACAAAGCATTAAAGATTATGTTTGATGTGTGGTAACAGCTTATAGTGTATTAAACAAACTAATGCTGTACCTGTAGAGGCGACAGCAACAGAGAGGAGTTTAGTAAAAATATTCATGACCTTATCTTTTTTACATTACTCAATATGTTCATCTCCACCGCCTTTATTAATGATGCTTGTCTTCCTCCAGCTTATTCTAGTGTTCACAAACGAACTGCCTTAAAATGCCCACCCAACTACCCTCCCACACACACATACACACACACTAACACAGCGGCGTATCCTGTGCTGCCTCCAGCCATTTCTCTCTGCCTGTGTGTGTCTGATTTCTTTGACAAAAATAATAAGCAGTAGGTTTTCAAAGAGATGCCTTAAATATGCAAATCACATATTTTAAACTATTCACTCGATATTTCATTATCATAGGACTTGATTTGAGCTTGGGCGAGGCTGGTTACTGATAGAGCCCTTTGCAACAACCTCTAATTAAGATGCTGACATGAACGGGCTGTATTAAACTATTAAAAAAGCAGTATGATATTGAAAGTGGCATACCAGACCTCAATCAATGCATTAACAGCAGATTATCATTGATTATGGACAGCAATCTCATGCTGGTAAAAAATATACAGATACTGTAGATATAATATAGTCTGAGCTGCCTGTACCAGTATGGTCCATGTGTAGGAAATACCAGGTCACTCTGTCTTTCTTGGTTTGCAGGTTATATTTTATAGGTTATATTTTATAGTCATGTCACAGAGTCATGATCTCTCGTAGGCCTCGTGTAGTCTTAATTGCAACGCATGTATAGAGTGACTTTGATGGTAGCAACAGCACTATACTCAGTATAGTGCTGAGAGTGATTTTGGTAATGCTCTGCTTGGCATAACGCCTAACAACACCTCTTAGCTGCTCTGAAGTGACTGTTATGGCTTAATTAAAATTCTGCTCACTTGTCAACCATGAGAAGGTACAGAGAGCGTGTCTGACAAGCTGTAATTTTAGCAGGATGAGTATGTTCACTTTTTAAAATGAATGAGGCTGCAGATGCCACTGCAGTACAAAGAGAGATAACAGGAGGGAGAAAAAAAAACATGGAGGAGGTTCATAAGAAGATTTTTGTTCAGAGTCTGCTCAGGTTCAGCTGGCAAGTTACAAGTGGAGTTATTTCAGTGTTGTGCTGTATTACAAAATTAATCCGGCAGCATTGAAAAAAATCCATGTTTATGAATTTATGCATAGAGTCTTAGGCTTTTCTAACAGGATACAGAGCTGACAGTTTTGAGCATTACACTTGTTTATTACTGTGACTTGATGTTGGTGTTGTAATCTGCTTATTCTGATGCTGACAGTCACCAAAAAACATTCCTGAAAGTAAGTGAAATCATTCCTGCATACGTATGATTATCTTTCAGTCACTTGTTTCTTGTGGAAAAATCTTAATACATGAACTCTGTCAGACACTGCCACACAACACATAAAGGTCAAAGCTCAGCAGCGGGTTGGGGCTGAAAAGTCGTCCTTGACCTTTACAATTGACAATTTTCAGCAACATTTAGCTCACTTTCAGAGTCACGAAACATGCCTCATGGTCTCCAGATCTCTGCATAGAAAATGATTAAGCTCCCCCTTGAAATAAATCATGAATGATAGGCCTCCACTGTTTTTTTTAAAGTTGTTTCAATTAAACTTTACATCATAGAGCTTAAAAAAATTGACAGCACAACAGCTTTACAAAAGTGAAGCCAAAATATTTGAGCTCAAGGTCCGCCCCCTTTTTTTAACAAAAGGTTCAGACTCTTTAATCAAAATACACGTCAAATGGAGTTTTCTCAAATATTTTTTCTGTCCATCAAGTTTTTGTCAGATGTTCTGTTTATTTAGTTTTCTTCTCCTGGTTTAATTTGAGTGCATTTTGTGTATTGTCCCTATTGTTCCTGTTCCCCTGTAGTCCAGTCTTGTGAGTTTTCAGTTTGTGTTTGACTCCGTTTCCCTCATGTTCTCAGTGTTTTATTCTTTAGATCAGTTTTCAGTGTTTCCTGTTTTATTTTGTAGAAGTTGATTCCTTGTGTTTCTAGTCTGGTTTTAATCCCCTAGTTTTCCCTCCCTCGTTAATCACCCATGAGTTTCACCTGTGTCTCGTTTGCCTCACCTGTTGCTCGTCTCCCAGTGTGTATATCATCTCTGTCTTCCCTTCTGTCCTTGTTGGTTCAATGTATGTTGATGTGTGTGCATGTCAGCCTGTTCCCCGTGATCTTTTATCTGTGAATCCTTTGTCTCCTGGTTTTTTTTCCCCCAGTGTCTTTTGTTTGTATTTTTGCTTCTTGTGTTCTTTGAAAGTAAGGTTTTTTGTTGTTTGTATATATATATATATATATATATATATATATATATATATATATATATAAATTGTCTGCATTTTGGGTTTCCCTTTTGTTTTTACTCTGATAAATGACAGTTTTTTCCTCATCATGTTGATTACTGTCAGGACAGGTGTTTTAATTGGTCATTTTATGCTGTAAAAATTAGGTGTAATACCATGAGTGATATGGGGTGCGGTTTGTAAAGCAGCCCATTATAAAAACAACAGCAAGATTTGGTCACATTTAGCTTCAAACAGCACTTAAAAAAGTAATGTGAATTTTCGGCATTTCGGCGCACACATGATACTGCTCCTTTGTGGCGGACAATGTTTGCACCTGCATGTGTGTGTGCGTGTGTTCGTACAGTGTCTGCGCCACACGGAGAGGGGACACTGAAAACTCGAGTCTTTCTAATAAAATTTTTGTTGTTGCTGTTGCTATTGTAGGTAGTTATTAACACGAAACGTCAGCCCAAGTATTTGTTCCCCCCTTAAATTGGTTTTAATTCGTTTTCTTCGACACAAGAATCATCAATATGACCTTCTGGAGCTTTTATTTTGGCACTTCCGGTTTCCGACCGTGAATTTGCATATTAGCTAAATATTTAGTATCGCCCAACACATTTAGATTTAACATTTACATTTAACATATAGATTTAACATTTAGATTTATATTTAACATTTATATTTAGCATTTAGATTTAACATTTATATTTAGCATTTAGATTTAACATTTAACATTTAGTTTTAGTATTTAAATGTTGTTGTAAATGTGCAAAAAAATGACTGCCGAAAATTCACATCACTTTTTTAAATGCTGTTTGAAGCTAAATGCGACCAAATCTTGCTGTTGTTTTTTATAATGGGCTGCTTTACAAATGGCACCCCATAGAGTGAGAGCTCCTTTGACAAATGAGGCTCCTGTTCCTTTTGCAAATGTATCAGAAAAGCAGTTTACAGAAGAAACAGAAGAGGATACGAAACAGACACATGTCATTAAACTATTTCATAACCACCTGTGGTGTCCATCTGAGTGAAGGAGTGAAAAATCTGTGTTTCTCGAACAATCTTTTGCTAACAAATAATGCCAGGTTACCGGTTGTTGTTAGACTTGACAGACCTTTTATTTTATTTCACTTTGAATTCATCATTTACAATATTTAAGATCATTCATATTTATGCAGATGTGTCGACAACTTTACAACAAGCCTCTTTTACCTAAAACTCTTTTGGGTCAGTATAAAATTCACCCTGCACCACTTTTGCACAACAAGTACAACATACTTGTCAGAGGAGTAATTTTTCCCGACAGCTCAGATTTGAGAGGATTATTTGGACGCTGTGGGAGGAGGATTGTTGTAATAACCTCCATTTTCACTGCACCTTTCTCTGAATGCAGTGCATCCTTTCATTGTTACAGTTTCTGCGAGTGTGTGACCTTACACCAAACATCCACTCACCCGTTTGTGCAGGCGGTGTGTGTCCTCTGTGCTGTGTGCCAATCGCTGTGTGAGTGTGTTGCAGCAGGTGTCGCCCAGTGCTGCGTGCTCCCGGCTCTCCAGACGAGTCTGAGTCAGCAAGACGGACCAGACCTGACACACAGACTGACCCCACTGCTCCTTCCTGGAGAAAAAACAGACATCCTCACTGAGATATGAATAAAAACCTTTCAAGTCTTGAGAGAGATTGAAAAGATACTCGAAACATCACATGCAGCACAAACGTATACACACTTACTTTTTGGTCTTGTGGGTGAATCTCTCAGTGAGCTTGTCAAGGGCTCGTGCATATTCGGCCTCAATGTCTCCTCGACGGCGGAGGAACTCGGAGAGGTCTGAGAGCTGCTGCTGCTTCACCTCCACCTGAGAGTCTAAAATCTTTATCTGGTCTGTCAGCTGGGCCCGCAGGTCTGACAAATACACAGACAGACAGATAGAGAGAGATATAAAGACATGGAGAAAGACAGTAATGTAGGCGAGGACATGTTTATAACCCTGGAGCTGTAAAAACTTCTGATCTGATCTTCGATCTGAAGTCGAGATAGGAAGAGTCAGAGATAAGATTTTTACAAATTTCAGATTGCTGAAGAAAATCGGAGTTAACTTCAGGAATGCGTCCTTATCTGTCTCCATCCTGTCTTATCTCAGTTTTAGAAATCCTAAACCCCTAATTCAGCAAAGCTTATCAACTTTTTGGTCTGTCACCTAGCAACGCTGCTTTCGTTTTCATACCAAGATGGAAAAAAAGTCCTTTAGGACAATAAGCATAGAAACAGGAGCCAGACAGGCTGATAAATAACTATTTGAAATAATTTATAAATTGAAACAGCTTGTCTTACATACAGATTAAGATTTAGATTTTTTAAAAAATCATCTTTTGAATACTATATCTTGTTTGAAAAGTAACAGTTGTTTCTGGAAATGTCAGGCTTATGAATCCTTGAAGAGAAAAATTATGTCACCCTGCACATAGAAAATAAAGAGCTGCAGGGGTGACGGATTAGCTCAGCGGTTAAGTCACACACCCCATGGCCCTTCGCTGCATGTCATCCCCACTCTCTCTCCTGCCAGTTTTCTTCTCAGTCCACTGTCAAGTCCTTCTCTGCATAAAGGCATCCAAAAATGATCTAACCAAATTAAAAATAAAGAGGACTTCTACCATTCAACAAGAAAATGTCTGGTAAGTTATAAATATATAGGTCCTTGAAATACTTGTGAAAAAGTGGGATCATCTCCACATCATCTACACTTTTTCATGCCTGCACGCATCAGCTGATGAAATGAAGTAGACTATCTGATATTTTTAAAATGCCACATGACACATTTAGTGATTGGTGGCGGCACAGTGAAGACAAGTTTGTAAAAGCTAAAGCTGCAAGACACCACATTGTTATCAATTTTAAAAATGATGAGAGGAAAGATCACTGGACTTCAACTTCTGTACAGACTGTAAAAACGTGGCTCCAGGACTGCTGAATATGCGCAAGTGAATTCACAGCATGAGAGCAAGGCACTGATCAGTGTAACAATCTCTCATAAGATTGTGGCAGATAGTTTTATTCATGACTAAATCTTTTTCAAGTAACTGGTCAGATTGGCCAACAAAATGAAATGTCACCAACATTACAATATCACTATATTACCTGTCCTTACTGTGCAGGCATATGTACATGTGTATGTATTTGAATGCATATATCCACATATATGTAAAAGAGGGATTTGGTCTATTATGCATGTGTATTATCTGTATTCAATAATTCATGCATATCACACCTGCTCCCACTTGCAGATTCAAACTTGCATTTGTCAGCACACAGTATGAAATTATAGAGCGTCTGTTTAAATAAAACATGTGACATGCTGTATTGTAACTACATGTGGTGGACATGATGTCAAACCTTATTATCATTATTATTATTATTATTATTATTTTGAGAGACACAGTATTGATATGATGATCTGATTATTATTAAGAAATGACCTAACTAAAGACAATATGACAATTGCCTAATCATCCATGTCCCTGCATAATTGCTTCATCTACACAGTTCCTCCGGGGGGGAAAACACAGGAAACCAAATGCTACCATTTCTAGGAGGGATATCCTAAACTGAACTGAGATATTATGCAGCGAGACAGAGACTATTACACAGAGCTTACAAGAAAAAAACCCAACATAGCTTCATTTTATACACATGAGCTGGTGAGCAAACAGAGAGGCCAGCAGTGACTCGACCCTGTGCTGCACTTTGATTTGAAAAGACGAATACAAACATGATATTCTCCTCTCACATAACATCCCCTTTTCTTAACTCTCTCCCCTCTCTCTTATTCTTCTGTTTTCTTACCTGCTCTTTCCCTTCTCTCTTTTCTCCTTCCTAATCTCCCAACCCCAGTCCGCCCTCTCCCTCTTTCCCCTCTTTTTACTCCTTTTCTCTGTCTCTGTGTGAGTACACAGCCTGAGGCTGACTGGATGTGAGGAGACAGCATCACTAATACTGGCTATAAATACATCCTTGTAGTACAGTACAGAGTGCTACCAAGCAACAGCATGCATCCTCAAAGACACTGCATTAAGATCACGTACACACTGAGGCTGTCACATGAAAATCTTGTAGCTATAATATCAGAGGTGACCATTATGTAAGAGTTACAGTAGTTCATAATCCCAAACTGATTCAATAACTGATCAGTCTCTTCAGTAAATTTAAAAATTAAATATTTCATTAATGTCAAAGTGTGGGCTTTTCTGTGCAAGTCTTTAAAGCTCCAGTGTGGAACTTTCAGTTTGGGCTGCTTTTGACGCCCCCTGTAGACAAAGCTCTAATGCTGCGTTCCAGTTACCTCGGAAGTCGGATGTCAGAGCTAGTAATGATGTTACACCTGAGATGATGGTGTTCAGGTAAACAAGTCTGAAAACCAAAATAGGCTCCTGCTGTTATAGTGTTTAGTTGTAGTTGTAGTTAGCCGTTGTTAGCTGCTTTTTAGCCGTTGTTAGCTGTTGTTAGCTGTTGTTAGCTGCTGTTAGCTGCTTTAAGCTATGCCAGTTGAAAACAGCAAATAATACAGTATTTCACCCATTCAAACACCACAGCACCATGTCCACAGTTAGTTGTTGGGCAGTACTACATGTAACACTTTTGTTTTCACAAAACAAAACAGAAGTGATAATAAATAATACATTACGAGAGCTTTGACTGTTACTCTTTACTGTTGGTGCTCTGCGCTACCATCTTGGATTATGACGTTGTTGTCCAAGTCGGGGTTGGTGAGGATTGTCTGACTTTCTGAGTCAGAATTCTGACTTCAGGGGGCAATTCAGATAAATTTCCAACTGGGAACTCGGAAAATCCAACTTCCAAGTACAAATGGAAGGCAGCATAACTCTAATCTCTTTGCTGATTTTGTTCAGTACATTTAAGAAGTAGAGCTATAAAGATTCACAGATCTGAATCAGTAAGCAGTATGAATTTCTAAGATACAGCTGTACCAATTAGTGGCATCCTGGGCCAGAAGGAATGTCACATTAACTGTCCAATTGCCAGTTTCAGAGTTGTGATGTAGTTGAGTAAGGTTATGCAGTTTTTTTCTGCAGACTGTGCTCAGCATCTCTGATCTAAGAAATTTTGGACAATGACTTTTTACATTTGCAAGAGTAAAGTTAGTTTTGGTTGGCTTAAAGGGAGATATTTGACACCAGCTGTAAGGTTAGTTTCACCTGATAAGACCCAAACCTGCACTACGACACCGGCATCAGCAAGCAGGCTGCAAAATTAAACAATTTTTAAAGCCCAAAATTTTTTTCTGATTTTATCCAGTAAATATGTGTTTTCTCTTTTTTTGCATGAATAGATAAGTATAGATAGGGATGCAGCCCTAGCATAAAAGAAGGCTGAGTAATCAGCTTGTTGCTTTAATTTCGACACAGCTAAAAAAATTCCCTTTAAATTTTTCTTTTTTTTTATTTTGAATAAAAATAATAAAAATGGGTATGAAATTTTGATGGCAGGTCCCCTTTAAGTAAAAATGATGGGGTGTTTGTGGATGCAAAAGGGTGTAACAACTCTTCCCCTCTCTATCCTCTTGCAGATTTCTTCAAATAGAAAGAATAAGTTGTGTTTTTCCTCATGTGACAGGAAATGTAACATGAAGTTATCTGTTGGGTTATTAAAGTTACTTTTTTTTTGTACATTTTCTATTTATTTTTGCTGATATTGTGAAAATAACTGATTCTTAATTAATAATTGTGAGGTGAAAATCTATCCTCATGATGACCCTTATATTAAAATATGACAATGACGAAATCAGATGTAGTACAAGGTCTAACACAGACACAAGCATGCAGAAACCTGTGTCTAAAAACCATGGTAAATTATTCTATATCTTAAGAGAAACAATAATGACGTGTAAAACTGCATCTACTGAACTAATGTGCTGTGGTCATCCAACCCAGACTGAGGCTGGATGACTGCAGAGCAGCTGAGCGCATTCATGCATGAATGCGAATGTGCTGCCTTGTATGCATTCATGCATGCAGGTAAACGCACATGCACAAACAGACGCGCAGACCAACACGCAGACAGACACATAATGCGAACACATGCACATGTGCATTTTCTTACCTTTCATCTGTGATTCGTACTCGGCCAGACTCCCCTTCTCCCTCCTCAGCTTTCCATGTGATGTCATCATCTTGACCCCTTGGCTCTCGTTTGTCACTGAGACCTCCCTCCCTGAACCCTGGTTCTTCCTGTATCCTCAGTGAAATCCTTTAACCTCAGTGCCTGCTCCGGCTCTGTAGTCTGTGACCTTTCACCCCTGACCCCTTGGCCTTGATGCTCTACTGCTGTGTGCCACGCATCAGCATCAGTGTTGATGTGGTGCTCTCTGCGGGGATGTCAGTCGGGTCGATATGTTCAAGGAATCCCCTGGGTTGCTGATATGAATGCTGATCCATAGGTGAGCTGGCCTGTGGATCAGACAGAGAGACAAGAGGAGAGGATAACGGTAAGAGAAGACGGGGATATGAATTTCAAGAGGACAACAGGGGGCATGAGAGGGAGATTTACTGAGACCAGGATGAGAAAATGAGAGAGCCAGAGAAACGGGACAAATGAGGCCAGGGTGACAAGACAGAAAGAGACAGTGACACCAGAGACGGGAGATTTAATAGGATGGACAGCAGGGATGGAGGGCAGAGCGTAAAACGGACAGTAAGAGGGCAGAGTGATGGCGATGTGAGGGAGGAAGGTTGAAGGGTGGGGGAGGGGAAGGTTGGAGGTGATGAGTAATAGTAGTAATGAAGGACTTTCATGGCCTCAAGGACTGAGGTTGTGGATGTCTGTGAAGGTAACAGTCAAATACAAAAAAGAGGCATTACTAATGATTTTGTGCACACACTGTACTAAGATTTACATTATTAAAAAAAGAATGTATATCTCTATAGTAAAATGAGGCAAGACCCAGAGAAACTGGTTACATAAGAATTTCGTCCAGTAGTAACTGATTCAAGTAACAATCATTGTTTGCACAATTAAAAAAGAAAACTTGCTGGATTTCACGGGTCAAAGTTAGCTGATAAAAGTGAAAAATTCTCTCCCACCTGTAAAAATACATCTTTCTTGACTCTGGAAATGCTTTGATTGGTTTGAAAATCAAACTTCAGTTGCAAAATTTACATTCTAATTCAAATTTAATTTTTTTTCCCTACCTGTTATTCCAATTTCAGATTCTAGCTCTGGAAGATTACTGTAATGGTAATTATGAGTTTCATACATCATTATAACTTTGTTTATTAGTAGATGCAACTTTTTTTTTTTTTTACATAGAAGCTCTTCCAATTTTAAATGAAGTTGTTTCAGTTGTGGACAAAGTTAACTCAGAATCATTTTAACTTGTCAGCAGACTATGTGTCTGGCATATATTTAAGAAGTCTGAGCTCTATAATTAGATAGTATATTAAAAATAAACATAACAGGGGTGTAGATGGCTTCACGGTCTAAGCGCTCAGCTTATAGCAGCTATAGTTCTTGTCACTGCAGTTGCTGGTACAACTCCCTGTCATTATCTTTTGCTGTAGTCTTCCCCCACTCTCTAGACCCCACTTCTGGTCTTTCTTCTGCTGTCCTATCTAATAAATGTAAATCGAAAATAGAAATACATGAATAACAATAAGACTGGTGGTATTCAAGGCCTTAGGTCACATAGAGTCAAAGTCACAACAGCTTGATGGTTGATCGGTTCAAAAGTTTGGATGCCAAACTACAGAAACAGAAACAAAAAAAAGTTTCTCCAGGACCAGGGTAACCCGGTAGCTCCCTGGCAAAATCTTACTCTGCAAACACTTGGTATGAAGCAACAAGTACCACATATAATGCAACACAATGCAGTGCTGACAGTGACGATGACAGTGCTGAAGAGAAAAAGATGTTTGTCTCAGGAGACTTCATCAAAACTAATGCAAGAGAGACACTGATGGTGGCAGCTAAGGGTTTTGATAAAGATAGGAAATGCAGGATCTATAGATCCATACCTACCATGCAACGAGTCGATCACTGAGTGCAGCAGAAAATTTATGATTATTACTTCGTGGCAGTGGTAATTGCTCTAAGACTGCAAGGGAAGCCCAGCTTCCCTTAAAATGTCACCCCCCAAAAAAAAGAAAAAGTGGTGAAATACGTACTGCTGTGTGTACATTTCATTAACTAAATACGTGCTAGAAAGCCTTCATCTTTTGTTCAGAATCAGCTTCTTATCACAGTGTGATAAGAAGCTGATAATCACAGGTAACCAGCGCAACTTCGTTCTCATTCATCCTCGCAGCGCCTCAGCGCTTTAAACAGCCGGACGCTGGGCTTCTGCTGACTTCAATGTGGAAGCTCAAAGTGGGTTGTTCCAGCAGCGAAACTAGACACTCATTGGATAAATGCTGGGCTTTGTCCCCCCCATCGGACGCTCAGCGTCTCTGGAGTTCTATGGCGAGAGGGCGGTCCCAACTTTCCCTCGGACGCTGAGCTTCTGCATCCATGATTGGATGAGCTGTCTGAGGCTAAATCCTTTTTTGATTGACAGCTAAACAAGGGAATCAGCGATCTTGAAGAATAAAACATCTACCAGAGCATTTTCCAAGTTATTCATTCCGTTGTTCTTAATTGCTCCGGAGACTTTACTGATCCTCAGCGACTTTTGTCTTTGTTAAAAACGACTGCCGTTGTGTTTGGCGACTCTGTTCTGTTACATACAAATAAACAAACACAATTTTGATGTAGGCCAGAAAAATGAGCTTCCCCTCCTTGAAAGACCAGCAGCCGCCACTGCTTTGTGGAAATGCATTTAGATTTTGGTTGACACTAAGGCAGAAGAACGACTGCGTCTGCAGTGCACATACAAGATATACAAAAGCTCTGATTGCATTTCCATGAAGTAATGATCACAAAAGTTCTTCCTTGAGCTGTGAACTGCACCCGAGCTGCACTTGGTGATCAACTCGTCAGGGCTCCACCACAAACAAGCAGCTGCTGGAACAGAGTGGGTTTGGTCTCTTTGCTATAGAAATTAGGCAAAGATAAAAAGACGTTTGGTGGCTAGTACTATGGCTGGGACCGTATATGTACTGTTGATGAAGTTATCCGCTGTTCTGAGCATTATTGGTGGATATAGAGTGGCTTTTTGGTTGAGGTTTGTAGACAGCTGTGTATTGCTATTGTGCAGTCTTTGCTGAAGTTGTTATAACTAGAGAAGCAAGTAGTCGGCAACATTCATCTCTCAAGGGGATATCTAACTCAGTGTTATGGTGCGTTTACAGTGTGTTCACACACACAGGCAAGAGTGATATAAATCTTAATTTTACCCCGGAATATCCCTTTGAGTATTTGAACCAAAAATGACCATTTTTTTGCTACAGCAAAATACAAAGAAAACTCTGTCCAAACAGTCTTCCTTCCCACAAGGCAAACAGTTAATTATGATTTATGATTCAGGGGGCCAATTACATTGCAAGGGGGGCTCATGCCACCCCTTGCCACCACTCTGGACACGCCCCTGAGTGTAGATGAGACAAAACCAGGGACTTAATTTTAATCTCTGGGCCTGTTGCATTCATTTGGAACAGTTCTAATAGGTCTTTTGCAAGTCTTTATATTATCTGGTAAAAATAATTATACGGTCTAAATCCAGTGCAAAATTACTAGAGGATTTAAATGAAATTATGTCTTGTTTTGAGTCATAAAAACTTTGATGCTGTCAAATGAATAAGAAAGCTTGAAAGAAAATGATTATTTTTTCACTTTCTGACAGCCATATCAGGTTTATACTATAAGTACCATGAACACACGAGTACACTGAACGCTTAGACTGCTTTACACAAAAGCTCTTGCCTGGATGTTTATAAAACAGCATATACTATACAAACAGCGAAAAAGTTCACAAAAAGTTTGTTTTGCTGTATTTTTTTACACAGGAAAACAAAGACACACACACACACACACACACACACACACACACACACACACACACACACACACACACACACACACACACACACACAGGCAAAAGTAACTTACCCACATCCTGTGTCAGTTTCTCAACAGGTTTCAGCTCTCTGCAATGACTGCCAACGTGTATCTCTGAGAACATTGTTTCTCAAAGAGCCTCAGGCCATAATTTGCGTTTGGTTAAAACCATGCACTGACCAAAAACGCACTGGTTTTAACACTTAGCTGATTCAGCGTAGCCAAAAACTGATCTGTTGTAATGTGGTCTGCCGTGACTTAAAGAGTGAGAGCTTAATATTGTTGATGCAGGTTTAAAAATACGAGGAGATTAAAAAAAGAAAACCCTGATATGTTGCGTATCGGTTTCACTTTGAACTAAAGCAGTGCTGCTAGGTCTGCAGTCTCATTTCCTCTCCCAAAACTGTGTGTTGGATGTGATCCAGACACACTTCAGAGACAGAAATAGCAAGCAAATTGAGAGGAGCAGAGAACAAATGCAGAGAGATATCTGCAAATGAGACTGTGAGGGCCCCGAGACCTCGGAGGCTCCGGGGGCCTTCATCAATGTGCGACCTTAATCTGCACAGAACAAAGCCAATGAAAATGATCTGAGGAGGAGAGAGGGAAAGAAAGAGAGAGAGAGAGGAGAAGGATAGGGAAAGACTCAGCTAAAGACCAGGGAAAGAAAAAAGACAGAACACAATTGAATAAGACAGGGGAGGAATAAAAAGGCCAACAAGGGCAGGGGGATGTCGGTTAACTGTGTTTTCTACTTAAATTCAAGGTCATTGGAAAAAAGGGTCATTTAGTCTGCAGGGTGAATAAGAACCTCATTTAAGGCAGGAGAAGATACATGGTGTCGAGTGTGATAGATCCTCATTGCTTCAGAGGGGATTTTCTGCTAATTTCACTGAGGTTGGAAAAAATCACCAAGCAGAAGTAACACAAGTGGGATATTGTGTTCGAGGTCATGGCCAATACTGTTTGGGGATTTCCTGACACCACACTGTTCTAAATCAGCCCTGTTTCTGCACTTACTGATATCTCATGACATGTTTTTTTTTTTTTACCAGATCTCTGTCTACACAAACTTCTCTCGTTGATTTCAAGACCTGCAAAACTTTGCACAAAAGCTAAACGTCAAAATGCAGCATGAAAGGTCAAAAAAACTAAAAATGCATGGGCGTTAACAGGACCCTCAGCCAAGTGATCTCATTTCCCGAGAACATAACTTAGGGGAAATCTGGGGTTTCAGCTGCACAGAGTAACATCTATATCAGAGCAGTGTGATCACAGATAAGTGCGAACTGTAAAAAGGATGCATGAAAGCGTCGAACATCATGTTGTTTTAATCTTTGCTGTCAGATGTTCCGCAGCTGCACTTTTCAGTGCTCTCAGCAGAAGTCAGGTAGAGTCAGGTGTGACACTTATTTGTGTGACAGACTGATTGAAGAGGCTCTCAAAGACACACACATGATCGAGAGGGTGCTTGATGCAATTACTGCTGCAGAGAGAAGCCAGGAGATAAACAGATTGAAAGAAAAGAGTAGACCTGACTTGAAACTCTATTTGATATACGTAGAATGGCTTTAACATTAAAGTTTGTGACAAATAAGAGCAATAAAGAGATATTTGTACAAGACTCGAACTGTGTAGGAGGCTCTAGCTGTAGAAACATAGCAGGATCAGCTTAATAATGAGCGGCAGGTAGAACCTGTGCTGTCAAAGTTACAGGTTACAGACCTGATCATGACCTGACATTGTTTCAGCGGGAGATTAGTTTACAGAAGGGCAATGGCTTCTTAGATCTGCCATATAGCTTCAAATTAAGTTATTTTAAAAAGCAAACAGTGTCAGGCAGTGAAGGTGCAGGTGCCTCCACTGAAAGATTGTTAATTCGAGGGGACACTGCATCTATTTTACACATCAAAGTCGGTTCATGCAACTCAGCAAGTACTACTCCGCCTGTGAAAATACTTGCATAATGTCTGCAGGGAGAACTCCAGAGTCAAACAAAATTAACCTGATGGGTTATCTAGACTTATAAACAGAACGGAAAACAAACACGACTAGTGCCGCATATTGATCATTTGTCCTCCTGTCCATTGGTGGCAAGGCAGTGAATGCATTTCAACGACAGACCGGATCATGATGACATGTTGCAACAATAACAACAGATGCATGTGGGAAGGTAATTGCAAAAAGAAGGAGAGAAAGAGAGAGGGAGAGAGAGAGAGAGAGAGAGAGAGAGAGAGAGACCGAATTTAAAAAAGAAGATGGGACACTGTGTAAAATGTTGATAAGAGCATAAGTTTGTGATTTGCAGACAATTTAAACCCTGTTTATAATCTAAAAAACAAAAAGTAAAAAATGTCATTGTCTGGTGAAAAATATATGCTAATTTGATGTGAGCAGCATGTTTTAAAACAGTCCAGACAGGAACAATGAAACACTGACAAAGCTCTGTGTAGTGCTAAAAAAAAACACTTAGAAGAACATCCTCTATCTGATAAGGTTCATTTGCAACAGGTTGGTAACATGACTAAGTCTAAAAATGGATTTAAGAGAGGCTTCAGGGTGTAAAGATAGGAAGAGGTTCACCATTCTGCCTACATGAGACTACATGAGCAACTAGTTCCACAGTTTAAGAATAATGTGCCTGAAAAAAAAACTGTTGCACATAATAATGTCATTAAAAGATTAATAAATTCTTCAGAAATCTTTTGACAAAAATGTCAAAGGTCAAAAACTCATGATATTTGGTTGTGATCTTCCAGCCCATTAAAAACAGACATGACTCTGTAGTGGAAGTCACCACATGGGTGCATAGTCACCTTTACAATTTTCTGCCTGTGCTGTAGTCTGCAAACTCAAAGTCTGACATTTTTTTGGGGGGGAATCATGCACATCTTTGGTTCTTAAAAGTTGGAGGACCGCTCAACTTTACAGCATCATTCACAAGCAAGCATTTGTGGTGGACGAGGAATGCATAATTGCATCTGTGTCCTACACATCTAAGAAGGTCACTATTAATACTTAACCATAAAGGTTTTTGGGAACATTTTGTTCATCATAAAATGACAAAGAAGACTTAAAATTATTGAGCAGCTGAAATCTCGTATCAAGCAAAAATGGGACTAAATTTAACATTGAAAATCCCAGAGATCAGTCTCTTTGGTTCCCAGAGTGTTGTCTCAAGAGCTGATGCAACAAAATGCTTCATTTTGCTTTTTTGCAGTAGTCATTTGAAATAACTTCACTTTCTTAATCTAAAAGCCCATCCATACAATAAAGCTGTGTTCAACAGCAGCATCTTTAAGTGTGTGGACATTTGCCACTTACTGTGGTCAAGCCAGCTCTATATAAGGCATGCAGCAACAAAAGCCTTGCCTGTGATAAATTGAGCGAGGGTTTAATTTATTGCTGACAAATTTAACTTTTATTTCAGAGAGGAAGAAAGTATAACTTCTTCTTTAATGAGTCACATTGGCTCACTTTCAGATGAAATGTACACGACAAATTAAATCCAGAGCTTGTGTTTTCCCGAAGGCATGCCACTGCAAAACACAGAAGCTGATCTGCTTTGAAGCCCTGGAAGCTAATTCACTGCCAGCTCATTCATTGGCTGCTGGATTGCAAAGCAAATCTGAATTCAGCTCATACACCCAACCTGATTGCACTACAACAGGTAGAGCACCATCATACCCGCTCTGGCCTGGGGCTTCATTTGGAACGTGTCATGAGATTTAGGGTGATGCAAGATTAGCTATGCAAGGTGGCAAATCCAGATTCATCATGTCACCAACAAAGTTTGTTTCTTGCCAGGGTCTCTCCTTGTCTTCTGCAGTTTTTCTCATCTTCTACTTGTGCTGCTGCTGCCATCACAAACAGGAAGTGGTATCACAGTGCGCTTACAGCGGCTTTTGCTCTTGCACCATCTGTACAGAATTACTCTGTACCTGCAAATCCCGCCCAAAGTTTTCAGCAGCTGCCTAATCCTGCTTCTCAACACAGCCAAAACAAACAACAGAGGGATGAATAGTTTCAAGGTGGCAGTGAGGAGCTACATTTTATGCATCATATAAGAGAAAGTGCAGCCGCTAATAACTCACACACTGCACACACAGTTTAAGTTGGAGATTTAATACTGCATGGGTGGGCATTGATTGTGTCTGGCATTGTAGCTTGATAAGTATATATTACTCTAAGTATAAGGTGCCTTTCAGATTCTGGCAAGCTATCTAATTGCAGCAGCTCTAAGGACAATTTGGCAACAGACAAGGCTGCAAAATTAGAGCCAAAGGACACGGAAAAAAAATCCACTGCAGTCGACATCTCTGGGGTTCCACTGTGGTCAAGTTAATGTGGAGGTTCCTTTACAGGTAATATTTTTGCATGCATACCTGAAAGTCCTTGCAGAGGGCAAAAACTGGGAAAAAAGTCAAACGAAAACATTGGTGGACAGTTGGGCACTGTTAGGGCCGAGGAGTCAGCAGGCAGGCCACATCTGCATCTCCTCAGGCTCAGTGAAAAACACCTCTTCATCTTCATCAGCCTAACCACTGAACCCTCCATGGCAGAGCTCACAGAGTTCAGTTTAGATTTAACTGCCATTTTGATTCCCAGTTATACTGCAGCACAGGTTATAAGAGGGGTCCTCGTTTGAGAAATAATGCTGAGATAGTAAGAACTACCTTTAATCCAAACTATACTTAGCGGGATGTTTGTTCAGCAGTTATATTTTTCCATTTTGCCCAGATTATATACTTTATGTATGTTTGATTGGATAACATTAGATTGTAATGCATTACTTAAAATTTATGCCAGAGGTGGGATTTGCGTTGTGTTTAATCCTATAACGCTATACGATATGATACGATACGATACAATACTAAACGATACAATACAATATGATACGATACAATACAAAATGATACGATACAATACGTTACGGTTTGGTACGATACAATATGATATAATACAATACTAAACGATACAATATGATAAACCACGACCAGATAGGAGAAGAGACCACACAACAGGCTATGGTACCATTCAGTCTGATATAGTAAAATGGGCTTTATCTCACCTATTAATCTAGACCATTTCAATATGAAACGACACACTAGGATACATTAAAGATATATTATATACCAAATGAAATGTTGTGACAGGGTATTATGAATAGGATCAATATGAAACGGCACATTATCGTATTTACAAAATACTACAATACATTATGATAGGATATGATGGTACATCATATATGAAATTATATTAATTATTTTAACATGATACGATACACTATAATACAATGCTTGGCTTTTAATGAAGGTAATATTATAGTGTAGTATTGAAATCTGTTGAAGCTATTTTTATTTCATATTGAAAATCAATATTTGGCACCACTTGTATGATTATTGTAAGTCATGACAAGAGTACGTTTGCTACATTGTCACACCCCTAAAATGTGTCGTGTCGGAAGGCATGAGAAGATACGTGTATATGTAAGATACATTTCAAAGCTAATGCTTGCTCACTAGCTGATTCTGGAGACAGACATTGCGTGTATTGTTGATACGATTGGGCGTGAGTTTCTTTTTAAATGGGAATTTTGAGTTTTAAATTTTAATTTGGTATGTTTTGAGTAAACAAAAACATGGCACTTCATCTGAAAAATGTCAGCTGGATTCTGGGTTTGCAAACTGTTGCTCCTGTTGCTGCAGTGAGATGGCGACACCAGTCTAAAACCATGCTATAAAAGTTGAACATCACAGTAACAGCATCTTGGCAAACTACAAAATAAGCCGAATATCCGTGGGCAAGAAGTATGTGACTCGCTCCGAGCCACTTTGTTTGTGGCCCACTTACAGAGCCAGGACTGAGTGGGCTTGAAGACAGGACTTTTTTTGCAGCACACACACAGAATAGACAATAAGCGGGCCCATGATACAGAAAAGAGTGCTTTGGATCTAAACTGCATACTCCACCTTAAAGAGGGCTTAATAGAGATTCTTATAATCTGAATAAAAGAGCATGCAGTGCCATTTTTCCACTATTCCCTATCCCCAAGCTGAATTAGTAAATAAAGAGAAAGGATTGTTTGAAAGAACTGCTGATATTGCATCAAATTTTGAAGAGAGGATTTGGAGGATTTTTTATTCTAGGCTGTTTTTTTTGGGATGTCTTGATGCTCTGATGGAAGAAATATTTAATCACTATCTAAGAGCCGGCTAAACTTGCCTTTTGGATGAATTTCAAAAGAGCAATATTTCATTCTGTGAGCTGCATTGCTGCGATTGATATCAATGTTGACAGTCAGCTAGTAAACAGACAGTGATTTTCTTGGCAAAAACCATCGTGTATGTTTAAGAAAACTGCACCTGACACTGAAAGTAGACCTCCCTCTGGGGCACAGGTAACTGCAAGGTAAACTTCATCAAAAACAAAGAAAAGCTTCCTGCGAGAGCTCTACATGTTACAAGGCTGCTCTGTCACATTACCATCACAGTCTTTGTTGTTGCACTGTAAAGCAACAGCACAAAGGAAGATGAGAGGGTTGATTAACCATTTAAAATGACAAAATGTGCATTTGCTTTCAGTAAAGTGGCTAATAAGGAGAGGGGTCCGATGATGGGGGGTGGAGGGATGGAGGGGTAGTGCGTAGGAAAGCCCAGGAGTATTGAGTTATATTTACATTGGCCGTAAATCACCCCATATGGTCAAGGCACTGTAGCTCTGCTCCACACAATGGCCACATTAACACCTCAGCATCATTACAAAAGCATGTAAACACACACACACACGCACACACACACACACACATAGATAGAGCATCAACACTGAAAATGGTGCACACATATTACATAATTGATATCACTGACTGTCAGTGGCCACATCCATTTGTCCACTTAGAAAACCCCAAGTGAATACAGTGTCCCCTTTAAAAACACTAAACTATATATAAACACAGACATACTTACTTTAGTCATGCATGGACACAAGCATGCATGCACTTTTACTCTCTCCTAACACACACACACACACACACACATATGTATATACATATATATATAAACAAACACACACACACACACAGGTTGTTATTGGATTCATAAGCAGCATGACAGCCGTACATACCTCACTTTGTTGTCCTCTGTGTCTCTCTGCTCGTCAGTTCTCCTCCTCTCCTCTCATCCCTCGTTCTCTCTATCACACACATAGAGAGAGAGAGAGGGAGAGAGAGAGAGAGCAGTGTGTTTGAATCTGACAGATTTCTCTCAGCTCAGTACACCCCCCCCACCTCTCTCTCTCTCTCTCTTATTTCACACACACACACTCAAAAACAGCCCTCCCTCCTTCCTTTCTTTCTTCCCTCTCCTGCCAAATATGCCAAATAGCGTCCTCTCTCTCGCTCTCTCACTCAGCTTTCTCCTCCCCTTCCCTTCCTCTCTGCCTTGTAAAGCACTGCTGAAGCCGCCACCCAAGCCACGCCCCCTACTCCCCCCTCTCCCCTCACTGGCTATAAATACCGCTGCTGCTATGAATATACTGTCTTCCTCCCTCAGCATCCCTCCATCGCCCCAGCTCTCTCTCCCTACTCTCCATCCATCCATCCCCTCTCTCCTGCACTGCCCTCCCTCCCTCTCTTTGCACGCTGGCTCCATCCCTTTCTCTCTCTCTCAATGTTTTTCTGATGACCTTGTATTACTCGCCTTACAACACAATCACATGATAGCATCCTTTCTCTCCACATAGTCCAGTGCAGGATGCAACCGTCTCTACACACACACACACACACACGTGCATGAACACACATGCATGCTTCATGGAGTCGTGTCCTCAAGCAGCTGCATCAACGCGCGCACACAAAAAGAGCCATGGACTTGCAGAAACACACTCACAGACAGCAGTTCTTGGTACTAACCGTCTCCTGTGTTTCCTGTCTGTTAAGCCGGATGTGGAGCTTTTTTCTCACTGACAGCTGAAAAAAACAAGTTGACTGAGACACAAATCACCTTACGCTACTCCTACACCTTCACAAACTGATTCTTCTTTTATCACAAATAATGCTGACACCTGCACACCCTGGGTGCAGTGGAATAAATGGACGTAACTGTCCTTGTAGATGCACTGAGTGTGAAATCCATCTATAGTATCATAAAGCTTTATGAAAGATGAGTGACTGAAGGTTTATTTGTAAGGACTCTTTTCTTTGAAGGTAGATTCTGTAACCTATCAAACCTATTTGCTTCATTTATCACTCTGGTTGCAGCGTTGAAAACCTCTCATTTGACATCACTACACTGTCCAGGTTAATTCACCGACTCAAAATAAAACAAACATCAGATAGATTCATTATGTACACTTACAGTAGGTATCAAGAATATTAGGACAGCATCATGTCTCTGCTTCAACTCTCTGCCAGCAATATTGTCTGGGAATGAGGTTACTAACATCTGGTGCAGGAGCGTTATGCGCACCGAGGGTACACTTAAACGGAATCAAATCTTCACCCGTAGGCTGTATAGTATGTCACGGACGTAATTAATCCTTGGATTGCACCAGTGCTGCACTTAGACTTCACAAATAGAACCAGGGAAAATGTGAGCAGCAGAATGACAGGGAGAGACTTCAATCTGGTTGAAGAGAATCGTGCACCTTCTGATTTTGGCTGTAATGATATACAACAGGGTGCCTTTGCATTGCCAAATAAGGTTCTAAAATCCCTCGCAGATATCAAATTTTATGCTTTATTGTCATGAGTTGGCTATTATAGGCGGTGATGCCAGCTTGCAAGATGTAGGAGTGTTCCAAATTCCTCATCAAGTGTGAAAAAGTCATTTTTATACAACCCCAATTCAACAAGAGCTGGGACAGTGCACAAAATGTTGATTTAAAACAGAACTTGAAGGTTTGCAAAAATGCTACAAAAAAAGGAGACAGTCTTTTGAAATATAAAAAAAAATTATTGCTGAATGAAAAACATTTAGGAACATGTTTCAAAAAAAGTTGTGACAGGCACAATAAAACACTGGAAAAGTATCATAAGCCTACAAAAGAGGCACCTGGAAGAGAATCCATCCATTGATCAGGTTAGATTATTAAAGTGAATGGGCATTAAAATGGGTTTCCTGGCGATAAGTCGCTCAAAAGTAAAGATGGGAAGAGATTCAGCATTCTGTGAGAGACTGTGAGAGAAAATAATTCAGCAGTTTTACAATCATGTTCCTGAACTAAAGGATCTAGAATTTTTTTACAAAAGGGGCAAGGCCAAACACCAGAGCTGATCTTTGGGCCCCGGGGCAAAACTGCATTATAAAATATACATGGCTGTAGTAGAAGTCACTGCACAGGCTCAAAAACAAATCTAGAACTCCACTGTCTGTGAACATAGTTTGTTGCTGCAACAATAAATACAGGGTATAACTAAACCATGTGAAGAGGAGACCATAAATGAACACAAAACAGAGACTGGGACTGAGCCCATTTAAGATGGACTGAACAATCTCATGTGGTCTTACAAATCGTAATCTGACATTCATCTTGGAAATCATGGATAATGCATCCTCTACTCTGAAGAAGAGAGGGGCCACTCAGCTTAATATCAGAGATAACGCATGAAGCCAGTGTTGTGGTGGTTTAGATGCTATAGATGCTGACTGATGTGAAAAGATTTTTTAAGAAACATGCTTTACCAGTCAGACAAAACTTTTTTAAGTATTCAGTACATCAAAACTGGCTCCTTAGTAGAGGCATCCAGGTACTAAGCTGGTCTTCCTGTAGTCCTGACATATCCCCTATTGAAATCTTTTTTGTGTCTCATAAAATGTAAAATACAAGAAAGGAGACTTTGAAGTGCTGAGCAGATGAAATCCTTAGGCGGGCAAGAATAGGACAACATTTTACTTTTAAAACTCTGGAGACTCGTCTCAGTTCCTGAGCATTTACAGTGTTGTAAGAGAAAGAGCTGAAGTAACACAACGGTAAATATACTCCTGTCTCAACCTTCTTCTTAAAACACTCTGCTGGCATCAAATTTAGAATGAGCATACAAGATTTTTCTGTTCCTACATTTGATATGTCTTTGGACAATTTTCAATTAAATAAGTGGTTTGTAAACCATCAAATCCTGTTCTTATCAACATTTTACGCAGTGTCGCTTCTCAGTGAATCTGGGTTGTCGTCCTGTTTTATAGAAAAAATGATAAAAAATAATCATTCATAAGAGTGTAAATGAGTTTATTTCTATTAATGCTGAAGCAGTTCATATTTCCCCTAAACAGTTTGATGCAAAGTAGGCAATTATGAGTCACCATCTGAGCATCAGTGTGACAGTGGATGGTGTGTGTTTGTGTGTGTACTTGGGATTAACTTTGTGAGAGGGATTGAGTCAAACACTGCCAATGGCCAAACAGAATCTATGAGCTTATTATAGAGGATGTTGCTGGAGCATGTGCAGGTGTGCTTTCAAAACCGTTTCCTGTTCGCCTCAGTCAGCGTGAGGGCCGCTTTCAGGTCGTCTGCGGTGTGTGTGTGCATCTTCAAAGACTGTGTGAGGGCTTTGTGCAAGTCCTTGGGGGCCACCAGGTTTAGACGAAGGAGAGAGTCAAGCAGCTGGGAGCGAGCGTTGCCGATGAAAGAGTGTGAGAGGAAAAACGCGAGGCCTCCTCCGCTTTTAGTGCTGTAGAGCGGGACTCTGACCATGCCTAGTACCTGACACAGAGAGAGAGAAAGAGAGAGAGAGAGGATAGAAGAGGTGATGAGGAACAGAGCATGAGACTGGGCAAATGGCTGCAATCAGTCACTTTACATAAACACACACACACACCCATTACCTCTTGTCCATGATCTGTTGCAGTGGATGCAGCCGCTCTCTCCACCTCTCTAATCTGCTCCTCATCCATCTTCCTCATGTAAAAGTGAGTGATAAGGGGGGAGGACGAGGAGGAGGGAACAGGGGCGAAACGTGCATCCACATGATCTTCCACCGATAAAGGAAGTGCCACGCCCAGCTCCTCTAACAGTTCTCTGCTTAGCCCCGCCTCCAGGGTCTCCTCCTGTGTATTAACAAACCTGAGGTGTGGGAGGAAGGGTCAAAGGTCAGTGTCAGCTCTTTTTCTCTCAAGAGACTTCTCATGTGCAGAAGTGAATAAATCAAGTTGGTTGAAAAGCTCATTGAGGTCTAGTTTGCTGCTGGTCCCGCCTCAGGATTGAGTAAAATCAAGTCACTGGATTCTGGGCATGAGAACACAAATCAGAAGGAATAATTCAGGCTTGTTTTCAGCCTCAGAATATAATAAATTAGAATATATCTATCAGTGAATTTCTAAGACTTGGATGCCTGTATTGGCGCCTCAGTCCTGCAAGAATATGTCAAATAACCTCTTATGTCTTGTTCTTGGCTCTTTTGCAGTCAACATGTCTTCTTTTTCTGGTATGGCCACATTTCATACATGAAGAGCATTTCTATACTTTCGGTGCACAACACGTCTGTAATGATGCACTGTGAAGATGAGTGCAGAGCATCATTGTCATCACGAATATCAAACTACCTTTTTTCTGCTATTGTGCGGCCAGCCCTCTGGCAGTGGAAGACTTAGCCAATGCACAATGAGGATATAGGCAGAGGATTACAGTTGAAGCCAGAGATGTAAGCTATTCTATGATTTCAGTGGGTCTGAATGGAAGGATTGGACAGAAACTTAGATAAAACCTTATATGAAAGCATACACTGCATATTGAATAGCCACCATAAGTTTGCACTGGCTGGAAAAACCAAAGATTTAGAGCTCCCCCTGCTGACCATCTGCAGTAAAGGTCCAACTCGACCATGTTATCATGTCATGTTCACACCAAAAAGGAAAATCAATTCATTCCCATAGACAATCAACATGTTTCCTCTGGTTGCTGCTCCTTTTCGTTCTGTTCTTGCTTTGCTTTTACTTTGGAATGCTCAGCTAGTCAAACGTACTCGTTATACATACTGAGTAACTAAACTAATTTTGGTAAAACATGAGTAAGTAGGATAGGCATCTACAAACTTTGAGCTTCTGCCTATTCCTTTTGATCACCTAACAGTGTTACAGAGTGTTACAGACTGCTTTTCATGAAGCATGATTTGTATATGTATGATTGTATTTGACACTGTGATGATGATCAAATAAACTAAACTAAACTAAACTAAGCTAGATTCCCTGGTGACATATGAGGTTTGTTCTTTTCAAAAATAGAGGATCAACTGATCGTGAGGGCAAGATTTAGGGTACAACATGGTTTTAATATTTAGACAGGATTAAACAAAGAGCTGCCCTGGAGGGAAGAGAGTGAGGGGGTTGAATTATCTGGTAAGTTATTCAAACGGTTAACGCAGTTGATCAAGTGTTTTGGCTCTCTTGCAGATGCAATTTATTTAATATGAATTAATTCATATGCACATATTAAGCAAGAAAACACACAAAGAATTTAAGAGTTTAAACACGCAGAATTCAGTGAGTCAATAATTTTGTTTATGCTTGGTGTGAATACGACATTAGATGGAACATGGATCAAACTATTTTTCTCAAACATGGCTTTGTGACCTTTAAATCAACAGAAGAATCAGTTCTGCTGCAGACTAACCTGAGGAATCTTTGACATTTTATGAGTACATTGAATGGATGTCTTGGTCAGCTAGAAGGATGTCACGTCAGTCCTGCAGCTCTACCAGCTAGATGACTTCTGCACGTACCCTGGCTGCGCCAATATGTGTGCACCTGTGAATGTGGCCTTTTGGCCTCACATTTTACAAAAGGGCAAAAATAAAGGCTTTCTATAATTGATCAAATGTCTTGCAGCCCTGTGGCAGCCACAGACAGCTATTATTTTTCAAGCATTGCAATTATTCTATTCTTTAAAAAAACACAGACGGTTATGGAAAATACTTGAAATACCATCTTACAACATTTCTGTTTCTGACCATTTCCCTCTGTTGGAGATTAATGTATACATCAGTATAAAGGTATACATTAGTTGTTTAAACTCTCTAGGGAAGAATATACTCTTACAAGCCTTCGCTAAATGCACCTTTTTCACATTAGAGGATGAAACAAAAGCTGCACCAGGAATGACTCACCCGCCAGGGAAACCCAGCAGACCGTCAAAGCGCATCTGCATCTGTGGGAAGTGACAAAGTAAGACTCAAACACTGCTGCTTTCTCTCTCTCTCTCCCTCACACACACACACACACACAGAGAGGCAGAGATGCTGAGGGAAGAGCAGGAGGTTTTTAAATAAACAGTCAGGAGCATTGAAAGCAAAAGTGTGCATCACTTAAACATGCTGGAACTCAAACATTTTCACCCATACACCACTCATACCACACAAACACACTTGCACACATGCATGTGCACATACACAGACCTCACCAGTATAATATGTCTAATGGGAATCCTCCCAAACAGCTGAGTGTTTGTGTCACAGTAGAGCATCGCATGGCATGCATGCCTGTAGCCTGAGCATGCCAGCGCCTCCTCCCTCGACAGCTGTCCACTCGCCATCTACAAGTAAACACACAAACACAAAGCAAAATCGCACGCAATAACAGTTATGTGCTAACTCATCACTCTGTGTGTCAGCCTTCTTGACATGTACTGCAAATGTCTCATCATCCAAACACATACAACCTCTTTTTGTTTCCTCCTTCCCTCCTAAGCTGAATAAACAGAGCTCATAAGACACTCTGGTTGACAGCCAAAGAGCTTGTATGGATGCCAAAGAGCTTGTTTGCAGAAGCCTTATGGAATATTATAGAACCAGGAAGCTCAAAGGAAGGTCTTTATAGGGTTGGAAATCTTCTGGCTCCCTCTGCTGGTTTGGAGGAAACTATCAGCAAATAAATCCTATTCCAAGATTAACTTAAAGGTTTTTTCACCATCACATAAATGCTTTATGATTTATAATGCAGTGTAAGTATTTGTCGAGTTAATGTTCATATATTTTCCTTTTTCAACAGTTTTTACTTTCTTTTCCATCTTACTCCTCAAATATCAGTAACCCGTGTTAAAGCTGCTGTGTTGCTGTGTAAAAATAGCGTGTGGTACTTATTCAACAATGTATATTTTTAACAAAATACTTTTGTTGGGAGCTCTGAGCTTGAGTTGGTGTTGGCACCCCCTCTGGACAATACAGTACCTAATGTGTAAGTTATGTTGTCTAACTAAAATATTTCACCCTGCAATGTGTTGACACTAAATGTGTCGTTCTGTGGAAAACTCTGCAATGAAAAATAAAAAGTGATCAAGTTGACTGACACCTCCCCCATCAGCAGATTTACACATTACCACTAACTTTATTAAAATAACCACACTTTTTGCTGCAGGTCTAACTTACTTGTCTAACACATAAAGAGGTATTAAAATTTGATTTTTTGTATATTTTGTAAACAGCTAAAAACTCATCACAGAAGCTTTGAGGTGTCACTTTTAAATTTTTCCATCCTTGTTATCATAAAAAATATTATCATAAAAAAAAAATAATAATAATAATAATAACACAATATTTAGCAGCTATATCAATTGCAAGGGTTCTATGGTTGGTATGACAACAACCGACCTTTGTTTTATAACAGGCCATGCCTTTTTAACAGTTGAAATCCACATTTACAGACAAATATTTTTCAAATAAAATGCATTAACAATATTGAAAAAGGACCTTTAATTATAACGACCAGACTCTATTGCCCTATTGAAGTGTTAAAAACTTCCTTTTATGCTTTTTTGGCTTTATTTATTTCACTCTGCCTTAAATCATTGTCACAATTTTCCAAATAATATTTATCTCTAAACAATAATAATAAAATGTTTGCTTCTGTGAAGGTACAGCAGATTTTTTAAATGGGACAGTATGCATTAATGAACATTTATATTTAAATACATGAGATTATAGCCAAGTGGCTAATTTCCACCCCCGGTCCCATTTGCAGGTTGGTGTCAATACATAGAACTAAAACAAATATCAATAATAGGAGTGAAACACACAGAGCATATCAGCAACAACATAGAATATAGAAATGAATCTGTTTTGGCCGAACAAAGAAACCATTGTTTATGCACTGATACTGAACATGCAAAATAAACTAGATTTATCAAAATACCAACCTGCCTGTTCAACTATAGCCCACTCCACATTTGAAGTGCTGTCTCATACTCACTCAGCATTTAGAGCTCAGCTCAGTTAGTTCCTTCCCAGCCACTCTTTAATGGAATTTATTTTGGTGACGTAGTGATCTCCAATTGGCTGAATAGCGCAAGTGCTGTCTGCTGGGCCAATAGCAGCTCCTGATAGATCAATGTGTAGGGACTCGTGAAAAGGAACACGGCAGAAGTGGACTTTCATACATTTTAGACGGCTGTGTTGAATTGTCAACGACACTCTTTTGGTAGCGTTTGTAAGACTGGAGGTGCGCCTTCAAAGGTAATATTATTTTGTATTGAAGACGTACAGCATTTGTTCTTATTAGTAAACCTTCCGAGCTTGCTGGTTGCTCACACTAACCGCTAACCTGAAGTCATAGCTATCGTTACAACCTGCCAGTGTTGCGTTTAAAAGAGTGACCGTGCGATTTGGGGACTTTCGGCCAATACATCGGTGATTGTCGTGGTTGTAGTACTCTCTGAAACACGAGAGGAAAGGCGAATGTAACCTGATTTATTTTGTATCATAACGTTAAAATACACTCATAATATCTGTCTGTTGTGAGTTCACAGCGGCTGCTGTAACTACAGGAACCACCGGCACGATCGTCTAAATTTCGCAAGGTCACATCTTAAAGCGAAACACCCGGTTCTAATATTGGGTCAGTGTTTGACTGTGAAACACCTGTTTAAAACACATCGGTTGTTGAAAAGTGCTGTTACACGATTATTACACAGGAGGTTTTGTTGTGTTGTCACAAAGTTTAGTGATTAATACGACGTAAAAAGTGAAAAAAAGTGAAATGATAATTTACTTTCTCTTTAAAATCCACCATTTTCTTATGTTTCACTTCTCTCATAATGTAAGTCCAAAACACACAATGTAAATACAGGAAATACTACAACCATCTACCTCTTGAATGTGAAGCAACCTTGCTCATGACAAATTGACTCACAAGAAGTGCATAAACTCACCAAAAAGAGTATATTAGAAATGTAATGTGTTCTTTCTACTGTCTGGCCATGTTGTTAATTGTATGTTTTATTGACATCAATTTTGACAAAATCATGAACATTTTGCCTGTGTATTCATTATATGACATGTTTGGTTCTCTTCCCTTGTGTTTTGGTGGACTTACTGTTTTTCTGTTCATATTTCAGGTAAATCAGAATGGCTCAAGTGATACCAGACAAGGTGATGACAAATATGGCCCTAATAAATGAATTGGTGGATGTGGCAAAAGATGCAGCACTTCTACACGGTGTACTTATGAGGATTAAAGAGACCCCCAACTCCTCAGAGGTAAGGGCTGATCTCACGTGAATTATATACATTATTATTAATTATTTATTATTAATGATATATATTATTATTAATTATTATGAGATATTCTTTGCCTTATTTGGTATTCTGAGATAGAGCACTGTCTGATACGGGGAAGGAAAAACTTGATCAACCAGTTAAATTTACAGCCCAGTTCTCTGTCTTTTATATTTGCAACTTTAGTGACTGTGAACTGCTTGGACAACACAGAATGTGAGCAAACAGGTTTGAGCAATTTCACACTCTTACGCGTGTGCAAGGGAAATGAAGTGACTGAATTCCTCCATAATTGTTAAAGAAAAGAACTCTGAAGCATCACAGCTATTCTTGAGTACTCACTTGTGTTTTTGTGTGATCAAGCACAAATGAGCTTGAGCCACTTAACAGGGGAATAGCTGGCTCCACCCTTCTACAAAAACAGACATGTTCAATGTTAAGCAATGTAGGGAATTCGCCTTGCTTAAGGGCACCAGATGCAAGGAAGCTATTTATTGAGCTTTTATTTGCATTTGCAGGGATCTTCTGCAGAAACCTTAATCTACATTCCTTACATGCCATGTCCAGTGATTATATTTTTGGCCCTGTACAATTACAATATCAGCATTCTTACCATCATTTTTACATGTTTTTCAGTTGGTGACCTACGCTCCATTTACGCTCTTCCCCACACCTGTGCCGAAGGCCGTTTTCCTGCAGGCCCTCGCAGTGCAAACTCACTATAACACTCTGGTGGACAAGATCAGCCAGGATCCAGACTTTCTACAGGAGGCTCTGGCTAGGTATCAAATAAGACCACATTAATCATTGCAAGTGCAGAAGTGTGGAAATGTGGCTACACTCTACAGCTTAAAAAACAGTTTGCATGAAACTGCACACATTTTTTTCGAGACTTAAACTATGTGACATTTTTTGTTTTTTAGCACTGTTGCAGTTGATGATTTCACAGCAAGGTTATTCAGGATTCACCAACAAATCCTAAAAGAAGGGAGGTCTCAGGTAGGTCTGCACTCCCTAAAGTTGATGATGTTTTAATTTTCATTTCAGTGCAAAGGAATTCAAATCGGTACATTGTGAAGTATGCATCATTGTCTAGATTATAAATCAAAACAAGTAAATGCAACTTCATCACAGCTCATCAAAAATACAGCAGCCAAGAACACAATTTCATGTAAAAAAAGTAGAAGAAATGATTCAGACATTAGACAGTGTGAGTGAGCAAAACTCCGACATTGGACATAGAGGTCCTGCTCACCCTGTATGGGTTTTCCAATTTGCATTATCACCCACTCACTATACACTATTCCACCTATCGCTGGGCTTTCTACCAAAGACAGGAAAGGGTTTGAATAAAATGCTGATTTAAAAAATGACTTTATGGATTTAGAAATGATTTATTTATTTATGCAGCCTAAAAAGTCCCTCAGATTCCATGGCAACAGAGTCTTGTCAGATTTCTTGAAAGATGATGAATTATCAACATGATCATTTCAGTTCTGAGTTAAGTTGAAACATTAACCTGCTGATTTGTCACAATCCACATTACAAGAAACATTTCTGTCAAATGTAGCTGAATATGAATGGCGAGAATGTGAATGAGACTTATGCAGGAATATTGGTTTTGCCATTGAGAAGTAATCACTGTTGTTATTGGAGCTCCACTGACTACAGTTTTTTAGAGGCTGATGCTGATACTGATATGAGAGAGCAGGTCAGCCAATGACTGATATATAATGCCAATATCACATGGTGTTTATTTTTTTTTTTCATTTGACAAAATACAAAACACATCTCTTCATAAATACTAGCGAATTAAGAACAAAACTGCTGAACTCCAGAGAATATTCAATCAGACAGACTTCAGTCAGGCAGTATTCAAACAGCTGAGCCATACATGCTTATCTGCTCTTCCATTTCAAAGTTTTTTCTTTTTAATTCATAGAGGCTACACGTTTCTGGAAAGTTAATCCAACTTCTATGTCCAACACTGCACCATGAATTGATATTCTCCCACAAAATATGAAATAATGTAGAAGGATCAAGACTTTTTCATTCCTCAATTTCCTTATATTGCAGTTTTTTAACATGGATAAGATTTTTTGTTGTATATTTGTCAAATGAACAGCTGAAGGTCAGTGATAAAAAGACTAGAAGAAAAAGGCGGAAATGGTTGCAGAATGAGCTCCGTTTATATAGTTTTGTTATAACCTCCCAATTGCAACCTAACAAATAGAAAAGTTCTGTACTTTGACCTCTGTTCTTCTCTTTTGAAACTTCTTATAAGTGGTCCAACAGCCTCTATTTCCACATTTACTGTCATATTAACATATTGTGTCATGCCAGATACTTTTTAGTGACCTAACTTCTTCTCTGCTGTCCTGCTCCCTATAGTCTGTTGTTTTGGGTCTCAATCGATCTGACTACATGTTGGACCAGAAACAGGACGGGTCATCATCTTTGAAACAAATAGAGATCAACACCTTTGCAGCCAGTTTTGGGGGTCTCTCTTCAAGCACGCCAGATGTACACAGGTGAGTCTATCCATAAGCATATCACTCACAAGGCTTTATGTATTTATGATTAGATTAATCGAGGAACTCAGTCAGTTTTCATTTGTATTGAGCTGTCTCATAATAAAAAGGATCTTTTTAGACTCTTTAGTCTAAAAACCACTTCCAGATGTGATTAAAATGAAGATATAACAATCAGAGAGAGAAATTATAAGATGTTTGAAAGAAATTAAGAACTATTAGCTTCGGTTAACTTAACTCTGACACGATTATTGTTCATACTGTTTGACAGACACATTTTGAGGGTCGCTGGAAGACTGGAGGAGAGCCAGTGCATCCTTGACAACAACCCAGCAGCTGGTCTGGCCAGAGCTGTCGCCAAAGCCTGGGAGCTGTATGGATCGGAGAAGTAGGAACTAATTACTTCCACTTTAAACTGCCTAATTAAACCACATGTCCTGTCTTTCATGACACTCAAGGCCCAGTGCAATCTGCATAAGATGAAGAGCTGGCTGCAGTGACTGTACTGACCAAAGTGAATTGAGTATAATCATCTTTCTAGATGAATATTCAGACTCTTGCTTTCTTATGTCAGCTGATGACATTAGTACCATAACCTGGTTTAATGTTTTTTTAATATCTTTTTGCGTAGGGGATGTTTTGTCCTAATTTGATCGAAAATATAGACTTATACTGTGTGTAATAATCATAGACTGTACATAGAATGGATGCCATCTGCCTCCGAGCTGGGGAAAGCCACTCTGAGAACAGCACCCTCTGGTGACGAGCTGCAGTATAGGTCATAAATCCCGCCTCCTCCAGCAATCCTTATGGAGCTGTGGACTAACTTTAGAAATTAACTACACAGAATATAAATTTTTCTCCCCCCTGCCTGGGATGTTGACATGTAGTTATTGTAAGACTGGTTTGTGCTCAAGTCCTCTTTTTTCTGTGAAGTTCCGATTTTAAAAGTTATTAGGGGGTTCATGCTTTCTTTGATTGACACTTGATACAGCCTATGGGCGGACAAAGATTGTGTAGCTCACCTGGGGGATATGCTGTTTGAGCCAAGTGCCATCACAGCGACTCTCCCGCCGAATGCGTACAACGCTACTGTGCAAATAGTGGTTCCAGGTTCCAGGAAGTGAATAAAATCCCAGAAATATTGAGAGAAATTCGGCTTCAAATTCTTTTAACGATGGAAGGTGGAACAAAGTTGTCCATAGTATATACAGTCTATGGTAGTAACCATTTGTCACTTATAACTACAAGTAGCAAAGTGCCAAAGAGAGTGTTTTTACAGGAGCGACTGTTTTCTTTGCAGAGCGGTTGTCATGTTCCTGGTGGAAGAGAACCAAAGAAACATTTTTGATCAGCGATACATTGAGAGTGAACTGTGGAAGAGGTGAGCGTGAGTACAGAGCAAAACACTCTTTCAGTACACAGGCATTTCTTTGTGTGACGCTTCATTAACATGAGGAATATTTTAGAAATTAAATGTAAAGCAACTGGTCTGTGCTGTGAGTAGTTTTTTTGTTTTCAGCTGATATTGTGAATGTTTTTTCAGAAACATTCGCACAAAGAGACATCGGTTTGATGATGTTTGTAAAACAGGCCTCCTTGATCAAGACAAGAGACTCTTTGTGTAAGTCTGTTCAGTTTTGTTTAATGTAATTCATGAATGGTGTTTAATGTATTGTTCAACGCAAAGGGGTCTGTGTCCACTAAAGATGTATTTTTGTGCTGCCTGTGCCTATGGTGGCGGTGCAGGACTTCAGCACTGGCCGAGTTAAAGGGATATTCCTGCGTAAATATAAGTTATGGTCAAACACAATGTGACACTGAGTTAGACACCCGCTCGAGAGATAAATGTTGCCGACTGCTTGCTTCTCTAGTTAAACCAACTTTAATAACAACCGCACAATAGCAATACACAGCAGTCTACGTCTCCACGCACAAACCCTAACCAACTCAGGGGGTCTAACTCGGTGTTATGGTGTGTTTGACCATAACTTATATTTATGCAGGAATATCCCTTTAAGTGAAATCAGTGTCAGCTGTTTTTTTGTCAGAGCTCTCAGGTAAATAATCTCAGCTGTTGAAACACTAGCAAAAGTGGTGATTTTACTTCTCTGTTACTGATCAATCAAAATCAAGACGGAACAAGACTCAAATGACAGAGGTCCATTTTGGAGAGAAACTAACCACACTTGCTATTTTAAGGTTCAGTTTCTTCATTGTTAAACTGACTGAATAGTCACTACAAGAGGAAGCCAATGTGCCATGAGGACAACTTTTCTGTAGAGCACTAAACACTAGAGTATGTGGCAGCAGTGGACACAGGGAGCAGTGATTCATACCAAGTGTATTGACTGTGCATTCATGGTCTTTTTTCTAGTGGTGGTGAAGAGGTTGCAGTGGTGTACTTCAGGAACGGCTACATGCCTCAGAACTACACATCTGAACAGGTCTGTACTTTAATCTGAATTTACGGCTGTACTTGTTTTAATAAACCAAGTACACACAAATAGATATATCTTTATAGAGAAGGAACAGACAAGTGTTAACATGCATTGTGAGACGCCTGAGTTTGCATATCCATTTTTAAGTAAGGAACTTGTTAATATTAATTAACTGGGTTTTTTTTTTCATTGGAATGAAACCAGACAAACTAACAGTAATCAGAGAACATCATAAGCTAGTAATTTAATCACAAAATATGAATTTAACTGAAGCAAATTAAAGTAGATTGAATATATCAGCTAATCAAACCATAAGGGGGTGTATTTTATTGTTCCTCGTGGTTATACAAATGTAAAAATTCTATCGTGTAAACGCTCCCTCGTAGTATGAGTGTGTGTTGAGTGCTCTAACTCATTCTGTCACTGTTGTAAACACAGGGTCACATGCTCTCTGCCCACTAGTGAAGGAAAAGTAAACTTCTTTCTGCTCTGTTGCCTCTTTGTTTTGTTAGGAATGTTGTCAAAGCAAGAGCAGGAACCTAATGTATAAAGTAGGCGTCCAATCAGAAAACAGGTTGAGTATCCATAGCTTGCAGCCTCATTAGATGCAAGAGCACTGTGGTGCGGGAGGAAAGACTTTATTCACATTCATAATCCTTGTGTTTCACGTCCTTACAATTCAAAGATCAACTGTGGACTGAAAGCTTTTGTTTCATGGGCTGTGTCCTGATTTCCTGCTTGGCCTTACTCTTTGTTTATCTGCCCCTCTGGGTGTAGCATGCCCTGTTCCTCTTTGGCAAAGAGAGTTTTGGATCATGAGAACATCCAAATTCCCATGTGGCTTTGCAAACGGAGGCAGCCCAATGTGTAACATTGCCATGAATGCTTGAAAGGATATCCATATCTTGGCGCATAGCTATTCAAATGTGAAAATCTCTTGTTGTTTCAAAGACACATGTTCAGTGATCATTATAGCAGGCATCTCAGAAAGATGTCAGAGAAATCACATGCCTCGTAGCTGTTCCTGAAGAGATACTTTTCAGTCATGTGCAATCCAAAACGCAGAATAGGACAGGGTAGGGTATTAAAAATAGGACAAAGTCCTCTACCAAGAGCATGCACCCCCAGGCCACACAAACCTGCTTCAGTGTTGACCTTTTTTGACCCTGTGTTTTTTGTCAGAGCCTCTTTGTTAGCGCAGCTTTTGGTCAAAATGTGGCCTCATTCTAAAGAATGGAGGGGATGTGTTTTTTCACGCACAGCTCTTGTCGTGACCCCCTATTGAGTCTGACAGTTGGGCATGTGACAGTATGTAGTCCTTGTGTTTTGACAGTGTTATAGCCAGCTTGTAGTTCAGTGTTGAATTGAAACTCTGATTTCAAAAACAACCTCTAGAAAAAAAATTAAAGAAAACTGTGAAGTTTTTATTTTTCAAATGATGTTCAACTTTTTTATGCAAAGGAAGAACCAGGTCTATCTTCATTGACCAATCGCACACATTACAGTTGTGAGTGAAAGTCAGTTCACCCTTTTTAAAAAAATGTATTTTATTTATTTATTTATTAAAAAATTAACCTTGATATTTATAGTCTCTCTGGTGAATAGGAAAAAAAGACACTATTATCAGAAATCATTAATGCACAGTAACTTTTTATTTTATAAATAAATTTTGTATAGTATGAAATTTTGTAATTTTGTATTTTTTATAAAATACAAAATGACAAAAATAAAAATCATCTTTTTGGCATGTGCAAGTGTCAGGGCATCCTGAGAGCTTTAAAGTGTCTGGTCTTTAAAGATTCTTTTTAGAAGCTCAGACTTTCACCAGCTCATTGGTCCTGAAGCAGGTGTCAACAATTCTCATCAGGGAGCACCAGCTTGTGCCAATTTAAGGGGTTTCAACTCTACAAACCTTGTGCATTCATCCAGCAACCATGGGTTCCTCTAAGAAGCTGTGTAAGACAGAAAAAATGAAAGGGGAGGGCTACAAGAAGATAGCAAAGCGTCTCTAGCTTGCAGTTTCCACAGTGCGAGGTATAATTAAGAGATGGCAGGTGAGGGGAACTGTGGAGCTCAAGATGAGATCTGGAAGACCAACTAAAATCTCAGAGAGAACAGCTCGTTTGCTGGTCAGGAAAGTAAATCAAAACCCACATTTGACTTCAAAAGACCTGCAAGAATATTTAGCAGATGCAGTAGTGGTGGTGCACCCTTCCACTCTGCGGTGATGTGTGAACAAACAAGACCTTCATGGAAGAGTCTGAAGTAGAAAACCTTTCCTGCGTCCTCATCATAAAATACAATGACAAAAATATGCAACAGAACATCTAGAGAAGCCTGATGACTTCTGGAAACAAGTGCTGTGGACGGATGAAGTTAAAATAGAACTCTTTGGCCACAATAAGCAAAGGTATGTTTGGAGAAAAAAAGGAACAGCTTTTCATGAAAAGAACACCTTGCCAACTGTGAAATATGGGGGTGGATCCATCATGCTTTGGGGTTGTGTTGCAGCTAATGGGACAGGAAACATTGCTCAAGTGGAGGGAAGAATAGATTCCATTAAATACCAGCAAATTCTGGAGGCAAATATCACAGCATCCGTAAAAAAGCTGAAGCTGAAAAGAGGATGGTTTCTACAGCAGGATAATAATCCTAAACATACCTCTAAATCCACCATGAATTACCTCAAGAAACGCAAGATGAAGGTTTTGGAATGGCCTTCACAGTCTCCAGACTTAAACATCATTAAAAATCTGTGGGTTGTTCTTAAAAGAGCTTTGCATGCAAGACGACCCAAGAATATTGCAGAACTGGAAGCCTTTTGCAAGGAAGAATGGGGGAAAATTCCAAAGGATAGAATCCAGAGACTTGTAGTTGGCTATAAAAAGCATTTACAAGCTGTGATATCTGCCAGAGGGAGCTTACTAAGTACTGAAGGTACTGATGCTGAAGGGTGCCCTGACATTTGCACATGCCAAAAAGATGATTTTTATTTTTGTAATTTTGTACTTTTTATAAAATAAAAAGTAACAGTGCATTAATGATTTCTGATAATATTGTCTTTTTTCCTATTTACCAGAGAGACTATAAATGTCAAGGTTAATTTTTTAGTAAATAAACTATGCTTTTTTTAAAGGGGTGCTCTGACTTTCACTTACAACTGTATATGACATCCTTTTGCAGCCTATCTAGAACCAGTTCTGAGAGTTGTTGGCTGTAAGTTTTGTGGTACTATCAAAAATCTCTTCTAAGTGACTTTTTTGTGTTTTGAAACCATAGAATTGGGATGCTCGACTAATGATGGAGCGCTCTCGAGCGGTGAAATGTCCTGATATCAGCACTCACTTGGCCGGAACCAAGAAAGTGCAGCAGGTTCTCGCCAGACCTGGAGTTCTGGAGAAGTTCTTCCCTAATCAGCCAGAGGCAGTGGAGCTGATCAGAGCAACATTTGCTGGCCTCTACACTCTAGACATGGTGAGAAAACAACACAAACGACAGTTATTATTGCTGTGGTCTTACAAATGAACACGATTAAAAAAAAAGGAACGTTTTCTCAGCTTTAACTAGTGTGCTTGCTGGTGCTCAGAGCTGTTGCTTTCATGTTGTATTTGTCTGCTTTATATATCTTTTGTTGTGTTTGTTGTTGTTGTTGGTGTCTATAGGGACCAGAGGGTGACAGGACAGTAGCAATGGCTTTGGCAGCTCCAGACCGGTTTGTCTTAAAGCCACAGCGAGAGGGAGGAGGTATGACAGAAACATCTGAACAGATGCTTTTCTCCAGCACAGCAAATCCAAAACCACAGTTTTTGATTTTCCTCATCAAATCTCAGATGTGTCAAGAAAGTTTAAAGTCTAAAAATTTTCTTGCAAATCACTGAGAGCAAAGTCCAAGTCATGAAGCAGCTGTGATTGTTGTGTTGTCAGACTTTTTAAGAAGCCATAATAGACATAAGCTCAGATTTGACAGCTGTAAGCTCTTTTTGGCATATTGACCACTAGTGATGTAACAATGCATCGTGAGACAAAAATCGTTAAAAACGTTAAAAATGTTAAAAATGTGTGATGATTCAACTCGCCTGAAATGAAAAACGATTCGCGGTGCCCTTTTCAAATAGCAGAGGGTGCATTCATGTGATCAACGTCGTTATGTGTTCAGCATCTTGTGTCACTCACTCATTCAGACAGAGCGGGGGACATAAAGGGGGCTGCAAATGATTTTGAAATCGAGGAAGCACAGACCAGTCTGGGTGTGATTAAATGCTATCCTGAACAGCTACCAGCGGTGGCAGCCGTGCTTCTCAGCGCAGACTTCTGTTGAAATGCCTGTGAAATCAACTCACTGTGTAACTCAGAAATCTGTGATGCTGAGGACACTGTACGCACTCTTACCATGTGTTTACACCAAGCGCAAATTAAATGATTTACTTGCTTAATTTGTGCGTATCTAGAAGTGCAAATAAATAGTATTTACTCGCTTTATTCAGTGAATGAATTGCTCTATCATTTGCTCCATTTGCGCGTTATCAGAGTGCTTAAAAGCCGTGGATACCAGAGAGGGGGAGAGTCTCCATCAAACATGGTAGGAGTTAAACACGTTCTGCTGATTGCTGCTTTGTATTTGTTGTGGAAGGCCCACAACCGTCAGAGATGCCGGTGCTGCCGTGTCTTGGTGCATCATATTCTCTCGAGGCGCACGCAGTTCTGGGAATTTTACCATCTCCAAGAGCTGTGCCTGGATGGTGCTCGTTTCCAGCTGTATTTTCGGGTTACCCAAACCCAATTTATTGATTTATTTTTTGTTGTTTAAGATGAAACATAATTTCAGTTGCACTTTAATAAGAGGGTGTATGCACATTGTATTGCACAGTTTACTCTACCTCAGAGAAATATAAAGAGGACTCTCTATAATTTGATGAAGATAAGAGACAATATAATTCGTAGTTATACATCTAAATAATAAATGTGTGTTTTACATTCACTGCATAGGTTATTTTGAAGTTACACCCTACTTCAGAAATCTTTTTTTTTTCCTGAGAAATAATTAAAGGAATCTTTTTCAGTCATAATTTGTCAGCACTAATTCTGTTAACAAAAATCATAAGAAAATTGTATTGTCAACCCAGAATTGTATTGAATCGGGAGTTGGATGTATCGTTACAGTCGTATTGACCACCACATCATTGTGGTAATAGGATGTCTAGAAGAAGCAGCTGATTTAGTCCAACAACAGTATCTCACCTCCTGTATAACCAGTCTTGTCTAGAAACTTGCTTTTCATGTGTGTCAGTAAGTGAAAAGTTAATTGGTGGCCTTAAGGGGTTCTGGTGGGTGAATTTTTAGCCTTTGAAAGAACTAGACCAGCTGCTTTCCCAACAGTTCAGTAAGGTTTGTCAAGTTATATCTCACAAATAAGTGAGGTAAGTCAACTGTTGTGGGCTAAATAAGCCTCTTGTACTTGAACATCTGCTGTACTGGCTTACACTATGCTTTCCCAGGTAACAACATCTACGGATCAGAGATCTGCCAAGTCCTGGAAGGGGTGAAGGAGGGTTCAGAGAGAACGGCTTATATTCTGATGGATAAGATTAATCCAGCACCGTCACAGAACTACCTGCTGAGACGAGACGCTCCTTTAAAAATCAGCAACTGTCTCAGTGAACTGGGGGCCTTCGGAGCTTATGTCAGGTGTGTTATCACTTCTCAAAAGAAGAAAGGCATTTTGAACACGAATTCAACATGAAAGGAAACTGTTAATCTTTGAACAATTACATAAGTACTGTATGATGTCTCTGTTTGTTTTCTCACAGGCAAGGTAATGACATGGTGATGAACGAGTGTGTGGGTCATCTACTGAGGACTAAGAGTTCAGAGCATTCAGACGGCGGTGTAGCAGCAGGAGTGGCAGTGCTGGACAATCCTCTCCTCGTCTAGTAGTACTGCCCTGCTGGTGGACAACAGTCTCATGGAGGTGTCACTCTGAAGGCATATTCTTATTCAGCTTCGACAGTACGACAAACACACCGACAGTTTAGACCCAGTCACTGCTCAAATCATGAAGCTTTCATTCTTCAAATTCCTCCTATCATCGTAGGTGGTGTGGTAGAAAAATGTGTTCATGGTATTTCCAATGCAGCTGCCTGTAATAACGACATCAGAGCTCAAAGAGGAGTTTATTAGCACCATGACTGACCATGAAGTTATATAATCATACAAAATAAGTACCATAACATGATTTTTTAATTCAAAACTTGACTGTTTTTTATTAAACAACTTCAAAACCAACTGTTTACCTTTTGAATAGAGAACTGAGCCAAGGCTGATCTTTTTGGATATCAGTGAAACATTTACAACTCGATATCGTGGGCCTGAGTTGCCATCTTGTGACTCTTTGATGTCACTACAACAGGTTTGACCCCTGGATGCAGTCAAAGCTCATGCTACTACTACTACTGACACCACAGCGTAATCAATCACTCCTGAGCTGTTTTTTAACAAGTGTCGCAGAAGGTTTGATGAAAAACTTTTGTCAAGAATCATTGATGGTTGCAGAAAAATACAGAAGCAAAGTTCAAAATTAATATCAATAACTTTGCTGCTCACAGTGTAAATGAGAAAGAAGGAAAGTTTATTAAGTGCCCTTACACAGATGTTTTTGCAGTTCACTCTCTTCTATTTAACATCTTTGAAGATGCTCTTCATTTGACTTGAGTCAAATAAAGAGCTGTGCTGAACTCTACTTTTTTATGATTGAGATGAGCAAATGAAAACATTAATGTTAAATGTTATCATACAGAGTCAAGTATCACTGAGAGGACTCATTTTTATATTGTTGGGGTCATCTTTTATGCTGTTAGGTTTCAGATGAGCTCTACAAACATAATTTAAGTATTCCTGATTTGAGGTACAAATCTCTTTTTTGCAAAAACTGATCGGTTGCTCAGTTTAAATGTTGCTAAATCAACATCATTACTACAGATGATATCAGACTTTTAGTCAAAATGTACATACAGATAACATTGTGCTCCAACTTCTTTACCCATGTTTGCTTTACCAAACAACTGTGGTTTAAATAATTTTTGAAACATTTTATAAATATATATATATAAAAATTATCACATGATAAAGTTGGACATTTATTTTTATAGCACATTTCTTGTGTTTATTTTAATTTGAGGTGTGTGAATTTAGGGGGAAAATATTCAAAAGCCATTTAGTAATGCAATTTTGAGATTTTCTGAATTTTTTTTTTGCCCAGTGAGGTTATATTAAAGACTAATAGAGAAAGTTTTATTTCATCACAGGATACTTTTTTGGGATTTATAATGTTAATAAGGTATAGAGTGTGTGATTTTTGTTTTTATCTTAATATATATGATGGTAAATGTAGAACCAAATGTTACTGGACCAAAAAACACATGTTGAATTAATAAATAAACTCTGTTTATGTAGCTGTTCTTTCATCTGTGATTATTGGTCATTTAACCCGATTATATGTTTTTGTTGTTGTGCAAGGTGAAAGTTTAACAGCCTAAATGCATGTGCTACATTACGCCATTAAGTTTTTAAATGGTAAAAAAAAAAGCAGAGACGGAGTCTTACTAGAATGTGAATTTCAAGATTTGTTAGCACACATTGTTGCATTAAATGTACATTAGAAAGCAGGAAATCAAGCATTAGAAGGCTAAAATATGAACCCTGCAGGCCATTCTGTAATCTCCGGTAGATTGTATTTTACAGGGTTTCGTACATACAGCAGGTGCCCTTTTTATTTTTCAGCTCTACCGCTCAGTCAGCCTGAGTTCACCACTGCTACTGGCCTTACATGTGTCAGTGACAAAGATCTTGGATTTCTATGATTATAGTTATGGACAGAAACACAAAGATTTCTCACACAAACCTGAGAGACGTTTTTTCTCACCTGGACCTTACTGACGACCAACCGCCACCAAGAAAAGTAAGATTTTTTCAATAAAAGTAAGAGTTCAGCATTTTAAAATCAAACAGGTACCTCTATAAAAAGCTGTGTGAGCATAAATTTAATATCCGTGATATTATCCATTGTTAAGCTTTACTAGTACTCAGATTTGGAGTTGTAAGGTCTACTCATGCACAAGTGCACCAAAAACCTTTACATGTAAAACAAAGTTTAGTTCACTAGTACTACTTGCAAACTAAAAGTATCTATAGTACTATTAGTACACTGTTATAAGTCTACTAGTAAAATCAAAAGATTCACAAGTTGTACCAGTAGACCTAATGCAAATAATGTAGGAGGGATCAGAATCAAATCCAGCACCCCGATCGGTTGTAATAAATCAGTTGCTTTTCAAAGGCCAATGGGGAACCTGAATTTGCTTTTCCCCGCTCCTTATTAGAATATAAGGTTAACGAGCAGTACTAGTGAACATTTTTTTGTCGACTAGTAACACCAGTAACACTTTTTGCTTCCCAATACGATCTACTTGCACATTAGCAAACTAAAATTGAGTACATGCACTAATAATCTGAGTATGAACTAGTTGAGCTTAGCTAAGGTTGATATCACTGATATCAAATTTATGTTCAAACCATAGACTGTATATAGAATGGACAGAGTCCGCCTCCTTGCTGGATGAAGCCACTCAGAGAACAGCACCCTCTGTTGATGGGCTGCAGTATAGGTCATAAATCCTGCCTCCTTCAGCAAAGTTTATGGAGCTGAGGACAAACTTTAGAAATTTATTACACAGAACATAAACATTTCTACCCCCTGCTTGTGATGTTGACATGTAGTTATTGTAAGACTGGTTTGTGCTCAAGTCCCCTTTTTTTCTGTGAAGTTCCGTTTTTAAAAGTTATTAGGGGGTTCATGTTTTCTATGATTGACACCTGATTTAGCCCATGGGTGTTCAGTGATTGCATAGCTCTCCCAGGGGATACGCTGTTTGAGCAGGGCGTCATCACAGTGACTCTCGGCGACTGCGCGGCTAAATGCGCGCACCACTACTGCGCAGCTCTGGTTTCAGGAAATGAAGAAAAATCCCGGAAATATCGAGAGCTATTTGGCTTCAAATCCGTATACAGGCGAGAGGCGGAACCGAGTTGTCCATAGTATATACAGTCTATGGTTCAAACAGTTTTCTATAGTTCCCTAAGGGTTTTACTTGTGAAGCAAATGAAACTATATGTTTGGCTCTGGGTAGGCTTAGTACGCTAATGTCATTTATTAGTAGTTAACACAATAAGTCGTAAAAATACATGTTTATATTTTCTCCTAGTAGGAGAAGAACAGAGAAGGGAGCAAAAAGTTGTGTAAAAAAGAAAAAAGATATGTTTAGGAAGAACATGTCCAGCTCATGGTTCTGATTCAGGCTCTTCATTGCTTTGGTGTTAGCAATATTTTTTAGCTAGTAGTTTAACCATCAGCTAAGAGCTAAAGCAAGAGGTAGAGTTACACAGTGTTATTAAAAAGGTAGTGTTGTGTCTGGGCTGTCCTCGATGTGTAGATGCAGAAGAAGGCTTCGTGACACTGGCTTGCTTGTATAAGAGGAGTTTATTATAAAGACAAAACCAGTATCAATACAGCACTGCAGTTGCTGGGAGAGGACTGCCAATGATGTCCAGCTCTCCCAAACCAGAGTTTGTGACCCTGTTATATACGGTTAGGGATGTAAGCCCTCCTACATTCCCAAAATATCTTTCCTTACCCTCTGGTGTTTGGTTAACCTGTAGTGGTGTTTTATGACCTGTGGCCTGTGACCTGTGAAGTGCCCCTCCCAGGATATCTCACCCTAGGTATCATCAGAGCAATGGATTAAAACAGAGTGGCGACACTCCCATAGGCATACGCTGTACAGCCCGGCGGACCCCACTTCCGGGTTATGGAATGCTTATTAGTTCCAACATGACCGCCTGTCACGTCGGACGCCGTTCGCTTCTATGGCCACAAGGCAAGCACTCACCGAGGTTAAATGATAAAATATCAACAAGTTTAATGCCAATACATGTGTTATTGATATCGAGGGGACCCCTTTATATGTAAAAATGTATATCCCAAATGTAATTACGTTTTTATAGTCAGGAATTGGGATCGATTTTTTAGCCACGGTTTGCTCCCACACTCCCCGATGTAAAATATTGTATCAACGAATGTAATGCCAATGAACCACGTGACCGCTCCGGCGGCGAGATCTGAAGTTGTCGCCACTCTGTTTAATCCATTGCTCTGGGTATCATTAATGCTGAGCAAGGAAAACACAAGCCCACATCCCACAATTGGTTCTCAGGCTATTCCTGAGAAATGGCTTCTAAATGACTGACCGAAATGCTTCTGTGTCCTTTAGTTATTGTCTGACCCAGGTACACTACCTTATCCTGACAATATTGCAACTTCTTCTGTGATGCCTTGTGTCCTTTTTCAGCCAAAATTTGCAGTAATTTTATTGAATCTTTGTGACATGTTTCCTTATCCGGTGAACAGATAATGTCATCAACATACTGCACCACAGTGCTGTTCAACATTTGGTCCAATCCTTTCAAATCCTCTTTCAACACTTTATTGAAAATGTGAGGGCTATGTTTGAATCCTTGTGGTAACCTCTTGTACACATAGGACTGCCCTTCATAAGTAAATCCAAATAACTCTCCACTCTCTGTGCTCACAGGAACACTGAAATATGCTCCACACAGGTCCAACACTGTAAAATGAGTAGCATCTAGCGGGATTTGGACTAATAAAGTGTGGGGGTCTGGTACATCAGCTGGAAAATCTACCACCACGTCATGCACTGCTCTCAACTCATGTACCAGGCGGTATGTGCCATCTGGTTTCTGCAAAGGTAACAGCGGTGTATTGCTTTGAGAGTTCTGAGTTATCCCTAACACACCTGCTTGTACCAATCCTTCAATTTGAGATCCAATACCTTGTATTGCCTCTTTTTTCAATGGATATTGATTCTTCCAAGGAGGCTTGGCGCCTGGTCGGAGTTCAACTTTTACTGGTTGAGCTGATTTTACCAGTCCAATATCAGTGCTGTATCGAGACCACAGATGTTCTGGCACGTGTTGTAGCATGTCTTCTTTCATAGCGTCTGAGTCAAGTTTAGCACTGCAAATTGACTCATGTGTCATCTGTACAGCTTGTGGCTGACCCTGTCTGTGAGCAGAGATAACAATCCTTATGAACTGCTGATCCTCACTCACCCAAATAGCAGGATTTTCCTTAACTGGTGTAAAAATAGCTTTCTCTGCTTCTACCATCATTGAGCCTATATGCTTCTGTTCATAGGTCTCAGCTACCATCAAAGTCACGTGAAGAATGCTTGCTTCAATGTCATGTTCTTTTTCAAGATATTCATTACTCTCTATCTTCATAGCTGCTCCTTGTGGCCCCAAAATTATCGACCTGGAGCTAAGCTGGACTTGTTTTGGTTGTTGCTTCAACCAGTCTGCTGAGTTGGTCTGTGTAGCATCTTTAAAATACTTCAGTGTACAGTGGTATGGATACTCAGGTAATTTCACCTCAGTCATATTGGCCACAATAAATTTCTCCCACAGCTTTGCTGGCTCTAGATACTCCTGGCTAAGGTTTTCCAATCCAAAACACTGCAGAGGCTTCAGTCTCTGTTTTCATGTTGTTGCCAACTATCACTTGGTACATCCACCAGACAGCCGTCTGGTGTGCATCTTATTGTGCACTTCAACCTACACAAAGCATTTCTGCCCAAAAGTGCAATAGGTGTTTGTTCTGACACTAGTATCGATTTTGTGGTCTTTTGATTTTTATAGCAGAGCTCAAGGGGTTCTGTAAGAGGTATCAGCTGTTTCACACCCTCAAAACCTATTGTCCGTACCAATTGGCCAGACATGGGGAGATGTATAGCATCTTTGGGCCTAACACAGGTGAAAGCAGCTCCGCAATCTGCCATAACTGTCAATGGTTTATCATTCACTTTCACCTCAATGGTTGGCTCTTGTTCTGGCCCTGACACTACCAGCTGACACCCCCCTTTTAGGTCTTCTGGGCACCCCTAAAATCCAGGTTCTGTCACCCTATCAGGGTTTACAGGTCCTCTGAGTGGGCGCGATTGTCCCCTAGTGCTTCTCATGAAGCCTCCCCAGAGGCCTAAGACTTATCAACACCCGTAAAAGATCAATCTGTGTGATTTTACCAAGCAGCAATGACAAACCACATTCATACGTTTCAGCAAAATTTAGACCTTTGGAAATGCTCTTTTATTTCAACAAGCAGGACCTGGTGAGCCTCTCATCCGCAAGCCCCCTCTTGTTGCAGCACAGCCATTTATCTTCTTATCTGTCTTATGGGCGCTCCAGCGTCAGGTGCCTTTCATTCTCCTCTCTCCTCTCATGCATCAGAGTTAGGGACAAAGAACAAATCAAATGTTTAGTATATTACAATCAATTCACTCAATACACTTGAAAACAACATTTCCTACCACTAATTAAAGATTTCTTCTACCATAAGACTACCTAAATTTATTATACACCATTCCCCTTTACCATGGTATACCATTTAAAATTTTCACACATCTAGGATCGTTAAACTAGATTTTTTAGCTTTCTTTCTGTTCTCAGGCCTGTAAGAAGAGAAAGAAAGCGGGAGAGAAAGCTCCCTGGATTTTTCCAATTTTTAACTGGGATTTTCCCTCTAAACATAATCATCAGCAAGTGACCATTCACTTTAAATATTCACACACACACAGAGGAAAACCATACCCATCAGTTAGAAAATCATTTTATTTTACCCCACTCTGTTACTCTGTTTTTTCCCTGTATCTGTATGAACACTAATGTGCTTGTGTACACTTCTTTAGTTGCCATTTTAATCGAGGATGTTATCACCATCCAAAGTCCTCCTCATCTAATAAGGGGCTCATTTCTTACTATTAGGTGTACAAACGTCCTCTTTATCCTGAGAGGCTCATAGCAGTTACTTATTCTATTAACGTCCCTGTACAAAGAAAAACAGGGCTCATATGTTTTTAACACTACAAAGGCAACAGAATCTCTTCCCTTATATGTGAATTTCTTATATCATATCAGTATATATTTAATAAGACATCATTTATCACTTTATCATAAGTTAATCACTTATATTTATGCTAGACCATTCCCCAACTTTGTGCACACACCACTCACTGCACACAGACTCTTTTGCCCTCACACACACAGCTCAGCACCCATACACACACTCCTCTCACACACACACCAGAAGCTTCTCTCACACACTCAAACTTCAGCACACCTCTCCTCACAGAGCTCAATGTTTCCTTACTATAGTTATAGGAAATCGTACTATGTGAGGAAGTCCAGAGGCAGCTTCTCATTCAAACAGTCGGTCAGTAAATGCCTTTAATCTCACAGCTGTTTAAGATGCAATCATTAACGACACACACACACACATACAGTCTGGCAATGTGTGTGTGTGTGTGTCTGTGTCTAAAAGACCTGCATGTACACACAGTTAATATGTGTCTGCATCACCACCTATCTCCACCCACAAACTTTGAGCTACAGAAACTATTCTGGGCTTCAAAAATTCAGCTCATTGAGGACATTATGGGGTGTACTCAGGATTTTTTTTATTAAACTTTTCCCCACTTTAAAATTATTCTCAACACAGGTGAAAGCAGCTCCGCAATCTGCCATAACTGTCAATGGTTTATCATTCACTTTCACCTCAATGGTTGGCTCTTGTTCTGGCCCTGACACTACCAGCTGACACCCCCCTTTTAGGTCTTCTGGGCACCCCTAAAATCCAGGTTCTGTCCCCCTATCAGGGTTAACAGGTCCTCTGAGTGGGCGCGATTGTCCCCTAGTGCTTCTCATGAAGCCTCCCCTGAGGCCTAAAACTTATCAACACCCGTAAAAGATCAATCTGTGTGATTTTACCGAGCAGCAATGACAAACCACATCCACACGTTTCAGCAAAATTTAGACCTTTGGAAATGCTCTTTTGATTCAACAATACTACGGTAGTTAATCAGCCCTTTCAACTGGTCAGTCTATTGCCAAGCCTTTCTTTTTACCCACAAAACTACTGCTCTTATTGTCTAGCACTAATAAATATATACACCCAACTAAATGTGTTCCCACTATAAATGTGTGTATGTACAACTAAGTAGCAGCAGACACATAGGAGAAGAGTTTGTAGATAAAACTGTACTGGCCTGTCAAATGGGAGCAGGACCTGGTGAGCCTCTCATCCGCAAGCCCCCTCTTGTTGCAGCACAGCAACATCTGTCTTATGGGCGCTCCAGCGTCAGGTGCCTTTCATTCTCCTCTCTCCTCTCATGCATCAGAGTTAGGGACAAAGAACAAATCAAATGTTTAGTATATTACAATCAATTCACTCAATACACTTGAAAACAACATTTCCTACCACTATTTAAAGATTTCTTCTACCATAAGACTACCTAAATTTATTATACACCATTCCCCTTTACCATGGTATACCATTTAAAATTTCCCACACATCTAGGATAGTTAAACTAGATTTTTTAGCTTTCTTTCTGTTCTCAGGCCTGTAAGAAGAGAAAGAAAGCGGGAGAGAAAGCTCCCTGGATTTTTCCAATTTTTAACTGGGACTTTCCCTCTAAACATAATCATCAGCAAGTGACCATTCACTTTAAATATTCACACACACACAGAGGAAAACCATACCCATCAGTTAGCAAATCATTCCATTTTACCCCACTCTGTTTTTTCCCTGTATCTATATGAACACTAATGTGCTTATGTACACTTCTTTAGTTGCCATTTTAATCGAGGATGTTATCACCATCCAAAGTCCTCCTCATCTAATAAGGGGCTCATTTCTTACTATTAGGTGTACAAACGTCCTCTTTATCCTGAGAGGCTCATAGCAGTTACTTATTCTATTAACGTCCCTGTACAAAGAAAAACAGGGCTCATATGTTTTTAACACTACAAAGGCAACAGTATCTCTTCCCTTATATGTGAATTTCTTATATCATATCATTATATATTTAATAAGACATCATTCATCACTTTATCATAAGTTAATCACTTATATTTATGCTAGACCATTCCCCAACTTTGTGCACACACCACTCACTGCACACAGACTCTTTTGCCCTCACACACACAGCTCAGCACCCATACACACACTCCTCTCACACACACACCAGAAGCTTCTCTCACACACTCAAACTTCAGCACACCTCTCCTCACAGAGCTCAATGTTTCCTTACTATAGTTATAAGGAAATCGTACTATGTGAAGAAGTCCAGAGGCAGCTTCTCATTCAAACAGTCGGTCAGTTAATGCCTTTAATCTCACAGCTGTTTAGGATGCAATCATTAACCACACACACACACACACATACAGTCTGGCAATGTGTGTGCATGTGTGTCTGTGTCTAAAAGACCTGCATGTACACACAGTTAGTATGTGTCTGCATCATCACCTATCTCCACCCACAAACTTTGAGCTACAGAAACTATTCTGGGCTTCAAAAATTCAGCTCATTGAGGACATTATGGGGTGTACTCAGGATTTTTTTTTTAAACTTTTCCCCACTTTAAATTATTCTCAACACAGGTGAAAGCAGCTCCGCAATCTGCCATAACTGTCAATGGTTTATCATTCACTTTCACCTCAATGGTTGGCTCTTGTTCTGGCCCTGACACTACCAGCTGACACCCCCCTTTTAGGTCTTCTGGGCACCCCTAAAATCCAGGTTCTGTCCCCCTATCAGGGTTTACAGGTCCTCTGAGTGGGCGCGATTGTCCCCTAGTGCTTCTCATGAAGCCTCCCCTGAGGCCTAAGACTTATCAACACCCGTAAAAGATCAATCTGTGTGATTTTACCGAGCAGCAATGACAAACCACATCCACACGTTTCAGCAAAATTTAGACCTTTGGAAATGCTCTTTTAATTCAACAATACTACGGTACTTAATCAGCCCTTTCAACTGGTCAGTCTATTGCCAAGCCTTTCTTTTTACCCACAAAACTACTGCTCTTATTGTCTAGCACTAATAAATATATACACCCAACTAAATGTGTTCCCACTATAAATGTGTGTATGTACAACTAAGTAGCAGCAGACACATAGGAGAAGAGTTTGTAGATAAAACTGTACTGGCCTGTCAAATGGGAGCAGGACCTGGTGAGCCTCTCATCTGCAAGCCCCCTCTTGTTGCAGCACAGCAACATCTGTCTTATGGGCGCTCCAGCGTCAGGTGCCTTTCATTCTCCTCTCTCCTCTCATGCATCAGAGTTAGGGACAAAGAACAAATCAAATGTTTAGTATATTACAATCAATTCACTCAATACACTTGAAAACAACATTTCCTACCACTAATTAAAGATTTCTTCTACCATAAGACTACCTAAATTTATTATACACCATTCCCCTTTACCATGGTATACCATTTAAAATTTTCACACATCTAGGATAGTTAAACTAGATTTTTTAGCTTTCTTTCTGTTCTCAGGCCTGTAAGAAGAGAAAGCTCCATGGATTTTTCCAATTTTTAACTGGGATTTTCCCTCTAAACATAATCATCAGCAAGTGACCATTCACTTTAAATATTCACACACACACAGAGGAAAACCATACCCATCAGTTAGAAAATCATTTTATTTTACCCCACTCTGTTACTCTGTTTTTTCCCTGTATCTGTATGAACACTAATGTGCTTGTGTACACTTCTTTAGTTGCCATTTTAATCGAGGATGTTATCACCATCCAAAGTCCTCCTCATCTAATAAGGGGCTCATTTCTTACTATTAGGTGTACAAACGTCCTCTTTATCCTGAGAGGCTCATAGCAGTTACTTATTCTATTAACGTCCCTGTACAAAGAAAAACAGGGCTCATATGTTTTTAACACTACAAAGGCAACAGAATCTCTTCCCTTATATGTGAATTTCTTATATCATATCAGTATATATTTAATAAGACATCATTTATCACTTTATCATAAGTTAATCACTTATATTTATGCTAGACCATTCCCCAACTTTGTGCACACACCACTCACTGCACACAGACTCTTTTGCCCTCACACACACAGCTCAGCACCCATACACACACTGTCTAAAAGACCTGCATGTACACACAGTTAATATGTGTCTGCATCACCACCTATCTCCACCCACAAACTTTGAGCTACAGAAACTATTCTGGGCTTCAAAAATTCAGCTCATTGAGGACATTATGGGGTGTACTAAGGATTTTTTTTTTTAAATTTTCCCCACTTTAAAATGATTCTCAACACAGGTGAAAGCAGCTCCGCAATCTGCCATAACTGTCAATGGTTTATCATTCACTTTCACCTCAATGGTTGGCTCTTGTTCTGGCCCTGACACTACCAGCTGACACCCCCCTTTTAGGTCTTCTGGGCACCCCTAAAATCCAGGTTCTGTCCCCCTATCAGGGTTTACAGGTCCTCTGAGTGGGCGCGATTGTCCCCTAGTGCTTCTCATGAAGCATCCCCTGAGGCCTAAAACTTATCAACACCCGTAAAAGATCAATCTGTGTGATTTTACCAAGCAGCAATGACAAACCACATCCACACGTTTCAGCAAAATTTAGACCTTTGGAAATGCTCTTTTAATTCAACAATACTACGGTACTTAATCAGCCCTTTCAACTGGTCAGTCTATTGCCAAGCCTTTCTTTTTACCCACAAAACTACTGCTCTTATTGTCTAGCACTAATAAATATATACACCCAACTAAATGTGTTCCCACTATAAATGTGTGTATGTACAACTAAGTAGCAGCAGACACATAGGAGAAGAGTTTGTAGATAAAACTGTACTGGCCTGTCAAATGGGAGCAGGACCTGGTGAGCCTCTCATCCGCAAGCCCCCTCTTGTTGCAGCACAGCAACATCTGTCTTATGGGCGCTCCAGCGTCAGGTGCCTTTCATTCTCCTCTCTCCTCTCATGCATCAGAGTTAGGGACAAAGAACAAATCAAATGTTTAGTATATTACAATCAATTCACTCAATACACTTGAAAACAACATTTCCTACCACTAATTAAAGATTTCTTCTACCATAAGACTACCTAAATTTATTATACACCATTCCCCTTTACCATGGTATACCATTTAAAATTTTCACACATCTAGGATCGTTAAACTAGATTTTTTAGCTTTCTTTCTGTTCTCAGGCCTGTAAGAAGAGAAAGAAAGCGGGAGAGAAAGCTCCCTGGATTTTTCCAATTTTTAACTGGGATTTTCCCTCTAAACATAATCATCAGCAAGTGACCATTCACTTTAAATATTCACACACACACAGAGGAAAACCATACCCATCAGTTAGCAAATCATTTCATTTTACCCCACTCTGTTTTTTCCCTGTATCTGTATGAACACAAATGTGCTTGTGTACACTTCTTTAGTTGCCATTTTAATCGAGGATGTTATCACCATCCAAAGTCCTCCTCATCTAATAAGGGGCTCATTTCTTACTATTAGGTGTACAAACGTCCTCTTTATCCTGAGAGGCTCATAGCAGTTACTTATTCTATTAACGTCCCTGTACAAAGAAAAACAGGGCTCATATGTTTTTAACACTACAAAGGCAACAGTATCTCTTCCCTTATATGTGAATTTCTTATATCATATCATTATATATTTAATAAGACATCATTCATCACTTTATCATAAGTTAATCACTTATATTTATGCTAGACCATTCCCCAACTTTGTGCACACACCACTCACTGCACACAGACTCTTTTGCCCTCACACACACAGCTCAGCACCCATACACACACTCCTCTCACACACACACACCAGAAGCTTCTCTGACACACTCAAACTTCAGCACACCTCTCCTCACAGAGCTCAATGTTTCCTTACTATAGTTATAAGAAAATCGTACTATGTGAGAAAGTCCAGAGGCAGCTTCTCATTCAAACAGTCGGTCAGTTAATGCCTTTAATCTCACAGCTGTTTAGGATGCAATCATTAACCACACACACACACACACACACAGTGTGGCAATGTGTGTGTGTGTGTGTGTGTGTGTGTGTGTGTGTGTGTGTGTGTGTGTGTCTGTGTCTAAAAGAACTTCATGTACACACAGTTAATATGTGTCTGCATCACCACCTATCTCCACCCACAAACTTTGAGCTACAGAAACTATTCTGGGCTTCAAAAATTCAGCTCATTGAGGACATTATGGGGTGTACTCAGGATTTTTTTTATTAAACTTTTCCCCACTTTAAAATTATTCTCAACACAGGTGAAAGCAGCTCCGCAATCTGCCATAACTGTCAATGGTTTATCATTCACTTTCACCTCAATGGTTGGCTCTTGTTCTGGCCCTGACACTACCAGCTGACACCCCCCTTTTAGGTCTTCTGGGCACCCCTAAAATCCAGGTTCTGTCCCCCTATCAGGGTTTACAGGTCCTCTGAGTGGGCGCGATTGTCCCCTAGTGCTTCTCATGAAGCCTCCCCTGAGGCCTAAAACTTATCAACACCCGTAAAAGATCAATCTGTGTGATTTTACCAAGCAGCAATGACAAACCACATCCACACGTTTCAGCAAAATTAAGACCTCTTGGAAATGCTCTTTTTATTCAACAATACTACGGTACTTAATCAGCCCTTTCAACTGGTCAGTCTATTGCCAAGCCTTTCTTTTTACCCACAAAACTACTGCTCTTATTGTCTAGCACTAATAAATATATACACCCAACTAAATGTGTTCCCACTATAAATGTGTGTATGTACAACTAAGTAGCAGCAGACACATAGGAGAAGAGTTTGTAGATAAAACTGTACTGGCCTGTCAAATGGGAGCAGGACCTGGTGAGCCTCTCATCCGCAAGCCCCCTCTTGTTGCAGCACAGCAACATCTGTCTTATGGGCGCTCCAGCGTCAGGTGCCTTTCATTCTCCTCTCTCCTCTCATGCATCAGAGTTAGGGACAAAGAACAAATCAAATGTTTAGTATATTACAATCAATTCACTCAATACACTTGAAAACAACATTTCCTACCACTAATTAAAGATTTCTTCTACCATAAGACTACCTAAATTTATTATACACCATTCCCCTTTACCATGGTATACCATTTAAAATTTTCACACATCTAGGATAGTTAAACTAGATTTTTTAGCTTTCTTTCTGTTCTCAGGCCTGTAAGAAGAGAAAGCTCCCTGGATTTTTCCAATTTTTAACTGGGATTTTCCCTCTAAACATAATCATCAGCAAGTGACCATTCACTTTAAATATTCACACACACACAGAGGAAAACCATACCCATCAGTTAGCAAATCATTTCATTTTACCCCACTCTGTTTTTTCCCTGTATCTGTATGAACACAAATGTGCTTGTGTACACTTCTTTAGTTGCCATTTTAATCGAGGATGTTATCACCATCCAAAGTCCTCCTCATCTAATAAGGGGCTCATTTCTTACTATTAGGTGTACAAACGTCCTCTTTATCCTGAGAGGCTCATAGCAGTTACTTATTCTATTAACGTCCCTGTACAAAGAAAAACAGGGCTCATATGTTTTTAACACTACAAAGGCAACAGTATCTCTTCCCTTATATGTGAATTTCTTATATCATATCATTATATATTTAATAAGACATCATTCATCACTTTATCATAAGTTAATCACTTATATTTATGCTAGACCATTCCCCAACTTTGTGCACACACCACTCACTGCACACAGACTCTTTTGCCCTCACACACACAGCTCAGCACCCATACACACACTGTCTAAAAGACCTGCATGTACACACAGTTAATATGTGTCTGCATCACCACCTATCTCCACCCACAAACTTTGAGCTACAGAAACTATTCTGGGCTTCAAAAATTCAGCTCATTGAGGACATTATGGGGTGTACTCAGGATTTTTTTTATTAAACTTTTCCCCACTTTAAAATTATTCTCAACACAGGTGAAAGCAGCTCCGCAATCTGCCATAACTGTCAATGGTTTATCATTCACTTTCACCTCAATGGTTGGCTCTTGTTCTGGCCCTGACACTACCAGCTGACACCCCCCTTTTAGGTCTTCTGGGCACCCCTAAAATCCAGGTTCTGTCCCCCTATCAGGGTTTACAGGGCCTCTGAGTGGGCGCGATTGTCCCCTAGTGCTTCTCATGAAGCCTCCCCTGAGGCCTAAAACTTATCAACACCCGTAAAAGATCAATCTGTGTGATTTTACCGAGCAGCAATGACAAACCACATCCACACGTTTCAGCAAAATTTAGACCTTTGGAAATGCTCTTTTGATTCAACAATACTACGGTACTTAATCAGCCCTTTCAACTGGTCAGTCTATTGCCAAGCCTTTCTTTTTACCCACAAAACTACTGCTCTTATTGTCTAGCACAAATAAATATATACACCCAACTAAATGTGTTCCCACTATAAATGTGTGTATGTACAACTAAGTAGCAGCAGACACATAGGAGAAGAGTTTGTAGATAAAACTGTACTGGCCTGTCAAATGGGAGCAGGACCTGGTGAGCCTCTCATCCGCAAGCCCCCTCTTGTTGCAGCACAGCCATTTATCTTCGTATCTGTCTTATGGGCGCTCCAGCGTCAGGTGCCTTTCATTCTCCTCTCTCCTCTCATGCATCAGAGTTAGGGACAAAGAACAAATCAAATGTTTAGTATATTACAATCAATTCACTCAATACACTTGAAAACAACATTTCCTACCACTAATTAAAGATTTCTTCTACCATAAGACTACCTAAATTTATTATACACCATTCCCCTTTACCATGGTATACCATTTAAAATTTTCACACATCTAGGATAGTTAAACTAGATTTTTTAGCTTTCTTTCTGTTCTCAGGCCTGTAAGAAGAGAAAGCTCCATGGATTTTTCCAATTTTTAACTGGGATTTTCCCTCTAAACATAATCATCAGCAAGTGACCATTCACTTTAAATATTCACATACACACACAGAAGAAAACCATACCCATCAGTTAGCAAATCATTCCATTTTACCCCACTCTATTTTTTCCCTGTATCTGTATGAACACTAATGTGCTTGTGTACACTTCTTTAGTTGCCATTTTAATCGAGGATGTTATCACCATCCAAAGTCCTCCTCATCTAATAAGGGGCTCATTTCTTACTATTAGGTGTACAAACGTCCTCTTTATCCTGAGAGGCTCATAGCAGTTACTTATTCTATTAACGTCCCTGTACAAAGAAAAACAGGGCTCATATGTTTTTAACACTACAAAGGCAACAGAATCTCTTCCCTTATATGTTAATTTCTTATATCATATCATTATATATTTAATAAGACATCATTCATCACTTTATCATAAGTTAATCACTTATATTTATGCTAGACCATTCCCCAACTTTGTGCACACACCACTCACTGCACACAGACTCTTTTGCCCTCACACACACAGCTCAGCACCCATACACACACTCCTCTCACACACACACACACCAGAAGCTTCTCTCACACACTCAAACTTCAGCACACCTCTCCTCACAGAGCTCAATGTTTCCTTACTATAGTTATAAGGAAATCGTACTATGTGAGGAAGTCCAGAGGCAGCTTCTCATTCAAACAGTCGGTCAGTTAATGCCTTTAATCTCACAGCTGTTTAGGATGCGATCATTAACGACACACACACACACACACACACACACACACACACACACACACACACACACACACACACACACACACACACACACACACACAGTCTGGCAATGTGTGTGCATGTGTGTCTGTGTCTAAAATACCTGCATGTACACACAGTTAATATGTGTCTGCATCACCACCTATCTCCACCCACAAACTTTGAGCTACAGAAACTATTCTGGGCTTCAAAAATTCAGCTCATTGAGGACATTATGGGGTGTACTCAGGATTTTTTTTATGAAACTTTTCCCCACTTTAGAATTATTCTCAACACAGGTGAAAGCAGCTCCGCAATCTGCCATAACTGTCAATGGTTTATCATTCACTTTCACCTCAATGGTTGGCTCTTGTTCTGGCCCTGACACTACCAGCTGACACCCCCCTTTTAGGTCTTCTGGGCACCCCTAAAATCAAGGTTCTGTCCCCCTATCAGGGTTTACAGGTCCTCTGAGTGGGCGCGATTGTCCCCTAGTGCTTCTCATGAAGCATCCCCTGAGGCCTAAGACTTATCAACACCCGTAAAAGATCAATCTGTGTGATTTTACCGAGCAGCAATGACAAACCACATCCACACGTTTCAGCAAAATTAAGACCTCTTGGAAATGCTCTTTTAATTCAACAATACTACGGTAGTTAATCAGCCCTTTCAACTGGTCAGTCTATTGCCAAGCCTTTCTTTTTACCCACAAAACTACTGCTCTTATTGTCTAGCACTAATAAATATATACACCCAACTAAATGTGTTCCCACTATAAATGTGTGTATGTACAACTAAGTAGCAGCAGACACATAGGAGAAGAGTTTGTAGATAAAACTGTACTGGCCTGTCAAATGGGAGCAGGACCTGGTGAGCCTCTCATCTGCAAGCCCCCTCTTGTTGCAGCACAGCAACATCTGTCTTATGGGCGCTCCAGCGTCAGGTGCCTTTCATTCTCCTCTCTCCTCTCATGCATCAGAGTTAGGGACAAAGAACAAATCAAATGTTTAGTATATTACAATCAATTCACTCAATACACTTGAAAACAACATTTCCTACCACTAATTAAAGATTTCTTCTACCATAAGACTACCTAAATTTATTATACACCATTCCCCTTTACCATGGTATACCATTTAACATTTTCACACATCTAGGATAGTTAAACTAGATTTTTTAGCTTTCTTTCTGTTCTCAGGCCTGTAAGAAGAGAAAGCTCCCTGGATTTTTCCAATTTTTAACTGGGATTTTCCCTCTAAACATAATCATCAGCAAGTGACCATTCACTTTAAATATTCACACACACACAGAGGAAAACCATACCCATCAGTTAGCAAATCATTTTATTTTACCCCACTCTGTTACTCTGTTTTTTCCCTGTATCTGTATGAACACTAATGTGCTTGTGTACACTTCTTTAGTTGCCATTTTAATCGAGGATGTTATCACCATCCAAAGTCCTCCTCATCTAATAAGGGGCTCATTTCTTACTATTAGGTGTACAAACGTCCTCTTTATCCTGAGAGGCTCATAGCAGTTACTTATTCTATTAACGTCCCTGTACAAAGAAAAACAGGGCTCATATGTTTTTAACACTACAAAGGCAACAGAATCTCTTCCCTTATATGTGAATTTCTTATATCATATCATTATATATTTAATAAGACATCATTCATCACTTTATCATAAGTTAATCACTTATATTTATGCTAGACCATTCCCCAACTTTGTGCACACACCACTCACTGCACACAGACTCCTTTGCCCTCACACACACAGCTCAGCACCCATACACACACTCCTCTCACACACACACCAGAAGCTTCTCTCACACACTCAAACTTCAGCACACCTCTCCTCACAGAGCTCAATGTTTCCTTACTATAGTTATAGGAAATCGTACTATGTGAAGAAGTCCAGAGGCAGCTTCTCATTCAAACAGTCGGTCAGTAAATGCCTTTAATCTCACAGCTGTTTAGGATGCAATCATTACCGACACACACACACACACACACACACACACACACACACAGTCTGGCAATGTGTGTGTGTGTGTGTCTGTGTCTAAAATACCTGCATGTACACACAGTTAATATGTGTCTGCATCACCACCTATCTCCACCCACAAACTTTGAGCTACAGAAACTATTCTGGGCTTCAAAAATTCAGCTCATTGAGGACATTATAGGGTGTACTCAGGATTTTTTTTATGAAACTTTTCCCCACTTTAGAATTATTCTCAACACAGGTGAAAGCAGCTCCGCAATCTGCCATAACTGTCAATGGTTTATCATTCACTTTCACCTCAATGGTTGGCTCTTGTTCTGGCCCTGACACTACCAGCTGACACCCCCCTTTTAGGTCTTCTGGGCACCCCTAAAATCAAGGTTCTGTCCCCCTATCAGGGTTTACAGGTCCTCTGAGTGGGCGCGATTGTCCCCTAGTGCTTCTCATGAAGCATCCCCTGAGGCCTAAGACTTATCAACACCCGTAAAAGATCAATCTGTGTGATTTTACCGAGCAGCAATGACAAACCACATCCACACGTTTCAGCAAAATTTAGACCTCTTGGATATGCTCTTTTAATTCAACAATACTACGGTACTTAATCAGCCCTTTCAACTGGTCAGTCTATTGCCAAGCCTTTCTTTTTACCCACAAAACTACTGCTCTTATTGTCTAGCACTAATAAATATATACACCCAACTAAATGTGTTCCCACTATAAATGTGTGTATGTACAACTAAGTAGCAGCAGACACATAGGAGAAGAGTTTGTAGATAAAACTGTACTGGCCTGTCAAATGGGAGCAGGACCTGGTGAGCCTCTCTGATGGGCGCTCCAGCGTCAGGTGCCTTTCATTCTCCTCTCTCCTCTCATGCATCAGAGTTAGGGACAAAGAACAAATCAAATGTTTAGTATATTACAATCAATTCACTCAATAAACTTGAAAACAACATTTCCTACCACTAATTAAAGATTTCTTCTACCATAAGACTACCTAAATTTATTATACACCATTCCCCTTTACCATGGTATACCATTTAAAATTTTCACACATCTAGGATAGTTAAACTAGATTTTTTAGCTTTCTTTCTGTTCTCAGGCCTGCAAGAAGAGAAAGAAAGCGGGAGAGAAAGCTCCATGGATTTTTCCAATTTTTAACTGGGATTTTCCCTCTAAACATAATCATCAGCAAGTGACCATTCACTTTAAATATTCACACACACACAGAGGAAAACCATACCCATCAGTTAGCAAATCATTTTATTTTACCCCACTCTGTTACTCTGTTTTTTCCCTGTATCTGTATGAACACAAATGTGCTTGTGTACACTTCTTTAATTGCCATTTTAATCGAGGATGTTATCACCATCCAAAGTCCTCCTCATCTAATAAGGGGCTCATTTCTTACTATTAGGTGTACAAACGTCCTCTTTATCCTGAGAGGCTCATAGCAGTTACTTATTCTATTAACGTCCCTGTACAAAGAAAAACAGGGCTCATATGTTTTTAACACTACAAAGGCAACAGTATCTCTTCCCTTATATGTTAATTTCTTATATCATATCATTATATATTTAATAAGACATCATTCATCACTTTATCATAAGTTAATCACTTATATTTATGCTAGACCATTCCCCAACTTTGTGCACACACCACTCACTGCACACAGACTCTTTTGCCCTCACACACACAGCTCAGCACCCATACACACACTCCTCTCACACCCACACACACCAGAAGCTTCTCTCACACACTCAAACTTCAGCACACCTCTCCTCACAGAGCTCAATGTTTCCTTACTATAGTTATAAGGAAATCGTGCTATGTGAAGAAGTCCAGAGGCAGCTTCTCATTCAAACAGTCGGTCAGTTAATGCCTTTAATCTCACAGCTGTTTAGGATGCTATCATTAACGACACACACACACACACACACAGTCTGGCAATGTGTGTGCACGTGTGTGTGTGTCTAAAAGACCTGCATGTACACACAGTTAATATGTGTCTGCATCACCACCTATCTCCACCCACAAACTTTGAGCTACAGAAACTATTCTGGGCTTCAAAAATTCAGCTCATTGAGGACATTATGGGGTGTACTCAGGATTTTTTTTATGAAACTTTTCCCCACTTTAAAATTATTCTCAACACAGGTGAAAGCAGCTCCGCAATCTGCCATAACTGTCAATGGTTTATCATTCACTTTCACTTCAATGGTTGGCTCTTGTTCTGGCCCTGACACTACCAGCTGACACCCCCCTTTTAGGTCTTCTGGGCACCCCTAAAATCCAGGTTCTGTCCCCCTATCAGGGTTTACAGGTCCTCTGAGTGGGCGCGATTGTCCCCTAGTGCTTCTCATGAAGCATCCCCTGAGGCCTAAAACTTATCAACACCCGTAAAAGATCAATCTGTGTGATTTTACCAAGCAGCAATGACAAACCACATCCACACGTTTCAGCAAAATTTAGACCTTTGGAAATGCTCTTTTAATTCAACAATACTACGGTACTTAATCAGCCCTTTCAACTGGTCAGTCTATTGCCAAGCCTTTCTTTTTACCCACAAAACTACTGCTCTTATTGTCTAGCACTAATAAATATATACACCCAACTAAATGTGTTCCCACTATAAATGTGAGTATGTACAACTAAGTAGCAGCAGACACATATGAGAAGAGTTTGTAGATAAAACTGTACTGGCCTGTCAAATGGGAGCAGGACCTGGTGAGCCTCTCATCCGCAAGCCCCCTCTTGTTGCAGCACAGCCAATTATCTTCGTATCTGTCTTATGGGCGCTCCAGCGTCAGGTGCCTTTCATTCTCCTCTCTCCTCTCATGCATCAGAGTTAGGGACAAAGAACAAATCAAATGTTTAGTATATTACAATCAATTCACTCAATAAACTTGAAAACAACATTTCCTACCACTAATTAAAGATTTCTTCTACCATAAGACTACCTAAATTTATTATACACCATTCCCCTTTACCATGGTATACCATTTAAAATTTCCCACACATCTAGGATAGTTAAACTAGATTTTTTAGCTTTCTTTCTGTTCTCAGGCCTGTAAGAAGAGAAAGCTCCATGGATTTTTAACTGGGATTTTCCCTCTAAACATAATCATCAGCAAGTGACCATTCACTTTAAATATTCACACACACACACAGAGGAAAACCATACCCATCAGTTAGCAAATCATTCCATTTTACCCCACTCTATTCTTTCCCTGTATCTGTATGAACACTTATGTGCTTGTGTACACTTCTTTAGTTGCCATTTTAATCGAGGATGTTATCACCATCCAAAGTCCTCCTCATCTAATAAGGGGCTCATTTCTTACTATTAGGTGTACAAACGTCCTCTTTATCCTGAGAGGCTCATAGCAGTTACTTATTCTATTAACGTCCCTGTACAAAGAAAAACAGGGCTCATATGTTTTTAACACTACAAAGGCAACAGAATCTCTTCCCTTATATGTTAATTTCTTATATCATATCATTATATATTTAATAAGACATCATTCATCACTTTATCATAAGTTAATCACTTATATTTATGCTAGACCATTCCCCAACTTTGTGCACACACCACTCACTGCACACAGACTCTTTTGCCCTCACACACACAGCTCAGCACCCATACACACACTGTCTAAAAGACCTGCATGTACACACAGTTAATATGTGTCTGCATCACCACCTATCTCCACCCACAAACTTTGAGCTACAGAAACTATTCTGGGCTTCAAAAATTCAGCTCATTGAGGACATTATGGGGTGTACTCAGGATTTTTTTTATTAAACTTTTCCCCACTTTAAAATTATTCTCATTATTCATGCATTATTAAATTCGTCAGACAAATCCAAAGTCATTCAAACCTTTCTGATACTTCAAAACCCTTTAACACTTTAGGACTTCTAATTATTTAAAAATTTTCCCACTTCAAAATCATTCCCATTATTTATGCATGTTTTAATACTTCAAACAAAATCCCAGTTCTACCACTACAATTACTACTTATATCACTTTAACTTGTATCTTCACTTCTAGCTCCACTGCTCTTGCTTCTCTTAATATTTTTTTTACTTCTACCACGAGCTCTACTGCTTGACTTCTACTTTTTTCTATTCTAAAACTACTTCTACTGCTTACATGACTACTAATATCACTACTACAACTACCTATTATCATACTTCTTCTAGTACTTCAACTTAAACTTATGCCTCTTCTTACTTTTCTGTTTTGGGGTAATTTTCTTCCTTATCCAATTTTTTTTGCAATTTCAGACAGTTTTTCTAGCCTTATTCAGTATGAATGCAATTTTAATTTATGAAGCACATTCATACTATTTGTACTTAAGCAATTTTCACTTTCATCTAACTTCTGCTTTTCTTTCTCCAGCTCTTTAACCAATTTTACATTTAGACCTTCCTCCATTTTTTTTTTTTTAGCAGTTTAGCATAGCTTTTTCAGCTTTCAGCACTCATCATTTCCACACATTTTCTGCAAGGAAATGCAATTTTTCTAGTTTTGATAATGCCTGTCACATTAAAGTCATGAACACTGTAAATATCTATGCACACATTTAATCCTTGTCGATGCATCGCTTAACCATCACGAAAGTCTCGACAGTAACACAAGTTTGTATGATAATATTGTAATGAAATCTTACGGTATCCATGTCGTAGATGTTGTCCTCCCTGTTCAGGTGTTGGTTAGAGGTGTTTGTCCGAGTCCTTAGCCGTCTGGTGAGGTTTTATTTCCGATGAAGCCGTCAAAAGTTGAAAGTTCGTGAGCCGCTTAAGTTTTTCGTGCTGTTCTCTTCAGATTTGATCTTCAGAAATGACCGCTCTCTTTTGCTTGTAATGATTTAAAGTTTTTACATCGTTACAGGTTACCATGGAGATTTAAAATGCTGTTTACTTTAGAAAAACCCTTACACTGGTAGGTTATATCTAAAAGTTTAATATTATCTTTAATTTACTTTAATCTCAATGGAATATAAATATCTCTTGAAGTAAAGTGGAGGCTATTTTGCGTCAACTAGTAAAAGCATTTTAATTTAAAAACCTTCCTTATTTCGGTACAAAACGACAATGTTTTGAAAACTATAGCTAAGTAGGCCCATGTTTCCATGGTAACCCAACAAAAACTGGAAACTTTGTGTTTCATTATAAATTCCACTGAAGCCTTTACTTCAATTAAATTCAGTCGATTTTATTTAGAAGGCTACTAAAAATAGTCTATATATACTCCTATCATATCAATATTTTAGAGCAGTAACTACATCTGTAAAACACTTTGTCCCCCTGTTTTAAAAAAAAAAAACCTAAAGTTGATAATTGTCATTGATCATTGTTTAATCCATGTATAGAGTTAGAAAATATGTGATAGCATTGCAGCAGTGGTAGCTAAATGGGTGCTATCATGCATTTTATTTTATAACACTAGGCGAAAATTACATGGGTCAATATATGAAAACATACAACTTAACCCCCCAAAAAACCTATAGAAAGGGTTTCATTTTACCATACATCATTTCTATAAGGTTTCTAGACTAACATAAGTCCTATGAAATCCTAGTTGGAAAAGTATGTTAATTTCACCAGACAACAATACGCAAATGAGCTCAAAACTCATTAAAATTTGCCCAAAATACTCCTTTTCCCCTGAACTATTATCACAGTGAAACTATTATCACAGTGAAAGCACATTGAAAGAGGGTGATGGCAATGCTGCTTTTGGACTGGCCTCTAACCTGAAAACTGCTTGGCTTGGTTGTACCTACCAGGGGTATAACCCCGGCCAGTGTAGTCTTCAGGGTCACTGAGGCACACAAGCCTCCCCACCACGACAAGGTAGCAACAATAGGGGAGGGTGTTTTTTTTTTTTTTTTTTTTTTGGTATGTTTATTTTTGCCTGGATCCTCGCCACCTTCTCTACATGTCAGTTCCTGGCTTGTTCTTTGCTTTGTTCTGGGACAGAGTTAAACCAAGAAAGATGGTTTTGGTGTATATCCCTATGTTTGCCGTTCAGGAATAGTGTAGGCCTGAATCTCTCCAATTCTCAATTATACAGATCATACTTTTGACTACTATATGTTCACAACATAATAATCAAAATCATTTTCATCAACTTCTTCCATGTCTTCTTCATCTGAACTTTCCACACTGTCTGAGGTGGATGCTTGGTTCACACAGTCTGCCAGTCTACACATGTCAGTACACTTGAGGCCATTTGCAGTACAGACACATTTTGGGAGTGAACATTTCTTTGGACAGTTACAGGCCAGTAGATTCAGGACCGCATCAGGTGCTGGCTGGCCGTCCATCCAGTGTACCACCAACTGTTCAGATTCACCTTCTGTCTCCATTTTCCACCCGCTGCCAACAGGGCTTGGCTAATGTGGGTATTGCTCCAGGCATCTTCTCCATATACCAGCCTGGTAATTTGCTCGCTGTGCATGTTTTGTTAAACAGTCCTTGCAAGGTGGGAGTTGATGACTTTCAATTTCACCTTTTTTGGCACAGAAAAGGTGATACCTGAGCTCATTGATCTTGATGGTTGGTACTTTTGGGGCATACATGAGACATATAAATGCATGCATGTAAATCTATTTAGACTGACTCAGGCCAAGTGTGAGTGTGACAACTTAAATCACAGCAGGAATAAAGTAGAAATATCTAGACTATGCACTACTTACCACGTTTTATGTATTAAAATGTTTAGGTTGTGTACAAATTAAACCTTTGTGTAACGTCTTTCATGAAAACGGAAAACATATATTGTCACTATGTTGTCACTACTTATAAGAGAAAAAAACATCTAGAGATGCTGATTCCAACAACTCTACTGAACAATATATAGCCTGGGCTTTATTCTGACATTTTTTCACAGAGATAGGGTCAATTAATAAGAGAGAACCATCAGTTTGAAGTAGAATGATTAATTCGGATTTTGAAAACTCTGTTTTGGCATGTGGTCACAAATTGAGTGATAACACACAGAAAGCTACCACAGATGCAATGCTATCAATTTTTTTCTAGTACTAGAGGTGTATACCTACCCAAAAATCACTATGAGAACTATTCCCCCCAGTTGATACCGATGACCCCATATTTGGAGGAAAAAACTGTTCCTGAGTCTGCTTGACTTGGAAGCGAGGTTTCGGTATCTTCTCCTAGAGAGGAGGAGGGTGAACAGTCCGTGCTGTTAAGAAAAAAAGTTTAGAAATGCGTTATTTCTAGTCCATTTGGTCTGTTCTGTAATGCACATAATTTTCCAATGAGGGGAAATGGGTGTGGGTTCTTGTGGGTTAAAATGCATTAGTTTGAATTAAAGTTATAAATTATACTAAGTTTGCTGTGGAAGGCAGGGTTTAGGGCCTATACTGCAACCAGTCACCAGTGGGTGCTGTTCTCCACAGATGCAATGCTATCAATTTTTTTTCTAGTACTAGAGGTGTATACCTACCCAAAAATCACAATGAGAATTATTCCCCCCAGTTGATACCGATGACCCCATATTTGGAGTCCTAGCTCAAGGCCTATATAAACAAATTGTGTTATTTAATATTTACCTTACAAAAAACAGTATGACTCAGTCAAAGCTTACAATCTCTCAATATGAAGTCGAACAGCAGTCTAAAGGATATTCTTTTTACCTTCAGATGAGCTGCTGACTCCTTCTTGTAAACACTAAAGATTTTTTTTTCCGAAGTAATTTTAAAGTTGCGTTATTTAGCTAAGGAGACTATTTGTGCGATGGCCAGTTTACTTTGGTCTTTCTTGAGTTAAAGGGAAATATCCTCTGAGCAGAATCAGGTGTGGTGGTGCTTGATTGACTTAAGTGAGAC